ATGAGTGTGCATGTCTGTGCATATATGGGATTGTATGGGTATGGAGAGTCTGCAAAGGGGAAGGGCAAGGGCAAGTGAAGGTGTATGCGGGAAAATGGGTATGTGAAGGGATCAAAGGCAAATAACAGAGCGTCGAAAATAAGGGCAAAAGAAGAATGTTGCCGTGTAATTCCTATCTCGTATGCCACCGTCACATCATGATGCCCCATTTTTTAGTCCCGTGTAAGAGGAAGGGCGGGTACAAAATATCCTCAATCTCAGAGCATCATTCATGATAGCCAATCGTATCAAGAAGAATAACCGCCACAGGTGAGAAGGAGGAGAAGAAGAGAAGAAGAAGAAAAAAGTATTATTCTGTCCAGGGAATGAAGAGGAAAGAGGGCCCACTCACTGCGAGTAGGGTCTGGAGAAAAAATCAATCAATGAAATACCTTGTCCCCGCTTCCGCGCAGTTTGCTTTTGCCCTTGCTCAACAGTCCCTTGCCCATCTTTCCAGCTGAATGCATGAACTCCTTGCTCTTTGTGCCAATCTGGTTGCCCGAATGCCCAAACGCACTGCCGGACATCTGAGATGGCATCGACAACCCACCCAATCTGGAGCGGCCACCACCGCTACCTCCACCTCCGCTTTGTGGCCCAGACGTGCTTGGCGAGCTGGCGTTGAGATACTGCTGGTAGTAAGGCTGTTGGCTCGAGGGCTGAGATCCCACCGGCAAGGAGGCGTTGTTGCTTGACCGAGGGGTCATCTGGCCTCCCGGGGCAGAAATGGAGGCCGAAAGCTCAGGATGCTCCGTAGTCAGATATAAAAGCCAGCTCTCCAAGCCGGAATCCCTTGCTGCCAAGGCCTCACGTGCTTCAGTGTATTTTGCTATCCTCTCCGTAGGCGTGGATAGAGCCATGATATCTCGGAAGTTCATGGCTTTGGCCTGTGCAAGTGGGTTCAGATTAGGGGCAGGGGTTTGTGGAGCGGGCACAGACGCTGCAGAAGTCGGTGAAGACACGGCCGGGTGAGAATCCGAAGCTGGAGGTGGAGATCCCGTCACCAGATTGACGGAGCCCTGGTCGGCAAACAACTTTTCGTCCGCAATGGACATGCGCGCCTGTTCACGGGCAGTGGTAGAAGGGTTGTCACTGATCACGGAAATAGACACTGGAGAGGGAGGCTCGGGGAGTGACGAATCATGCCCTGGGAGGCTGCCGGATGGATTGGATGTCTGAATCGCCAAGTCACCCAAGCCGGATCCCGCCGCCGTTGTTGGTGCCTGTGATAACTGGGATACAGGGCTATGGCTACGAGACTCGGTAGTACTGAAATTCGTCACGGATGGCTCAAATGGTTGACCGGATGGCCCAGTGAGATGGACCGCAGGAGCAGCAGAGTCATCAGTAGTTGGCTGAGCTTGTATGGGAGTCTGAGCCAGAGTGGTTGGAGTGCGCTGCTCCTCTTCAGCTTCCCAGGAAAATCTTCGTCTAAGAGACGGTTGTCGCTGTTGTTGATCTTGCTGTTGCTGCTCTTCCTGGGGTTGTTGCTGGGGTTGTTGAGGAGAGAACATCGGATCAAACGTTATCGTAGCTGGTGGTGATGGAGAAGTAGTGTCGACGGGCGATTTCAAACCAGACTGCGTTGAAGGAGCGAGAAGCGGCTCTGTAGCGGCCGGTGTGCTCTGAAGGTTCTCAGTCGACGGCACCGGCACATTTTCATGGCCAGGACCCGAGTCTTCTGCTGTATCTGCCCAGTAACTATCATAGTCCATAAGAGTGTAACTGCTCTCCCTGACGCCGCTCCGGTCTTCTGGAGGATGCAGCTGAGGACCATCACTGAGCTTAACATCGGAAGGAGTTGCACCCGAGGGGCTAAGAGTTCGCATAATCTCGTCACTAAGTACGTCGTTTTCCTTCAACGGACTGTCCTTCATGGGAGACGAGGTGTCGGTGCCATAAGTCTGCACCCTTTGGAACGACTGAGGAGCCTCAAATTCCGGCAGTGGCTCTCCTCTGTAGGGCTGAAGAGGCTCTGTGGGAGTGATTTTGGTGCCTTGAGGGTCAAAGGGGGCTGCGGCGAGCGGCTGGGGGCTAGGAGTTCGCAACGGTGGAACAATTGGAATGTTTCTGCCGGGAAACAGGTTGTTAGGCTGGGAGAGAGGCGCACCCCCTGGAGCTTCTGAGTGATCTTCGTCCTCGGCCGGTACTACGGGAGGCTGCCAGCGAGATTCCGTCGTGGTAGCTGCCGGAATAGTAGCCGGCTCGCCTCTATCCGCTTGATCTTCACTGATAGGAGTTTGCTTCGAAAGGTTGTTGTTGCTCGATGAGGAGGCGAAGAGGTCGGTCCCAAACGCGGACATGCGAGCAAGATCTGGCAACTTGGGACTGACAGACAATCGTCCACGGTCAATGCCAGCTTGAGACTCAAAGTCGGGACGGATTCCCTGATTTTCTAGGTGATCGCCGTGAGAAGAATCGTCGTCTCTTTCCCAAGTATCTCGTCTATCCTCGCTAGACAATGGCTTTGGAGCAGACACAGTGAATTGGTCAGCTCCTGAGCTGGGAGGAATAGCAGGTGCCCCGGCTAATGTCTCACGGTCCACATCATCCTGGAGACGACTGTAATTGTCAGGCGAGTAGATGATGGGGGGAGGTTGTTCCGCGGGCGGCAGTGCTGGTGCCGGTGCGGAAACTTGGGGCGATACAGAGCGATCAACGACAACTGGAGGCGTAGATGTGGGTTTCATAGCCTGATCAAAGCTGGGAGAGCGTGACACATCATAGCCGCCGGGAGCTTGTTGTTGTTGGATCTGTGAAGGCAGTTGAGCAATGCCGGCTAGCGACAGGTTGCCGTCGCCTTCACGTCCTTGGAAAGCAGTCACGGGCTGGGGTGATACAACATGGCCGCTGGCAAACGACTCCGAGGCACTACGAGTCGAGACATCTGATACGACAGGCGAAGTAACTCCAATGCGCGGAGGCTGGTTAGCCGGTGGCACAGCGGGAGATTGCTGTTGCTGCTGAGCTTGTGTTCGCAGAGACGGCAGCGCACTCAAGCTCGAGGCCGGGCTGGGAGTGTTGTGGCGAGAGTGTAGCAGGTCGGTGCCAGAGAATGTGCGCAGCGAGGGGTTGATCGGCGGAGGCGGAGGAGGCTCATGATCCGACTCTTCGTCGTACTCGTCAGCTCCCCAGTCGTCGCCGTCATAGCTCTGGACCTTAGCCTCGACCCATTTCCTCGTCTTCTTCCGGCTCACGTTGACCTGATAGGCCGTCGATTGTTGACTTTGCTGACTTTGGGGGGTTCTGAAAATCAAAGTTCTGTCAGTGAACAATGCCGAGCAAGCGTGATGCGAGAAGGGGGCGGCCATACAGAGACGTCTGAGCACGTTTCACTGGGTGACTGTACGAGTCCTCCATTGCGTCTTTGTCACTATGCGAAACCTTCTATTGTCTATCGCAAAGCATGCTTCCACAAAGAAAGCACAGGAGGCTGAGCGATGCTTTCGCCCTTTCCAGGCGGAATGCCGGCACGAAACGAACACCGTGAACAGGCAAACAATGGGACAAGGGAGACGGTCGTTGCTTTGATTTTTGCGATTGCGAAAATTATTACTTGAAGCGGAGAAGTCGTCGGCAACGGCCGAGAAACAGCCCGAAGAGAAGACGCCGGCAATACAAATGATTGTTACAACGAAGACGGACAGGCGCTGCGATCAGAGATCGTCACAGTTGGTGAGGAGGAGGAGAGGAAGGAAGAAGCGCGGATCGTCGTGGCACTTTGAGGCCTATGCTCCTGCTTAGTACAAGGAGAGCAGGTGATAGCAGAGGTACTGCTGCCAAGTACACTGAAATGTTTCTTGCAATAGCAAGAGGCTGGCGCGTCACAGCGCTGTGGCTGGTGAGAGTACACGCTTAAACGAGTGGCATGAACGCGTATCCGGTACTCTATGAAACAAGGGCGGCTGCAGTTTCATGCAAGTAGAGGCTACAAGTGTTCCAGCATCGAGATCCCCCTCGTAAGTCGCTGTGGCTATGCTCTTCCCCCCCAGCTTCCCGCGGCCCACCCACAAGGCCAATACGAATTGAACATTGCCAAAGTATTTCTCCATACTGCCGGGCCCGGGGAGCTACTTTGAGCCGCCGTCCACTGATATTGCACGTGTGGCGCCTCGCAATCCGAAGCAACGCAACGTGGATTCATCAAATCTCCCTGGCGCAACTAGCAGCCGACCGAAACCATCCAACTCTCTCAACCATCATTTGACGGCTTCGCTCCTTATACCTTTTTCGAGTTACGTCTTACTTTGCGCAGAGCCTGTTTTAATTAATTCATCCTTGCCGCCATCAGCTGCTTGGATCGCCCATTTCCGACCCGAACCGAACACCTGGTCCCGAGTCCAAGCTGTCCAGAGTCAAGGTCCGGTTTTAATATTCTACCTACGGTGGACGACTAATCAGCAAGAACTGCAATCTTGCCGAGATTGCTGCATCATCTTTACCCCGGCCAGCCACCTGATCTCGATCCTAAGGCTTACCCTTACCCAAGGGGCCTCGAACGCACACGCGGAAACAGCCCTACCAATCTCGCCCCCCTCAGTTACATTCGCCAGACGCGCTGGTCGCTGTCCGGATCCAATAATCCCCAGAAACCGTCTACGAGGGCAAGATGGCTGTCGCATCTATCCAGGACCGAACCGCCGAGTTCAAGTCGGTCCTCGCCCAGGCCCAGCGTCGCCAGAGTGCGAACAAGGTGGGCTCGCAGAGGAGATCGCTGCTCAACGACGCGCAAAAGTCTGCGGCAAATGGAGATGCCCGGGCGAGAAGATCAGACTTTGCCAGAAAGGCGGCGGAGATTGGAAGAGGCATCTCGGCCACCATGGGCAAGCTGGAGAAGTTGGCGCAACGTGAGTGGCCACACGTTGGAACGAGTGGAAGCACGACATTGAATTTCAAACTGACATGATACGCAGTCGCAAAGCGCCGTACCCTCTTTGATGACCGGCCGGTGGAAATCAACGAGCTTACATTCGTCATCAAGCAAGACTTGTCATCCCTGAACCAACAGATCGGTGCCCTACAGACAATGTCGAAGCAGCAGCACCCCAAGGCCGACCAGGAGGGCGAGCACAACAAAAACGTGGTGTACTTGCTTCAGGGCAAGTTGACTGATGTCTCTGTGAATTTCAAGGACGTGTTGGAAGCCCGGACAAAGAACATCCAGGCGTCGAGGTCACGCACCGAGAACTTTATATCCTCGGTATCTCAGCATGCACAGCCATCACTACAGCAGTCTGCCTCACCCCTGTACGGAACTCCAAACCGAGCATCGCCCGCGCCTGGCAACGACACTCTCTCCTTAAACCCAGGTCCCATGGGCGACCAGCAGATGTTGATGATGGAGGAGGCCACCACTACCAACTCGTATATTCAGCAGAGAGGAGAGGCCATCGAGGCCATTGAGAGAACAATCAACGAGCTGGGAGGAATCTTCAGCCAGCTGGCGACCATGGTTTCCGAGCAGAGCGAAATGATTGAGAGAATCGACGCCAACACGGAAGATGTTGTGGACAATGTGGAAGGGGCGCAGCGCGAACTAATGAAATACTGGTCGCGGGTATCGAGCAACCGATGGCTAATCGCCAAGATGTTTGGAGTTTTGATGATTTTCTTCTTGTAAGTGATGATTCTTCATACGGCGTTTCGATGCGTTTCAAGAAACTAACTGGGACGTGCTTTTAGACTATGGGTTTTGGTCTCAGGGTAAGAGATGCAATTGGATTATAGACGACGCAGTTGCAGCTGTACGGATACCACAGGACGGTTATGTTATTTTTCCCCCGTCTTTTTTTCCTTTTTTCTTCAAAATGTATCATGTGTCTCGATGTATAAGGATCTTCCATGTTTTCCCTGCTTGTCCCGTTTTGTCCTTATTTTTCTTTTCTTAACTCTTCAACGCATCGCAGACTCTGTTGTAGAATTACATAAGAGGCACGGAGCAGCGGCATCAAGGAGGTGTTTGATAATCAACGCGGCGTTGTTGGCATCGGGAACTGCCTTGTCTTTTATGCAAGCTTCAAGCTTCTCCACCTTGGCTGCGTTACCGACTCGAAACTATCTTGTAATAATAAGCACCCCCCTACCTTTCATGTGATAATACCGCATACATACATGTGCATACAAGCGTGCTTTAAGAGCGTGCATGACGTTGGCGTTGATGGGCTCTGCGATCGATCCGTTCCAAACAAGGCGACGGAGAAATGCACCGGTTTTCCGCTTGCCGCCCCTCGGCCGAAGGCAACCCGAAGCTGGTTGAAGACGGACTGATTTCTCCTTGGCTGGATTCTGGGCTGTGGCGCCCCCACGCAGCCAAGCCGGTCTTTGATTGTACCATTTCGACGCTTGGTCGCGGTGCCTTGGCGGATGCCCGCCGAAGACGACCTATTTGGGAAGCGAGATCGGGGTTTTGCTCGCGAAGTTGGGGACAGGGTCTTGATTCATAAATGGAGGGAGCACGTTTGCCCATCATGCGCAGACGCGGGATTCGGTTCTTTGAACAATCATACTCAACCAAGCTTTGAATTTCCTGAAAAGAAGAAGAACTGTCAAAATGGTTACCACTACGTTTAAACTTAACAATGGCCTGGAGATGCCAGCTGTTGGTCTTGGTATGTCTCACCCACCCTCTGAGAGGGGCCAGAGTCAAATGGCGGGGGAGGGGCAGTTTTCGATGGTGAGCAAGGCTAATTGAGATTGCGATTTTTGCAGGAACATGGCAGTCCAAGGCTGGTGAGGTTCAGGCGGCCGTTTCTTATGCGCTCCAAAACGGATACAAGCTCGTCGACGGCGCTTACTGCTATGCCAACGAGGACGAGGTTGGCGAGGGCCTCAAGGAGGCTTTCGCGGCGGGCGTGAAGCGCGAGGATGTGTTTGTTGTGACAAAGGTGTGGGCAACGTACAACACTCGAGTTGAGGAGGGTCTGGACAAGAGCTTGAAGAGCCTGGGGCTGGATTACGTCGACTTGCTGCTGGTGGTGAGTACAAGCATATATGCATGATGGGTATTGTGGACGCTGACGGATATGGATCGCGAATAGCACTGGCCCGTTCTTCTGAACCCCAATGGTAAGAGCACGCACTTTGTCTCGCTCCCAAAAAGACAAACATGTTCTGATTTTATTTCGTATCGCACATAGGCAACCACGACAAGTTCCCTACCCTGCCCAACGGCAAGCGAGATGTCATCTTCGACTATAACCACGTCGATGGCTGGAAGCAAATGGAGGCTGTTCTCAAGACTGGCAAGACCAAGGCCATCGGTGTCAGCAACGTAGGCGTTCTCTCGCCTAATTATATCACAAGTGCCTATCTAATAGACGGAACAGTACAGCAAGAAATACCTCGAGCAGCTCATCCCACACGCCACCGTTGTCCCCGCTGTCAACCAGATTGAGAACCACCCCAGCCTTCCCCAACAAGAGATTGTTGACTTCTGCAGGGAGCATGGAATTCATGTCATGGCCTACAGCCCTCTGGGAAGCACAGGCAGCCCTCTGATGAGCGCCGAGCCAGTCATCAAGATTGCTGAGAAGAAGGGAGTTTCTCCGGGAACCGTCCTGCTGAGCTACCACGGTATGTCCCCTTTCAAATTCTTTACTTTATTTTAACATGCAAGTACTTATTCTCCTCTGTAGTGAGCCGTGGCAGCACAGTGCTGGCAAAGTCGGTTACGCCCACTCGCATCAAGACCAACCTGGAGATTGTCGCCTTGGACGATGAGGATCTGAAGCTGCTGAATGCCTACTCGGACGATTTGGCCAGCAAAGGCGAGCTCAAGCGCTACGTCTATCCCCCGTTCGGAATCGACTTTGGCTTCCCTGACAAGTCATAGAGTAAATAAAATTGGAGGAGTGGAAGAATGGTTACAATTGAGTTAAACTAGCATATATACAGCCCGTGTTATATCTTTACATTTATTCGCCTTTTTGAAATCTCTCGCCCGCCATAAAACTCGTAACATCGTTGATACTCTAACCTGCTAACTATGACATGTCTACCACAACCTTGATCACCAGCTTGCCCTCCCCATCCTTGATCTTGCCCGCCATTTCAAACGCATCCTTAACGTGGTCAAGGCCTTTGAAACGATGCGTGACCAGTGTCTGAAGATCGGGCAAACCCGCTGGTTTGTTCGACAGCATCTCAATGGCCGCGGGATACGTGTTGGCGTATCTGAAGACACCGACGAGATCAACCTCTCGAAGGGCGGCCGCAGACATGGGCAGAGTGAGGATGGGAGTACCCATGCCGATAATCATGACTTTTCCACCAGGTTTCGTAGCCTACTACATGTTAAAAATCAAAGTAAAAACAGCGCCCGATCAATCAAGCAGACTTACGTAGATTGCGCTCTGCAAGCAGGTTTCCACACCCGTGCACTCATACACGGCGCCAACCTCACCAACCTCCTTGTTATTCACCTTGACGGCCTTGGCCTGCTCCGCGACTTGCTGCGCATATGCCAGCTTCTCGTCAATCGTCTGCGGCCTCGCCATGGGGACGACGAAGCCCGCGTCCGCAAAGCCGTTGTTGACGGCGAAGTCGACGCGGTCCTTTTGGATGTCGGCGATGACGACGGCGGTGGCGCCATTGGCTTTGCTCACGGCTGCGGAGAGGAGGCCCACGGCTCCGGCGCCGAAGACGAGGACTGTGGATTCGGAAGTGAGGTTTGCGCGGCGGTGGGCGTGCATGGCGACGGAGAGAGGCTCGATGAGGGCTCCCAGATCAAGGGGGATGGTTTCGGGCAGTCTGTGCGTGTGTTCACGTCTCTTGTCAGCTCATCTTGTCGCATCCCATGCATATGCGCATTCACGCCCAGGATAGGCATTCATAAATATAGATACAGTAAAGGAAGAAGCTGTAGAAACATACTTGTGGACCCATCGCGCAGGGTGGTTGATTCTCTCCTGCAGCGTTCCCTGCATGTGAGGAAACGCCTTGGCCGAGCTTCTAAACTTCATGCCTCTGCAGATGTTGTATCTCCCGCTGTCGCAGTACTCGCAGCTCTCGCACGGCAGGCCAACCTCGAGCGCGACGCGATCGCCCGGCTTGAGGTTCGACACACCTGATCCCACGGCGACGACGGTGCCGCTGGATTCATGGCCCAGCGTCAGCGGCTCGCGCACGAGGATGTCGCCATTGCGGAAGTGGCCAAAGTAGTGCAGGTCGGAGCCGCAGAGGCCGGTGGATTGGACGGCGATTTGGACCTCGTCTGTTGAGGGAGCTTGGAGACTGCGCTCTTCCTGAAATTCGAAGGGGTCAGCTTTTGCATTGGGCTGGCGAGGTTTCCTCTCGCCTTTGATCTGGGGGTAGAGTGTTCTGCATTTAGTGACATACGAGGCGCAGGTCCTTCTCGCCGTGTAAGACGGAAGCTTTGACTGTTTCGACAGACATGGTGGATGTTCAAACAATCTTGGAGAGGCGATGCTTGGGCTCTGATCTAGAGCTGAAGAACAGAAGCGGTATCGATACAGATAGTTGTAGGACGTAGAATCAAGGAGCTTCCATTGTGATTGATGGAATAAACCACAGCCCCCATTTAAACCCTCTACCCAGCTAGCTACATCATCCCAGCACCTCATCTAAAACTACACGAAAACCCATTAGATGCCCAATACCCAATGACATAACAAAAATCACACCAGGCCTCCGAAATCGAAGGCAGTAAGCAAACAATTCTCCGTTCCCAGTAACACGATCCGGCCATTTCCCCAACCCGGTGACAGACTAAACCCCACACCTTAAGCCGGTCCCCAATCGAAACAAGCAAATCGAAGCCGAAATGCTAAAAGGAAGAGAAACGTGGAGAGTGGCTTGGCTACCAGAGTGGTTCCGTACCGGCAACAGTTGCCGGAATAGGTGCGTCGGTTATTGAAGAATCGCGGGGCAGCTTCGAAGTTGCCCCTCCATTTCTCAGCGTCATACGGTTTACCCTGTAATTTGTCAGTTGGGGGTCGGTTATTGCTTTTGTCTTTCGGCATCTGGTTTTCCTCATTTCAGACTACTGATTTCTCTTGTTTACCTTGCTGTACTATTTTTCCGTCGAGTTTCAATTTCAAAAATGGCTTCTATATTCTCTCTCGAGGGCTCGACTGCTCTTATCACTGGTGCCACCAGAGGCATTGGTCAGGCTGTTGCTCTTGGGCTCGCCGAGGCCGGCGCAGACATTATCTTGATCCAGGTAAGGAATATGGGCTGATTACAGTAAATCAATGGCTCAATTGATTTGCGAAGAGAGAAAGAGACGGCCATGGGGATAGGGGAAAGCAGAGAAAGAGGGGTAGAAAGATGGGAAATCTTAAGCTAACAGAGCTGACATAGAGAGACACCACGTCGACGGCGACAAAAGAGGCCATCGAAAAGACTGGCCGCAAGGCATGGGTATTCACAGCTGATCTTGCCGTGCAAGAGCAAGTCGCAAACATCGCCAAGGACGTCACCGCCGCTGGCCACAAGGTTGACATTCTGGTTAACTGCGCCGGCATCCAGAGGAGACACGCTTGCGAGGAGTTTCCCGACAACGACTGGAACGATGTACGTGCTGCGGTCTACCACGGATTGCCCTGTTGAGCAATTGCTAGGATTGTATACCTAGAGTATACAAAGCGAAAAAGAAGAAGACGTTATGCTTACACCACCTTTGAATATTACAGGTTCTGCAAGTCAACCTAAATTCCGTCTTCACCCTCTGCCGCGACTTTGGCCGCGAGATGCTCTCCCTCCCCGTCTCCGCCGCGACCGGACGCCGCGGCAGCATCATCAACTTCGCCTCGCTGCTGACCTTCCAAGGCGGCTTCACCGTGCCCGCCTATGCGGCGTCCAAGGGAGCCGTGGGCCAGGTCACAAAGTCGTTTGCCAACGAGTGGACGGCCAAGGGTATTACGGTTAACGCCATTGCGCCGGGATACATCGAGACGGAGATGAACACGGCGCTTCTAAACAACCCAGAGAGACTGGCGAGCATCAGCGCCAGAATCCCGGCGGGTAGATGGGGGTCACCCGAGGACTTTAAGGGGACGGTGGTGTATCTCGCGAGCAAGGCGAGTGCGTATGTGAGTGGTCATGTCTTGGTGGTGGATGGTGGATGGATGGGACGGTAGAGGATCTTGTACAGAGTATATTTAGATGATATTTGGGATTTATGATAGAGCATTGGTTTCCTTTTCAATAGTGGACGTACATCGTGTGGAAATGTCCAGCTCTCTAATGTGGCAGGCTGCTCCTAAAGCACATGTAATTGATGTGGAATGCAACATATGATCTCTGCTCTGTTGCCCAGGCAAAGTGACGACAGCCAGTGGGCACATGCCAGCGGAAGTATGACTAGTATTACATAGAATCACACCAAAAGTAGACATAAAGCTCTGCTGTTTTGATAAAAAAAAAATATTCTATTAACTGTCCAGCTATTTCATCCCACCATCTCTTGTCATGCTGGTTGACGTCTAATAATCATCTGGACCCTTCTAGATTTTGCCTGCGCCGTAGAAAAAAGAACAAAACCATCAGCAGCTATGCATCAAAAAAAGCCGCAAAGACTTTTTAACTCAGATATGACGCGTCGTAATTATTTGAAAAAAAAAATGACTCTTTTTTTCGTGTGTGTTTCTCGTGTGTTTGTGTGTTCATAGAGGGGAGGAAGAGGAAGAGGAAAGGATTTAGTGTTTACTTTTGCCTCCTTCGTAGTAGTGGGCCATTTGCAGACCTGCTCGTCGGAATCCGCACTTGACGTAGAAGCCCTCGTTGGCGTCGCTGCAGTCGAGGATGCTCTTGTAGCAGCCAATCTTTTCGGCGACGAAATCGAGGGCCTGGATGAGTCGGAGGCCGAGCTTCTTGCCCTGCTGGTCCTTGGAGACGGCAATGTCCTCGATGTGGCCGACCTTGCCTAGGCTGTGGATGCTGGAGAGGAGAATGAAGGGTTAGTTACCGTGTAATTGAGGCCGAGGAGATCAGGGGTATTGGTGTTGAGGACAATGGCAACTTACAACTTGTGCTCGACTATCAAGGCGCCAGTGGCCACGACAGAGTTCTTCTCGCGGTTGGTGTCTTCAATAACGATAATGTAGTAATCCTCGCGAGCCACCATGTTGTCGTACTGCTTCTGGAATTTCTCCTCGCTGATGTCGCCGACCGTGGTCAGCACTCGGAGGCAATCGAGGAAGCCCGAGTTGAAGTCGGTGCGGCGAAGGGCTCGCAATTGGTAGCCCTGGGGCAATGAGGCAGAGACATCTGGAGAGATGAGGGACTCGGAGAAGAGGCCATCCTGAGGGGTGGTGACAGTAATGGGGGGAATCATGGCGGGAGACATGTTTGAATATGAAGGGTCGATCGAGGCTTCGGAGAAGAGGAGAAAAAGGAGAGTTGCTTTAGAGGCGAAGCTTCGTCGATCGGCGAGAGTAGAGTTGGTGTAGCTTTGTGCTAGCGTCGGACAAGGAGAGGCGGGCGGCTTGGATTGAATTCAATCAATCAATCAATCAATCAAATCGGAGGCGTCGTGGCGTCGTGTACTCGTAGATAAGCGGGAGCTGGAGCAAAGACGCGAGAAACGAATGAAGGGCGGAAGAAGCGACGGAATGGTACGACGGAGAGACGCAGGGAGAAGAAGTTGGAGATACGGAGTAGAGAGAGTCGAGTTGGACGACGACGATGCGCTTGGAATTCAGACAATGTTAAATAAACCGCAGGCCAAAAGCGAAAAGCCAAAAGCAGTCCGCTAGAAACTCCGTGCAGGGCGAGGCTGACACTGACGCCGCATTCGGGGGGTGTGCGAATAAATCAAAATGACATACTCGTACTGAGGATATCCTGCTGGCCCTGTGGCTGATGCATTCGATTGTATGAGGATCTTATGCACCCTTTTTTTGGGAGGTGGGGACGTTCAGGGTATGACCACATGGTGCTTGGGTTAGCAGTGAGAAGTGGACGGTACATGTGCCTTCCAGGGGGCGTTGGTGCCCCTGAGCCGAGCTGAGAGCACTGTGCGACGGGGAGCTTGGGGGACTCGACAACGCTGCGGTAGTGGGTTCTAGTGCAGGTTGGCCCCTGAAGAAGTACCTGCTGTGCTGATAAGGGGGTGCACCTCTCTTTTCCAGATGTTTGGATGCCCTCTTGTATTCAATGTTGTCTTTTCCTCTTTGAAAACCCCCACGTAGGTATGCACCAGCTGCCATAATACAAGTCTCATCATCATCACCATAAGAATCAATCTTATAGGATCCAAAAGGTCATCCGTGCTACGGAGCATAATCGTGTATGGACACAGTGGGATTTCTCTCGCGCTGCTGCGCCTCCGCCTCAGCAGCAAGGTCCCGCAGCCACTAGAAGCGGGCGATTGGGGCATGCTTCAGGGCATTGGCTGGGGCCGGGCCAGAGCTACACAAGATGGGTGGCGCCTCGTGTTTATTCTTGGAAACGCTGCCAAATGAATCTTGCATGGCGCGGGTCTTGGATTGTTTCGGGGCGTGCGAAGTGGTGCTCGTACCTGGCAATGCTTTTGCTAGTGCAGAGATACATCCATGGATACAAATTCCCGGGAGGCGTGCCGGAGAGGGAGCCGGCCGAGATATCGGGGTTGCTGCAGGTCTTGACGACCAACACACATCTATTCTAGAAGAGGCAATAAATTCGATATTCGCATCTCATGTGTGTTGATAGTGTGAGGATGGATTGATTAAATGGAGGCAGTAATAACGGCAAGTAATGCCTCACGTGACGCATACATTGGGTCGGTCTTATGTCCTGACTGCTGTCACGTCACATGCAGAGAAATTCAAAATGACAAGCTTCGTCTATGGCACAAACTCAATTTCTATAGTCGTAGACTTATCTACCTGTGGTATTTGCATTTTATCTTTCTAATTCACTCAGCCCTACCAATCAAATGGGCTCAAGGTATCGTTATAGTAATCGTCTCCCTCATCCTTCCACTCGTCGTCATCGTCTTCTCTCACGCTCTTCTCCCTAGTTTCTTCCCTCTGCGCCATCTCCTCTTCCTCAAAGAGCACTTTGACTTCTGGGAATTGAACCATCAGGCCTCGGTATGCCTTTATTCTCTGATCCGGCATACCGCCATTGCGGCCCTTCATCACGGCGGCAGCGAGGCCGCCTGCCATCAGCGGCAACACAAATGGTGCTGCCAATCCTCCAGTCGCTGCCGCGATCAGAAAAGGATCTATGTTTGGAGCGCCTCGTCGTGGGCCTTCAACTTGCTCCGCTCTAAGCTTGCAAAGTGCTCGATAAAGCTGGACACATCTCGCGCCTGCAGTTGGACCCAGCACCAAGAGGGCGAGGATGACAGCAAAGTCAACATCGTCCCAGTGCATCTTTGCGTACTTCCAGTCCTGGTTTAGGAGCCGATGGCCTTTCAAATACATTAGAATCGTCGTTCGTCCCTATGTTCAAAGGCACACTTACACTTGTGAGACTTTTTCAACGCGTCGCATTGCCCGTCTCCGAGCCCAATCACCTCAATGGCGCTGATTCGTCCAACCTCGGCCTTGTCCATCGCATTGCGAGGGTATCCACGTCCCTGGACTGAAATGTTCCAGTACGTGCCGGTTGTTAATTTGTTCCTCAGTGTTAGACCTCTGTCATCCCAAATCGCCTTCTCGATCAGGCAGAACGACAAACGAGAATCGATGTCCCAAGCGCTGAGCACTGAAGGAAGATCGGTCGCATCCTTGCTTTCCCGCGGAATGAACCTATCTGGAGCATCTCGCATCATGAAAGGAGATGCAAAAGGAGGAGGAGCCCTGGGGCTACGGGGAGTCTTGATCAAGATGCCGTAGAATTGGGTGAATTCTGGAGCTGGTTTCTCAGCGCAGGCAGATGATGAACTCTGGCTTGCTGATACTGGCAAGAGAAAAGGAAATGGTTAACGACCGGGTTCTGTATCTGGTGGATGGGCGGATGAATGGTTTTCACAAACATTGAGATATGAGCAAATGAAGGGCTTGGTGAATCCATTCTCCTATGACAGGCCCGATTACTTCCCAGAGCCGCACTGCCTCGCTCTTGATCCAAGACGCTGTGTCGACAAGGTGCATGAGCACATAATCCGGGAATGTTGTGGCCTGGTTCTGCGGGTGTCGGGCTCCCCTGCGAGAAGGCCCTCTGGCGTTACTGCTGGTGTTGTTATCATCTGCTCCGATGATTCTTTTGAACCAAGCCGGGACTCCATCCCATGCATCTAACGCCCCATGCTTCAGATCAAACACCAGCGAAGTCAGCCAGGCCAACACAGGGACCAGGCAAAGGTTTCGAAAAATAATGTACCGCTCCGGCCACAGTATAAAGATGAGCGTCACAACCGATACAGTGGTGACGGCCTGACGCTTTGCGGCTGCCCTATTCTCAGCGAGTGCGTTCGCATTGGATACCGGCATGTTTCCAGAATGACGGGCCGCCTAGTGAGGTTGTCAGCATATGTACAAAATGGCGGATCAGCGATCATGCATGAGTCGGTGTCTCACAATATTTTGCAGCACCAAACTTGTTGCCCTGGTGTATGAACCAAGGACAAAGGAGGAGGAAAAGAATGTCGAGAGATTGAAATTTAAACAGAATAAAAAAGAGTGTCTGCAGCTCCTCGGCGACGTCTATGAAATGTAGACGAAGCTGCGTCGAGTCACCTTTGGGTCGCGGGGTTTGCCCACACCGTCAGTTCCCAAGAGGCGATTCTACAGGTTGATGCCTTTTCTTCTCAAGTCGCCAAACGCCGCAGGTCTGGCATCAGTTGGGCTGCGCTTTGCAGCAAATATTCAATCAATCAGTCAAACTCCTCAGCCGAATTCTGGGGATGGTCGTTTGCACAGGCGAATGAATTGCTGTCGCTTCTCTATCTTATGCCCTCTATTATACTCCCTACATGCAGCCGGTCAAGCATCTCATACCTGAGCGGTGGGCCGCATGCACTCCATGCTTGTAAGCCGGTTCCAAAATCAACCAACCAGAGCTGCCAGGTTTCCGCCTCACCCTGCATCAACACGTGTAACGAAGCTGTAGGTGAACGGAGCTGGCTCAAACGCCTCCACTCCGTCTGTTGCCAGCGGATGGTTTTGCTACAGGGGATGTATGGAGAACAAGGTACAGGTATGACTCTAAACTCTGGCGACGCATGACCCCAGCCCACAAACCACCCATTCACCAACTTACAACAGATCCATCAGTCTATTCGCGATGTCGTTCACATTTGTGCCAAAATATTCAGGAATAGTCTAGAACGCGACTTAATCAGCAACTGGTCAAATTTGGACCCTTTACATCACATGGTACGGGGAGCTTACCTGGAGAATCAGCGTGCCATCCTCGATGACGCACTCGTTGTAGGTAGAGTGCTTCAGTTCGCCCTTATCGACAATGCGGAATACAACCGTCGCCTTGTCAACGCCCTCATTGAACGCTTCGTACAGCATGTCATCCTCGCCGAATTTCTGGTACTCGAGGTAGTTTATCAGGCCCTCATAGTACATTTTGAGATACATGCCCAGGTTTCGCTCCCAAACATCCGGAGCGTCTTTGGCGGCGCTGAGCTTGTCAAAGACCTGCTCGAACTGCGGCACTACTGCGATGTCCTTCTTGAGAATCTTGCTGAGCTTTGACTTGATTGATTCTACCTCGGTGTCCCAATCACTTCGAATGGCTGCGCGGGCAACAAAGCTCATCGGTCGATGGCCAGTCACGGCTGCGCTAGGAGCCTCGTTGAGAGCGCCCTCCAGATTCTCGAGAGAGCAAGCATAGTCGGTATTGGTGCCTAAATATCCTTCGCGAAAGAGAATGACCAGCTGCCCAGCAGGAGAGATTTTGCAGCCGCAGTAGGAAAACTTTTTGTCCTCGTCCAGGTCCATTGAGATGGTTCGCGCCGAGGCAATCGTGTTAAGCTCAGTTTTACCTTCTTCTCCATGCTTGCCGATGTAGCGATCCAGCTGATACAAAACGCCGTCAACGTATCTAACCAAATTAGCTCACTTTCTGAAAAGAAAAAGAGGCGATGCCAACATACGAGGCAATCATTGAGCCAGGCGATTCTTTCGCATAGCCATCCTGGGCATATGCGTAGACTTGGCGGAGATTGATATCGATCGTCCACGGCGCGCCAAGCAGCCCAGAGAGCCTCTGTTCATACTCATCTTTCTTGTTCTCCCATTCATCGCGAACTAAACGTGGGCGGTCAAATTTTTTATCAACCACATAAAACAAAATGAATAAAAAAAAAGAATAGTGAACCCAGAACCCAATTTAGGTTTCGAGGGCTGTGATGCTGAGGGGAGAGCTACTGACTGTTTTTGCGAACTGTAAGCGAGAACTTTTCGACGGGAGGGAGACGGCTCATATTGTCTACTTTGAGAGGAATATTCAAACAACAAAGAATTAATTTCTTTTCTTGTAAAGACAGCGGCTACAAAAAAGATTGGAATGTTGAACAAAGAAGATATTCTTCTTCAACAGGGTCTTTATACTGCGGCGAGATACCCAAAGAACGCCCCCTTTCACCTCGTCAATTCCGCCTGCCTGTCCGCCTGCCGCCGGCCATTAGTCTTTCGACAGCGTAAAATTCAGGCTAAACATTCAGCTAAAGGAACGCCTCTTGGCCTGAGCGCAATAAAGCCCCAGGCCAAGGCAAATAGAGACGAGCCCAGCGCGTCATTAGCGCCCTACGGCTGAAAGACGGAGATGGTCTTGTCTGGGCGGGACATGGATGTGGTTGATGTTGATGTGGGAAACAGGACTGTGGTGAATAAGGGCTCAACTCCAGATGAGCATATCATCAGAACATTCATCCTGTCCTCTAACCTTCCTCTTCTACTCTTTTTCTCTACATCGCCATGAGGTCCAAGTCATGGGGATGGCCGTGCGAAGCCTACGGAATGATGTCAACAGCATGCCAGATACTTGACCACGTTTCGCCAGTCTGTCTGATTGATAAGCTGAAAGACATGTTGAGCCATAGCCAGGATTGAGACAAAGAAAAGGTAAGAAGACGCCAACAAGGCCAACAAAGAAATTGAAGATGCCAATCAAATCAACATACCGTGTATGACTGGTCAACGGATCGACGCACCATCTGAATCTTGATCAAAGGCATAGTATACAAAGGCGTCCATGTGATAAATACCTGACTGACCCTTTGTCCTAGGCACAGGTACTGGTGTGTATAAAATAAGGCATGGATCAGGAGCACGTCGATGAGATTTCCCCAAGGCTGTTGGAAGATATTTGAGCTGTTTGTAAGGCTTTCGGAGCCTTCTTATGGTCACACTGCGATGGCCAACCATGTCCAAGTAGCTAGCATCCATGTGGATGAAACAACAAAGTGAGTCAAAGCATCCAGAGACATGCGGCTCTTCAAATATTGTCAGCATTTCTCAACACGTCCCTCAAGCTAACAACCATATGCCAAAGCTTCCCAATATTTGACTTTTCCAGACTTCACGTTACCAATCATTACTGGCTTGAGCACCCCCGCGTCAGAAGACTCATGGGAGATGTCGAAGGTGTCACTAATCGCCCCATGCTATGCTCGCGTGACTGGGAGATATACTATCCCCAGCTTGACAAGCTATACGGTGATGCGCAGCATACGATTCATGCCGTTACAGAGGCTATTGTCGCTTGGTGCGAAGCCATTATAGGTCTCGTAACAGACGAATCAAACTGGAAATGGAAGAATGAATTGTTTCGCAATGTGGATAGGAGAAACGAAAGAATCCGACTCAAGATCAAGGTGAGTCGCTCTGCTTTGCAAGAACAAGACAGGAAAAAAGAACAGATAAAAGAGGCGGGAGACGAAATGGCTCAGTGCAAACTGTCCAACTAACCCAGACGGCTGCACAGATATATCAAGCAGAGTCGCCTTCTGTCGTATGGTCGGAGGAAGACCTAGGTTTCGTCCTGTTTATCCCGGAAGCCAATGTAATGGACTTGTCCGGCCTGGTTCGTCATTTCAAGGACCAACTGCTCTCCGCTTTTGACAGCGACGAACTCTACCACATTCCTAAAGCGCAATACATCAATGGCCCAAGCGAGCTTCTCCTCAGACCTCCATACTATCTCACCATTCAAGCTAGCCCGACCTACATCACCGTCCAAAGCAGTCACTCTCCTAGCCTCAAATTTCTCGCCGAATACCTCCGCGAGCATGAATCCAAGGAGGAAGTAAGCCTCTTCCCTTCTCCATTCCGAATTCCTCCTATTCAGCTCCCCACACTCTACAAACTCGTCCGCTGACACGTCCCTTTTGTAATAGGCCCCCGTCATCGACATCAAGCTTCACCAAAACCTATTCACCCCCAAAGAAAGCGCCATCTACGACAACCTCACCCTCAACGCCGATCCTCTGCCTGGTGGCCCTGTCAACCGCATCTCTCCCTTGATGCTGGTCCGTCTGGTCGAGAATGAGCTGGGATATGAAATGGACAACCGTAACCAAAACAGCAGGTACTTTTGCCGGAGAGAACCTTTGGAAGAGCCCCCGGAAGAACCTCCGAAAGCAGTCTAAATTTTTTTTTCTATTCACGTACGAGGAGGTAGATATTGAGGATGTACTGTTACTGTCGGTAAACTATCGGGCTGTGTTTCAATACGATAATCTGATTTTCCTTGCTGATTGTGAAACATTCATCATTGTCAAACTGCGACGTCCGTGCATGAATCACAAGCGTAATTGGTTTAGTGGTAAAATTCTCCGTTGCCATCCGAGCAACGTCGGGGAGCCCTGGGTTCGATTCCCAGATTACGCATCAGATTTTCTTTTTGCTCTTCTTTTCTATGCAGAATCATGATAATTCATTCTTGTCAGTATTTTTTTTGCCCTTTAACTTAATCACTCTTGCCTGCAAGTATGCTATTTGTGTCTTGTCTCAATTGTTTAAATCCTCTTGAATTTCTACCTTCTATGTAGAATGTAACGCAAATCTGCTCTACTTCGTGTGAAGCCTGCTAAAAGCAAATAGAGACGATATCAAGCTCCAAAATGGGCGATGGAAATAATCCTCCTATGCACGCAGTCTTTTTGACTCGCAGCTGTAGCAATCGCAAATGTCCGCCCTCAAAGGCTTTTGTTGCCGGAATGAATAAAACGCCAAGTGCCGACCCCTTTCCATTTCGCACGTCAAGTAATAGTAGCAAGCAAGATTAGAAATTACCGTGGCGGATGGGTATGGGCGTCGGAATGCATCGATATTGGTACCAAAAAAGAAATTCGACCGAGGCTGACTCAATGCAGAGCAGCGTTCAGAGGGGTACTCTAAACAGTGGTCTCTTTGGCAAGGGGCTCCTCGCCTTTGTTGAGAAGTTGGGTGTTGCGAGGCTCAACATTCTCCTTGGCGGCATCATCCTTACCACCCTCGGCAGGTTGAACATCCTTCACATCCTTGACATCTTTGACATCTTGATTGAGGTCTTTGACATCGTTGGCCGCTTTGACCTCTTTGCCAGCGGCATCGGTGGAAGGTGGCGCAGTTCCATCTGCCTCCATCATGGCAGCCAGGCGCGCAGCTCGGCCTTCCTTCTTGCGCGGAACAGGGGCTAAACGACGGGAATCTGTTAGCAAAGCTGTTGCAGGTGTGATGATGTAGCAATCAACAAAGGGGGGAAACACTTACCTCTGCCGTTCTCCTGGACGTAGAAGCGACGAAGAAGCGCCACGGCCTCGTCACGGCCCCAGCCACCCTCAATCTCAAATCCAGGTTCAATGTTGCCGCCATCGCCACCTCCAGGAGGGAACGAAGTGCCAAGGCTGCCGCCTCCATCAGGATACTGGATAGGCTTGGGCTGAGGATGAGCGCTGACCGTCTGGCCGTCCTTGGAAACGGGGACGGAATTGGCGTGGATGCTGAAGACTCCACCGGTGCCTCCAAACTTGTCGTTGACGGCGCCAAAGTAGACCTTCTTGATGCCAACCTGGCGAAGGAGTGAGGCACACATGACGCAAGGCTCGACAGTGACATAGAGGGTGCTCTCGTGGAGAATGCAGCCATCCACGCGCTCCTCAGGGTAGTCCTTTTGACCGTAGGGATACAGGTGGCCCTTGCGGCCATCTTCGTTGCCTTCGTCGGGAGATCGCCACTCCACGGAAGAGATGTCAGACTGTCCGTCTCCCTTGACGACCTTCTTGGGTGGAACGTTGGGCTTGAGAGAGGTGGTCTTGGGTTGACCTGGCTTGGCAACCGACATCAGGGCAGCGATGGCCATGAACTCTGCGTGACGAGTTCCATTGCGAGTGACGTTTGTCGCGTTCATGCCACGAGCAATGACCTTGCCGTCGTGGACAATGACGCAGCCGACGGGAGTCTCGTTGGTGACGAGGGCAAGTTTGGCCTAAAACCAAGCAAACGGTCACTGGTCAGTAAACGTTGCCAAGACGACGAGGCTGCGACGGAGACGAGAGATGGGAGATGGGGAAAGAAGAGGAAAGAAGAGGAAAAGAAAGGACAACTCACCATGTCCAAGGCCTCGCCGATGAACTTGAGGTGCACAGCGCGTTCAGCGAGCACCGCTGGGTCGGTCAAGGCGGCGATGGTGGCATCGTCGTCTCCTGGAGTCGAGAGCGGCTTGGTCACAGCGACGACGGGCTCGTCAATGCGCGCCACGTTGAGCTTGCTTATCTGCTCAGTCAAGGCGTCGACTTTGGCATCAGAGAGCTGCTGTGGCTGCTCGGTCTCCTTGGCCTTGGCGTCAGGGAGCTGCTGTGGCTCCTCGATCTCCTGGGCGTTGGCTGGGGCTGCAACGGCCTGCTGCATGCCGCTGACGGTGGGCACAAACATGTTGAGGCTCATGGTGGACGAGTCGTTGTAAAAGTCCTGGTCGTACTCACTGTCGTCAATGTAGGGCTCCGAGTCTTCGTCCTCTGGTTCCTCTGGTTCCTCTGGTTCCTCTGGCTGCGGTTCTTTGTTGTCCTCGTCGTCGTCAGTTTCGGAGACGAGCGAAGTGTCAGCAGGAGTGTTGGGAGGGGCCGGAGGAACAGCTTGTCCGTCGTCCTCTTCGTCAGAGCTGTCGCCAAGTGGCCAGCCGCGACGGAACCACCTGCGCATTGCCCGTCTGGCAGTTGCCAGGCCCAGTAACCGGATACCAAGAGCGGCCATAGTGGGTTTCAGGTAGTGCTAGTGAATTATGCCTAGCAGCCTCTTCTTGGGGTCCCTTGAGGGTAAATTTTGCCTGGATGCAGATTTAAAAGTTGTTATTTTCTCTGAATGAGAGAAAATAGGTGAGAATGGGTAGAAGAATCGGTGTGGTTGGTTTGCCTTAAGGGGGGCTCGACTCCTGCTCCTTCCTCACAGCCCGTGCCCCTCACGGCGTACCTGCTTTGCCTGTTGGGTCAAGGAAAGAGCTGCTGTCGCCTATTTGGCTGACGACAAGATGACGGCAGGAGTATGCCGTAAATTGTAGAGAGAAAGAGGGCACAAACGCAGATATTGCATCTATCTTCCTCGGTTGTATTTAGGAGGGCAGAAGAGCCTATTGAGTAGAAGAGGCTTGCTCTGCAGTCCTATCGTACAGGAAAGAAAGGCCTTCTAGGAGTGTCAGATAGTGCTTCTTCCTCGAAAATAGAAAAGTCATCGCCAGGAAGAAGAAGAATAGAAATCTTTTCGTACCTTGTTGCACCTTCGAAGCAGTCAAGAGTATGCCCGGTCTTCAAGTCCTCCGCGGTTTAGCCTTGCAGAAGGAAGCGTAAAGAGTAAGAAAGTGAGAGAGAAGGCCTCTTCTGGCGGGCCTCGGAACGCAGTAAAATGCCCCTGCAAATTCGAAATGCGAGGGCGGTAGTTGGTGTAGAAAATAGAAAAGTTCAAGGAAGAAGATGGTTCATCAGAAAAGAAAGTCGCGGGCGGCTTTGTTCCTGACTTCCCACCTTGCTTCGCGGTGAGATGCAAAGTTTGGCCAAGGCCTTTATATAGCGTTTGAAATTCTGTCACACCTTTTTCACTGACAAGCGCCTGTAGCAACCGAATGGGATGACTAAGCATGCTATCTCACCGACCACTCCACCACCACCCAAAAAATAGCACCCCTTCGCAGCACAAATCGTATGCAGCAGTGAATCACACATATTGGCAGCCTCATTATCCCAAGTTTCCAGCAGCGCATAGATGCTACCTAGAAAATTAAAATCAAACAATCACTGCAGGTAGGAATATAACGAAAATACCTATTCTAAGACACAAAATGAGAGAAGAAAAAAGTAATAAAAAATTCCAGGCTTCTTTTGGCCCAGTATATATCATTTTTAAGACTCTGCCAAATGGCTAGTCCTGATGCCACGCTATACTCTATGATACACCAAATGGGCGAATGGAAAACCAAATCCCGCCCAGCATTATACCAAATCCTAATACAATCCACGCAAAAGGGTATCGTTAGCCAATTGGCTTGTAGAAAAAACACGTGGTCTAGATGCCCAAATGTCTCTGAGCATCCTTTGCATGTGCAAGAATACTTCTAGCCCATCATGGGAGCTACCAAGGCCGTGCCGATGGCTCCATTGAGAAAAGAAGAGAAATGGGGAGCGAGATGACAAGAAGTCTTGTCTCGCGATACCAAAGGGTGGTATTTCCGTAGGGAAGGGCCTGCCCAAGGGTAGACACTGTCCTTGGATCTTGAACTTGACATTGTCGATGGTGCCGACGCAAAGGTTGCCTTGAATCCACTGGGAGTCTCGAGACGTTGAAGGACGGATCTCATCGCGAGAATGAGGGAAGCGAAAGAGAAAACGGCAGAAAGCCCCATCATGCCAGCGAACGTGGCGCCAACAAGAGTAGCGACCAACATCGCAGCAGCGGCTTGTGTAGTTTGGACTTGGCGGAGCGATACTTCGCTTGGCTTGCTCGTAACCAAAGCGGCACGTTCATCAGCAGCGCGAACATCCTCCTTGGGAGATATCGCTTGCAGGAGGCGGGGCGACAATGGTTGAATTCCATTGTCGCTCCGAGACGCCGACTGCTGGTGTACATTAATTTCGCCGCTTGGTTGCTGAGCAGGCAGGCCGCTGCGATTCCTGAGAATCTCAGGAGTCCTAACATCCGTAATATGAGGCCAAGCAAGGGCAGTAGTAGAGGCAGGAACCGTAGTATCCTCGCCGGCAGTTGCGTGTGCGGTTGCTAGTAGAGCATTGGATTCACCAAATGATGCACGTAATCCACCAGGCGAAACGCCAGGGGAAGCACCAGGAATCACGCTGCGGTTGGCGGCAGGTTCGGTTTGGACCTTGAAAAGAGTTAGCTGGACCGAACGGTATTTTGTGGGCTCAGTGGCATCGCATACCCTCGCGGGTGACTCTTCCGAGCCCGTCGAGAACCGGAATGGACGGTTCGTGGCGGTCGCCAGCGAAGAGGGCGCGGATGCGGATGCGGACGCGACAGATCGTTCGCTCGTGAGTTCCTGCTTGCCAATGTTAGTCGTCAAGAGAGCGGCGGTAGATGTGGTTGCGGCATGACATACGGTTCGGAAGTCGTCGGCTTGGCCGGGTGATAACCAAGATGAATGACGAGCTGGTGTTTCCTTTTTTCCAAAGTTAGTCACCGTATTGCAACATAGTTTATGGGTTGTCCAGTAAAGACGTACACTTGCGATCCTACGCTCGGTTGGCGATGTGTCGTACAATGATTCTTCTTGTATGTCCTTTTTTGAAGTTAGTCGCAATTGCGCAAGCTAGCTGAAGAGAGGGAGAGAGAAAACGTACGCCGCGGAACTGCAGTGCGGTGCTTGCGGGTTGGCTTGTGGTAACATCAACTGATGTGCCCTTTTTTCGAAAGTTAGTCGCGGCTCTGCAATTTGGCTGATGGGCGTGGACACGTACACTTCCGTGGATCGCAATTGATACAATCTCAGATCCAGATACATTTGAACGTCCAGGAGGTGCCTTCCGAGGAAGTCAGTAATTGTTCATCCAGCTAAAAACGGAATAAAGGGTAAGAATCAGGAGACATACGCTATTCGCAATCACTTCCATGCCACTTCCAGACTCCATCGTAACGAGGAGAGAACCACCCGGTGGATGGGCTATACGAACACCGCCTATCCAGCCGGTGGGAGCTATCGCACTGACACCGTCGCGTGAATCCTGATCAGGGTTTGCTACTGCGTTGTGACCCGGATCATACCACGGCAGGCTTGTGTTGGCAGCCGCAACAAGGCCGCCAGTCTCCAAGGGAGATACTGGCTCGCTCGTGCCGCTCCAATCAGTTGCAAGCGTATGGCCATCTGGATCGAAGCTGTCGAAGAAGGCAGTTTCAGATCCTGAAGCCGACGGCTGACTTGGGCTGAGCATCCGCGTGGACGAAATCGGAACCATGCGGTCATCTTCGGAAAAGGTGGACGAAGGCGAAAATAGGTTAAAGTCGGTGTAGCTGCTGGCAGAGCCGGCGTAGTTGTCTTGCATAAACGGAAGTTGTGGTGAGGTGGATTGTGACGACATTCCCTCACCCTCCTCAAGGCCAGAAATGGCCAGCAGATCTTGCTGCGACGCAGGCGTAAGCGCCTTAGAAGGCGAGGCAGAAGAAGAGGAGGCAGAGGATTGGGAGGAGGAGAAGTAGCCCTGGGGGTCGAGGAAGAAGTCGTAGTTGTCCTCCACTTCGGCGGGAGGATACTGGATGAATTCTTCCCATGACTCGGTGATCTGGTCAGTGGACTCGAAGCTGTCCAAGCCAGCAAATGTAAAGGTAGGATCAATCCCAAGAAGTGACACTGGTCTGCCCGGATTATCGTCTAATTTAGAAATTGAAACACCAGCAGCCACCGGTTTCTGAGGTGCTGGTGTCGCCGCTGCCGGTGGTGATGTGCGTGCCTTCTTTGCTGCCTTTGTTGCAGATTGAGGCTGGGTTTGAGAGGCTGAACGCTTCTTGTGGTCGGGGTCGCAGCGAATCTTCTTCCGTCTACAGCTATCGCAGGCCTTGATGATGCGCATGAGATGTGCGTGATCACGTTGCTCCTTTGTCTTGGAACCTCGAGAGGCAGAATCTGTGACATCCTCACCATCCTTGGTCATGATCTTCATACCAGGCAGGTTTGAAAGATCGATCGCAGAATAGCGAGCGACCATGTTGTTAGACTTGGAGGTTCTGCGGCTCTTGGAAATAGAGGAGCGAGAAGACACTGAGGGAGAGGCAGATGCTTGACTCCAATCCAGTGTCGAGTTGACTGGAGATGTGTTGAAAGAAGAGGTGGCGATTGAGTTGACTGGAGAGGCGGCGACAGGGCTAGTTGAGTAGTAGACGGGATAAAACTTGAACGTCTGACCAGTGAGCTGCGAATGCTCCAAGAAGTCGAGCGAGATTGTTGCTCGCTTCTCCTTGAGAGCAGCGGGGCCGGGAATGTAGGCGTTCATCATGTCATCAAGCTCTTGTGAGCCAAGAGCAGGGAAGAACTGAAGCTGAGCGCCAAGCTGAGGCTGGTAGACTGAGAAGCCCTGGGGGAGAGGGGCGTTGGAAGAGTACTGAGAAGCCATTGCTGAGGTGGATTGAGGTTGTTTTGGTGAAGTCGAGAAGAAAGGAGTCATAAAAGAACTCAAGGAGGACGTCGTAGCGAAGATGGGATATTCGACGTTGTTTGGCCCATGGGAGTGTAAGCCCACGATACACTTGGAAAGGCCCCGTTGCGGGCGGCGCCTTTGGTTTTATCAGAGTACTTACACAATTGAACAGCCAGAGAGGATGAGATTTGATTAATTCGAGAGTATTCTCTCTTTGATTTTAATTCTGATTCTGAGGGTTGAACGAATGAGGAGATGGTTTGGTAAGAGGGTATTCGCAGCTGCGCCAAGTTTGCGAGCGGAGAGGGGAGGGTCCTGGCGCGCTGGAGTCGAAAAGACTAAACAAAAACCAAATGGGGCTTAAGCTATGAAGCTTGAAAGCTGATTATCCAACTGTAGGGTATCAGATCACTCAATGGTGATGGGAATCTGGGATGTGAAAGAATAGAGGAAAGATGAAAAACGAAAAAACGAGTTCCTCAGGCGTCGCCGGTCGGGAGTCATGACGGTATTTCACTGTCCGGCCTGGCGTTGCGAAAAAGCGGCTTTGGGGAAGGAGGCCCTTGCGGGATAGTCGCAATCCTGACTCTTTCGGCGTGCTGGAAAAGGACTAGCGTAAGGCGCCCTTGGGGGCTCAGCTGGCCAATAGGGCTGTGCTGTGGGATCCAGCGCCCCGCTTATCTCGCTGCTGATTGGTTCAAATCCCCCACCTGATGCGCCGCCCTGGGTGGGTCCTCGGCGAGAGCTTAGCTTCACTGATTGGCCAATGGCGCCGCTTGGAGTCGGAGCCACATGCAAGTGACACAATCCTGGGCTTGTAAAAGTTCCCTTTTCTGGCCGTGGGATGGCTTCACTCTGAGCTTATCGGGGGCCGCCGGCCAGGTACAGACACGGGTGGTGGCGCGGGTACAGACTGAGGCTCGGGTACGGGCCAGATGGCGGTTCCAGCGGTGGCCTGTGGCGGTACTGGAGACTGAGTCTGTACCTGGGCTCGACATGGGTTGATACCTCGATGGTTGATCTGACTCCTCCAAGCCTCCCACTCAGCAGGCGAATATACCCCAGACTCGTCAACCTTCTGTTAGTGCCAGTACTCGTGCTGTATCGTATCTAGATCTATAACCCTTCAGTAACGTACATGGGACTAGTAGTAGTAGGATGAACAAGCACTCTGTAGATTCACGGCCCAACGATGAAGCGAAAGGCTTACATTACACGTCAAGCGAGTAGATAAAGTTGATGCACTTCCCCCATCTAGATCCTACCTGAGTTCTTTTGGGTTTTCTCTTTGGAAGTTTTGGGCCACCAAAACGTGCTTCGTATGAGTCTTTCAGAGTGGACACGTGCCGACGCCTTCAAGCCTTTATACCAAGTCGGGCACTGACGCCGCTCACTTTCTATCTCGGTCTCGGTCTCATCCAAGTTGTATGGACATACATGCTGTGCGCTAACAAATGCTGACGCTGCCTTCTCATTACGTTCAAGGTTGCACTACCCTACAGCAATTTGGAGATGTTTAAAAGTCAAGCCGACTTCACAATTTAGGGTGCCGGAATTATCCAATTTGGGTCGATTACCCTAGCTCTTGTCGCCTTGTCATCATCGGCTCGATTCCCCCGTCAATCATGACCCAACAATTGCCTCCCTGACCGCGTCGTCTTGTCTATCCTGTACTGTACGAGCCGAACGTATTACGATCGAACCCACTCACTCAAGCCGACGTCAGCAATAGTGACACTGATGTGTAACGTTGAGTTTCGAGCCCAACTAAACACGACCTGTCCGTTACCTTATTCATGCCTCCACCGATACGTCGAATCGAAATCGAACCACGTCGAGAGAAAGAAATTGAACGGCCGAGATTAAGGGGAGGTAGATAAGATCATCTGAGCAACAGCATGACTGTTACGACCAAACAGAACCGCTGCAAAGATCATTACAAGCAGACGCGCCCCATCCAGCTGGGACGGTCAGCCATCGTCTACGGCCCCTCGAAATTGGCTTGGCACGCCGGCGAATTCAAGGCGGCCGGCGGGTTCGAGTTTTCCGGCGAGCTCGAGAAGGCTTAGGCCAACCCCACTGGTGATCCTGGGCTGATCCTGACATGTCGTAGCGCAATCTGGACCACTCCGAAGCCGACTCCGAATCCCCGTATCTAAACGAGACGCGGACGAGAAGCAGGAAAAATCAAAGAAAGCCAATTGAGCGCTCCACAAGGCGCTTGGCCGGAATGGTTGAAATAACCCGCGTGGCTTTCCTACGCAGAACCGTCGTGATCGGTGCAGGAACGGTAGTAAATCCATTGCGGGAACCACAGTCCTGAAACCAGTGTACAACGACACGAGCTGTTAATCATGCTCTATCGCAGCTAAAGCTTCGACTTTGATTGAGACACAAATCAAATTGATATTCCAGAAGCATCAGAATTTTAGCCAATAGCGTCTGAAATTACAGCGACTCAATTGCCGTCCATCGATTTTCATGATTGCCGTCTACAATATTCTCGCAGGATGACAGTCCCAGCGACGACCGCATTTGGACGAGGACGGGCATGAAGAAGAATGGCATCGCTCGATATAGAACTTCTGTCCAATTCACTGTCGGGTTCTCAGTAAGGGTAAGTCGAATAACTCGACAGGAACATCGACTGGTATGGAAGCCGCCATGGAAACTACCCAGTGTCACGATATCGGAGAGCAACTCATGCCTGATTGCCATGTCTCGTCCTGTCTCGTTACGTCTCAGTCATGTCTCATTAAATATTAAACAAGAAAAAAAAATTATCTACTTGGCCGGGTCATACCCAGCAAATCCACGGCATGTTTGCTCCATGCCCCTCCGCCCATGGGAAGAGGAATCGCGGTGGTGGCGGCGGTGATGGCGGTGGTGACGGCGGCAGCAGCGACAACGTGGCCGGGGGCCGGGGCCGGCTGCACCACCGCCGCCGCGATTACTCTGCTCCTCTTCGCCGGGTTTGACGAAGCTGTTGATGCTGGGTTCTTGGTTGCAGCATTTATACGCCTCTCCTCTACCTCCCTCGCCCTCTTTCCCAGAACCTCCCCCAGATCCTGCTCCTTGGAACCCGTGCACTCTAAGACTTGTACAATGACCATGCCTCGATCAAGATTCATTTCGACGCCCTCTGTGAATTCGTTCTCATCTCCTTGCCAATGTCCATCGCCAACGAAGCCTCCGCCATCGTCATACACTACGTACTTTTTGTTAAAGGTGTGGAACTTGAGCTTGCCGTCTTGCCATCTCTTTTTCTTGCGGCGTAGGTCATGTGAGTATAGACAAATGAACTCGAGGATGGAAGAAGAAGTTGATGGAGTAGGAGTGTTTGCTGGCGCCGCGGTTGTTTTCAAGGGGCGGAACGCAGGACGTTGAGAGGTACGAGATGACGAGGCAGAGGGATTCTGAGTCGGCAAAGTTCTTGGGGGTTGAATCGTAGGTTGTGTAGCTATCCTTGACGATGAGGCACTGGAGGAGTGAGCTGGCATAACGTTTCTCATAGGCTGAATTGTGGATTGTACAGCTGTCCTTGACGCCGAGGTAGTGGAAGTATGACCTGGCATAGCATTTCTCGTAGGCTGAAGCGTGGGTTGCTGAGCTATTCGCGATGTCGATGCGGTAGGCATACGACTAGGCCCAGCGTTACTCACGGTCTGAGGTACGGTCTGATAAGTCGCACGAGATGTTGATGTGGTTGGCGCAGGAGGTCGCCCAGTCTCTGTCTTATCTGGCAACGGTAATGGCCGAGGGCCGCGACCCGTTGAGTTGGAGATGTTTATGGGCTCAGGATTAGCTGGACCAGCGTCTCTTAAAAGCTGGAGCATGGGCCGCCGGGTCTTGCGAGATATTGGTAGAGGAGGCGGAGCGTCGGACTCAATGCTCTGAAGGATTGGAGAGGCGGGTCTTATGATACGCGATGTTGATGTGGTAGAAGCACTCGTCGGCAGAGGAGACGTGCTGTCAGATTCAATGCTATCAACGTGTCGAGCTCCAGGTCTTATGCTGCGAGATGTCGATGTGGTAGAAGCATTCGCCCGCAGAGGAGGTGTTCCGTCGGATTCAATGCTATCAGCGAGTCGAGATGCAGGTCTTATGGTATGAGACGTCAGCACGGCAGAAACATGAGCCAGCAGAGAAGGTGTGTCATTGGGCTCAGTGTTATCAAAAGGTCGAGCTCCAGGAGGTGTATCGTCGGAGTCAATGCTATCAACAAGTCGAGCTCTAGGTCGTGTGATATGAGACATCGATGCAGCAGAAGCATTCACCGGCAGAGGAGGTGTGCCGTCGGATTCAATGTTCTCAATAAGTCGGGCCCCAGGTCTTGTGAGACGAGACGTCGATGCGGCAGAAGCATTTATTGGCTCCTGGTTTCCTCTCGCTGATACTAAGAATCGCGGTGGTCTGTGGAATGATTGTGTAGAAAGTGTGTGGTCTGTCCCAGCATGGTTCGTTGACTGAGAGACGGGTTGAAGCATGTCTTGATGAGCAAGCCGAGAGGCTGATGCTACAGGGTGAAACATGGTCCGCTGAGTGGCTCTAGATGTTGGCGTAGTAGAGCTATTGAGCTCTACACCGTTTCTTGCGGAGTGGAAGCTTGGCTGATGAATATCTTCTGTGGCTGGTGCTTCAGGAACCCTAGCCTGCCCAGCGTTTCCTCTGGGTCGGAACATGGCGTATTGAGTGACACAAGGAGCTGAGATTTGTAGAATGGAGAAAGGCGAAGAGAGATGATCAAAGTCGGAAGTTAACGATTGGTAAACTTCCGAGGCTGGCGAGAGACCGGGAGAAGAAGTTGGTGGTATATCAAAGGTGGAAGTTGGTTGAAAATGCGAAGACGGAGATGGATGATGAGAAGTTGCAGATAACGGCAGAGAGATGAGAACAGGCGACAGAGGCATAGAGAAAGACGACGAGACAGCGTGAGGAAATCTCTGCGAAATCATAGAGATGGAGGAAAAGTGATACGAGGGGTACTTTGATTCTTTACCCTCGCATGGCGGGGTGACTTGCGGAATGACAGCTGTAGAGGCTTATCGCTAACAGTGCAGCCATGGGCCAGCCAGGACAATTGTTAGTGAGACGCGACTTGGGCAAGAGCGAAGCTGTAAGCGAAAAGCTAGGCGAATTGACGCGACGCCAGATCACGTGTGGCACTTTGAATTTCCTAGTCTGAATGGGTGCCTAGTGATGTCTGAGGAAGGATCCATCGAAGCTTCGCTAACTGAACTCCACAATGGGTACCTGTATCTGGAGAAGGAGCATCTCATAGGCCAGACTCCGGCAGATCCGCTCCGGCTGGGGGAGGAGGAGAATCGGTTGATGGATCTCGGGGCCCCGGACAAGCTGCAAGTCCAAAAAAAAAAAAAAAAAGATGCAGTGAGGGGAATATAGAGCGATTCGCCTTTCAGCGGCAATGCTACAAGAAATCTGCGGCATTTTGATTTGTGATTTGATATGCTTGGCCTGTAGGTTAGGATGTAACTACACCTGAGGCTCTGGTTCAGCTACACGTCATCACAGCCTCAATCTGTAAAGTAAGGCGACTTCAGCTCCTCAGGACTCCTTCTTCATAGTAGTATAATCTTTACTGTTGATCGAAAAAACAAAAAAAAAGGCTCATTTCTTCAAAATTCACTGGAAAGGAGACGGTTACATTGCTCATGCTTTATCGAGGCTGTAGGCTACGCGACAGTACGTAGTGGTCTCATGAGTGGCAAGATCTCACAGTACACCCCCTGAGCTGTAAATATTAAATAATTGGTTCTTTTTTTCTTCTTTATAATAATACCTATTTATCCTGAAAACATTTTCTGTGATTCTGGATAAGCCAAGTGTATGGGCAGCTATCTCATTGCTGCCATCGCGCTCGCCAATAGTTAAATCCAAATGCCATTGTCATAAATCATTCCATAATGCCGATTCATTGCTAATAAACGAGAACAAGCTCTATACGCGTAGCTGTCGCAAAACATGAGGCGACTGAGGCTCCATAACTCTCTGCCGGTCGGGGCGGCTTCTACATCATAGAGACTGTTACTCAGCTGATGATAGCTTTAAAGGGGGGATAGCTTCGATAGGCGTTGTAGACCGGGGTTCAAGAACTGGAGTCCTTGGTTTTGGTCTGTTCTTCTGAGACCTGGGAGTTTTGGACTTGGAAGCCGGCGCTTTGTTGCTTGGTGTAGGTGCGACTGGCCGGCCACTCTTCTTTTGTGCTTGGCGCCTTTCATAGACCCCGGGATAATACTTGCCCATCGAGGCAGAGCGGAATGGTTCGCTGTCTTCATCGTCGTCGCTTGGCAGCCAGTATGCATCGTTGCTATCCCTCGTAGAGCTGGATAAATGATATTGGGGCCGGGGCATGGGCATGTCATCGACATCTGCATCCGCGCCCGTGTCCACATCTTCAACGGAGTGGTCCATGCTGTGACTCTTGATGTCGTGATAGAAAGGATGAGTGTGGCGTACGCGAGTCTTGGGATCTTCGTGAAGAGGAAAGTAACCACTGTAGTCAAAGAGTTAGTATCAGACAGAAGATGACACTGGCATTCACCGGTCTTACCCTTGCTTCTCACCCCTGGCAGACAGGGCCTCGGGGAGTGTGATGGCAGACGCGGAGCTGTTTTGCCTCGATCTGGGAATGGCGATTGGGCGGCTGCCGGTAGAAGCGGATGAGCTGGATCCAGTACCGTTGTCTACGTCGGCTCCTGTAGAATATAGTGTTAGGAGAAGAAGAGAAGATGGCGAAGAGTAGAGAGCTGAGTTAAGTAGTAAGGAGAAGAGAGAGAAAGAGAGACAGAAAGCGGTGAAATCATGGGGCAAGAGAGAAGAAATATGGATACTTATAAACAATTTCAGATGAGAAATCGATGAAATGAGAAAAGAGGATCGAATATAGGAAAGGGAATGGTGGCAAGCAGAATCCACATAAAAACAAGCCCCCGACGGTCGCGTGCCTGAGCCTCATGCAAGATGATGGGCTCCGGATACCCCGCGATGGCTCTCCTCGCTGTGGGGATTCGACAATCAGGCTAGGCGCCTATTACTGTGGGATAGATTTTGTGGATGGAGCTGCCGTCATCTTGATGTGCTGGTCGCTACCGAATGCGATCGGCTGAGACATGACTAGACAAGAGGGAAAAATCTCCGACCCGTCCGTATTAGGGCGACACAAGAGGAGGAGGACAACGGACCACAAGAGCCATGGGAAAGGGGGGTGAGACACAATTGAAGAGAGAGAATGCGATGAATGAATTTGTGGGTCAACAGATCGGCGAATGAAGCCATTGAATAAGAAAAAGAGGATGAGGAGGAAGAGAAAACAAAGAGAATGACAGAGGCGGCCGACAAGAGGTTTCAGAGTTTCCAACTTACTAATTGATCGTCGCCGCTCAAGCCGCTCCCTCTCCACGTCGGAGCCGGAGGCCTTGGATGAGGACCTTGGATTGTAAGACGGCATATCAGACCAGTCGTCGTCAATGTCGGGATCGGAAGTCTTGGACATGGGCTCCCGAAGGTCGGATGAATAGTCGTGGCTCATCTTTGGTTCGTCGGGGTACCAGCGGGTGGTGCCAAACACGAAGGATTCTGAGATTTCGGATAGGTTGGAGAGAATAGATACTGAGCGATTCATGTTACGATGCGACGACTGGCGATGGGGTTTGCGGGAGCGGAAGGGTCTCTCTAAGGGACCGGCTCCCTCGTCTGAACTCCAATTCTCTAAGCTGCCCATTCAAATAGAGGCAATGCAGAACGGAGGGCGTCGCTAGCAAGATGAGGGGAGAATGAGGTCCGCTAGAAGTGTGTAGGACTCGGCAATGCTGCGTTTCGCCCGAGGCGATGCAATAGTGATTAAAGATGAATTAATTGAAAAGAAGAAGCAGAGGACGGAAGAGAAGAACAGATGAATGCAGCACAAGCCACGGAAATTGAACAGTGGTTCGTTCTGATTGCCGCGAGTCGAGGTGGAAATGACAAAGGTGCTTCAGTCAGCTAAACGCGGGATGAAATGAAGAGAAGGCGAAGAGGCTAAAGGGCAATGAGGGAGGAGAGTGAATGCTTTGAGCTTCTAGATAACGGTGTGGAGGGGGGGTAATTCTTTGTATGTGTGGGAGACAGTAGAAAAAGGCTGTGGACAAAAAAAAGGTCCTTGGGTAATAAGGTTGTCGAAAGATCCGGGTCGTTTGTTGCACGCCAGCAGGGGAAAAAAGGGCCTGGGGCCGGGGATAAATAGAGAAATCCAAGGCCACTCAGGGAAGTGCAAATAAGAGGCACGGCAAATGTATAAGGAACCCACGACTGAAGCAGAAATGAGCCCACCGCTCATAAAAGGACAGAGTAATATGTGTAAGAGGTACAGGATGGAGACAATGCTTGTAATTCGACGCATGCAAAGTGGTATTCGTACGTAGGCAAGAGGAGGAATTGGGAAGGGGGAAATGCTCGTAACAGCAGCACAACAGACAGCCACACACCGTACTCGGAGACACATACAGGCACAGGTACAGGCACAAGACGCCTCTCTCGCAGCACGAGTACGTGGGCAGCGCTGATTATTGCTCCCTGGACGAAGCATGTTGGGTACCGGAATCAGCACAGTGCTGCTTTGCTTTAGTACCGCGAGCTTTTGGGCAGGGGGCTTGCTGTTGTGAAACGTACAAATGGCTCCCTCAAGGTGCCATTGATGCGTGAGATGGGCCACTAGCATGGCCCGTTTGCGTGGAGCCCAGGACTTGTGCAGCTCCGGTCGTGGGCCATGAGCCTATCGCAATGGCGCCGATCCAGTCAGGGAAGAGGGCTGCTTGGGCCGGGCTTTGGGCTTCTTCTGTCTGGTCTCTGGCTTTTTTGTCTTGCCATGGTGGGCAGATTCCGGCGTGCCCAGCAGCAATGTGTTTGCTTGTGGTGAGAAGCATGTAGGTGGCTAAAAACTAGTCGTCGGTGGCCCCAAGGCTTTTCACGTTTGCTCGGTCCGCAGCGTCAAAACGAAATTGAGATGTGACATCAATCCCAGCTGCTGCGTTTGATATTCAATTGACAGACTTGAACCTGAGTTGTGACTGAGATTGTTTGCTGTTGCTGCTGTGCGGATGGCCGGAGCACCCATGCCGAGCCGGTCCCCGCATCAGAGCTTCTGCTGCTTGAGAAGCAGACTTGTGTTACCATTCGCCCTATTTTTGCTTGCTCTACTCCAGCCTAGCATAGTACGTGCAAGTACAGCATGCAATACCAAAAAATTACGGCGTGATTCCGCCTCTGATGGGCGTGGCTTGGCCTATTGTGTGGCCTCGTCGTCATTGGACTAGGCCCGGGACCGATGTGACATGAGATTCTCCGTCAAGCCATCGTCGCACTTGGGCTAATGTTTCTTTTCTCTCTTCTTTTCAGGGGCCCTCATCGAGAGCGTTTCAACTTAAATAACTTTTTGTTATCTGTTCCAAGATCAGCATCAACCATGACGGAGCCCCGTACAGAGTTTAGTTGCCGTCTTTGAATCTGTGACTAGCATCGCTCGGCAGAGCGAGATGAAGCCGGAGACTTTGGACCCTGGAAGCTAAACGGGCTGACAACATTGAACCAGGCCGGGTAGTGCGTCCCTACGTACATGTATTTCTACGGGGCACAGAGCAGGGCCTGAGCAATCGGGACAGGAGGCTCCCGAACACGATCAGGAAAAAAGTCAATCGGGCTTTGTCTCCGTTCAACGAGCGCCAAGGGGCTCCTGAGATGATGAATCAGTGTCATACATGTACATGCACCATGCACGGTATTGCCCCTGTACCTGTCGTCCTCGTACCATCCCGGTGCTTGCAAGTTGTACCTGTCCCAGCAGCCTTATCGTATGGGCGGATGTGGATACAAGGAAGTAAAAGGTGCGGTACACGATGATACCTCGAGAATTACTAAGGTATCATTATCCTTGGATTGAAGCATATCTGCCGAAGAGAGCCACGGCGCTGCCAACACAGGTACGAGTACCTAGTACGAGTATAAGTACGAGTACACGACGAGAACGTTGTGCTGCTGCTGCTGCCGCTGCCGGGGAACAGGGGGAGAGTCAGCCAAGTTTGCTCCAGAACACCACTTCGCGTCGGTGTGGAGTTTGGAGATGCGAGAATGCTGGGAGTACATGTACGAAGTTGATGAGGCCATTTTTCGCGGACAAGCATCGTACCTTGCCTCGTCTCGCTCCGAGGCTCTCCGCCTTTGCTCCCCATCATGTACGATGACACTGGTATTGGCAGCAGCTGGTCTCCCTCTGGGTCGGTGATACTACCAACGTACAAAGGTATGGAGTGCGTGCATGTACATACAAGCATCAGCTTACCACGTACATGGCAGGACAAACGCGAATATTTACATGTACTCGTACCTCTTGTAAGAATTTTGACGTTCTACCGCTCTGCCCTCCCCTGGCCGCCTGTCCTCTCCTCCTCCTCTCCAAAGGCAGAGAAACGGCATAGTAGAGCAAGCGAGTGGCTCTCTTCTCATCTTTGCCTCTTCCTTTCGAACACGTCCATCCATCCACTTTTCCCAACGTCCTCGTGACGAATGGCACCGAAGGCCAGAGCTCGTTGGGCTTCATGCTTCATGCTTCCCCCGTCTTCGCACCATATCCCCCTCTTTGCTCCACGCTCCCCACGCGTCGTATCGAAAGTTTGACTTTGAATCTCATCTCGTGGTCGGTTGCTAGTGGCGACACGACGGCATGCTCTGCGGCGGGCATGCCTGTCGGCTCCCGAACAAAAGGCAACTGGGTGGCATGCAAAATTACGGCGTACAAAAGGAGCGGATACGGCGGTCCTATGCAGGCGCGGGCGTCTCTCCCACTCAGAGCCCTTGCCGAAGCCGCGCCTTGGAGCTAGTGGTGATGCTGCCAAGACAACCCATGGATGCGAGCTCTCGGCCACCGCTTGGGATTTTTGCCTCTGCCATTGTCTCTTGATTTGAATTGATTTGGATTTTTTGCCTTCGTCTCTCCCTCCATCTCTCACAAGCCTGTGAGAATTTCTCAAGTCTTGGCTCAGATCAATGGGATGCGAGAGAAGAGGTGGTGTGTTTCTTTACATGAATGGAGCACATGTGAGCGTCTCAGTCTTTGATCAGCATGTGGATCCCTGTTCATCCATGGGAGAGAGACACACACTCACACGAGTTTTGAGAGATTCGGTAGGCCAGTGATAAGACGAGTGAGACATTGCACGCCTCGAAAAAAATTATTCAATAAAGGATTGACGGGTAGTACTACTGGCGATAAGCTTCATGTCTCAACTACGCGGCTTTTTTTTTTCTTGTCAATCGCCACACTTCCTTTGGGGGTAGATCTCTTTTGGCAACGCCCATCATTGCCATTTCCTATTATTCGTACCGCTCTAGAGTGACAATTTAGGAGACGGAGGAGGATATTATTACATACTGTTCGTGTTTGTCTCTCCTCATGGGTGGTGTGACAAAGACCAGATGCACACCTATCACGGCCTGCTGACAACAAGACCGGAGTACCCTCCGGCTACTTGCTTAGCTGCAAAGCTCTCTGCTGCATCATGCGATGGCCTGTATGTATTACCCATGCTCAGTGTGTAGGTCCTACATACGAGTACCTTGATGCCCCTGATCGGGCAGTGGATGCTCTTGCGCGCTTCTCGTTTACCAACTGTAGTTCTGTAGTTGTTCTCACTCACTCAACTGACTTGACATGGGATGCTGCCCTCAATCCCCTTGTCCGTTTGTTTGGCGCCACGCGCTTCAACTCACTAAACACTTCGGCTCATGACATTTTGGGCTCCGCAGTTCTGGTCCAAAGGATGCGAATATGGATGGATGCCTCTGCGAGCTAGAGCATACCGAGTATGGCAAGGTCAATGAAAAAAAAAAAAAGACAGATCCAATATGAAAGCGCCAGCAGCGGCACCAGTGACGCCAACCACGTCACCCCACATAAAGCGTTATGACGAAGGGACACATATGAGATTTCGGCTTGGAATTCTAACCATTGGTTGTTTTGACTGCAACTATTTGGACTCACTCGCAGGGCATTGAGCTTCGAGGCCATGGGCAACTTTAGCAAACGCTCCAAAAGATGAGACGAAAATGTTGAGGATGAGCAACTCTGTATACCCTTTGACCCCTGCAAGGTGTCTTGGAGATTCGAGCTTGACGTCACACGGACCAAATATTGGTCTTGCTGGGATCTTTTTTTTTCGTCTCTCTTTCTCCTCCGTTCAAACCGTCGTAGCGTTGGACCGTTGCCGATCGGCGGGCTGCCATCACGCCCGAAGGGAATAAGCCCGTGAATGTCTTGCCCGAGGACACCTTCTCTCGCTCAATTTCTCCCCGGCCGGTGTGCTGTACCCTGCTCGTTTTTGTTGGGTCTCGACCTGCATACTGCAATGTTAATCTGAGGAATATCGTCGGGCACCACTCTGGGTGCTACACCAATGCCAGGCCTCGTGCTGTTTCTGCGGTTGAAGCAGAATCCAGTCCCCTCATTTGTCTGGGGAAAGACGGACAAGGGGGCTCTCGGCAGCCGTCCGTGGGCCAGGAGGCGGTTGGACCAAACAGAGCTGAGTCTGGCATCATATCTTGGCCGGCCTGACTCTTGGCGACATATCGTGTGTCCAGGCTCACGTCCTATTATCGCCTCGACCGACCTGGGCAGCCATGGATACCTACATACGTCTCCCCACATCAACCCAGCCATGACGAAGCACAAACAGAGCATATCATGGAGCCATGGAAACACACGTTGGGTATTATTGAAAGCATATTGAGAGAAAGGACCCAGAGAGCTAACTGACTATCCATGACAATCCGTGAGCCCTCTCCGGAGCCCTCTCCGTCCAACCACATTATTTCTCCTCTCACATGTCGCGGAGCAAACGAATGAATGGGGCAACCGTTGCAAATCACCTAGTCCATCACCTAGTCCATCACCTAGTCCCCACGCCCTGCTACTCGAACGAACCAGAGGGGTATCATATCATTATTACCATGTCATCCATATCCTCCATTTTACCCGTACCGCCCTCAGATATCAGATATCTCAATCGAACCGCCAAATTGCCGCAGATGAACGCCTTTCCTGCCGTTTGTGGATATACGCGCATGTCGAGGCTACCCATCCTTCTTCTGCTCGCTTAACAGCGTCAGATCCTCCCTGTCGCGTGTGTATCCTGCTCTGCTTCCTTCTCCTGCTTCCTCTTCTCGCTTGCAAGGATAGCTGTGAAGTGCAACAGGGAAGGCTAGACCTTGGCCCGGCCGGTGAAACGGGTGCGAGTATTGCGATGTTTCAACCAGTATGCGGAAGCGGCGACAGTCGCAATCAGCCAGAGGAGCGCACTGGTCAAGTCTACCCACACGGCGTGCTTCATGCGTTCGACGTCTCCGTTTCCATGGGCGTTTTCGTTGATGTAAAGCTGTGCGAGTTGACATGTCAGAATCGGGTCATGAATACATATGGCAACAACGCCGGTAGCCTTTGCATTGCATCCCAGCCTCCCCAAAACGCAAACCCCTCCTCGTCGCCCGGAAACGCGTTGTGCGACACATGCTTGATCTAGACCAGACGTACCTTTCCGAAGACGCCAAACAGAGTGATCCACAGGATGAACAGGATTAAATCCCAAACGGCGATGAATATCCCGGCGGCTTCTATGATGAGAGGGATAAAGTAAAGGGCACACGTAGCCGCTGTCAAAGCGCCGACAACGACGGCATAGACCTGTATGTTTCACAAGCAAGTGTTAGCCAAAGCCATTCCGATCCTCGGCTCTATTCCTAGCAGCAAGTATTGGTCATGGTTGGGGGTCTTTTTTGGTTGAGTATACTCATACTCGTGTGTAGCACAGAGTGCATCCATCAGTCTATTTGTGAGACTTACCCACTTGGATTTGGTGTAATCATCAAAGTGCTTCGCCCGCTGTAGGTCGGTGCCGTAAAGGCCGCAGACGGTGATTGCCAGGGCAAAACATGCGAGATGAAGCGCCGTAAAAGCATAGTAGCTGATGGAGAGGCTGGACTTTGCCATGTTGTCTGCGCGCTTATGTGTGTGTATATGTTTGTTCGGTCACTGCGTTTGGCTATGTCCGGACTAAGACCAGATCCTTCGATGAGAAAGACAGGGCGAGATTAGCCCTACCGACTAAAAATTTCCCCAAAATGGAGTAAGAAAAGAGAAAAGTAAATAGTCTGGACAATTACTTACACCTTGCAGCCTCAGCTGTTGATTGTTTTGCTGGTGAGGCGCAGAGAAGGGGGCTGGAAATTAGAGGGCGAAAGGGCGCTTTTTTTTCAGCCTCAATTAAGGCAGCATAGAGAGGGAGAAAGATAGAGAAGGGGGAGAGAGAGGGAAACGGTCTGCATTTTCTCCTTGGGCTCTCCATCATCGCGATCGCATTTCTTGCAATTCTGCAGCTCTCTCCCTGATTTCACGACCCGATACTACATCATGCCCTTTGTTTCTCGTCAATGACGTCAAGTAAACAATAAACAAACTAAACAAAATCATGGAATGCCAATCCAAGCTAGATCTGGACACTCACACGTGATCCTAGCAGCTGGTTTTTCTCCCCTAACTCGATTTCGCTTCGTGGTTTGGATCCCTCTCCAGCCCTACGTCAAAAACCGCCAGCCAACGACACTATTGCCGCGATCTGCCTTGTCCATCGCTTCTCTGGTTGTCTGGCTTCCCAGACAAGTAGGACTTTGCAGGGGACAAAGAGAGACGAGGCTAGAAGGCCATCATAGCGCCTGTTAGCATCAGCCCGGCGTTCAACTTACGGCGGCCGCCTCCGCGCGTCTCCACATTTGCCTCATCCCGAGCTGCTGCCTTTTGGGAGCCTGGCGCTTGGTCTGGTCTGGGTTTCGATATTTGCACCTGCGCGGGTTGCACTGCCATCTCCGCCTCGAGGGAGAAAAACTCGTGACTGGGGCTGCTCTCCGTGCCTTTGATTTTCTGGGCTCAGAGTTTGCTAAGCCCCCCGTGGTTTCTGGTATTTCTCAACTGCCCTGGGCTTTACGAGAGACTCAGATGGAGTACCTGGCCGCTAACATGGATCGGTTTGCAGGGGTCTGGCTCTCTAGCTGGACGCTTTGACGCGATTTCGCTTCCCCAAGGTCGTCGCCTGCTATGGGATCAATGATACGAGACCCTGTGACAAAGTCCAACAACTCACAGCAACCAATGTCCGCAGTTGAGTCTCGCCCGGCTGCCTGCCGACGCTCGCATCTTGAAGCACTGCCGGGGATGGAGTCCGGAGGATCAAAAAGGATTTGGAGAGTTTCCTGAGCCGATTGAAGGCGGCGGGGCGCCGACCGACTCACCGGGTGTGTGAGATGAATACTATTAGAACGACGCCTCAGGACAGGAACAGGTGAACAAATGGGCTCGCAACTACTCGTTGTGCGCAGCAGCGTTCGGTCTGCTGACAGTCCCATCAGGCTTAGCCTTAGCGCACCGAAGCTTTGTGGAAGCTTCACAGGAAGATGAATGCTTGCCTGATCTTTTTGGACCCCCCCTTGTCTATGCCTCGCAGGCCTTCAAAGAGCTCTCGCCCTATCGACGGGGCTTTCACCACGTTTTCGCCCTATCAGCGGGCCATCCACCTTGTCTGACTCTGGCCATGAAGCAACGCCTGCGCGTCATATCTTCCGACTAGACGCACAATGGCCGTTGTGAAAAAATCGGGGCCCTCTTGTCGCTGTTAGCCATGGCCTGGAGTCTATGCTGATGCTGCCTTCGGTGAGCGCAGGCAGTCTCCTAAGGCATCTTTGAATGAAACAGGGCGTAGGACTTGTGAGTCAAGCCATCGTGTGTTTTGGATCTCGTTCTAGCCATTGCTCTGCGTCATTGGAGGAGGGTCCCCGAGAAGGGTCAAACATATATATATAATGGGCTCGAAACGCTTCAAAGTCGAGGAAAGAGAAAGAGAGCATCGGCATCAGTCAATTCAACTGTTTCATTACTTCAACACACAGCTCTCTCAGAGCAACTCGCTTCCAACTCTCAATTCACGCACTTCAGTCTCCTTAATCTTCAAAGTAAAACTTGATCACCATGCCTCGTGGACAATAGTAAGTTGCCAACATCCTGACATCCACGACCCAACATCTTGACATTCTCGAACCAACACTGACTTTTTCCTAGCGTTGAGTCTTCTGACTACCGATCTGGTAGCCGCAAGAAGAGCTCCGGACGAAGCTCGTACTCCTCTTCATCCAGGTCGTGCACTTCCTCAGTCAGGCCAAACTACTGGCGATGCGTACGTCCAACACCCTCTACTCTCTTCCTTACCAACAACAGTGACTAACTTGCTTGTAGTGCAAGTGCTCCGGCGGCTGGTACAGCTACCAGATCAACGATTCTTGCCCCATGTGCCAGTCCTGGCGCTGCGACAACTGCGAATACTCCATGAGCTAGAGTCGGCCAAGATTCCATCATCTTTCGAACGCAGCGGCCCGCTGCTGTACTACGACATGTTTTTGTACTCGAGTTGGCATTAGAGTTGACATTAGACGAACATTCAACGGAATTCGCATTCCACCCTACTACAGAGCATGAGAGGAGTTTGGGATTTCTAGCATATTCGGCTAAAGCGTTGGAATTTTGGATTCATTCATTTTGCATTGCCAGCGTTGGAATCAGCATTTAGAGCATTAGATTGGCGGCCACATCATTGAGCGACAGCACCACTCCTTTTTTTGTTATCCTTAGAGACCTCTCCGCAGAATTTTACCTGAAATAGACTTGCATTATCACATGTTTCTTTTCCACCCACATGTTTGTTCACATGTTCCGTCTCAATTCCCTGCATGCAATGAACCATTGGGGGAATGCCAAGCTAGGCTCAATGTCTAGTGCCGCCGTTCGTTGCCTTGCATGAGTAACACAGTTCCGTGCATACTGTAAGGCCAATGTAAGGCGAGGCAATCCAAGGCAGCAACCTTAGGCGCCCTTTGACTCTTTTCCAAGACGGCCATTCATGTTTTGTCCCAAAACTTTAGGCTACGCATGACTCTATGCCGGTGACCGTGTTTAGTGATATTACTTGACGAGAAATGCTTACTCTGTGCAAGGAATATGGAGCTAGTCGAGTGCCATCGTACTTTTATGGGCGAATCATCGTCCGCGGATGGCTGGTTGGACGGCGGATCCACCTTTGATTCGGGGATTCTTTCTCTTCATTTTCCTTTTATTTCTCTTTCCCATCTTTTTTTCCTTTTCTGAAAAGGGGTGAATGTAGGCAATGCATCTCACGGAGGGCGTACGTGGGAACAATTATGGGCCAATTGCTCATGGTACCGTGATAGGTTCGTGGGCGTCAACTTTGAGTGTGCTTGAATGGTCGATGAATTGGTAGTGGATAGATACCTAGACCGGGGGTGGCAAACCGGATTATGTTACGGGAATTGTGAGAGGGGACTCAGCAGAGCCTCAACATTGGGATCGGTAGTGGCCCCCCCTGTCGGTGTAAGCAGTGGACGACATGGGGAACAGTCCCCGTTCTGGCACTGCTTTTCCGGAGTCGGATTGACAACAGCCACAATGGCATGGCCTGGATCTATGTAAGATGCAGGCTTTGTTTTGTTTTGTTCCTTTAAAAATGGGAGTTGTATACTGGCTCTCGGCTACCTTGTCATCTAAAACCCCTGCCTTGAAGCCTAGATATTGCTTCGCCATAGAAGCTCGTAGATTTTCCCGCCAGGATCAGAGCATCGCCTCTGAAAGTAGTGAGTAATAGCTGCCGTGCCGCCAGAGGAGGGTCACGGAAAAAGATTCTGAGGGGGGTGGGGGAAGATATGCGAGTGGCCGCGTTGAGCAAAGGCTGCAGACTCCGCGGCAGTTGATATCGCACGCATCACACCTAGAGGATTCGTACTGGATACATAGAGGGCTAGTCGATGATCCTCATTTACTATGCGATTGAGGCTCTGCAGAAGTCTCTACTACCTCTAGGCACGAATGTGACGAGAGCGTAGAGCAAGATGATAATAGGTAGGAGTCTTCTCACCCGCTGGCTGGTTTGTTCCTTCTGCCGGGCAACATGATGAGATGCCCCGTTTCAGGCAATGATTGAGCTGGAGCTCACAGGCTGCGTACCGGTTCGCATTTAAAAGGCGCAGGCTCTTTGCACTTGTGTTCGATGTTCGATCGACTTGTGCCATAGGAGGGTATTCATTGGTTGGAGTGCCCATCTTGATTTAGCTCGGTGCAAGGGGTGTGCAGTAGAGGCTGGCAAGGATTGGAGAGAAACATTCTTACGAGTTTGGAAGGCCGAATGTCATAGAACTGGATCTCCCAGGCACCTTTCTTGGCTTACTGACAAGGAGCCGAAATAGACGAATTCGCAACAAACCAATGCCGCCGAAGTCGTTGCTGCTGACTTTGGATTTCACACTGAAACGTTCACCGGGACCATGACTTGGTCTGGCTTGGGAGAATGTCTGCATCACGAGGGCGAGACGAGACCCGCTTGATAGACCGGAGAGACTATTTCTCGGGGCCCTTTGCCACCTCCGAGAGATGGCTGCCTTGGATGATGGCATCTCGGCTTGTGTAGGCTCAGGTTGATGAAGCATGTTCATGTTCTTCGTCATTGTCGGCGGGGGGCTTCTTGCTGCCTTGCACGAGAATCCACTTGCACTGCTGGTGATCTTCGAAAATTTTCGACTAGGCAGTCCAATCCTAGGAGATCCGTCGACATGGGCTATCAAGGTGCCCTTCTGCCTCATGCTATGACTCTTCTTCTAGATGATACGGCATGTATTTACGATATACGAGCAATAGCAGAAGATTGCTACTGGTTGCCGAAGACTGACGCCCTCTTGTACAAGTAATCTTGTCGGTATTTCCCACACCCCAGAGGTCAGGACTGGGTCACGGACGCGATACACGCCATGTTTGGAGATTTGGCGAACCGAAAAAGATTGGCCGTTCCAGGATCTTGAGAGAGAGAAAGAGTCATGCATTGCTGGATCAGAAGCCATGGAAGACGTCATCCGACAGAGGCCTTGTGGAGAGCCGCCCAACTCCATCTTACGAGGCATCAACCAGAAAACGAATGAGCATTCGGCCGCCTTCGTGGAAAATAGTCTGGATCTGAGGGGCCGACACCCACAAGACGGAATTCCTTTCCCACACTGGACCGAAAGAATATTCTCGTCAGATGCCTTGTCCTGAAAATTGAATGCACAATTTCCTCCGGAAATGGTCTCCCCACGGTCTCGATAGTATCCGAATCGTCTACTGAGGCGCTCAGTGTCTGCGTATTTTGCAAACCACTGGCGCTGCCCGTAGGGTCTTGACTATGAGGCAACTGAAATGATGAATGACGTTTATCCGCAAACGTGGAGAGGGGGGAGAACTACACCTGGGACTTGGTGGAAATACTACTTCGCGAGAAAAAGACATATAAAACCCCGTGGACGGGGGAGCAACATGCTTCGTATTCCATTCCATGGTGTGCGTATCTATCTTACATTATGTACACATCTTCCAAAACTGTATTGCATGACATGAGTAAGATCAGACCCCAAGATCCTTAAAATTGAAGCCTCCCACGATATAATATGGGTTCAACATGGTGTCCCAATCAGGTGTCAGCTCTCTGTGAGGAAACGGGAAGCCATTACCATTCGACGCCTCCAACAGAGCAATCTCCTGATTCTTCTTGGCCAACGCATCTCTCATCAGGGTCTTAGCCGTGTCGAGTGCTTCGGCAGCCATGTGTGTGTTGAGGATCTCCACGATGCGCTCGAGCTTGGGCATAACCCACGAGACTTGGGTGAGGCTGTCACGGTTGTCGATGGCGAGCAAGACGCAAAAGAATTGGAAGGTGGTGCCCAGGACATTCCACCACGGAATACCTCGTTCTGCCAAGTCAGAAGCTGCCTCGACGGCAGTATGGCCGATCTGAAGGATCTGCGACAAGGTATCTTTGCTGATGCTGACCTTGAGGAGGCGAAGGCGGCGATAGAGGCAGAAGCAGAGATCTCCTCTGGTAAGGGCAGGAAAGCCCTTGACCTCTCCCATGTCGAGAAGCTTTTGGATGGCAGCCTCGAGAGATTTGCTGACAGTCATCACATCGCCGCTGAGACTATCGCTCGGCAAGATTCTGGCCATGCGTATTTGGAGGCCAGTCTCACCTCTGTCATCAAAGGGGGTGGATCGAGAGTCTACGCCATCAAAATGAATCTTGGTACGGCCATACTCGTACGCAATGATTGTATTGAGGCACCAAGCGAGCCAAAAGGTCCGCTTGCTTCCCTCATCCTCTGTGGCGGGAGTCTGAAGGCTCTGGGTGACAAGCTCCGAGTTAAGATCACGGTGAAGTCCAACAGCCTCCACCAGATGCATGACGGTGCAAGACGAAAGCCAAGTAAGATGGGGTCTGGTTGTCGAGCGAAGATAGAGAGTCCGGAGAATCCATGCGTTGACTTGATCAATGGAGGGAAGACGGCTGAAAGTCGAGTCCTCGAGGACATCCTTGACATGCTTGACGATTTGCGACTCCATAGGATGACCTTGATGAAAGGCAAAGAGAGAGCCGAGAGAAACAACGGCTCCAATCAAGGCGCCGAGGATGAGATCTTGGTTTCGTCTATTGAAGTAGGTATCACACTGCTGGAGGAACTTTTGCTTGTCAAAGAGATGGAACGGCACATCTACAGTGGAGAAGTAGATTTCCGTATAGTGTCGACACTCCTCATAACTGATGTAGTTGGTCAATGGAGCATGAATGGATCCAGGTTCCTCAGGGCGAATGCCACAGTTCCAGGCAAACGAATGGAGACGGGGAGGATGAGCAGACTCAAGCTCCACGCCCAGCTGGTTGGGAAAGGCCACAGCCGAGTTCTGGTTCATGTAGCGTCGCTTTGCTGGCTCAATGATGCCGCGATTGAGAGGAGGGAGTGGAGTATGACGGGCAACATCCTCTGCTGTGGTTTGATGGGCAGCTTCTTCTGCCGTGGCTGAGGGCTCAGTTGAGGGATAAGTTGAGGCCACAGTTAAGGCGGGAACTGAAGGCGGAGCTGAGGGCGCAGTTTGAAAAGATGCCTCACTGCTCTCAAGCATCACATCAAGAGATCTCTTGAGCTTTTGGCCAGGGACGAGGACTCCGTTGATTTTACATGGATATTCAAACTGTACGCACATAGCGCACGGAAAGGTGCTATCACACTTGCGCTTGCGTCTGCGGCATTCATCGCAAGCTTGCTTGGCCCGTTGACGGCCCTTGGGAGCTTGCGGCTGAGCAGCAACCGTCACCTCGTTATGGATCGGGTTGTGCTCCATGGCGGGGAGTCGGTGACTGAGAGGCCGCAGGTTAATAAGATACACCATAAACGAAATGTGACGATAGGGAAATGATGGTGTTGATAGGGGCCCGGCAAGGGGAGATGGATGGTTGAAGAGAGAAAAGAATGCCGGGCAGCTGGGAGGATGAAATGGAATAAAGGAGGACGTACGTGAAGTCGCGTCTGTCAGCAAGTTACTGCAGCTGCACTGCTCTTTCCGGGTTTACCAGTTTACTTTTTAGCTTTGGTCGGCACCTGCCACAGCAAGCCGCCCCACTTTTCCCAGAGCTAGTTTGAGAAGGAGAGCTTCACGGAATTTCAGGATGGATGAGGACGAATAGGAATTGATTGTTACCGAGAGGCGGTGAAAGTTGGGAAAGCAGCTGCTAGGACTTTCCTTGGAATTTTGAAATTGTACGGTGAGTCCCAAGGTTGGAAAGGGCAGTGACGGGCAGATGTTGTGTAGAGTAGGAAGTAACTGTGATATTAGTGGGGGATGGAGGGGATGGCGATGTGTTTGTTGGGAGGAGTAAGAGGAAGCGGCCTTGGGCAGGGAAAATGGATGGTAATATTGATAGCAATTGGAGTATATGACAGTAAAGAATCGCAAACGAAATGGTGAGAATGTGTAGCTTGAGGATTCAGTTGGGTGTGTATGGAAGGCATTTGGCAAGGAAAGGTTGTGCGTGAAATGGAGGCAGACAGAAAGAGAGCCATGTTTGTGAAAGCAGTTGAACGTGATGGTGTTGCCGTAACAGGAGCAAAGAACTGTACTCGTCGAAATGGCTGTCAATCGTCCTGGAAATCGCCTCACGGATTGCCGGTATGTGGGCTTCCCATGCCGTAGGAGGCGGTGGTCAAACCCTGGATGTCGCTCTCAATTGTTGAGACAGCGTCGTCTGGCTGCCTCGCAATAGTCTCTAATAACTCCGACGATTGTGGATAATCACCAGATAGACTGAAAAATTGATTGCGGTAATTTGTGCTTGAGCAATGGATCACAGTAGTGGCTTGGACCCGGGCGATACGCTGGCTTACCGCGATTATCTCAAGGCGAGTCGTGCAACCGAGAAGTTGTCAATCAATGGGACATTCATGCACTGATTTGGTTTTTGTCATCGAAACTCCTCGCATTGCATCTATAGACACTGGCGTTATTCATGAGAACGTGAAAACATAGCGAACTGCATGGACCTGATCTTGACGTTCCGATTCAGCCGCTGTAGCAAAACATCTACCACGAATATCAATTAGCAATTCGCCCACACGTGATCATTCCGTACTCAAACAAAATACGTTATTTGACTTACCTGCCACTTTCCAATGACCCGAGAACCACTCTAGGTTTTCCCGTAGCTGTTTGACGTCTTCGGGCAAGGCCCTCCTGGGGTGGACCTCGACCAGGTCTACTGCTGCGCGGTAGAGACAGCCCAACCCAGAAAAACACATTCTGTTGAGGGATGTATCCCTCTTTCCCATGATGAGGCCTTCAACTCGGCACATCTCGAACACTATGTTGTAGGCAAATTGGAGGTCGAGGTTGAGCTTTGCGTCGGGGGCAGCAGACCACCCAAGGCGCTTTGCCCTATTCCTGTAGGCTGATACGACGGCACTGTGTCCGTTAGTATTGGTATCACTTTCAGTGGAAAAAGAGAGCAGAGAGTGTACCTAAGAGCCATGGTTACGCCTTCGCAAACGGGATATGACTCCCCTTGGGAGGTTGCTGCATGCTGCCGGACGAGATCGTGGAGTAGCTTCTCTGCTTCTATGCACTCCGAAGACTCTGGATCACCGTGGACGGCTTTTATAGCCTCGCCGATTAAGAGGGCTGAGTAGGCTCTTGTTTGGAACTTGGTGGCAGTGTTCATAAGAGCATACTTGTCTTTATTCATGTAGGGAACAGCATCTTGAGGCAAGATTGCACTGGTCGGAATAAGAAGCGCAGCGGTGTTGTCTGCACATGAAAGAACGATGGAGCTACGCTCCGGTTAGAAGAGTACATGTAGCCAAGGAGGGGATACGCCTGAGAGAGGGTTAACCAACCGATCTAAAAAGACGATGCTGGCCCAGCACAGCCTTCTATCGGGCTCTTGGGCGTCTTTGTACCCATGCCCATTCTCGGCTTTATTCTGCACGGCGGACATGTCTAGCTGCCTGATGAGGCCGAAACACGATGCCAATGTTGAGCTAGCCTCTCTGGCCATCCCGTGCCCACACTCGTACGCAGATAGTAGCAGACCTGCTTGCAGCCTTGCGAGGGAATATGTGTCAATGGTAGGCGTGTTGAGAAGAGAGAATAGCCGCCTTGTGGTCCGATAGAGCGCGCTGTTGGGGGTGTGATTAGGGTGGTAACAGGGTTGTTGATTCATCAGGAGCATGCACAAGAGTAGCAATGCGAAGGAATCGTGGTAGAGTTCTGTTTTGCTTCGATTGACTCGAAGAGTGAACTTGAACCTTGGTTCGTCTACAATGGGTATCCAGTGGTGGGCTGTGGCAAAGTACCTATTCGAGACTTGCTCCGCGGAGGTGTCGCCATACTTGAAGGTGTCGCTGACTAGACTCATCAACGACTTGGTGTCAGCTTGATCGGAATGCTGCTCTTGAGTCTGGCAAGCGATCCATAGGAGCTGCTTCTCGCCTGCTGGAGTCAATTCGAGGCCGCAAGAGTCTCGTTTGATGGCTAGGTGCTCGCTCCACAGCAGCTTGGTATCTGGTTCCGTCTCTTCAATCGGCGCGTCGTCATCATATTCGCATCTGAGTAGTTTCCTTCATCATTAAAGAACGAATGAGTAAGCATTGGGATCTCCTGGATCGTTGATTGGCGGCCCATTGCGTCTGCGGAAGTCGCACTTACAAGCAGCATCGCGAGCATCTAGGTAAACGCTTGTCACATCTCCGCTTATGGAGACGGCAGTGGCGGCAGGCTTTCTGAGCTTTGGTCTCGATCAATCTTTCAGGTGGCATCTTGAATTTTCTCAATCTTTGCTGTGAAACAGAGGTGCTACTCGTGATTGCTTATTCTGGCCGACAAGGATGGAATTGACAAGAGAGGGGCCAGGTGTAAATGGGAGCGTCCAAGGATTTGTCCAGGTCCTGATTGCTAAGCTTGAATCGACTTAGAGCGACAAGGGGGCGGCCGCAACCCTGTCATAGGACTATGCCCTATTAAGTTGATTTGGTCGATGCGGATTGGCTGCACCATCGGCCGCTCCCATGCTCTATATTAAGAGTGTCCTCGAGTCATCGGCCGCTACCCGGTCGGTATGTTGCATCCATTTATGTCTGTAGCCCCGTCTAAACGGTGTTGATCGATAGGTACAGCTCCATTATATTCTTGCCTCGGACGATACTGGGCGTTGAAGAATGGTATTGATAATCAATCTAGTATCTTGAAGAGCGGCGCGACTGCAATACCATGATTTCTAATCCGCCTCATGGACAATGGTGCAATATGTGACCAGAGGGCTGTCGAGCTGTGCTGCTGTTTATCTAACTATATAATGATGCCGTACCAGCACGTGTTGGATGAGAGAGAGCAGACGAAGTAGACCAGTTTTCCATCTTATACATCTTGTTACCACCATCGACTTGCAGATCGAGAGACCTTCCCAGTGCTACCCAGTAACAGACAGTCAAGATGCCCGAGTTCGTCAACGTTCCCACTTATACCAAGAAATTTCACCACGAGCCCTATGAGGCAATCTCCCCTACTCGTCCTGAGCTCTCGACCAAGGGGAAGAATGTTGTCATCACTGGCGGAGGAGGAGAGATTGGAGCGGCCATTGCTTTGACTTTCGCCCAGTCTGGTGCTTCAAGCATCGCCCTTTTGGGACGTACCGAGGCGACTCTGCTTAAGAGCAAGCAGGCTATCGACTCAAAATACCCCGAGACTACTGTCCACATCATCACGGCTGACGTTGCTGACGAGGCATCTGTAACCGCTGCTCTCAGCAAGTTTGCATCCGTTGCGGGCAAGAAGCTTGACATTCTTGTTGCTAACGCTGCGGTTCTGCCTGATCCGGGAACGCTGCTGGGGACCGAATCATCTCTGTGGTGGTCTGGATTCGAGATCAACGTCAGAGGACAGTTCAACCTCGTCCGAGCGTTCGTGCCTCTTGCTGAGAAGAATGCAACTGTCATCAACGTGACGTCTTCAGTTGCCCAATTTCCCTTTGTTCCCGGGTCTAGTAGCTACCACGGCTCCAAGTTGGCGGGCGTCAAGATTTTCGATTATCTGCATTTCGAGAATCCCGACTTGAGGGTGCTGCAGTTCCACCCCGGCGTGGTGCAGAGCAGCATGTCGCAAAAGTCATTTGATACTGGCATTCCAAGGCCTACCATGGATTCCCGCAAGTACCCACAACCTTGACAAATGGACATTCCGTAGAATTTGTTTAACTGACTTGAATATTGATTCAGCTTTCCTGCCTGGCGCTTTTGCCGTTTGGTGTGCTAGTGCAGAATCGGAGAGCCTGCGAGGCAAATTTTTGTGGGCAAACTGGGACGTGGAGGAGCTCAAGGAAATTGTCAAGACATTTGAAGGCGCTCCGCAGCTGACATTTGGTCTTCTTGGCTGGCCGTAGGAGAATTGATTCAGATGTATTGTACATATTGAGGTTGAAGGGAGATGATGTATCTTGATAGATTAGATTAGATCTTTGATATCAAAAGCCGTATCATAATTGGGCGTCTCACTTTAACATTTGGCAGTAACTCTCGTCACCTTTGCTACGTGTAGGTACCAGTGCACTGTTAGAACAGTTGAACATGTACCTGAGTCTCGCTTAGGTAATGCGACATCTGTGTCTTGGAACATGTCGGGACTACGAGTACCTAAAGTAGGTATTTTCCTTTCACCAAGAGAAAACCCTCACTCGCCACGATGGCTTCTGCAATTACTCTATGCAGGCCACCAACCATCGACATTTCCAGCGCCTTGATTCGAGATCCGACATGCAGGGGAGCGGCCGCACCCCTGTCGCTTTTACCGCCGCTAATCAGCCCTTCAGGGCTTGCGGAGTTGCTGTGGATGGCGCTAAAGAACCAACGGAGTAACGGCGCCACCGCCGAGTCTCAAGGATCGGGTCTTCTCCCGCGATTCTATTCCAATTCCGCGCATCCGTGACTGCGACAAATAAACCCAAGACAGCATTTGGAGGAAATGATCTTTTCCGAAAGATATATCAGTCATTAATAATCCTATTTCCTCCGTTGTTTCCAAACGAGGTTGCGGAACTAAAACCCACCACCGTCCTGGAACTCCGCTGCAGAAGCGCAGACAACATGAACCATGCACCCATCCATCACCTGCTAACGAATCAGGGCCACAATCCACTTTGTACTCGAAGCAAGTGCCGTCTCGAGTTTGTTTAGATTCAACACATGATGGTTTGTCAATCCATTTCCGGTAAATGTAAGCAAATGATGATAAATCATGGCAGCTTCGATAACTGAGATTGGTCTACAGGCAGGCATATGCATATATATAAACGCTCTACTTACTTCAACACTTGACAACGCCTCAAGCAATCGCGACAACTATCAAATCCAGCACTGAAATTCCACCAAAATACTTCTCGCTCCCTTCAAGAATTCGCCATGGCCGACCAGAATGTCCCACAGACCCGGAGAGCTCTTCGCAGGCGCGGCCCTCGCGTGGCCGAATTCGTTAACGAAGCTATTCCTTCCCGAGGCTCATCCGACGTATTAATTCGAGTTCGCGCCGTTTCATTAAACTACAAAGATCTAGCTATGCTGGACGATAACTTTCCGTGGCCAGTTCCATCCAATGTTATTATGGCCGCCGACGTCGCAGGCGAGGTTGTTTGGGTCGGCGACAAAGTGACCCTATTCGAGGTGAGGGACCTCAAATACGTACCTGAACAATGATGGTTACTCACTGTCTCTTAGGTCGGTAGTAAAGTTGCCGCCATCCACAATTTGGACAACATTACTGGGCGTGAATTGACGGCACGAGGTGAGCAACTACTAGCCGCCGTTTTCTTCCAAAATAGCCAATGCTGACGGCAATGCCATAGCTCCTGGACAAGGTATGGATGGTACCTTGGCTACCTATGTGGTCTTTGCAGAGGTTGAGCTTGTGAAAATCCCCGACAACTTGACATGGGCCGAGGTTGGTTCCAAGTTGCTCTACGGAGCACACTTCCTATGATAGCTGGGAGAGAACTGACGTTTCTTAGGCTAGTATCGTTCCCTGCTCTGGCGTTACTGCTTGGTCAGCCCTGAACATGAGGACCAACAACTTGTGGGGAAAGACTGTGCTTGTTCAAGGTAAGTTCTCTTGTATACATACTTATATGAAATGCTCCATAGATTGCTAATGTGGGCTGTAGGTACTGGAGGAGTGAGCATTATGGCACTCAGCCTGGCCGCCAAGGCTGGCGCTACCGTGATTGCTACCTCTTCGTCTGATACGAAGCTGGAACGGGCGAAAAAACTCGGTGCTACTCATGTCATTAACTACAAGCAGAATCCCAACTGGGATGAAGAGGTGTTGAAGCTTACTGGAGGCCTTGGAGTCGACATCGTCATCGAGCAAGGCGGGGCTGATTCTCTACTCCAGAGTGTACAGTCAATACGACGAGAGGGACAGATCTCTCAAGTTGGCTTCCTGTCAGGAGATGGCAAAGGCGATTTGTTTCGCCTGGTACAACTGCTCATCATGAAAAAGTGTAGCATTGTGTAAGTTCAGATTAGTAATCAATTTGCTAGATTTACAGGATACTAATACTGCCCCGTCTTGTACAGAGGAATCCAGGTCGGGTCAAAAGGCGATCTGGAAGACTTGATGAATTTTCTCAGGCAACCACACTTTAAACTCGACTCATGCATCGATCGAGTTTTTAGCTTCGATAAGTCATTGGAGGCTTTCGATTACATGCGAAAGGGCGGCGCGGTTGGGAAGATTGTCATTGAGTTTTAGCACAGGCATGTAAACCTGTCCACATGTTGACTTGGGTGAAGTGCTGACAAAAATAACAAGATCTTCCAGGACCAAGATTAGGTCCCAGATAAAAGTAGAATTTATAAATAAAGCACCAACAAGACGGGCTTGCTAAAATGCAGTACATACATATTGTGACTGCGCAATTCTAATGTACAGTATTGCCAGCGCACAGAGGTGAAGTATCATGAATCATCATTTTGGTATTGTTTTCTCCCCCTTGCCTTTCCCTTTGGCTTCCAACCCAACTTAATCCCATACAGTTTTCCCCTTAGTCCTTCTTGCAGGCAACAAAGTCGTTGCCGCTGGCACCGGTGTGGGTGATGACGGAGTCGAAGTTGCCCTTGGAGTCGAAAATGACACGGTCGGCACCGGGGCTTCCACCGGTGTACACCTTGAAGGTGTTCAGAATAGGGAACTCGTACCAAGGAGAAGCGGTGGGGAAGCTGAAACCCTCATAGTCGTTGTACTGGTGAGGGTAGTCGTCGGAGCCTACGTCCAATGTCAGCGATTTTGGTCAAGACACCCAGATCCACTCAAGAGGAAACCCCGCCAAAAATGACGATCGGAGCAGCCGCAACATCCAAGTGAAACTCACCAATGGTGCTACCGGACTTGTAGTGGCTGTATCCGGCTGAGAGAGCATCGTCGATATCAGACTGCCAGTAGCAAGTGGAACCGCAAGTGTAAACACAAGAAGCGCGGCTTTCGATAGCAGCAGCAGAGGCGCTGGAAACGAGGCCGACAACGGCGGCGACAACCTGCGTTCGTTACGCTTTAGCAACGGTCTGTGGGTTATCAAGGGACTCAAAAATTGGCTATGACATACCTTGAAGCTGACCATTTTGAAGGGTGAGAGTGTGAAGATGTAGGGGAAGTTGAAGACGAAGGACTGGTTGGGCTGTACTGGGATGATGGACCACGATGCCACAGACCACACGGACGATCTTTGATCTTTATATGCCCGTGAACCTAGCTGTTATCGCTAGCAGCATCAACAATATCATCCTCCAGATCCAGATCCCGACCTCCCTTGTTTGGCAGGTCCCAAACTGCCGTCTCCCGCAATCTCCTCCACGGCCCCTCGTCCTAAGAGACGATCCTCCGCAGCCATCCTGGACCAGTATCCCATTCTACTAGCATCCTCCACATCCGTCGTTCAGCAACCCTCTCGACACAATCATGCTCGTCCACTGGCCCTCGTGGCCTCATCGCCACGTTTTACCAATCCATCGCCTCTCCTCCACGTGAAGACATCAGTGGCCGTCGCCCAGCTTGGAGACAAACGTCCGTCGAGATCCAGGACCTTCTTTATTAAGCTCGGTCCCCTAATTAGGAGACCGAGGCGATTTCGATGCCGGTTAGGCGGGAAGCGCGGTCTGTGGACGGAATTCCGGCATCGCGGGTTCCATTTTATTTGGCTTGCCGCCGTGATTGAGGGGCTCAAGACTGCGCGCGAAGCGACGATCGCTTGGATTTATCAGTCGGTATTTGCCGGCAACACCCACGGAGCTCCCCGTTCACGCAGCAGAAGTTCTTTATTTTGATTCAAAAAGTGCAAAGGACCGGCCCAATGGGAGAAATAATCGAGTAGAGGGTGTGCTTTGAAAAGGCCTCTTGCTCTCAGCTGTTTCATATCGGGAAGGCCATGGGATCAATCAGTTGTTATCATTGGGTGCCATTGCCGGTTGATGGCTGTCCAATGCTAGTCTGCCGCTACCGGACAATAACCATAACAAGAAGGTAATCTGGCCCTTTTTCCGGGATTGCGTACCATTGTCGAGCTGTGTGGGCTTTGGGCGAACGCCTTACTTGTCTGAGATAGGATTGCCGCCAGCATGTTGATTGGAGGTTAGCGATCGTCCATATATCTGGAATTGCCTACGGAGCATTAATGCGGAGCTGGCATATCGATTCTTACTAAGCTCTTGCGGGCGTTGGGAGGCTGGGGGAGCGAATATGCCAGAGATAGGAAATTTTACAATCAAATCTACGCGAAATTTAGACATAAAAAGAGCATGTGATTGTTATATATACGGACATTGCCCTCTTTTTATGCTAAATATTTTCCTCGGTTTCCCAAACCAGTTCTAAGCTGCATTGTGCTTAGGCGGATTTACACCCCTGCTATTTGTTTTGCTCTGAGCGTGGCGTGATGCATACGCAAAAGTTCTGCTAAAAAGTAAGAACTTGTCTTGAAAACGTTAAAATAAAGCGAAGCGAAGAGTAATCAACACACAAAATCCCCTTCGTGACGATGGATTAATTCTTGGAAGGAGAGAAAATAGTATTGAGGATCATCGTATTCTCTACACCTGTATTGCGGCTTTCCTGTCTCTCTATGCTATTACCAAATACCTTCGGAGACTTATGGATGCGTCTTATTGTCTTTATGCTATAAGGCAACACTGTTCCAGAACTCGCTTCCTAATCAATATCTCATCCACCTTAGTGCCAATGGTCAGAGAAATTTATGCTTCGTAATCATAAGTCGTCTTCCCGTAATCATGACTTGATCATCTCCCTTTACTCCATGACAACGACAAACTTTTCCTCCGTCGTCCTCTTCATCAACTTGCCATACGCCTCTACGGCTTGATCAATGGGCACTGGTGTCCATTTGCTCCCGGATTTCAACTTTCCAGACTCGAAAAGCTTCGCCATGGAACTCATTCGCCGTGCCATGTCCTTCGCTGATGGGTTCAGCGAGTTGCAGCCCAAAAGGCTCAAATCAGCGCGATAAAAGTCACGCATGTCGAAGCTGATGTCTCGAGCGCCGACCTTGGGAGCAGAAATGAAAGCAAGGCGGCCATTTTTGGCGAGTTTCTTAAGGCCATTAAGCATTAGAGTAGGAGATCCCACGGTGTCGAGAATGACGTCGACTCCCTTGCCCTCTGTCAGGACGTCCAAAGTGTTCAGTTCTGGGTCTTCGTCGGTGTTCACATGGCCGTCAGCATCGCGAGTGCCCTTGATGATCCGCGCGCCAATGTTCTGGATGAGCTGAACTGCAGATGATCCAACGGCGCCCTTGGCCCCTATGACGAGGACAGTGTCGGACTCTGTGATGGCTGCCCTCTCGACCATTTGCGAGGCTGTCGTGAATGGAACGCCAAGCGTGGCCGCCTCGACAAACGATATGCTCTTCGGCTTCAGGGCAATCTCATCTTCGTGGACGAGGCAGTATTCCGCCTGGAAGCCGTCCTTGGTAAAGGCGTACTCGCGCCCGCTGGTGCCATATACCTCTTGTCCAACCAGCTCTTGAGGGCCTTCTTCGATGACTCCCGCATAGTCTCTCCCAGCAACACGAGGGTATTGTGTGTATGAAAACTGACCCAAGGCGTTACCAACATCGCTGGGGTGGATTGCTGAAGCGTGGACCTTGACCAGGACGTGGTTTGGTATGAGCACCGGCTTTGGTACCTCGGTGAAGACGAGACGAGGGGCTTCGCTGGCGGTCTGGCGAAGTAGCTGAAGAGCTTTCATTGTGGCTGAGGTACGTGATGGCATTTTCGTGTTTCTTTCGTTTTTCCCTTCTTTGTTGCAAGTTTGTTTTCGACTTTTACTGGGCGGAGTCTAATACATTTATATGCTGACTGAGCTTACTGTTTGTTAGTTTACGATTCGTTATGACTGCATCGTCAGTTGAGAACACCGGCCCTTTATATTTAACCGTTGACCATTATCATTCCCGATACCCGCGTAAAATTGTCTCAAAGACTATAGAAAGCCGAAGTTTGATCTATTGGCAAGCCACATTTCGACCAAGACAACACGGTGAAGCCGTCATGTCCCCGAGTCTGCAGCGGGCGGTGCGGCCCTACGGCAGATGCGGCTGCTGCGGGTGGTGCGGATTGCGGCTATTGCGGAAGATCTGGTGGGAGGCCGAATCGTCCTGACTGAGAATGGATCCATGTTTGGTCAGCTATTTCTCATCGACATATATGGACCCCTTGAAATACGTTCGAACTGAGAAAAAAAAAATGGGTTGCAATGTTCGATTTGACATTAAGACAATTGTTCTGAATTGGTCACATTCCGTTGCAGTCGAGTTTTAATGACGGACAATAACGTCGGAATGGCTTCCGAAACGCGACACTCAAGTGACAACCATGGTGTCTTAGTCACCGATGACGGAGAAAAAGAATACGCGGATCGCCAAGAACCAGATCTTGAAGACGATGGATCTTTCACAGAAAGAGAGCGTGACGAAGAGGAAAACGGCGAGCCCGACATAGAGACATTGGCATCAAACTCACAACGGCCTGCAGACGACCATCTTACACTCGAGCTTACCCCTAGCCATATACCGCCTCCTCAATCGTTGCTTGTCGAGATCCCCTTGATCTTCACGCTATGCCTCGCCCAGCTGCTAGCTCAGGCCGGACTGGGCCAATGCATTGCCCCATTACACATCATTGGCGACACCTTTGGCACGCAAGATGCAGGGCAACTTAGCTGGATGCCTGCGGCCTACAGTCTTACCGTGGGCACCTTCATCCTGATTGCAGGCCGCCTCGGTGATCTATTCGGCCACAAGATCATCTTTGTCATTGGCTTCTCCTGGTATGCCCTCTGGAGTCTGTTGGCTGGTGTCAGCGTCTGGTCTTCGTCCATCATCTTCTTCGATGTCTGCAGAGCTTTCCAGGGCATGGGCCCTGCATTCGCCGTGCCTTCGGCAGTGGCCATCATCGGCCGCACATATCCACCGGGCAGGAGAAAGGCGATGATTTTCAGCATGTTTGGTGCCACAGCCCCAGGAGGTTTCACCGTCGGCGCCGTCTTTTCGTCAATCTTTGCTGAATTTGTTTGGTGGCCTTGGGCGTACTTTGTCATGGCCATGGTCTGCGTTCTTGTCGCAGCTGCCGGTGTCCTGATCATCCCAAAAACTCCTGGTGCCGCAAATGCTCGATCCCAGGCACGACTATGGGAGCTCATCGACGTCCCCGGCGCTGCTGCCGGTATCACTGGACTCGTTCTAATCAACTTTGCCTGGAACCAAGCTCCCGTCGTTGGATGGCATACTCCGTATGTCTATGTACTCCTCATCGTCGGCTTCCTCTTTCTGGGCGTGTTTGCATGGATCGAGGTCCATGCGACATTCCCACTGTTGCCGACAAAGCTGTTCAGCGGCCATCTGGGCTTCGTATTGGCTTGCATCGCCGCCGGATGGTCCAGCTTTGGCATCTGGTTGCTCTATCTTTGGCAAATCATGGAGCTGATAAGAGGCCAAAGTCCTCTCGTGTCCAGTGCTCAGTTCAGCACGGTGGCCGTCTCCGGAGCGTGCGCAGCTTTTACGACTGGCCTCATTCTCGGAAAAGTAAGACCGAGCATGGTCATGGGTATGGCGATGACAGCGTTTACCGTTGGTGGGATTTTGGTAGCAACAATGCCTGCTCATCAAATATACTGGGCTCAGACATTTGTTTCCATCCTTGTCATGCCGTGGGGAATGTGAGTATCTTTGTCTCCTTTTGCATACCAATTTTCATGTTGCTGATTATGATAAAATAGGGACATGTCGTTTCCCGCCGCCACGATTATCCTGAGCGAGGCTCTACCGAAAGAACATCAAGGTCTTGCCGCTTCTCTCGTCAACACCGTCATCAACTACTCCATTTCCATTGGCCTCGGCATCGCAGGCACGGTACAATCACAGATCAGCCCCGGAACTACACAGGAAGAGCTTCTGAGGGGCTGTAGAAGCGCATTTTACGTTGGGATTGGCCTTAGCGGGCTTGGCGTGGCGGTTGCCATCCTGTTTATCATCGACGAGAATAGGAGGCATGTCCGAGAACGTCGCCGGGGAGAGAAATGAAATCACGGAATACGACTCTAATGCATAATGATGCCCTTGCATACTGAGGGGAAAACAAATATAGACTGGCACTTTAGGATTATAGGAAAACGGAACTTATAGAAACAGGCAAGCAGGCATGCATCATGCACTCTGGTTAAGAGTACGAATAGACATTACTAGCATATAGCATATAGCATAATTGACACAATCATAATTCACTTCCGCGTCTCAGCATTATCCGTGACGACTCCGACATTACAGAGCCAGAAATGATACAACACCAAAGATTCCGGCATAACCGACCCAGTACATGGTTCCCATTTCATAGTATCGTCCCATTGCGGCCGATGTCGTCGTCGCAGCTGCCTGAGAGCTTGTGCCTGTCGGCTGAACGACTCTTGTTCTTGTCCCAGTCGATGAAGAGGGAGATGAATCGTTGGCAGCGCCTTGCTGCGAAGAGGAGCTGGAGCTGGAGCTGGAGCCCTGCGTCGGAGTTGCTTGAGCACTTCCGGAAGCAGTATCAGAAGCATCAGAAGTCGCAGAAGAAGGAGCCGTTGCTGAAGCGTCACTGGTAAGAGGAGGGCAACCGAGAGGCTTTGTGGTGGTGGCTGATGAGGGAAACGTCGCGGCAAAGGAAATCACAGAGCGCACGGGAGCCTTGAACTCGCCACAGGACAGCGCAAACATGAGGTATTCACCACCCCACATGGCCTGGCACGAGCCGTTGCCATAGTCGCCGTAGTTTGCGTTGGGGATGTAGTTCGCGATGCCGTCTGTGCAGGCGCAATCCTGGAAGAAGAGCAGCGACGGTCTGCTGCCGTCGGGGCAGTACGGCTTCTCGTCGACACGGAAGCTCCTCGACAGCTCGCCGAGGGGCGACGCCGGCATGCAGACGTCGAGGGAAATCGGCGCCGTCTCGGCCTGGATGCGATGTTGGCACTTGTCGTCGGAGAAGAAATCGAGGCTTCCGCCACGGGAGCCGGCGGCGGAGACACGGAGGCCAAGGCCGAAAGCGAGGACGGCCAGAGTCTTGGCGATGGAGGCCATTGCGGCTGTGGGTAACGAAGGATCCCGGGTTTCAAGAGGAAAACGAGTGGCAGGGACGGAGCTGGGGCTGATGAGCAACCTGTTATCCCGATCCCGGATTTGGTGAAAATGGTTGCAAAACGAGCGTGTTGGAGTTTCTTATGTGAAAGACTAAGAGCGCGATATGTCCATCTCGTATTGAAGAAATTTCGTATTGTCTCACGATCCCGCTGCGAGCAGCAGGGCCTGCCTAGCAAAAACGGAGCGTGGGATTACGGAGCATGAGATGGATTTGTCTAGCCCTGTGAACTCCATCTCCTGACGCTATACCGAAAAGCATCCGTCCTGTCATGGCTCGGTACTCTAGCCGTTTGGAGGCTAGCCAGGTCCGCAGATTCGGGAGCCAAGATTGTCGAGGATTCGATTGTGAGGGAGTTAACAACTGGGGTTGTAATGGGAATGAGCTCTGTCAAATCGATGGCGATATATCCAGGTTTTATATAGAGCACCTCGGTAGTCTAGACAGCTTGGGCTAGTGTATTGCCCATGGAATCTGCTGAGCAGTATGGAGACTCCAACGCGAATATCTGGCTGCGATGTGTATAAATAAGGCCACAGCCCGAACGAGGCATCTGAGTCCATAGACCTGAATCAACTCAACATCTTGCCTTATTGTGCTGGTATAGCTTCAAATCCACCATGGCGGGCACATTTCGACACGTAAAAGCTACGTTTTTAGTCACCAAGAAGGAGGGACTCAGTGACGAAGAGTTTCGGAAGCATTACACCGACGTCCACGCTCCTATGGCCATCGAAGTCTGCAAGCGACACGGCGCTCTCGACTACTCCGTTGTACGTTCCTATTTCCCATACTTCCTTTTACTAGTTTGATGGAGCAACTCCGAGACTCTCAAGCTCTTCTTTCACAGATGGAGATCAAATGCTGGACCCTTGTCGAGGCAGAAGTCGGCTGACCGTCAGTAGCACTTCAACACCGAGGCGGAGAAGGCGACCGCTCGAGCTGCTTTCGGGGAGAATGCCACCTTCATCAGCTGCGATGCCGTCACGACGTTCATCTTTCCCGACATGAAATCGCTCGTTGAATCGTTTGCGGACCCAGAATATGCGGCGAAGCTGGCTCCCGACGAGAGCACGTTCACTGATAGGTCAAAATCGCAATTCGCTGTAAGCAACGAATTTGTGGTGTTGGCCAACGGACGGGATTCAGTGCCGAGTTGATCTTAAACTTGAAGCTCTGGATATGTCAAAACAGGAATTTTACCTTTCGAGTAATGTCATACATCAGCCTAATGTCGTAGTCAGTGGCGGGGTTGGGGTTCCGAGATTGGAGTTGGCTAAAGACTTGGAGAAACTCTGTACTTATGAATGTCGGATGCACGTAAAACTCCGCAAGTGCTTATAGAAATGATCTCGTCAACAGTCCATTTGTATGCGTCTTCCGATCGCGCTTGATGGTGTGGTCATGATCTGCATGATGTGATCCTCTCAGTTGACATGGCTGTTCAGCCCTGTTTTGTTATGCAAAACCATTGTTAGCAACTTGCATCCACGGTGTGTTGTGGATGTCCTTATCCGGCAAGCTGTCTGAATGTGAAGCTGATTCTTGCTACGATGAAGTGGATGTTGTTTTGTAAACATCGTGTCGGAGAGGGAACGGGTTGAATCGAGCATCCCTCGGCGTTGTGTGGAGGCGATAGACAAAGGGCGCCATGTTGACATATTCAATGAATCATCTTGAACATTAATTAGTATTCCAAATCAAATTCAGTATGTGATACTGATAGAAACCAACGTAATCTTACTTGGGACATTGGGACATATCTTGGTTGCCGGTTGCAATCTTGATTGCGAATGTGCCACTTCTGTCATTTCTCACCCTTTGCCTCAGCCGAAAAGACCCATCAATATCCTAAACCGCTCTCCACGGAAATAGGGCGTGGGAATGGACCGATTTCCAATCAGAAACGCTCTGTGTAATATGTTTGGACGCCAGAATCAGCACGCGGCTCCAAACTTTGGGCTTTCAGGCCATCAACTAGGGTCGGAGTGATCGGTCTTGTGGTGTCGCGCTCGGTATAGTGTGGAGACAGGCTGGCCCGAATAACCGTTCGGCTGTGAGGAGAAGCAGATATTTGGAGTATAATTAAAGCTTCAGACGACGTTTGGAAATGAGTTGAATTGTTTGGATCAGTTTATGACGTGAGATTGGGAAATAATAAGTAGCAGTGCTGCCAGCCGGTGTTCCAGTCAAAGACAGTTGCTGGGTTTCAAGTTCCTACGCCACGACTTAAAGCGCAACTCCATCCTAAGTTTTCGAGCTCAGTTCTCTATAATTCTGAAATACTCATCTTTCTCTTATCAATAATAAAACGATATATACTTCATCAAACTCTGGTAAACCCTCAACGACGATCAGCTCGGTATCATGGCGAACCCAAGCTTGGAAGACCAGGGCAAGATTGACCTTGCAGAGTACCTTTTCAAAAGGTTGATCCAGCTTGGTCTTGGATCCGTTCACGGAGTTCCTGGAGATTACAACCTCACAGTTCTCGACTATATCAAGCCCTTGGGTCTTCATTGGGCCGGAAATGCAAACGAGCTCAACGCAGGCTACGCCGCTGACGGCTATGGAAGAATCAAAGGGATAGGAGCCGTTATCACTTCTTTTGGTGTCGGAGAGCTCTCTGCCATCAATGCCATTGGAGGCGCATATGCGGAAAGGTCTCCTGTCGTGCACATTGTTGGAACTGCCCCTATGGCAGCTCAGGCGTCCGGGGCTTTATTACACCATACTTTGGGCACTGGCAACTACAGAGCCTGCCCAGAGATGAGCAAGTGGGTGACTGTGGCCCAGGCGAATCTGACGGACGCAGATAAAGCACCGGCTCTGATTGACGCAACTCTCAAGGCATGTGTCTTGAACAGCCAACCAGTATATATTGAGCTTCCAACCAATATGGTCAAGGCTCAAGTGTCTCCTCCCGTCACACCTATTGATCTTTCAATCCCTGGATACGATGAGGCGTATGAGAATAAGGTAGTGGACAAGGTCATGGAGAAGATTCAAACTTCTACGAAGCCATTGATTCTCATGGATGGATTGACCTCTCGCTTCCGTATCACCGAAGAGGTGAACGAATTTGTACGATTGACAGGTCTTCCTACGCTTTCCACACCGTTCGGAAAGGGCATCGTCAACGAAAGTCTGCCCAATTATCACGGTGGCTACGTCGGAGCCGCTGGAGATGCCGCCATCAAACAGCAAGTTGATGACGCGGATCTAGTTCTCAATTTTGGACCTTTGCATTCGGATGTTAATTCTTTTGGCTTCACAGCCGTACCTAAGGCGGATGTTACAATTGCTTTGAACGCGCACTCCGTCAAGTTTGGTAACGAAGTTGACTCCGACGGCCGTGCCATCTCTATCAAGTCATTCATGAAGAAGCTGGTGAAGCGTGCCCATGCTACAAAGCTACCCGCTCTTCAGCCATTCACTCATGGGCCTTCTTTCTCACCCCTCTTGTTGAAAAATCTCAAGCCCACTGCCGACGATGAGGCTATCGTTCAAGACACTTTCTGGCTTCGAATGTCTGAGTTTTTCCAACCTGGAGACCTTCTCCTCACGGAAGCGGGCACATCCTTTGTGGGCGCCAACACTTGTGTGTTTCCAGAGAACATCACGCTTATAAACTCGGCCCTCTGGCTTTCCATTGGCTATACTCTCCCTGCATTACAAGGAAGCTCTCTGGCTCGGCGAGAGCAGCGCAAGGAGGGTAGCAAGGAGGCTGCTCGCTCATCTGGCCGTTCTATACTCTTTATAGGAGACGGAAGTCTTCAAATGTCCGCTCAGGGCATTAGTGACATCATCAGGAGTCGGCTTGACGCTACAATCTTCGTCATTAACAACGATGGCTACACTGTCGAGCGAGTCATCCACGGCCCCAACGAACACTACAACGATATCCAGCCGTGGAGAAACACCGAGGCTCCAAATTACTTTGGAGCACCGCTGGATGATCCCGAGTATCCCGTGGTAGCAGAAAAGGCTAAGAATTGGGGAGAGCTGCGGAGTGTTTTGGGACGAAAGGATGTCCAGGCGGGTAAAGGCTTGACTGTGATTGAGGTGTTCATGGACCTTGCAGACGCCCCAGCTCCGCTTAAGAAGCTCTCTGCCTATGTTGCCAACAGAAACAAGACCAACGGTTTGTAGATGAATGGATGAAGGAAAGAGGTTGTTGATTAGGCCATGTAGCTTTGTATTAGGCATTCAATTATAAGATTTCTAAGTTTGTTGTTCATCAGAAGATAATGACGCTAGCTCCTTGCTCTGTATACAAATAAGATAAAATAACTCCTGATAAAAAAAAATTTGAGGGATACTTTTCTCATTGCCTTGTACCATTGCTTTTTCATAAAGAAACAGTAATCAATTAACTAGCGTAGGATGTTCAGCCAAACTGGCCCAAAAGTCCATTTCAAGTTCCCAAGACTGCGAATTGATGTAAGGATCCCAGTTATCGGCAACTTCGGAATTCAGCAGTTGCTGCGAGTCACTGGCCCCTGAGGCCGCTTTAAGAGCGGTGAGCGAGTCGAGCAAGCTCTGAATGGTCCTCGTCGCCTGCGAGAAGAGCGCAAAATTTGGTTCACCAGGCTGGATCCACGCTCCAATGGTGATCTCGGCAACGAGAACGCTGAGGGCTTGGATCATCTTGGAACGGGAGAATTGGCGGTAGTCGGGAGCTGTAGAGTTGAGAAGGGCAAGGGAGATGATTCCGGCTGCTGGTAGTCCGTATTGAGCGACCTATACAACCATTTGTTTTGGTTAGGACAACTGGGTAAATTTTACAGCATTGCGTGATGTGTTTCTTACCTTCCAGATAAGACAGGTTCCCGAGTTTGCCATTCGATCTCGAAGAATGATTGTTTCCACTACAATAGATAGCATTTCGCTCGAGGTTCTCAAAAGGGCTTCATCGGGTTCGGCTACTTTGCGTTGGGATAGGAATCCCAGGAGAAAGTGGGTATGGAGATACTCTAATCGAGCTCCAGCTAGAAAATCTCTTGCAAAGGGCCCAAGAGGACAGTCTTTAAGGCTGGTGGTGAGGCGGTAGTGAGGAGGCAAGTCTTGCCATTGTTGGTCAATCTTTAGACGAAGCTCACTGTGACGCTATTTAGTAAGGGTAGAGTGTTGATACAGGAGTCTCAATGGCGACTGACTTTATGATGGCTGTTTCGCCAGAAGCCTGGCGCTTGCGAAAGAGCTGCAGTACCTCTTCTTTGATGACTGCGAACAAGGCCGAACAAAACGTATCGGAAGTGTAGTTCAAGACTTGTTCATTGTTGTGCTCCTCGACGTCTCGCTCTCGACCCGTTATCATGGGGGACGACATCGGACTGCTGCCGCTCTTTTCAATGTTATCGGGCTCTTCCCAAACGCTCACAAACTTGGTAGGAAGCTGGAAATAGCAAAATTCCTTCATAATCCGAGGGGGGCGCCCTAGGAAGATGGCTAAGCTCTTGTCCGCTGCGTAGATGCGAGCGAAACAGGATCTGCGCAACTCAGCGACAAACAAGGGAATGTCGTAAGAGTCTTCGTCGATTTTTTCGTGATAGCCTAGGGCAAATAGCGAGCTTGCAACATCTCCCATACGCCTCCAAGAGTGGTAGCCTAATTGCGATTTTTTAGTACAGGTGCAAATAGGTGCTTGATTGTTATTGATTGAAGCATGGAATAGAGCTTACTTTGATCACCGTCGACTTGAGAGTGGACAATTAGATTTTCATACTGTAACACGAGTTGTAAATCGTTCAGGCAGTCCAACGCGAGACACGTCTCCAAGCAACAATCTCCAATGTACGTCAAAGCTTTGATAAGCCCGCGACGTCCCTCGTCGCTGTTATAAAGTGGACCAAATGAAGAGGTGTCCAAAGCAGCTCGGCTCGCAGCAGCAAGGAATATACCGAGACTTTCCCAGCGGATATTCCTACCAGACATCTGCGAAAGGTACTCTGAAGGGGTGGAGTGTCTGTGAACTCTGATGGGCCTGTGGGTGTTTTCCAGCAAGACCCTTGCTCTTTGAGCGATTCCAACGTTAATATCGTTAGGATTGGTTCCGACAGGAGTTGATAACTCTCTCCAGCCAACAGCAGCTTCAGCACAAGTCTCGACGAAAGGTTCCGCTAGTGCGAGGCTAACTCCCTTCTTGAGCCAGAATCGTATCAGAGATGCTAGCCCAGAGACTTGCAGTTGATCCAAGAGGCTCAATGCATGATTGGCTCTATCAAACGTTGCCTGATCGATGAATGTGTCTGCAGGAGGACTAGGTATTGGCGGCTGCGCAGACTCATCATGCTGAGAGACGGCCAACCACGAAGGGGCACGTGAAGACACCTGATTAAAGATGGTTGCGTGACTAACATCGCCAAGGTAACCGGGATTAGGGTACCGACGAGTACCAGCTGAGGAAGCACCCAAAACCTCTGAAATCGGCGAAGTGTCCAAGGGCGGAGTGGTCAGGGCTTCCACACGGACGGATTGTCTTGCACTGGACGCATGAAGAAACGCATAGGTCAGCGGCTGAAGATGTGCATAATCAACACGAGATTACTGATCGATTCTCACCTTCGCTCTCGGATACGATCACTGTGACTTTTCCTACGGAATGGGCGAGCTCGATACACACAGAGATCAATCTGATCACGACCGCGGCATCGGGCACAAGTGGGCCGCTCGTGTCCGCAGGCCAATTTGGCCCGTCGACAAGGTTCACAGGCAGCGTGGCGGATGCTCATCTTGCAGTGACTGATATGGAGCTTGAAAGGGGCAACTGTCGACTGATGGAGAGAATCACCAGCAAATCGTGAGTTTACTCCGGACAGTTTACAAGCACAAGTGACAAGTGCGAATGTACATATACGGAGAGAGTCTCGCTCCGACGGACCGGAGCGCCGGTTTCTCCGACAAGCCCCACCATACGCCGACGCCCTTTGATGTACTCCAAGATGTTCTCCAGACGACAGACACTAAACAATTCATTGCAGGCATTGCATGCATCTCTTGATTCTTGATTAGCTGGGAATCCGCGATTGGCAATTCATTTCGTTATCAGTCTCCATCTTTTACCACATCAGTGGAGAAGATGTTCCCGTTAGAAGAGATCGATGCCGCACCAAACGATTGGCCCCCTCTACAGGATCAAGGCTAGGCTACGGAGAAAGACGCCGAGTACGCAGCATCACACAGAACAAGAGCATATCATTTGTCATGGTAATTTATGGTTGGCTTGATTCAAGTCTGCTTGCATTGCGGCTTCGGCCGTTGGAGCAGTCACCACACACTCCCAGTCGAATTTGGTTATCGGAGCACTTGACGGAGAGTGTGGTGGCCGTGCCCGCACACGCATACCCCTGGAGCCTTTATAAACTATCGATTGCCCTTGGAAAATAAATCTTTCTATGAATCATCCATACCATTATTCAGCAGAACTATCAGAATTTCAAAACAGCATCTGACAGGATGGGTAGTCTCTCTAGAGAAGTTGATGAGTGGATCCAGGAGCCCGATCTCCATCCGAAGAGAAGACCAATCCCAGCTGCTCAACGAGGAGTGGCCGCGTCAAGCAGCTCCGAACAATTCAAAACCAAGAGCAGCAAGCACAAGCCCCAGGCCAGACGATGGCATCCTAAGTTACCGGAAAGCAGACTGCTTCTTCCCAACATTTCAGCCGACTAACCTCCTTTCTCCGGTAGCATACATCAGTGCAGAGTCGGCGAATCGCACAGGATCAACTCTCAAGAAGGCTGTGGAGCATCTTTCCAATCCAAACACCATCTCACTGGGGGGTGGTATTCCTCTCAGTGACTTTTTTCCGATTGACGGAATTAGCCTGAGACCAAGTTCATTCGACAATGTCGAGACGAGGGAGAAGACGTCCTCCCAAACGACACTGCATGCTACCAAGCACGATATTGCCGATGATACCAGCGTATACGATCTCTCCGTCGCTTTGAATTATTGCCCAGGCTATGGATCAGCTCAATTCATGCGATGGATTATAGAGCACACAGAAATTGTTCACGATCCACCTTACGCTGACTGGCAATGCTCCATGACAATTGGCAACACCTCGGCGTTTGACATGTGCTTGAGAATGTTGACAGAGCCAGGTGACTGTATTTTAGCCGACAAATATACATACTCATCCTCGGTCGAGACTGCTATGCCGTTGGGAGTCAAGTGCCGTTGGGAGTCAAGTTCATCGGAGTCGACATGGATTGCGAGGGTATGCTCCCTGACGGCCTTGATGAGATACTTGAGAAGTGGAATCCTGCGGAACATAACAACGCACGAAAGCCGTCGCTTTTATACGTAATCCCGACTGGCCAAAACCCTACCGGTACCACTCAAAGCCTCCAACGCCGCAAGGCAATCTACAGAGTGGCCCAGAAGCATGACTTGATCATTCTCGAGGATGATCCGTATTACTTCCTGCAGATGGATGAATACGGCTCTACTGCGTCTGAGATTCAGTCACCTGTCGAATTTTTTAAGAGGCTTGTCCCTTCATATCTGCGCTTAGATATTGATGGACGGGTCATGCGCATGGATTCTTTTAGCAAAGTTGTCAGCCCTGGGGCTCGTCTGGGCTGGATTACAGCGCCTGCGCAGCTCATTGAGCGATACAAGAGCCACAGCGATGTTTCAACCCAGAGCCCTTCCGGTCTGAGCCAGTTAGTATTTTTCAAACTCCTAGATGAGCATTGGGGACATGAAGGCTACACAAGGTGGTTGATGCACTTGCGCAAACAGTACACTATGAGAAGAGACTTCATTTTGTCTGCTTGCGAACGTTACCTGCCAAGACAAATTGTTAGCTGGGAGCCAGCCAATGCAGGCATGTTTGTAAGTAAAGCCCCCGACCGGCCTTTTTTTTTTAACACACTTGTGACTGACCACTATCACGCAGCAATGGCTCAAGGTAGACTGGGAACAGCATCCCAATGCTAAAGACAAGATAGCCGACCTCATTGAAGAGGAAATCTGGCTAGAAAGCATCTCAGCTGGAGCATTAGTTGGTCGCGGCTCCTGGTTCCGTTCATCGAAAGACGTGCCCTGTAACGAAGTATTCTATCGGACCACCTTTGCCGCAGCTCCGCTGCCCAAGATTGAAGAGGCTATCAAGCGCTTCGGTGAAGCAATACACAAGGTGTTTGAACTGAAAGAGAAGAGTTGAATAACAATAGGCGCTCCAATAAGAGCGAGGCCCCCCACCCGACTGGCAGCGTTACTGCTATGCATAGCAACAATTTCACGTCTGGAGTTTGTATAAGAAAAGTTTTGGCATATCCTACATTTAATTTGAAGAAAATTTACCATTCTGATCATAACATTCAGCATCTTCTGTGCAACCTACGACACTGATTATTTGTTCAGGTATTCTAGAAATGGTACCGATGGTAAGCTCTACATTCATTCTGTTGTTCTGCCACAGGAATTCAAAATCACGAACCATCATTCGCAACGGCCATATTCGAAGCTGTCAGGCGCTTGAACTGCCATTTACCCGTACAAACAGTTTTTTTTATCCCAGAAGTCGACAGGGTTTGATCAATTAAGGCGAATAACGGCAGTCATAACGGTCCGCAGATGCTGCCTGAAAGTGTGCCCTCTGAGGAAGTTGTCGAGGCATGAGCAGGAATCCAACCGCCGCTTAGTCAATCCGCTGACTTCGTTGTTAAAAATCATCAAAATTACATTACCAATTCTTACAAACTAAGCAGCATTGCGATTGTGCACCTTGTTCGGCTGGTCACCCGCCGAATAGGCTATCCGAAATGCGGTTCTCCGCTAATAACCGCCATGACACTTGGTATACTACCTACTCTTAAGCATACCTTGGTTTTACTATGCGCTTCTGGCAGAGTAACGCTAACATTTTGACTTTCGGTTGCAATGAAATCAAACGGTGGGGAATAGATGCATTCTATTTTGTCTATATAAGTCAGCGCCTCTTGCTGTTATCGTGCTATTCCGGTCAATAGTCTCAGCGAGGACTGAATCACTCTTACCTTACTTACATCTCACAATGGCCTCCAAAGTGCCGACTACACAATTACCAGGTCTCGGACTAGGCTCCTACCGCCGCAGCACACTCCCGCTCTCTCTTATTCGACACGGTGGCAGTCTTGTCGGTTGTGGCATGCTTTTTGGCTTCCTCGTCCCCCTAGTTCCTTATCCACGGCTGGGTCTCACGGCACACATTCAGTTTGGCGTCCAGGGCTGCATGGTGCTCGTCACAGGCCTAGTTCTCCAATCGGATCCCTTGGGAACTAACCGTGAACAAGACGCAGAGACTCCTGGACGGAGAGCCCAGTTGGCCGACAGACTAAGCTGGTGGCAGGAGCAGGTGATATACTGGGGATGCGCAACGATCTGGGCCACGATGATTGCTGAAGTAGGAAATGCCTGGTGGGGGACGAAATGGACACTGCCGATTGCACACCAGGCGGCCGGCTTGCTTGGTGGTAGCCATGAGGCTGCAAGGTGGATGGAGTTTGTCGTTGCCGCTACGCACTTCCCACTTGCTTTTCCGCTGGCATCAGTGGTGAGTTGGATTTCTGATGCTTTGAGGACATGAGCCTGTTATCTTGCAGACAGCGACTGACGTGACTTGTATACTTAGTGGCCTATCATTTTATCCAAGCTATGGTGATTGCAAATGTATATTGGACTATTGAGAATGCCTCTTCTTCGATAAGTGCCTTCATAAAGTTGATACCTGAAGGCAAGTAGGTGGAAGCACCTGATATGGCTTGTGTCTTTTACCCGTCACTAATTCAGTACTACGGAAGCCTGTACGCCGCTGGCTTTCCTCTGGGTAATTGACCTTGAGTAGCCATTCATAATATTGTGAAATTTGCTGTGTTCTACCAAGAAATATTAATACCAATAGATGACTGCATTATTGGGATGGAATAAGGTCATAAAGTTAATTGTTTAATCACGATGTTTCATGCTTCAGGCAGACTAAAGACGAATTATTTTGATCTACTAAACACTATGCGCAAACTCGAGAATGAAATTTACCCTCAACATATATCGATCCTGAATCTCTCTCATAAAAACCGCGGATACTTTTTTGCCAACAATCGTCGACTTTCCTTTCCTACTCTGTCGTCAGCAAGTAACACGGAAACAACTTCCTCATGGCCCTCCTCTGCCGCGCGAAGGATGGGCGCTTCTGGAGGGTATTCTGATCCGTCGGGGTCAATATCTGGGTGCGTAAGCAGGATCTTTACTATCTCCAAACGGCCCTCCTCCGCCGCAATGGTGATAGGCGCGGCATTACCTGTTGGTGCAAAATTGACATCGATATCAGGATGCTCAACAAGGAGCTTAACGACGTCTGGTCGCTTGGCAGCGATTAGCGGCGTGTCGAGGGTTTCTAGACTAACAAAATTAACATCAACTCTTCCGGTATCGAGCAGGAGCTTGACGATGTCTGTGCTTCGCCCCCAATCCGCCGCAATGAAGAGCGCCGACTTGCCAGTACGTGTTCGGTGGTCTGGGTCGACTGAGTTAATGGAGAGCAGATGTTTAACCAATGCTTCATCTCCCTCCGAAACAGCGTAAATAAATGGCGTCCATCCTGCTCCATCTTCGGCATTTATCAGAACTTCTTGATGAGAAAGAAGCAGTAAAGCTAAGTCGGTATGTCCCGATTCTATCGTAACGTGTAATGGCGTCTCGTGAAAGTCTTCACTCGCCCAATTCCAATCAACGTCTTGGAGAGTAAAGAAGTGACGCACAACCTCGATAGATCCGTGCCTTGCCGCTAGCCATAGGGGACTCACAAGTTCGTCACGTTGGTCCTCGCGGTAATGAAGTAAATAATTGACTGGTACCCCGTATTGCAGAAACTTCTTCAGTGTATTAACTTGATCGTTGGAGACAGCACATTTGAATCCAGAACATTCTTGATGCTCGATATTCCACTCATAGAGAATGGGATTTCCTGCGTGATACAATGACCAGCATGTTTCAGAAAGTGATGATAGGGATTTGAGATTACCTTGGGAAGCCAAGTCCCGCATAATCATGATGCAGAGTTCGATGGATAGATCGTTGAATGACATTTTGAGAGACTGTGGTGAATGAGCGAAGACGGAGAAATGTGGTGAGTCTGCGTCGTTTTCTTTTTGCTTCTCACACTGGATTTGAGCTCATAATTTATACAAGCGCAATTGCCAGTCATTCTCGTTGATTCCCTTGCTGGCTCTGTCTTGACAAAGGCCACATTAGACGAGACTACATACGAACAGCATCTGAGAACACAAACACGAGGATTCAGTAAACAATGAGTGAAATACGGACAGTGTCAACAAAAGATTGCACCATTCGTGAACGGCAGATATTTGGTAATTTTGTATACCAAAGTATGACGGCTTTTGACGACATTCTATTAATACTTTGGACAGCTGCTAGATGAAACAATCACGACAGTATAACAAGAAATGAACAATGGTCAGTTGGCCAACAAAGATGCATAAGATGTACAGCAAAAATTCTCTGCAAAATGGGATATTTAGGGGACAAAAAGTAATTGTCTATAATAATCGCAGGATAAGCATTTTGAGACATTGAGACTGTGGGCGACACGAGATCATCCTTTGAAGCAGCGAGTTTGCGCAGGGCCGGAATTTTGTCCAGCATCAAAACGCCTCTTCATTTGGGATTTGCCTATTTTAGAGCATTGAGTTTTTGAAATGTTCATCAATCCAGTCGAGAAAGTTCTTAGATGCATTGAACAAGACAGGGGGCATGCCATGGGAAGTGGATCACCACTTCAAGAAGCGGTTCCATGGTCTAACGGTTATGACTGCGGATTCTGATTCCGCCAGCGAGGGTTCGACTCCCTCTGGAACCTTTTTTTGTCCACATCTACTGCTTTTTCTTTGTATCTCTTTCAGGTAAAATGCTATTTAAGGAACAAGACGCGTTCAAAATACTTTTGTTTTCTTTTTTTTTTTTTTTTATGAACGCATGTACGTGGTGTTGGTGTCAAAGCGGAATGCATCAAGATCCTTGAGCTTCAAAGAAACACCCGTGAGGCTCTCGAAAAACCTAACCCAAACATTTCTAATAATAAACAGGAAGAATATACAAGATTTGTGACAAAGATGCAAGTGGAATTGATCTGTATAATCGCACTTTGTTCATTTCTGCCCTAAAGAAACAGATATATGAATGGAATTGATACTAGGCAGTCTCCGTTGACCTGAGCCTACAGACGAGAAGATTCAGATCATTTGAACGGAACTCCCAACACTTTTTACATCTTCACAATTCCCCTTTGATTCGACTGCTACAGAAATAGAAATTCCATTCTTGCGCAAAATATGGGCGACCTTCACAGTCTGTTACTTCTACACCATGTGCGGCATGTCTAGCAAACTCCCATCGTTACGGTCCAGCGTCGCTAATCAAGTCTGAGCAGACAATTACAATTGAAACTTCTGGCTTCTTTATATCACGCTGATCGTCAAATTTGAAAACAACGATTGGAGAAAGCAAGAAACGACGTCAGGGGCCCATCATTCAAGACAAGTTGAACGGCAAGACAAAATCAGCCATAAGCTGGTGTGAGCGAGATGCCGTGCGATAATCTGTCGTGTAGCACAGCTGTGCGCGTACAGAATATCTCCGGATTTTTGCAGATGCTCGAACACGCGTTTGGTCTGCCAACTGCATGTATGCTCCGGCTACCCGTGGTTATCTATGCTTCTAGCACGGAGCTGTTCTGACACTCTGTCTCACGGAAGTCGACAGCCCGTCGTTCGCATTTCCGGGAACTCTAAGAGGTATCCGCCAGATCTCGATCGCGTTCGTATGCGCATGGCTAGAGCCGCAAGTCTTGGTGTGTCGCAAGATCCACAAGATCTGATCGAAGGGGGCGTTTCCCCGAGTCTTGGTGCAGGAACCATGGCGGCCCTCTTTCGGCATCGTTCGTTGCTGATGGAGATGACCCTGCTTACGAGTCAGCCCGTTAGTCGTGGGTTCTGTTTCGAGAATACGTCTCCACTAACCTTGTATAGTTGGATCTGGGGCCATTACGGGCCGGATCGAAGATCGTAGATGGCTTGGCTTGGGGCCGGCAGATGCGACGCGTTTGCCGGGGAGGGTGTCGCTGCTTGATGCGGTGCATCCTCATCTGTCCAAGCCAGAGGCACGACGCCTCTTGAAGGCTCGTTTGGATGGCGTTCTTGGGAGATTTGTGCATGCTGAGCATAAATATTACTGGGCGGTTGTGCAAGATATTACTAAGACCGAAGGGCTGGGCATGTTTGCTTTTGATGGATTACGTCTCAGGTTTGCGCCATCTTAACCCAACAATGCAAAGGGTGGCCCAAACAAGTTGAATGATTGGCTTTATGGCTTGGAATTATCGCAATACTACTGCAAGGCAAGTATCAAGCGAAATATCCCATAGTAATACAAGACGATGGGGCGTAATATTCAACTCTGGGTTGTCAGCCTCATGGCAAATACTGAGCGCTGTCATTTAATATTACCTCGCCGAGCTAGTGTCAGCCACTTGACTCTCTTCAGCTCTTAATATTTAATGGTTCCTCCAGCTTCGCCCTGCCAAAGACACACTCTCTTTCTTCCAGCTCCTCTTCCAGCTCTGCCGGCATCAGGTTTCGCACCTACCTCTCTTCTTGCTCAACCCTCTGAGGGGGAATACGCGTTCAAGAGAGGTGTAAAATTACCATAGAAACAGAATCTAATCTGTTGTTTGATGATTATTTCCAACCGAAGCCATCTTAGGTTCCTGTAAAGGCATCATTGCCTAGTCTTGGGTACTAGGTCTTTGCTCAAGCAGCGTTTCCTCTTGCTAATAGTTTCAAGTTGTTTTGACTCTTAGAACTCCTCAGATTTTGGTTGATTTTGTTCAGTTTTCGTTCACCTTGTACGCGACACTACATTTTCTCCGACCACAAACGCCCGCTGAGCCTCAATAATCGGAAATCGACCACCCACCGCCTGGTAAGCCTACGATTTCCAGACCTTTGTTCTCCGGAACTCATTTCATTTCATCACCAAACCATGTACTCCTGCTAAACTGCGTTTTTACTGACACACTTAGCCACTAATTCAACTTCTGCCACTCGAGCAAGCCATGCCTCGAAAGGCACCAACTGAAAGAAGATCAAGCAAGGCAAGGACCAAGTCCAGACGCATTCCATCACGCACACCCCCCGTACACGGCTCGTCGCATGAAGACCAAGTAGGCCGTCCGATGGTCCGGTTTCTCTTGAATACCTACTCTGCAGAACAGATCAACAGGATGCTTGACGAAGAATCTCGCTCTCTATCGCAGTCATCGTCGGCTCCGTCAGGTAAGTACGATTTAATTTTCTGGGCCCTAGAAAGCCTTCTCTTCTCCTATACCGCCTTCATAATTCATTTCATGAGATAAAGTGGCTGATCATTCTTACTAGAAGATGATGATGAAGAATCGACGCTACTTGAACTCGAACCAAAGAGTGTGCCCTCTAACCCACCTCTGGAAAATAAGGCTTCGCCTCCACCTGCAGGCACTTCTACCGATGAAGTTTCCAAAACCAGCATAACTACGACCTCAGACACTCCTGTTTCTCAGACAACAGAGAAACAGACAGTCCTGCCAACGCAGCCGGCCTCGACATCCACGAGCCAGCCGGTCCCCGCTGTTGAGAATCGGAAAGTATCAACTGAGGGACAGAGAATATTCGCCTGCGGCTGCTGTGCCACAGAAGAAGTTTCCCTAAAGTTTTCACGAGCAGGCGACTTGAGGCGTCATATGGATGACACGCACCAGTCATTGGCTGATCCTGACTATATGAACCTGTCTACCAGCGCCTATCAGCAGCAGCAGCAGCAGCAGCAGCAGCCCTTTGGTTACCAGCACGCGATGCAATACATGTTCAACTCGAGCACCATGCATCCCCAACAGGAGCAACAAAATGTAGCCGACTGGTCGGATCCAATGCAATGGACCAACTTTGATGGTGAAGACAACAAACGTTTGATGTAGTACATTCAGCGAGGCATACGATTGTTTTCACGATATTCAACGGCAGATGTTTGTCGTCGTTCGCTTATTTTTGATTCCTTTTCTATTCTCTCTGCTTCTGATCCTACTTCTGTCCCTGGTACAGCCAAACTTTTGCTTTTGGTTCCTTTAACTCTTCTGAACCTTCTGCGATCTATTATTCTGTTTCTCTTTTTTGTTTCCATTAACACCTTTCTATCTATCTTCTTCAACGTTGTCTTTATCTTGCTGCAGGATGTTGAAATGCTTCATGGTTTTATGGTATGGCATGGCTGGGAATCTACATATATCTAGAGCAACTAATTTGACACCTTGCTTCTTCGTTCAGCCACAGAGCGCCGGTGCTCCTCTTGATATTTAGTGAATGATCCCCATTCCAAATCCTCCGCGTTGCTCTCTTCCCACGGGCTCTCCACCTCCAACCTTTTAAGCAATTCAACGCACTTATCGTTTCTTGGAGCGATACTGTAAGGGAATTCTTGTGGGTGGTCAATCAAGCCTGGCGTGTGTTTGAGCACAGCCTCAATTGGCTTCCCGTTCTCGTCGACTGCATGAGTAATCTTAAACACTGCCAGAGTCTGAGACACGGTGATGAACAGGTTCTCTTGTGCAAAGAACCGACCGGGGCAGATTCTTCGTCCATAGCCAAACATGCCTGTGGGATCTGGCTCGTTTCGGGGCGCCAAGTAACGGTCGGGATCGAAAGCCATCGGGTTCGCGTAGGTCTTGGGGTCATGCAAAAACCACCAGTTGCTTGCAACAGTGTACGAGCCCTTCGGGATGCGGTAGCCTCGGAAAATGATTTCTTCATCGTTCTTGTGTGCGGTATTTACAGGCGCAACTGTGAACCAACGAAGCATCTCCTTCATGAAAGCATTGATGTAAGGTAGATTGGGTCGGTCTTCGTAAGTTGGGAGACGATCGGTGCCAACAACGCGGTCGAGTTCCTCTTGAGCCTTTTCCTGAACATCTGGATGATGAATCATAGCCAACACGAATGCCATGATAGCAGCGACTGTAGTGTCTGCACCTCCAGTAAATAACATCTGCGCAGTTCGGACGATAGCTTCTTTGGTGTCTTCGTCTGGCTCCATATTCTTTCCCTTGCCGTGCGTTTGAATCAGCTCTGAGACATAGGATGGTTGATACGTGCCGTTCTCCATTTGCTTTTTAACATGGTTGTACGGGATGTAGGCAGACGCGTCAGTTAGGGCTAGCCACTCGCGAGCGAGGCGCTTGAAGCCAGCACCTGGCATCCAGTCGGGCAGGCGCTTGAGAGCAGGAAAAATCTCGACAGGTTTCTTAAAGGGTAGCATCGCGCGAGAGGCATTTTCCATGACGTCGTTGATGATTCTCACTAGAGGGTCCGCACCGAACGGCTCAACATTATAACCGTAGACGATTTTGAGGATGGTGGCGGCAGCTTCACTATGGTTGGAGTTAGTGGATGGTCGAGCATGTCCATATTTGCACCTGAGCTAAGCAATCATCGGGAGAATGTTGACATACGTTTTGATGTGTTGGAATAAACTCTCGGGTTCCTTGAAAATTCGCATGAGAAAGCGCTTGGACTCGATCTCTTGAACACCGTTAAAGCGGGAGACAAGGGCCGTTGTTCCAAATTGGTGATGAACAAACTTGCGGTGCTGGCGAAACAGATCGGTATAATCCATGAAGGCCAGCATCGCTCCATATCCGCACATGTTGGCAAACTCAAACTGAGGACGTGAAGAAGTCTTTGACGAATTCTTTTCCAGGTATTCGACGGCAGCCTCCTTGTCCTGGATGATGACCAATGTCCTGCCTAGCAAGGTGACGGAGCTGATGGGGCCATATTTTTCTTTGAATGGGAGCCAGTGTCGGAAATCCGGTGTTCCTGGAGGCGGGAGATCTCTGATGTTGCCAACAATCGGGAGAGGCTTTGGTCCAGGAGGCAATGGAAATTTGGACTTGTTGCGGAAGAATAGCTGGTATAGGAGGAAGCCTATCAGGACGATGGCGGCCTGACCTACGACTAGGCTTGCCATCTTGTTTGCTTACCCAATATCTGCGTAAACCGTGTATTGGATGGAGCAAAGACCAGCAGCGACAGCATTTCTGCTGAGTCCTTAGCAAGGTTATATAGTTCAAATATGTTACTCCCGAGGCGGACAGGTTTCGAGTGGCCTCATTTTAACACCACCCTTGTTTTCCCCATGGATTAACTACAGTCTAGTCAGTCTTTTCACTCAATTATGATGAGGTCTATCTATGAACGGGTGAGCGGAACAATAAGCCGGCCTTTCTGGACCCTTGACCTCGTGTCGTAGAATACATGGTGGCGAAGGATCTGCTTGTAGGAGAGACGTCTACCAATAGGTTGTCATAAATTCAAATGTAAGACCAATTAGCGTATGTTTCCAGCTATTTGGTTCTTACGAATGAGGGTTTTTGTTACTTGGCAACACTCTTTGGAACGAGCGTCGAGTGGAACGGACCGAAGGGGAAGCAAGGGGGGACTTGTGAGTGGCTTTGATGAAGGAAGTGATGTGAGTATGGGACATAAGCGTCGTAATGAATCCTACTTTCTCGGATCCCGCTTTGTCCGCATCTCCACAACAACCCGTGAGCTTCGGAGCTCAGAATCCGTCGCTATGCCCAAAAGGCACGAGAAAAAACTGAGGCTAGCGAGGACCAATATTGATACGAGGATATGGAGTGTGATTGGGTGCAAAAGGGCGAATTACGCACGCTGGGCGAATCACCTTCTCTAATTTTACGGAAATCGATCCTCAGTTAAATGTATCAAGTGTAGCTAAAGATTCTTGAATGAAAATTATATTGGTGTTGAAGCTATCGCCACATATGTACCTATCTGTAGGGTATGATTGCCCATACTCGAAGCTTCAACACAACACTAGCGAAGAGAAACGACCAAGAAAACAATTCCAGGATTCAAAGCTTCAATGTCAATGCGCCGCGCAAACGTGGATATATAGGTAAGCACAGAAAGCCAAATACGCTCCATAAATGGTGTCGAAAATACGCAGCGGAACCAGGGTGTCCGCTTGCCGCCTACTGCCGCCTCATCCACTCTATGATCGACAGTAGTGTCATCATGACCATGACATCGAAGTCGCGCCCCCTGTCGACATTGATCTGAAGCCATCCCGTTTTGTCGAATGTAAATATGGCGACAACCTCGCCCCGTTCATCAATGAGCTTTCGATTTCGCAGCCGCGAGTGGTGAAGCTTTTTGCCATCAACGCCGACGTGGTGGGTGCGTTTCCAAATGAACTCTTCGCGCTGGCCTTGGCCCGTCTCGCAAATGGTCCCATCGCTTGCGAAAGAGACGGAAATCCTGCGCTCACAACCGCCTATCTTGGGCTTGATGAAGTCTTCCCAGATAATAGTATCGGGGTCTGCGGGATCGCCGAATCCAATCTTGAAATGCCGTGAGAACTTTGGCATGTGGCACACGACGAGAACAGGCGCGGTCTTGTCGGGGCCGTCGAGTAGCGCGAGATCCGGAGTGCCACCCCGGGGGAACGGCGAGTTCTTGACCTTGTAGAGGGTCTCCTCGCCCTGTGGGATTATCTGATAATCATACTTGAAGACGGGCTTCGTGATTTGAAACACTCGCGACATCCTTTCCTTCTTTCTCGTGGGACTATGGAACCTGGTACGCGATGAAATAAAATACCGTGAATGACACTGAAATGGCAAATCGAATTCGAGGCCGGCGGTTCCTTTTGTATGCCATGCTGTCGCTGAGGCTGAACATGCCCATTCGTTTCACGATGGCTTGGGCTGGGCATCTTGGGACGCTCAGGCTGGCTAGTGACCAACAGATTGAGCTACAGCGCCACCCGGATTTCTCGTACTCATCGCATTGCTCGCTAGCTCCAAGTCAACCCATGGATTCGGTGCACTCATGCGGTAACGGCCGCAAGCTAGCAGGATTTAGGGCAAGGCAAATGGGTTGGTTCGCTGGAGGGGGCTGACCTGGGCAGGTGATGGACCGCTAGGGAATAAATGTTCCGATGATTTCCAAGGAGCTTCTCTGGAGATTTGCTATGTTCGAAGCATGTATGGCGTGCCGAACCGAGTTATTTTGTGGATGAAACGACGGTCGAGGTTTGGGTAGATTTTTGAGGCTGCTATTCTGGCTGCGTACATGTAGTCTCAGCCCGTACTGAGCACCAAGCGTTGAAACTGCGCGCTGAAAAGCCGTTGGAAGTGCCCACTGGGAGTCAGGGGAATAATGCTACAACCAACCTCCAAGCCAAGGTGTTCAATAAGGGGTGCTTGGTCCTCATGATGCAGCAAATTAGTATGAGCATAATGACTGGATATCACCTGCTCGCCTCTTTCACCGTGCATGACTATGCGTAACAAACCTCATCGAGGACATCGACGCATTGACAAAGCTGGCAAAGAATGGGGCCTGGCATTAAAGCATGGCAAAGGCAGCACATTCATCACCATCTACTCTATGTACAAGGCAGTGGACAGTTACGGTAGTTGCCATTTCTTCTATATTTGCAAGAGCTTTATCATTGGTTTCTCCCAAGTGATTCCTTGAACACGGCCTCAGCTGCTTTGTGTAATTGCACAGGTCTAAAATCCCCTCCATCTTACTTCACGTCTTACAAAGGACTCGTGCCGAGGAAAGATCACCAAGGAATCGTCCGTCTCTTGCAAAATCAACGTGAATACTCGTCACCAAACGTTGATGTCTACATGATACACGCCTCCAACGCACTGAACCGGCCGTTTCTCCATAATAAACGGTGACGCGAGTCTCCCATCCTCCGTCCAAGACGCGATGCTTCATCCCGGAGCTGCAGCTTCGCCGCTTTCCGGGCAATTCTGCCGATCCACTGCATTCACCGCTCTCCACCTACTATTTATTCTTCGCCCGCCCCCGAGAAAGCGAAGCTTTTCTTTTCTTCTTTTCTTCTTTAGCTCTCTTTGCCTTTTGGCTTAGATCAAGTGTAGTATCTGTTCTTTTCAGTTTAATCTCTGAAAGGTCTCTAAGGAGACCAATCGTGATTATTCTTATTTTTGGTCTTGGAACAGTTTCCTCTGTGCTTGCACATGATTCTGTTCACAGTGTCCCTGGTATTACACTGCCTCCAGGCGACGCGACTCTTTTCATTACTTGCTTGGGCTTGCCCGAGCAGTGAAGAAGAGAATTCCCTTCCATCTCTAGCACAGCAAATTTTCGTTGGCGTTGAGCGAGAGAAGGAAAACATGTGGGCGATGCCGCGGTCTGGTGTTTTTGGCAGAGTTGAGGCTGCACAGAAGGTCGCATCGCACTATTGATTTTTTTTTTTTTGCACACGATGATTTTGCCAGCATATATTCTACAACCATCTAACGCTGCAGTCCATCTCCATTCAGTATGTCGACGTTGTGATGCTCAGTCGACCTCCATCGGTCAACAGCACGCTTCCATCCACGTATCCTCCCGCCTTGCTCGTCAAAAAAAGCATTGCCCCAGCAAATTCGTCTTCCGTGCCCATCCTCCCCAAAGGAACAAAAGTCCCCGGCAAACTGCCCTCCTCTCGAACCTCTTTGGTAGAAGCTTTGATGTCTCGGTCGGTCATTTCGCTCGGATACAGCCCTGGTGCGATGGAGTTGACTCTGATCTTGTGTGGTGCTAGTAGCGTTGCAAGTTGCTTGCTTAGCTGTGCTGCTGCCGCTTTGCTGCTACCGTAGGCAAATCCAGCTTTAGGCAGACGCGCATAGGTTGCAACAGAAGCTGTGACGATGACTTGAGATTTTTGGGGAACCACCGCTCTCTTGTTTCCCTCGTCGAGGAGATCCAGGAACGCGAGGACGGTGTAGAGAACAGCCGTGACGTGGACGTGAAAAGACTGCGTAAATTCTTCCATGCTGTGTGCCCAGAGTCCCTCTTGAAGCGCCTTAAGATCAAGGGTGTTGACATTCTTTATGATGTCTGAACTGTCAGCAGTGATGAGCCCGCTGTTGGCGAAGACGACATCGCAGTAACCTAGCTCTCTGCGAACTCGATCGGCAGCTGCTTTCAAAGAATCCTTGGAGGTGACATCGCAGACAATAGGTCGGATGGCCTCTGGCTTTGGACATGTATCTCTCGTGGCCGCCAAGGAGTCCTCTCGTCGTCCAAGGACATAGACGGCCTTGGCTCCGTTAACGGCCAGGGCGTGGGCTGTGATTCTGCCTAGACCAGAGCCTCCACCAGTGATGACAGCAACAAGGCCATCGACTCGGAAGAGGGACTCAACGCTGTAGGGACTTGGATTCGCGCTCATGATTTCTGATGGAGGAGAGAAACTTTCTAGATGGATTTGCTACGACTGGGGGAGCTACAGTACTCTACACTTTCATCAGCTCTGTTTGGGGACCAAGAGTTTGTCTAATGGCCCACTCGGGAAGATGACAGGCGTGGATCTGCCTCTGAATATTACGCTCAACTATATGAGAAGAGAGCAACTTTGTGGAGATAGTTTCGTTTTCTAGTAATAGCGTGGACACGAAATAGTCGGTGCTGACGACCAAACTAATAGTATGGAAATCAAACACAACAAAAAATCGAGGTTCCCGCCCATGTGAGATTCGCTTATGGACTCTGGCGAAAAGGAGCGCTGAGCTGAGTCTACCAAGGCGCTGTTTCAGCGCAGCTAGGGGATAACGATTGACTGTTGTGGCCGATCCTCAGTGGACGCTGGGCGCTGAGACGGTTCGCCACGAGACGCTATCGGCTTCAGTTAAGCGAGGAGATAACTCGATAGGATACTGGATGTGTACTTGAACCGAGCAAAATCTACATCACCTTGCGAATACACATCTCCCGAACTGGAATTCGTCGAAATTGTGTTGATGTCTCACCATCCATATCTGCATTTCAGGCCCCGTTATCGATGTTGCCGTATCTGGAACCGGTCTTTCGACACCTCATTTCACTCCATTCCAACAGCCTCGGCCAGCATGTCATGCATGAACAGCACTACAAAAAAACGCACAATCGATGGCGTGTCGCCCCTTGCTTGATAGGATAGCAACCGCCAATTCGATCTAGCATGGCTATGGGGCGTCGGATTGGACGTGGGATCCTCCTATTGGTGGCTGATATGGCCTGCCCAGGGGCCTAAAGAGGCGAAATCACATGTGAAACTCAATGGGCACCAAGTTGGAAATCAACATTGGCCGTGTTATGGATGACTGCATGTGCTGTTTGCTCTCTATAACCGGCCTGATTCTCCCTGCAGCGTCCAGTGTGACCGGCCCGAAGCGAAGCGGTATCTAGACATGTCGATATCCAACAACTTGCATCGTCCAAGCATTTGAATTGGCCTGCCGAATCTCAATCGCAACCTCAATGGCGACAGACGCTGTCGCGGCCTCTAAGCAGGCCCAGTACAAACAAGGGCCAACGCTTCTCCCATCACCAGTTGCTCAAGCCGTGAGCCTCGCCGCTCGATCCACCTCGCTTGCCATTCGCATTGGGTCAGTGGTCAGCAATGCAAGCCTTGACGCTGCGAGACTCACTACCCTCGGTGGCCTCGAGCTGGCCCGTGGGTTGATTGAAGGAGTAATCAGCCGGGCTGCCAAAGATACTCTCGAACAATCACGAACCGAGCTGGCAATTCAAAACACAGAAACGGTTTTAGAGCGCAGCCTTGAAAACCTGCATTACGCTGTCACTCAGGCTGTGTTTTGGACGTCCGTGAGCTTCCGTCTCACAGGCACAACAATTTCCACCGCTTCCGCAGGATCGCAACTTCTCCTGTCATCGTTGGACCAGCTCTTCGGCTCAACAGACTCCTCTCGGGCCGTTGCCAGCATCATCACACTTGTTCGACGTGAATTTGAAAATCCTGCAACAGGCCTCCAAGGGGAAAGAGTTGGCGTTATTGATCTGACTCTTGCGCTCAGCACGCTGGCGTATCTACAGCGAGCATGTCGCAAGACCGCTCAAGAGGAACGCCGAAGACAGTCATACGAAGAAATAATTTGGGATGTTGTTGTCCTAGAAGATGGGGATAGGGTCGACGTTGATGAAAAAGTGTATAGCGAGATCCGTGGAGGCTACAGCGCCCAGGACAAAGACGACATTCCATCATCACCTCCCAGCAGTCCCTGGACTGGAGCGGAGGACGATGAGGCTGTTGTGTCTCGTCTCAAAAGCCAAATCATAGCCTCTCTATCTCCAGGTACAACAGTATCCGTCTCCAACTCGGTGTCTTCCGTCCAGACAATTACGGTTGACGTTCATGGATCTCGGCTCTTTTCTTTGCCAACACCTCTAGGTGCCGAAATCGTCGAAACAAAATCCATCACCACGGGAAGCCACCTATCATACTCATCATCGGATCAACATGACCAAGCTTCAGCATCATCATACCGAGTGGTATATAAAATACACCGCAACAAGAAGGGAACATCGTCTTTTAGAGGCGATGAGGATTACAAAGACGAGGCCGTCGAAGTAATAACCGACAACCAGAGCTGCAGTAGCGAAGAAACTCTCGCTCCAGGAACACCCACGATTACTATTCCTGATGACCCATTCCCTCCTGCATCACCTACTATGCTTCCCTCTTCTGCTTTTGCACTACAGTCAAGGCCGTCTTCATCAACTGAGACAAAAAGGCGCCATAAAACACAGTCTCATGAATTCTCGAAACCAACAAAATCGAGTTCTCGAAAACACAATTCCGACTCTGCCAAGGCTATTGCTTCTCGATCTACAGTCTCTTCCAAAGAGCCGATATATCTCGAAGACTTGGAGGCCATGGCAAACCAAAAGAGGCAGCGCACACCAGCCCACAGCTCAAAATCGCATGATTCCCATAAGAAGAGAAAAAGTGAAGCGGTGGTATCCTCTAGGTCGTCAGATAAAAAGACGGGCTTGAGACATGTTCTTCGAGGAAGCGGCCCATCCATCTCAACCATCTGGAGTAAGGAGTCGGGTCCGATGGACTATATAAGTGCCCAGGAGAAACCAAAGCTTCACATCAAATCTCCTCATAGAGACTCAGCGAGGGAGTTACGAGCAGGGTCCCCAACCAGTGATTTGGTACCAAGGTCACCTACCGAACATCACAGTGTCTACCTTGCTCCACCGGGCCATCGCCGGAATCGGTCGTATGCCACCAGCATATACAGCGTTGGCACTAATGACTCTCAGTCGTCTTTAGTGTTATCCTCATATTATCAGAAGAGCGCTTACAACACTGCTGACGCTCTCCATGCTCTTCGACAAGAAGGCTTCGTCGATGGAACCTTTCCTGAGGGTCACCTCCTCCCTAACATTACTCGATATATGCGATTCTCCTCTGCGTGCTACGGCTCCAACTTCCTCAGGCTTACTGGCGTGACAAATGAGACGCCAAAGCTTGGTGTCTGGGACGGAGTTCACCACGATGTTCGGCATTTCGTTCATCATACCGAATCGCAATCGGACAATATCCTTCTCGCTTCATTTGTCGACCCCAACGGAGGCAGTGATGCCACTGGTGCCACCGGATCTGGTGTTCCCTTGGTCCATTACATCTCGCTTGACCATGCAGCCAAGGCAGTCGTTCTTGCTTGCAGAGGAACACTAGGATTCGAAGATGTCTTGGCTGATCTAACCTGCGATTATGATAGGCTTGTATGGAGAGGCAAAGGCTACAGAGTACACAAGGGCATCCATGCTTCTGCTAGAAGGTTGCTATACGGTGGTGACGGTCGCGTTTTGTTGACCCTTAAAGAGGCTCTACGTGAGTTCCCCGACTATGGACTTGTGCTCTGCGGACATTCACTGGGAGCTGGCGTCACGTCTTTGTTGGGCATCATGCTGTCTGAGCCTAATCCCATCGGGCCTGGTTTCGTCACATCTGCCGAGCCGTATACACTCAGGCCTCCGCCAAATGAAGCTCTTGTCAACGTGAAACTGAGCGATATCCGACCTCCATCCGGCCGCCGCATACATGTATATGCGTATGGCCCTCCCGCCGTCATGTCATCATCTCTTCGCAAAATCACCCGCGGCCTCATCACCACTGTCATACATGGCAATGATCTGGTTCCTCATCTGTCCCTGGGCTTGCTACATGACTTTCAAGGCGTCGCTCTCGCGTTTAAGCATGACGAGAACAACACCAAGTCTGAGATCCGTCAGCGCATCTGGAATACGCTCCAAGACAATGTCTCAGAGAGGTGGTACTCTTATCGCAGCGCGAGCAAAGTTGCCAGTAGTGGAGGTGTCAGCGATGAAGAGAGATGGATGCTCCCCGCGCTAGAAAATATGAGGACAAGCATGAAAGGGAAGAAGCTTCTTCCACCGGGTGAAGTGTTTACCATTGAAACGCAGCGAGTGTTGAGGAGGGATGCCTTCCTTCTGCTGGATGAAGAGCATATCGGGCGGCCTGCTCAGAGGATTGTACTCAAATATGTAAAGGATGTAGAGGGTCGGTTTGGAGAGCTGCGGTTTGGAACGAGCATGTTGACAGATCATAGTCCGGCAAAGTATGAAGATGCTCTGAACAAGCTGAGAGTTGGAGTCTCAGCTTAGTGGACATGTTTTTCTGATGATCCCGCTTGTGGAAATAGACATTTTCTCTTTTATTTATAGCACGCATTATATACCTATCTCTCATTCTTTCTCTCAGAAGCAATTACAATATGTCATTGATCTGCGTACGCATAATATTAATAGTGTCCCAGCTTCGATTTATTACTTCGCCGCTCGCTGGGTGATGCCGAGCAATGTGTTTCTAACAGTATCAAACTCGGGATCATGGGGCTCGAAACTTGCCATATCTGCGTTACTCCGAGGGATCGCGCACGTATGCTGGCCATTGCGTTCCCCTAAGTGGCAGCGAGTTGCTGAGGCTTTTGTCACAACAACTCCAGCATATGACGCTGTATCCTTGTGCTAATTAGCATCTTGCTTATTGTATTGAAAGGTCCTGCATCTTACTTGGCGTGAGATATCGGACTCCAGTGTCTCATAAAAGCTGAATATCTCGGTCTCACGTTTTTGAGAAAATGCTTGGAGGAATTCAGCATGCAGTTGATCGAGAAATTCGGATCCTCCTTGGTGAAGTGACTCTACAACTTGCTGATTGGGATGTCCAGCAGCGACTTGGAAAGAAGTTATGTCCATTCCGTCGTGAGGGACGCCGAAGAAGACCACTCCGCGGATTGCGCGGAAAAGATTCATCTCTGTCTCTCCTCGTAATTTTGACAGACTTGTCAAAGCCTACATATTCTTTTAGCGACGATAACATGCCATCTTCATGGGAAGTATCTACCTGCTTTATGACTAGACCTCCAAAGCCATGGCCAATAAATATTGTTGGCTTGAACTGAGAGGAATTACTTAGCGTGATGAAGACTTTGACAAAAGCTGTCCCCAAGGCTTCGAGTGTCATCCGCCCGTTTATTTCATTCAATATTGACTGGTAACCATATGTCATGACTCGCGCCATTGGCTGTCGTGTCTCCGTGTCGACAAGCTGAGCTGGTAGAATATCTCGTAGCCACACATGGTTACTTGCCATATCCTCAAATGACTCCAATGGACATCCACTGATGTTTCCAAGAGCAATTATACTGTTTTGTTCAGCAATTGGAATTGTGCAACGGAAGTGTGCATACATACTCTACTTTGTGATCTTTGGCCGGTGGTAAATACAACGATGTGATGCCGAGCAAGTTATCGTCAATTTCTAGATATCCACTATTGGAAGACGGCTTCTCGTGCGGCCCCTCTAGTGAGAGGTCCCATGGCTTTGGGCCTTGAGTGACAGATGGACGATTTTTATATACTACCGTTGCGGTGAATGATCGACGGTCGACTTCAGGCACAAAAGATTTTATGTCCGGGTAAGATGAAGGGTCGTGTTGCTCCAAACAAGCTCGTAGATGGCCGATATTCCAGCCTAGAGGCACTCTTCGGACACGAAATGTAGCTCTTTGATTTGAGTATTGTTGCATCTGGAATGATGGATGGATTTAAATTGCAAGGTATTATGGCTTGACAATGATGAGAATAAGACGGATAGCAAGAAGAGTAGATTTGCAGAGAGAATGAGTTGGGACATCAGATTGAAGGGCTATTTCTATAAGTCTATATATGTCTTTTCTAAAATCCCATTTCCCGCGATCTATACCTGAATGGTTCATCGTAACAAGTTGTTGCTTCGTACTGACGATTTAGCTGCGTTTCGGCGGGGAGTGGTGAGAGACTAATGTATGCTGAAAGGATATGAAACGACTAGATGGTATTATTTTGATGGTACTGTTCGTGATATTCCATCGGCAAATGCCAATTAAGCGCCATGGATCAAGCCCATTTCATCTCGGGACATTGCTGGAGCTGGATGCAGTGATATCGCTGGTGCATTTGGCGCGGCTCCGCTTCTAATGCATTCGGTCGCAACCAGGGTCGGCGGCTATTTGCGCGTTGCTGTGAGGCTGACATCTAAAAATAAGAAACTCGAATTTTTCTTGCGTGAATACTCATGCAAAAAAGCTGTAAAGGAGGTACCCGTTGCAATGCGAGGCCAATGTGAAAGATTCTGTCCAGTCTAATCAGAATCAGGGGACTCGAAGCGTCTCATTCGGGTGGAAGCTGTTCGAACTTCCCAACTCTAAACGACGAGCTTGTCTTTCGAATAAGCAAACCGGGCGAGAGTGAAGAGTACAGCCCCTGTCATAAGGACGGCACCACTAAAGATAATGCCTTGGGAGTAGCCGCCATACCTATCGATCAGGGCTCCAGTGATTGGAGTGCCTCCCAAGGCACCAAATCCGATGAGAAATGTGGACATTCCTATATAAGTTCCGATCTATAAATATGTTAGATTGTACGGCTTTGGATATGCTGAATGTCAAACTGGGGCTTACCTTGCTTGGGTGATCTGCCGTATGTGAAATGGTAGTATACATGAGGCCAATAATGATGCCACTTGTTGCGCCAAACAAAATGGCCAGCACGATGAGGCCTGCTGTTGAAGTGATCTTCAACCAGCAAAACATCAGTAACCCAGAGGCGTAACAGGCTACAGTGATGACATTGAACTGGCCGAGATACTTGGCAACAGAACCAGCAAACACTCGGCCCAAGAACGACCCTGCATTGATCAAGGCAAACAGATAGGATGCCAGACCTGGAGACATTCCGTGTAGTGAACCATAGTCAGCGAGGTAGAAATACGGCGTCCATAGTCCCAGAATGATCATGAACAGGGCTGCCACTTGGAGAGAGAAGGCGGGAATCTTGAACGCTTCTGGCAAAACTAAAGCGCCCTTTCTCTTTAATGGTGTTGGCCGAATAGCAATTGATGCAATTGCCAGCAAGAACAGAGTCAGGAAGCCACAAATCCGCTGGGCCCACGCAAACCCGACCGAACTGTTTTGGAGGAGGTTTGTCATAATTACTGGGTAGATGATTCCTCCGAGGGGAGAACCTGTGGTGGCAAAGGCCATGGCTATCGGTCGTCTCTTGTGGAAGTAGTGCCCAACAATGGAAATTGCTGGGGTAAATATGAGGCCGGCTGAAATGCCAATGAAGATTCCTTGACAAAGAATGAATTGGTAGAGTTCAGTGCAAAGGCTCGTGAGCATCATGGCGACGACAAGAAGAACAGAGAATGGCCATATGATAACCTTAAAAAGAACGAGTGTTAGTCGCAATCAAGAAGACATGATTTGAAATGTTTCGTACCATTGCTCCATACCGGTCTGCGAGCGGACCAGCGACCAAAGCCGCCGAGAACTGGGCAAAAGACTGAAGAGCACCGATCCATGCTACATCAGATGGAGAGTGGCCGGATAGGAATGTCTTGAGATAGTATGTTTCGTAGACTCTGGCATTGGAGAGGAGTTGTGTTAGCTTTCATCCTGCTCAAGACTGAACCGCTGAGTACGTACCCAAAAGAGTTAACATAGCCAAAGGATGCAAAGGATGTACACCAGCATCCAAAGACAACCAACCATGCCCGCAAACCTCCTTCCGGATATTCATGCACATGGGCCTTTGTCTCGATGGAACTCTCAACAACCTCCTCACCCCCTGAGAAGATTGCCGACTCGATCTCGGTGCTGCTACCCGAAGACATGGTAGCAAATGAAATGACTGGGCACTAAGATTTAGAGTCCTTGGTCACAGGAGGGATGCCACACTACCCAGGATAGCCGATCGTAGATCTGCTTGAATGTCATTTATCCTCAGGAGTTATGGGTGTCTGAGCTTAAATATGGTCAAACACGGCCATTGTTGAACAGCATCATCTCCGAATCACCGAGCTGACGGTCCACAAACGTGCTGCGTGGAGTAGTCAACATAAAAAGTCAACATAAAATCCATCTTCTTATCTGATCCTCACAGCCCGTGCTCGATTTACGAAATAACTCCAGGCAGAGATCTCGGTGTAAGGCGAATTGAAGCTCGATCAATAACGCCTCGTCTGGGAATAGCGCCGGAGAAAGTGACGAGATTTTTTCCACAACTGGAGAGGGTGGAGAAGCGCGGATGACGGAGATGGTCGGTCATTTTGCACGCCACCCAATCACGGCCCACCGGGAATGTATAGAATATCTCCTTGGAACCCTGGACGACCCTTTGCAACCTTGATATGAAGATCAAGAAAGCATTTGAAATCGAGGACAGACTCTGCACCCGCCAAAGATGACAGACGATCCGGAACGGGTGTGTCCGGCTCCGACAATAGCCGATGTCGGCAGTGAGAAAGGCACTGTCCGTTTGGAGGCTCCAGCTGCAAGCTCCAACTCCAATGCCGGGCCTCAGGAGGGACGCACAAGGAAGAAGCGCCTTCAGTTGAGCTGCGGTGAATGCAGGAGGAAAAAGGTAATGCGAAGAAGACTAACTTTCTCAGAGGCGATGGTGTCTTTGATTTTCATTTTCTGACCCAGAACACTCGACAATAGCTCTCCTGTGACAGAGGCCGACCATGCCGCCGCTGCGTGAGGACGGGAAGAGCAGACCAGTGCGAATTCGAAACTAACCCGAGGCCTCTGTTGTTACCAATCAATCATGGCGCTCAGTTGGAGCAAATTAAATCCGACCAGGCCGAGCTTCAGAACCTTCGAACTGAGATTTTCCAGTTGAGGGAACTGCTCTCGAAGCCGACTCCTCAGCAAGGCAGGGATCTCTTTACCGAAGATGTCAATGGCGATGAGATTCCCAAACGAAGTGAAGTGGAGGCCAAAGATGCCATTACCATCAGTCAGAATCCCATCAATACCAACGATGGCCCACCTGATCCAAGAGAGAAATCCCCACGGGGATACTACAGACGACATACCCTGCTGCGATTCTTCTCAGAGGTAAATTTCGTGTCTGGTTCTATCGAAGTAGGAATCTTAAGTCACTAATTTGATGCTATAGATTCCGCAGTTGTTTCCATTCATCAAGGAAATAGCTGATCAATGGCTTAAGCCCTACGGAATCTACATCAAGAAGAATAAGGCTGGCAAAGATGATGGCTGGAGAATGAAGATGGCAGCCCAAGAGCAGCCACTGATAGAAACTCTGTTACCACCAAAAGGTGACACAGATGTGCTAATCGCCATATACCTTGATCACTTTGAGCAGCTCCATCGTGTTGTTCACGTCCCGACATTCAACAGGGAGTATATCAACTTTTGGACTCCTGGTAAGCCGCGATACCCAACGATGGCAGCAATGATATTGTCCATGATTACGGTGTCAATCTGTGCCTCTTCCCACCTTGTGGGCGGTACACCAGTCCCTGCCGCTTACAGGAACATGGCTGAGCAGTGGATTTCTTCAATTAATGACTGGTTAAGATTGCAAAGTACAAAACATCGCAAACTTGTGCACTATCAAGTCGGCTGTTTAATGTACATTGCCAAACGGATGAACATTGTCGGAAAGAAAAGATTCTGGAAAGATACCGGCTCTTTGGTACAAGACGCTATCATGGATGGGTTGAATCGTAACCCTTCCATGGCAGATGCCTTCTTCATAAGGGAGATGAAGAAACGCATCTGGTACACCATTCGCGAGCTGGATCTCCAGAATTCTTTTGAATGTGGCCTGCCCACTCTTCTGAACAGCGTCGAGTGCAATGTCTCAGCGCCCCTCAACCTTGCTGATGAAGATTTTGACGACACTACCAAGCAGACTCCCATGTCAAGATCCTCTGATTACTATACAACGTCTTCTTACCAATTTCATAGCTTCCGCAGCTGGGAGCTCCGCCTTGAGATATCACGACGATTATTCGGATCCGGATTCTTCAGAGCTCTAAGCTACGACGATGTTTTGCGCTACACTCATGAAATCACAAAAGCTATCAATGACCTTCCCCCTTGGAGCAGCAGCAGCAGAAACGACAACAAAGGTGACGCAGGCCTTTTGTTATCGTACTCAATACTGGAGTTTCAGCTCAAAGAATGCCTCTTGGCCATTCACCGGCCATACATCGACAGAGAAGGCGGCGGCTATCCACTTTCGGAGAACATTTGCTACCAGACATCACGAGAAATACTAGTTTCTAGTATCCAGCTTACAAACCTGGGGATTCAAAGCTTGGCACAGCTGCGCGAAGATCTTGCGCTTGCTTCACTCCATATAACGCGCCTTACTCTATTACAACCAGAAGGTTCGTCTTTTTCATCCCGTTGCGAACCATTTCCTTCATAATATCATACTGAATCTCAAATAGGCTCCAGTAGTATCATCATGACCAATGCACTGTCGACTGTCGATTTACTAGAGCAATGCCTCCCCGTTATCGAAGACAAGTACCTACGCTTCTCTGATCCTTGGACCTTTTTCATCATGTGCACAGCCATCATGCTCATTAAGATCCATCTGGGAAAGGAATCTCGACAAAATGCAAAATCATCTTGTGCACGAAGATTTCTGGACTTGTACTACAAGAATGTATGGATGCATCAGCCTGCTGATCTTGCTCAACAGCAGGCGATTACCCAAGATATTGTCAATCAAACCGCTGTAAGTTTCGCATCAACCACGTCTCTTTTCATTCCTCCCTTTTGTACGTCGTTATTTATTACCGACGCAAACTTACGACCACATCCATTACAGGCTTCTAATGCCTGCCCACCACCTCCTCCAGATGCAAGCGCTCTTCCGACTGCAGTGTGGCTCGACAGCAGCTACCCCGATGTAAGTTCAAAATTTCGGTAATAAATATGCCGGCGCTAATCTTCCGATAGGTTGGAAACGATCCTTTCGATCTCGCAGTTGAGTTGGACGTGTGGGAATCCGGATTTCCACTACCGGGTTTCCCGAACTGCTAACCACAAGCCGATGTCGCTGTATCGAGTTTCCGAAATGGAGATTCGCTAATACGGTATGCGAGCCGAGCGCTTCATGGTATCAGAGCCGAGCGCTGCATGTTGGAAATACCCAATGCAACTCTTTTGTTTATCCGCACGTATGATATCGTTCAACTGCAGCGGGCACGGCTGCTATTGGGTTGCGAAATCCACTTCATTGAGTTCCACATGATGCTTCTCCGCACTCTTATGTCCATAATGTATAAATGAATTCGAATGATACTCTTCTCATTTCTATATCAGCTTAATCACAACGCGAACAAGAATTACCTGCGATCTTTGTGCATTGCATTCGAAACTGTATCAATGGCGTTATTCCAGCCGTTTTCCGTCTCTGGAAAAACGGCCATCATAACTGGCGCCGGTTCTGGTTTGTCTCTCATGCTAATTTGGTGATCAAACAACTGAAGGATGCTTTGACTTACCATGCCATTCATTCTTAGGTATCAATCTTGCGTTTGCGGAACTTCTTCTCTCGCGGAACTGCAATGTCGTCTTTGCAGACCTGGAGCTGCGGCCAGAGGCAAAAGATATTATTTCCAAATACCAGAGCGATGGAAAAAGCCAGGCTTCCTTCATCCGGACAGACGTAACCTCGTGGTCCGACCTTTCTAAAATGTTTAGCTTTGCCCTGGAAACCTATGGGGATTTCGACATTGTTTGCCCTGGAGCCGGAGTATACGAGCCTCACTGGTCCAATTTCTGGCATCCGCCCGGGTCCAGCGAAAGCAGGGACGCACTCGAGGAAAATCACTATAAGCTGCTGGATATCAATCTGACGCATCCCATTCGTGCAACACAGATGGCAATATCGCATTGGCTATATCCTCGCCCGCCCGCCAAAGGTTCCAAGTTCAACAGTGCTCCGCCAAAAGTATCACTCAGCAACCCAAAGAGGGTCGTTCACATCTCTTCGGTTGCTGGGCAGATTCCTGTATTTAGAGCCCCGCTGTACGGCGCATCCAAGTTTGGTATTTCTGGCTTCATTCGCTGCCTCACACAGCTAGAGCCTCGATTCGGAGTGCGCGTAAATGGTGTTGCGCCTGGAGTTGTCCGTACTCCTCTTTGGACGGAGCATCCAGAGAAGCTGATGAATGTTGACGCTGCCCAAGATGCGTGGGTGACTCCGCAAGAGGTAGCCCAAGCAATGCTACAATGCGTTGAAGAGAACGAGTATTTTGGGGGAACGATCTTGGAAGTCGGCGCGGGTCATACTAGGAAAGTAAAGGTTTACAACGACCCAGGCCCAAACATGGATCCCTCCGGGGGCATTATTACCAGCAATAGTGCCCTTGGCGATGATGAAGTCATTGACTGGCTGCATGAAGAGGCCATATGGGGAGCTCAAGACTAGGGTTTTGAGCCGTCGCGTATTATGTGTTGATTACACATTCTTCTGTCGCCTAGGGTTCCTGGAGAGATGGAGTTTCAGCCTTGTGGGGAGTAGGCAAGCATACATGTACAAGCAAGGCACATGGCGAACGACTCCTAGAGGCATAACGAATGAGGAACTTGATACAAGCATCTGGAATAAAGGGCATATGCTCTATTCTGTTAGTGCAACTGAGAAACTGTTCGGTTCAGCGTCACAGGCTCCACCCAACAAGATAGTGTGCATGATTCCAAACCCATGAACTCCAAGCGCTTACAGCTGAACCAGGCCCCACGGGCTTGCATATATTACCCGCGATCCCAGAAACCAATTATGCCTCCTATCATGTGGGATTCCAGGTTCGCCCACCCTGGTCGTTGTATCTACGTGCTTATTCGCGACTAAATTTAGGGGCCCTGTGGCGCAGAATACTGGGCGAACATGATATAGTCTGGAATCAGGAGTTGAGTATTTGGCATGTGTTTTGAACTGCGCCAGAAGGTTCCCTATGAGTCGCACCAAACATGAATGCCGACAGGCATAAATAGGGGGAACTTATCCCTCTTGAACGGAAAACCCTAGCTTCATTGTCCTCCATTGAGTCAGTCTTGCAAACCTAACTCGAATGATAACTATCTGTTCACAACCATCTTTGATCCTTTGATTCCTTCGTACAACTTAACAACTCTTTCAACTTAATAACAATGGCTTCCATTCTCCGCAAGCTCTTCCGGCGCAAGAAGCAGCCCCCGCTGGTCTGTGCCGTGAACCTAGATGCCGATGGAAACCCTGTTGGCGAGCATCCCGACCATGTGCACACGGACGCTTGCTTTATCAACTTTGAGCCTCTCGCCATTGCGGAGCTATTCCAGTCGCAGTCGTGCCAGTCATGTCCTCCTGCTCTTCCCGGTATCCATGCCGCTACTGCAGACCCTAATGTGCTCCTCCTGAGCTATCCCGTCACCCTCTTTGACCACACAGGGTGGAAGGACACCTTCTCGAGCCTCACCAACGACGCCCGTCAGCGTGCATACGCCAAACGCTGGAATCGCACGAGCTTGTTTACCCCTCAAGTCGTAGTCAATGGCGTTGCCGACGGCAGTGGCCGAACCAAGGAAGAGATTCAACAAATCATCCAGCAGGGCAGAGAGATCCAGAAGGCTCGCGACTGGCACATCTACGTGGATGCAAACGATACCGAAGTCCGTGTCGACACTGACAAGCAGGAGGCAAACCCACACGAAGTCTCTCTCGTCGTCTATGCCAACACCGACCAGACCGTCAAGGTTGGCAAGGGAGTCAACAAAGGCAAGAAGATTAACCACCGCAATGTCGTGACTTCAGTCACAAAAATTGGTGACTGGGTTGGCGGAAACGCAACTTGGTATCTGCCCACGCCGCGAAGTGCCTTGGCACCTGATCAAGGCGCAGCCATCATCATCACGGACGGTGGTCTTGGAGGACCGATTATTGCTGCGGCCAAGATCTAGAGATGGACATGTCGAGAATAGAAGTTTATGTAGTTTGAGATACCAGAAGAGCTATATGCTCTTATTTGTATTTGGTTCTACTTTTATGCGAGATAATTTTAGCCCCTAATATTGCGTCGGAGCTTTTGTTTTCCTTCGGGACGGCCTGTGAGTTTGTGATTGACTACTGCGTAGTGCTGCAGGTGTACCGAATATCCGGTCCGCTTGCATCCAGATTTGTCATGTATACGAACTGAACTGGCCCAAGGCGATCCGTGAAAGGAAGTTGAGAACGTTGGTACAGAGTTTGTTAATTGCACCATTGGTTTCAGGTCACAGTTCATTGACCTCCTAGGAGTCGTGAGTATATTTGGGCCTTAGGAACATTGACTGTTTTACATGATGAATGGTGGTTCGTACAATGGCTTGCTGCAAAGCTGTGATCGCAGCTGAAGGTCATCTTGAAGTTGTCTACAATACGGGGCATCGACAACTACGGCAAAACAGCTCATAACACCGCCCAACAGTCCGCGATTCTCCGCAACTATAGCAACTGTTGTCGATCAGCATGACAAGTCCAAACTATCGATTCATGAACAGGCTCCATAAGTTGTGATACTATTGAGTTGTCCCAGTTGTTGTGATAAACGAGGTCTTCAGGGGTTTCGTGGAACAACGGGGCTCCCCCGCTATACAAGTGCTTATTTCTTTGCACTTATGCATCCATTACTCAGGATTTGTAACTATTGATCTTCGGCAAATGAACAGAACCAATTCCATGAATGAGAAGCACTCGCCTGTTTGCAAGAGTGGTTTTGAATGAATCTTGACAAGAACTTGTTCTTCTCCAACATACAACTGAGCTATACGTATAATGTATCTGACACGTCTTGCCGAGGCTAATAGACGCATTGTCGTTTGTTCTATGTGGAATACGATGTAAACAAAGTCTCCATAACACCAAGATAGTTGCTTCTAAGCGAGTTTAACGAGAACTGCGACTGTTCATGATGTGGTAAGCTAATCCCCACTGCTTACGTTGACTGAGACATCTACTGCCCTATCCGGTATTACATGTGCCAGCGTGTGCGTATATTCTTAAGCGAATACTTCATCTCCGCGGCCAACGATCCACAGTATCCACTCCAGCTTCTTCATAAGGAAAATGGGGTGGTGAATCAGAATTCCCTAAACTGCATTAGACTAGAGAGCTGCTAGAGTAGTGGCTCAGACGGTCTATATTATCTCGACAGTGTATCCTTGACTCTTTGTAAACTCCAAGAAATCCTCCTCTTCGAGGTTATGTGTGTTTCCAGTGAACGCTTCTCCTATATACGTCCCTTCAATGTCAAAGTTGCTCGTTGAAAAAGCGCCCAATCGAATATACTGGCCTCGTTTGTTCGTTCTTTGAAGTACCAAGCCTCTCATATCTCTTCGACTTTTAAAGGAGCGATAGGCAACATAAAGCAAGAATAATCTGGAAGCACCGCCCCCATCATCTGCCGCGGGCTTATCCCAAACCATTTCAACGCTAGCAGTTTCAGCGCCCTGCTCAACTTTGCACATATGGCCTCGAACACGTAGCCAACAACTTGTGACTCCATCGAACTGACTAGCAGATCTTCGCTGAATACCGCCCAATTCCACCACTGCTATATTTGGGTGCAAGTAATCCATATCGGCAGACTCGACGGCACACGTTAAAGCGGCCCATGACCATGTTGGTGCGATTTGTTCCTGATTCATGTTCTGCAATAACATTGATGGGGCTTCTGTCCGGGGAATCCTGCGCCAAACTAGAGCCAGCGGGAGATGCGCCATCCATATGCCTGCGACGTATTCATCTGGCGACTGCAAACTGAGGATCGAATATCTTTCAGCAAGGGCCGACACTGCAAGTAGTCGATCTCCAGAGAAGCTCAAGGACGTTGCAGAATATTGGCGCACGACGTCATACCAAAGAGCATTCATCGTATCATCTGGCAAAGCAGCTGAGGAAGAGGCGCTCAATATGCCTCTCATATCGCCAGCGGAGGTCGGATCTATAGGCTCCCCCTCGGGTCGAATGTCTGATGCCAAGAGAGAATTGCATTCCCAGAATACCTGATGCTTAGTGAAATGAAGTACTCGAGGTGACAATATCCGCTCTTGCAGGACCCATCCTCGCCTGTTCAATTCACCTTCGTCGGACTCGACCAGTATCTTATTGTGGAAAGCAATCAGGTCAAGAGTTTTATTGACTCCTGGAAGTTGCACACTGAGTTGACATGGAGAAGTCTTCAAGACATCTCTGTTGAATATTAACCCGTCTGCTCCGCTCGTGGAATCAGTAGCCGATATGTTGAGCGACGAGTTGTAGTAGATCTCCCCCATTAGAGCAATCTCTTTTGCTTTCTCGGAATCGTCATCTTGCATGAGGCACATAGAGTCTATCCAGAGATATCGGATTCCCAGGCATCTGGTGACGTACATTGCATGCCTGAAGAGTTTTGCATTGGAAGATTCTAGCAGCTCTAGCGGGATATTGCTGTTCAGAAGAGTCGGCGCCGTCGTCGAGTTGAGTATGATACTTGGCGAATTGCCCCATCGGTGACTCAATGTCATGTATCGTATATCTAGCGGAAGAGATTTGGTCGAAATGATTCGTACAGGCGGCGCTACATCGATATCCAATGCTTGGAATTCCTTGCGTGAGAGTGCTTTGCCAGAGTGAATGTGAGGTGGCTGATCTGGCGACACATCTACCAGTCTAAGCGGCAGCTGTCTCTTTATCGGAGGCCTTGCGCACTGCCTGTGGGCGTTTGTGGTCGATGCGCAAATCTGCATCCAAGCTTGAACTGTTTGTAGAGCTTCAAATGACCAAGTAGTCGGAGTATGATGCATGCTCACAGCTGCTTTGGCACCTAAGGCGAGTCAGTCTCCACCTCTGATTCGGTCTTAGGTAGAGATTCCATACTGATCTGAATCCGCAGATCTTGGACAAAGTCGTACTTGCGTATTTGAAAACCTAGATCAAGCAGCTGGTCGTCTTTGTCTCCCCACATCACCCATTGGATGGGGCTTTGGGGATCATATGCATCCAAGATGTGCGGGAAGACGTGAGCTATTAATGAACACATGTGGCACGATTTTGCATTGCTGTTGGCAATTAGTAGTGAATGGTGCTGCTCGGTGAACTCTATTGAAACATCGTCTGATATGTTGCCATCTTCTGACTCGGAAGTGAGGAGATGGGCCGCATGCTCAAAGAGTCCTTTGCACTGCCCGCACACTTGGTTCAAGGATGATATCATGGCTTGGCTACAGGAAGTATAATTATAATTATTGTGCCTTTCTATTGTTGGTTTGAAGAAGAGGTGAATCGAACAAAATGTACAGGTTCCTGTGGAATAGAGCTGGTAGGTGCAGTTTCATTGTCCCGGCTCATCGAATCTCACCAACCCCGCAGAGAGCTCGAAGGATTCGTATTACCCACAGCTACAATATGCAACTTGAATAGCATCAATAGAAGTTTTTAAAACTAACTCCTTTGACTCTTGTTTCCTCCATCTCACCTTTACTCATGTTGCCACTATATAGATGCAAAGCACCTCCCTGATTGCGATTCTTCATGGCAACCTACATCCTACATCCTCCAACTTACAACAGCACGAGTCTCGGCCACCATTTCCATATACGCGCGAGAAAAGACTACGATAGATGCAAACCACCTCACCAATGTCAACAGCATGATGCTTCTGAGTCATGCCTACAGAGATATCACGAGAAGCACATATACGAAGCCTGCAGCGGTTCTTTTCCTCCCTCATCCATCCAGCTCGGGATCTCGAAAGCCCAAATCGAGATTCTTCAAGAGGGGTGCACGATCCTTGTACCGAAGAATTCTATGCAGCTATACACTATAAGAGTTTCTTCTACCGGGGACACGGTTTCTTATAGCGCGGTGCTCAATTCCTGTAGTGAGTTGCAGTCCGCCAAACTTGGACCAAGCCCAGCAGCCAGGACTGGGAGAATTGCAGTCTCATCAAGCCGAAAGTCGACCATTGTGACTTCAAGATGTGAGAAAATTATCACCATTGTCGCCAAGTTTTGCAGTTTGGATCACGAATCTGGTGTTGTAACCCTCTGATGCTGCCACATTCTGGATGGGATTTGGGTTCATCATGGCAAAGTTGGGCATTGGCAGTTCGATTTTGACCACCTCATCAGGGTTATTTCGCTTGATCGTGGTGTCTGGTGAGCTCAATTATCGCCAATTTGGATGTCTAACCCTGAGTTCGCGATGTTTTCGTCCAAGTTTTTGATGTTTTCATCCCTCGAAATCTCCAGCTCGAGACATAATTTGAACGAAACATGGTCGGTTTGGACCTTGTAGGTTCGAGTTTGGTGCCTCCATCAAGGCGATTTGCTCTCATCTTGGATATTTTTGACGCTGTTCAAGACCAAAATTATCACCAACTGGAGGTTGTCGAGCTCTCCCTTGGTGTTTTCAACGCCCTTTCTTGCGATTGAGTCCAAGTTTTGTGAGTTGTCAACCACCAAAATTATCGCCAACTTAGGTCATCGACATCTTCTTTAGTGTTTTCACCTCCCTTTTCTCGCCATTGAGCCCAGGTTTTCGAGTTGTCGGCTCCCAAAATTATCACCAACTTGACTCTCTTGGTGTTTTCAACTCTTTTTTCTCGCCGTTTAGTCATGATTTTCGTGTTGCCAACTCGATTTTGGAGTCTTGATCAAGGCGATTTGCCTCCATCTCGAATCTTTGTGCAGCCAAATTTCACCAGATTATCACCAACTCCAGTCTTCTCAGCTGCCTTTTTGGTGTTTTCATCCAAAAGATCCCGCCATCGAGTCAAGATTTCCCTACCGTGAGCTCGATCTTGGTGTTTTCATCAAGGCGATTTGTCTCGATCGTGATCTCTTTTGCTCCCAATGATTCCCAACTTTGACCAGATCAGTCTCTTTTTTGGTGTTCTCATCTCGTTATTCTACATTGATCATGATGTTTTTTTTCTTTTCCCATTGTCATTCTGCGCATGACACCCAAATCCATGGTGTTTGCATCTTTCAATTTGATGCCAGCCGTGCGCAGCCTTTCGCCTGGCCCGCCAGATGCTTGGTGTTTGGCCGCCCACTCTGGCACTCGGCTCGACTGTGTGCACCTGGTGACGCCCATTTTCGACCGTCGCATCCCAATTTTTGGTGTTTACGCGCCCGACACTTTGATGACAGCTGCATCTAACCTTTTTTCTGATCCGCCAAATTCTTGGTGTTTTGGCCACCCCACTCTGCCGCTTTGCTCGACTTTGCACAGCTGTTGACGCCCGTGATCAACCACTGCACCCCATCTCTTGGTGTGTCCACGCATTCATAAAAATTAACGGTTGCTAGTATTTTCTTTTGTCAATAGCTACTAGAAGCATCTCATCAGATAGCTAAGTATCGCATCTTCAATAAAAAGTATACTTGTTGATCTGTCTTGATGCTTGCATAGAACTCAGCTCACACTTTAAATAGTAACATAGGCCGTACACCCATCTCAATGTAAACCCAATTCAACACCCAAAATCTGCAATGCCAGCAGCTTCGCCGGAAGTCGTGAAAAGACGAGCGGAGCAGCACACATCCAGAAACGCTCATGGCCCGAGGGCCTCCAATTGCCAATCCACTCCCCTTCCTCGTCATATTCAAAGGGCTTCCCTAGTTTGCTGAAAACTTTCTCGCCCATAAGATCTCTAACAGCTGCAGCAGCACCTTGATAGCCAGTCGCCATGATGATGTGATCCGCGGGCAATGTAGTTCCGTTGCTCATGACAATCGAGTTTTCCGTGATCCGCTCTATAGGCCCAGTCTGAAGCGCAATCTTCTTCTCTGCCACAAGCGTCATGCAGCCAGTGTCGTTAACGTACGGATGTTTCCTCTCCGCGACAATACCAATCAAGCCCGTACCGTTAGGCCCAGAAGTAAATTGGAAGCCAAGGGCCGTCATTTTCTGGAGCAACTCCTCATCTTCCTTCAACATCGCCTGCGCGAGCGAAGTGCCCCTCGTCATCCGGATGGGCATCGGGTATGCCCACATGATCATGTCCATCTCATGCTCAGGCAATAGAGGTTTATGCCAGTAAGCCGTCATAAACCCGTGTTTCACCAGCGAATCACGGCGGAAGAAGTAGGAAGGCCCACGCTGAATCATGGTGACCTCTGCCCCGTTTTCCCAGCTTCCTTGCGCGATATCTATGGCGGAGTTACCCATGCCAACAACAACAATCTTCTCCCCGGGCCCTGCTACGGCCGCCTCTCCAGCTAGGGCGGAGTGAATGACGCCAGTCCCATTCTTACTTTTGAAGCTGGCTAGGCCGGGTATGTTTGGAAGCCTTGGCTGACCATCCAGACCACTAGCTGCTACAATGTGATTTGTGCGAAACGTGCCTTTTCAAAGGTGAGTAATGGGAGGTTCTAAGTGGAAAGAAATACAACGCAAACTTACGTATCTCGGCGTTGCCACTGGCCGTGCCTCGTTCAATCGTCACCGTCCATTGCTTACTCGATGGATCGTAATCAGATGACTTCAGGGTGCTGTCTGTCCAGACATTCAAGTCCAGCAACTTGGCATAGCTCTCGAGAAAGTCTCCCATCTTTTCTTTTGGGGCAAATAACTGTCGTTGTAGTTAGTATGAGCGAAGAAAAGGAAGAGCAGGGATTCCTACAGGCCAAGTCTCTGGATACTTCATGTAAGGCAAACTCTCTGCATATACGGGATCATGAAGCACCAATTTACCGTATCTCTGGCGCCAATTATCTCCTACTCGAGGGTTCTTGTCTATGACGAGAGCGCGGATGCCCATGTGAGTCAGGTGGGCCGCAACCGTTAGTCCGGTATGGCCAGCTCCTGACAGATGATGAGTCTCGATTCAGCTCGCAAGCTTAGCAGTATGAGCTTATTTGTATTAGACTCACCGATGATAACAACAGCAGGCTCTTTATCTTTCATCTCACGCTCCGTAGCTCTAACCTCTGAAAAGTTCCGTCTCCCCGGCTCGTACCCATAGCGCAAATTCTCGGGTCTGCGAGGACCACACTTTGCTTCATATCCTTTAATCTCTTCAAGAAGCGTGCTGAAGGAGTAAGCTTTCCAAGAGCCATCTTCATCACGTCCAAGCTGTAGCATGCCAGTGCCTATCCTATCAGAGCTGAGTTCCAGCTCTAGGAACACGATAATACCAAAGATGGGTCCATCGGGAGGCAAGGCCGCATGAATGGGGAAATCTCGGGGCTGATGAGCCGGATTATCATCGAGACGCACTGCTTTTAGATTTTGCAGCCGATTTTCTTCTGCCAGATAGTTTGCGATACCTTCGGGACTGGTCAAAGTACGGAAATCCCAAGAGAGGCATACAAGATCTCTCCAGTAGCTGTTGTCAAGGAACAACTTTCTAATCTTTGGCTCTAGATCCTTTCCTGAAATGTTTTGCTGGTCTGTCGTCTTGAGAAGTTCTGAAACGCCATCAATCCACTCAGAGACAATCTCTTTGATGCGTACAGGGTCCATTATGGGTCGAGCCGACCCCGCAGGCCGCGGGGGTGCTAAAGCTGTTCGAGTTGCCATTGCAATATGCTACAATTGAGAAGTTTCAGGTTGGAGAAGTAGTAAACAGGCTGAGATCTCGAGATTCGATCGCTGCGGCCTTGGAAGCTATTTAAAAAATTATTTATTATAAGCCGTTGTTATGTTTTCTACCTAAGCTGGCCGTCACATCACTGACTTTAGCCTCTACTGTACTGTCAGCTAGTTGCAGGTCAGCAGGTTGCAGTGCCTCGGCAATCTCCTCCATTGTGGAGAATACACTCCTGTGAGGAGTAAACGAGGCCTCCTAGAGTGTGCGATAGCTATCACTTTTGTAGCGCTGACATAAGCTGGTGGCCATTGAAGCTAATCTTGAGATATCCGTATGGTATAATATGAGAGTTTTGGCGGATACGTTGGAGTGAGAGACAAGCAGAGGTGAGTGTAACTCCAACGTGGGACGAAGAATTGAATGAAGTGGGTGGAAAAGATGAATCAGCACTCTAATAGATGTATTACCTCGGTTCAATGGGAACTATGACCCCTCTTGGGAAAGAGTTGTTATGTCCATAAGCATCATGGCGTGTGAGATCTAAGATGGCGGCTGATGCTGCCAATTGCTCTGGGAATTGAAGTAAATTGATAAGTAATCGAAAAATCATGCACGTAACTGAGCTGATGTACTCAGTACGCAGAAATAGACGTTGCGACTACCCGGTAGAGAGAATGATAATGGCTCTTTGGGCAAATTGACGGGCTGATGATATGGCCGAAGCTCGACTTCTTTCCCCAAATTCGGCAACAATTTGCGGGAATTGAGCCAGCAATCTTCTCGGCCGTATCATTTGTACGGCCCAAAAGACCATTGTAGTGCATTTTGGCGGCTGCATCAAGAGTGCTGTTCAATGCAGGGAATGCTTTGGCCAGGTAAATGACTTTATTAGCTCGCCAACACTGGCCGTCTCGTAGGCAATTTGTCTTTCAATTGGCTTGCCCAAGACTTGGGCATCTCTGAGGGATGCCAACTAATTGCGAATCTGATAGATCACTATGGACTGATAGATTGATAAGCTCAAGAGCGCAAGTCTGGAAGGGCAAACGGTGCACTTACAACATACCTCTTGCCAAAGAGTCGGCATATGTCCACGTTGAGTATAAGCTCTCTGCTATTCTCGGCGCTCCCCTCGACTACTTGAATGCCATGATTGGGCCTCCAAGCTTTCTGGCCGCAGATGCCGCTAGAAATGGAGGTCCTGGTGCTTAGGGGCGGCTGATGTGAGAAGATGAACAAATTAGATATCGGCATTTTATGTAGGCTTTGCTTTTGTTAGAGTGATAGATATGGCTGCATTCCTCTTTCATAGCTCGTTAACCCGGTATTATTCCCGGGAGGAGTGAGATATTAGGTACTGATTGTTTGTAAGTGTTGGATCAACAGAGGGTTCTTGAGTGAGATGAGTTCCATGTCCGAAGTCATGTCCGAAGTTCCGTGTCCGAAGCTAGCCAAATCCTACGCCGTAGAAGGTCTCGGAATGCGTCGTCTACTATCGATAAACAGCGAAGTTTTATCGCCCTATTGTCCAGAGCGAAGGCTTATTCGGAACCAGAACCTCTCGTAAGCAGGTTCTCCAGCACAACTCAAAAGCAGCAAAATATCCCTATCGAGTAGCTGGATACTCTTTTTGTTCTTAGGCAAGTCATTGGACGCAACTCAAAATGCTGGAACCGATGGGAGTGGAATGGTCTATTCGTAAATCTATCGTGGGTATCATAGTATATCACTAGAAAAAGCTTCCGTTAGCCCTCAATCTATTAAAATCACAGCGCCAACCAACGGATGTCTCAGATAAGGTCATCATACACTCATCACCGTATCTTCCAGAGCATCTACGTCATCATCTTGGCCCGTGGTTCCTCCAGCTAAACTGCTTGATGGCCGTAACCGCGACCCAGGCACACGCAACGATGGCGACGGTAATGCGAACCTCTCGCGCCAGTTCCGCGGCCGATTGCGGGAGAAAAAATGTGTGGGCGTGATTGATTGCCCCCGAATGCTGGGCCGAGAGGAGGAACTGCTCCATTGCGCCGATTGAAGAATGTCGTTGATCCAAGTTTTGGCTGTAAAGGAAGATCTTAAAATTCGGCGCGGGATGCTCTAGCTTGCGATGATCTGCTGGGCGGATAACGGATAAGCATCGGTGCTAAGCCTATGTCAGGCGGACGGTGGGCTACCTTGAATTTTTTGTTCTTTCTTTTCCTACCTCTCCTGTTATGTGGAGCTATAAGATACTGAGAAGATGCAATTAATCTGTGATTGAAGTTAACATGTGAATGAAAAAACTGATTCGAATGATACTCAAATACTGCAATACATAAAAGTTTACAAGAATCGCTAAATCCATTTTGAAGAGTGGCAGTTACACTGCCAAATCGCCAAATAATTCATCACCACAAAGTGACAAGTGCTAACTATAGCTTCACCCTCGTGACAGCGTCCAGCGTGTCTTTACTTGACACACGACCTTGACCCCCGTCTCTCCCCCTCTCTCGCAGCTACTTGTACACAAAGTTATTGTTACACGAGAACTCACGCATTCCTTCCAAGCTGCGAGGTACACATTACACCACAGGCACGTCTCATCAAACCCTTGAATTCCACGTGTTAATCACATACTCCGGATGCATCACCTCTCTCCCCCGTCAAGAAAATGATGCTCGCCTGGCCAAGAACCATAAAATTAACAGGGCTTCTACCAATCTAAATCACGAAACCCCTCCAGGTATCACTTCTCGTGTCACACAAGCAGGGAACATTCTGCTTCATGCAATGCACAGGAACGACATCCGGTTGGAGAGTCCTCCGGAATCACGGGCCGGTATTCCGGAAGAAAAAAAATTATTTTGAGCAGGGATTTTCACGGTGAGGCTTAATGTCTTGCATGATTTTGTGGCAAACGAGAATGCGGGTGTTTCTGGACTGGGGATCGACTGGCTAGGGGTTGCATGTAACACATCGCATACAGACTGAAGCGAGGCTGCGTCTAGACGTGCTTGCTTGACCCAATCCTTGCTGCTATAATTCCTTTCTCCATATTCAAAGTCCCAAATCCACACAAATCCTTCTTATTACACACAACACAAAAGATCCCCTTTAGAATTTAGAGAAAAAATTCAACCATCTCCACTCCCCGTCCGGCAGTGGATCTCGTTACGTCTCGATTCATCTTTAACTGCCCGTTTCTGCCGCCATCACGAGCTTAGTCAAGGCGTCCTCCGGGCCTCGTCGGCCGGCTCCGACGTCCATCCCCGGCCTTCATCTCCACCAAAAGCTCTTCTCACGCCGCCGGCCGCTTTTTTTAGCCTTGCTGCCCCTCCCCCTCATGCCATTTCTGGCCTCGTCTGGGTCGTGAGCATGGCTCTAACTCGGCATCTTATTGTTCGATTTGCATCTTTTCTCGAAGCCCTAGAAGCAAAGCAGACGATAGCCGAGTTTTGAGCCTCGCTAATATTCTCTCCCCTGGTCAAAAAACTTTTTTCAGTTCTGTTATCCCCCAGGAATAATCAAGCGTGAATCTTTTTTTCAAGCATCTCTTTTCTATTCTCCCATCTTATCAGAAGACCCTCTTCCCTGCGCGAATAAGCACAAGAACAAGAAAAGACAAATCATCATGGCGACCGAATCGCAGCCTCAAGACCTCCCCATGGACCTCCCCATCATCGACCTCGACATCTACCTCAACAACCCATCCTCCTCTCCCGCCGTCCAAGCCGAATGCTCCCGCGCCGCCTCCGCCCTCATCACATACGGCGCCCTGCTGCTGCACGACTCGCGCGTCTCCGAAGCCGACAACAACACCTTCCTCGACCTGCTCGAGGACTACTTCGCCCAGCCCGAGCAGGACCTCAAGCGCGACGAGCGCCCCGAGCTGAGCTACCAGATCGGCGTCACGCTCGAAAACACCGAGAAGCCCAAGTGCGCCGTCGACGAGCCCTGCCTGGACGTCATCCAGCGCCTGGACCCGAGCCAGCGGCCGCTCGACATCTCGGCGCACTCGCCCGACCCAAAGTGCCGCTTCTTCTGGCGCATGGTCGAGCTGCCGCCGTACGAGACGCAGTTTCCCGGGCTCAACGCCGAGAACATTGTGCCCGATGCCGCGCATATCAAGGAGAGATGGGCACCGACCATGAACCAGTGGGGGAGCTCCATGAAGAACGCGTTAGTCCATCTCTACACATCATCTATACCTTCATTACCATGAAGAGATATTGCAATAAGAAAACTAACACTAAGATGGCAGCGTCTCCAAGCTGTCTGAAATGACAGCCCTCGGTCTCGGTCTCGAAGCCGACCACTTCAGCTCCGCCGGCCGCTACGGGTACGTTCCCTCTCCTCCTCTTCCTCCTCCGTTCATCTCATACTAACACCAACCCTCCCACAGCCCCCATCTCCTCGCCCCAACCGCCTCCGACCTCACCAAATACGGCGCCAAAGACACCATCCTCGCCGGCTTCCACACCGACCTCAACTTCCTCACCATCCACGGCCGCTCCCGCTACCCCGGCCTCAACATCTGGGCCCGCAACACGGGCTCCCGCATCCCCGTCAAGATCCCGCCCGGCAACTACCTCCTCGTCCAGGCCGGCAAGCAGATCGAGTACATCACCGGCGGCCTCATCAAGGCCGGCTACCACGAGGTCGTCGTCAACGAGCGCACCCTCGAAGTCATCGAGAAGCGCAAGGCCGAGTTCTCCGACCGGCCCCTCGTCCGCATTTCGAGCACCCTCTTCTGGCATCTCAACTCCGACTTCGACCTGGCGCCCGTCCCGGCGCTGGCCGAGAAGGCGAAGAAGGTCCGCGAGGAACAGGCCAAGCTCGGGCGAGACGAGGGCGAGGAAGTGCAGTATCCTGCAACCAAGGTCGGATTCCAGGTGCAAGAGTGAGTACTTCATAAACTTGTCCCCTCTCCTTATATCAACTTACTCCCTGTCTTAATATCAACTTGCTCTCTTTGATATCAACTCGTGAGATGAAACAAGTAAACTGACAAATTTGGCAGTGAACTGAAACACATTGCTTTGATGGCATAAAGCGAGCGAGTCTAGAGCGTTTATAGCTGCGGCAGGCATTTTTGGATATACCCAAAAGTTTATGACCATGACATGAAGATATGAAAATAAACACAATGATCTAAGCCATTTTGATCCTACCAGTCACTTGGTGATGATGTTTATCACGCTTATTACAGCAGATTTTGCATATTTTTATCCGAGTTGGTATCAAAAAAGGTTTTATTTCTTTCTCTAACAGCAAAACGAAACATAGGTATCATGATTAACTAATCCCATCTCTCTCTAGGTATCCCTCTAGATTTTATACCATCTCACATCATATCAAAACATTCGTCTATTATCGAACCGCCAAAAAGAAAATTACGTCGACATCCTACTCTTTCTCTGTCATCTTTATGCTCATAAGCATTTGTTGAAGTTTGCTTTTATACAAGCACCGCTTTACATCTTGACCTCGGCTGTTTCGGCGGTACGGCTCACATCGTTACCAACATCTGAACTGGCGTCTTGTTCCTTTTCCGCCGCATTGTCTACAACGACGGAATCGGGCTCCCGCCAAAAGTCCTTCTTGCCCTGGAACAGGCGAACCAGCCAAGGAGGGAAGAAACCGCCAGGAATGCGCCATGTCCAGGGCTCCTTTTCGTCGTGGTTGGGAGGCACGATGCGGCCGCGAGAAACGAACCTCAGGAGTCCTACGATGGAATTGATGATGATGTACGACATGACACCGGCAATGAGGCCGTTGGCAATCGAGTATGTGAAGGGCATGATGGCAATGGCGAGGAAAGCAGGGACGGCATCGCCCATGTACTTCCAGTTGATCTCCGTGACGGAAGTGGCCATCATGGATCCGACGAGGATGAGGACACTGCCAGTAGCCCACGGTGGGATGGAGGCGAAGATGGGAGCAAAGAAGATGCTGATGAAGAAGCAAATGCCGGTCACGACAGATGTGAGACCAGTCTTGCCACCTTCGGAAATACCAGCACCGGACTCGACGAAGGCGGTGACGGGCGGAACACCAAAGAGGGCACCGATGGAGATGCTGATGGCGTCGACCATGTAGGCAACAGCGGAACCCTCGAAATCCTGGGTAACGGGGTCGATGAGGTTGGCGAAACGAGCCATACCGTATAACGTACCCGTGCAGTCGAGGATATCGACATAGAGGAAGGTGATGAGGGCAAGACCAAATTGGCCACCATACGCGCTCACATCCCATTCCTGCACGTTGAGCGTGTTCTCGATGCGGTGGAAGTCTACAACCTTCTTGAAGAAGTTGAACGAGTCATCTCCAACGGGGGTGTGAGGGAAGTAGGTGATGGGCGTGGTTCGGGGCCAGGAGATGATGCTGACGAGAATGATACCGGCAATGACGGCGCCCTTGACACGGTACATCATGAGGAGCACGGTAAAGAAACCTCCGCAGAAGATACCGATCCACATGGCGGGGTGGCGCATCTTGTCAAAGCTAGGGCAAGTGCCGTCATCAAGCATGTTGGCGGGCGAGCAGCCAGCAAGCGCAAGAGGAGTGTCTGTGGCTCCAGTAATGATGCCAAGACCCTCGCTGTAGGTCAGACCGATGAGAGTCAAGAAGAGACCAATACCCACGCCGGTAGCCAGCTTAATCGAGTGAGGAATGGCACGGGCAAGCCATTGTCGCATACCAAAGATGGCCAGGCCCAGGAAAATGAAACCCTCAACGAAGATGGCAGTCAAGGCGACGCGGTAAGGGACAGGACCAGATCCGTGGAAACCAACTGCATATGGGAGTCAGAATGCAAGATTCTCTTGGGAGTACAGAGATGGTTGAAAGACAAGTCTAGACTTACCGACAGTGTACGCAAAGTAGGCATTCAGACCCATTCCAGGAGCAAGACCGACGGGGCTGTGATATAAGAGTCAGATGAATCGTTCCAGATGTCTTTATATCAGACGCAGCTTGTCTTACAGATTAGCCAAGAGGCCCATGAAGAAACTGGCAAAGGCCGAGATGGCGGCAGTGGCAGTGACGGCATCACGCTTGATGGCCTGGACACACAGGGCGTACTCGTCGTTGGTGTTGCAAATGGGGTCAGCGGAGCCGCCATTGCAGACGCAGGTACCGCCGGAATCCGAGACAATGGAGGAGTTGACGGCGATGATGTAGGCCATGGCGAAGAAGGTGGCCAGGCCGCCGCGGATCTCGGTGAAGAATTGAGATCCCTTGCGCTCCTTGGGCTAAACGACGCGGAACGAGACATGGTAAGCAACATGTTATGAGTGGTAGTATGAGATGAGACAGCTTCTTCCATCGATGTCTCGGAAGCTGCCGTCCCTGGTGGTGTTGACCGAGCCACGAGGTGTCTCGTGACGTGGCCGAGACCAAGAGGAAGCAAAACGAGAGAGGCGACTTACATGACCACAGCCCTCCAACCGGAACCATCTGCCCACCGGACTGACGGCGACCTTCTTGTTGATGTTGTCCATCCACCCCATGGCTGCGAAGTTTGTCTCGTTTGGCGACGAAGGGTCGATTTGGGAGTGACGAAAGGACTATACGTCCTCTAGAAGAGAGGGAAGACCGGAAAGATTTGCGCGATGGAAAAAGCTCTTTTGTATTTTTTTTCGCGTGGTTCGTGGTGGGGCGGCTAGCTAGCGATAGCGGTGGCGGCGAACGAAAGAAAAAAAAGGGACCAGGGGCGAGGGAACGCTGCGGGGTGTGTGATTTGGATTGGAATGCTGGTTTGGGTGCTGATTGGCGTTTTCTCTTTCTTTATGTTCGAATAGGCAGTTTCTGAGACGTCGGTGTTGGTGTTGCTTGTCGTTGGATGGCGATGAGGGGACTCGATCTTGGTTCCCGCGGGGAGAGGAGAGAGAGCCAACACTGTGTCGTACCAGTCGATGGATGCAACGATGCTCGTACCCGCGATCTGCAAGTGTGTTGGGCGGGGGGGAGAAGCAAGGAGGAGAGGAACCGATTTCGATTCGGGTCGGTTGGTCGGAAAGGCGATGCGATGCTGTATTATTTATAGCGGGCAGCCATGAAAGAAAAGCAGCAGCCAATATATTGGGACTGTTGGCTAGCTGATAATACTCGGTAAGTAATATCTGCAGCCCCCGAAGCGTCGATAGTTGAGCCTTCAGTGATTTGCACAAAACCGAAGAGCTGAGCCATGACAAGACAATTGCGATTCCATTAATCGACGCATCACTTAATCAATTGCGCGCGCTGCGGCGTGTGGGAGGGCAGGCAGTGGGCCCGCGAAGCTGGAGAAGGAGCCACCATCGCGTGCGGTATCTCGTGTGCGGTTAAGCATCTAGGCCTGTACATGTACATCATCCCAAGCTGTGACGTGACTGTTCGGCACAAGTATATACGAGTACCCGAGCTGAGCTGAACAGATAACGGGACGCTTCATCAGTGGATATCCCATCATCTGCTAGGGAATTAATAATAGCGGGCTCTGTGTATATCAGCGTGGAGGACTTTCGTAGATGCCTGATGCTCATACTGTACTGTAACTGGCAACATGCATCCAATTCGAATAACCGTAGAAATTAGCCCATGGCAAACCCGGGCACTAAAAATCCACACTCAAATTTGCTAGCCCCCAAGCCGCCATTCTCCCTCGGTCCGTCTTGCTAGTGTGCACACACGCACATGCCCAATATCCATCCATGCGGTCAGATCGCCGTTGAACAAAACAAAGACATAAAAACCGATGCTGGAGGTGGTCAGATGCTTCTCTGCCCCGAGCGTTGTATGCAACTCATACCATCTCAGTCCTGTAATTAATCCATCAAGGTATCCGTTTCTATTTCCATCTTTCCAAACATGCTCTGGAATTTAAAATTCGTAGCCACGCTCTCCCCATGGAACCATAAAAGGACCATAAAAAAAGTCCGAGTGTCTAGAAGAATAATCGGCTGGTCGGCTGCCTTCCCTTATCTCTGCGCCCCTCCATAAAATATTTTCTTTTCACCCTTCATCAAGCCTCAAACAGGCACAAACGCCGTCTCGATTGCCCCATCCAGCTAGACTCTGTTCGAGGATTCCATCATGGAAAAGAGGCTAACAAAGACGGCATGAAAAGAAGAAAAAAACCAGCCAATCGCACCGCATCGATAAGCAAGCCCCCAAAACCCGGGCTTGATTCCGCTCCGGTCCGGGGTCGCCGTTTTGGCGTCTCCAAGTGCGAATACGTATATCCAGTAGTATCAGCAGGTTGGTATGTACGAGTTTGTGAATCCGCACGTTGCAAAGAGATGCTCGGCTCGTTATCAGCATCCATGGTGTTCTTGTTATCTTCTCCGCATTATCGAGATACCTTATCGAATCGCGGTACCTGCATCGCTATCTCGACATCGCCCTCCGCAGTATAAACAATCGCCCATCCCCCAGATTCTCGGGAGCCTGCGAGATGGAGGGCGGCGACTCCCGCCAGGCGACATGTCGGGTCTTCCCTGAGTGTGTACGAGTACATACTTGATGCTGCTCACAAAGCTCTGCCGGCAATCCCCTCAGATGGTGCATACACATACAAGTACGACTTACTCCAACGAGAGACGATAAGTCCGCGGCCTATCAGATGGCTTCTTGCATGGAACACATATTTGGGCTGTGCCTTAAAAGTCCGGTCTGGCAACTCATCAAACGAACCCGTGATTCAGTTTCTACACGCATATGCGCTCACACGGCATTACTACCTGATCGATACAAAAGAGCCGTGTATTCGACGACCCCCAATGCCCATCCCACGCACGCATCCGAAAGGTCCGTCGGAGTTGTATATAAGTCGGCAACCACCTTCAACAGACACTACAAAGCAGTAGTCTCAAAAGAGGACATGGCCCGAGGAGCGTCACTCAATGTTCACAAAACACTTACACATGCGGCGCCGTCCTCTTCTCTTATACTTGAGCCAACCCTGTCGACGGCTGCGCATTCAAACGCCGATTCTACTCTTTTGGCAGCTAAAGTCTCACGATTTCCAGACTTTGTCCGCCACGCGTAGACAACTGACTCCTGCCTTGCCAGCTCTCTTCAACATGAGCCATTCTGACATTTCATGAGACAGCCATCCTGGATGCCAACTATTACAATCCTTCTCATTAAGGATGGTACCACTGCATACATGGTGCAGACACGCATTATTGAATTCTCACGTGCCTCGTCTAATGATGCTGTATGACATGTATGAAAGGGGTGCATACATCTCATATCCATGGTACAGTAGAGCTACGGATTGTTCATGTACATGTTCCTAAAGTTGATAATGTCTGGGTCCTACCAGGCGTCAGTAATAATCTGGCCAACCTACTATTGCCTCCAACGACCTGCCAGTCGTACTCGTAAGCAACGCTTTTAGCCTATCAAGCCATAACCGCAGATCTCAACCCATGTACCTGGATATCCAACCATTTAGCTTCAAACATAAGCAGCCATCAAATCACCAAGCAACACCTTAACAGTGAAATCAGAAGCCAAAAATAATGCCGCCCATCGCGCCAAATCCCCCCAAAGAAACGGACGGAATAAGCCTCCTACCTAGCCTTCCCGTCCTTGCCGTACCCACGCGATCGCACCGAATCTGACGGCAAAAATGACAGAAAATGCCCGCTCATTTTTTACGATTCGAAGTGGGAATACCTACTCCATACGAGTACGGAGTACGCTCAGGCTAAATCTCAATCTCACCGATCCATCCCTGCTCATGTTTAGTTAACTCGCATCTAAAGTAAAAAAATGCTCTTACTTGTCTGCTTGAGCATGAAAAGGCCTCAAATGATTCGAGACTTGCAGGCATGGCACGACCAAACCCGAAACGCTTCAAGTCGTACGATAACAAACTATCGTCACTTTCAAAAATAAATCCCATTACAAAACCAAGCATGTCCCTGTAAATGATAATACGATACAACATTACATGTTTAAACATACATGGATTCCCTCGTCCGACTCTTCCAAACGCCGCTCCCCCTCTCACAATTTAGCTGCCCGCCGCCGCCAAGCATTATGCTTACGCTGCAGATAGCTCGAAGTCCTTCAAGCCTACTTCGTACTCTTACATGTACTGTAGCCACAGGGGTCCCCTCCACGAGCCACCTTCCCCTTGTAGGCGCATGCACTTCTTTTCCCTCCAACCTGGAAGTTTTTGCGAAAACCGGGGTGCCGATCGCGAAGAGGGCGGGCCAAATTTCGAAGCGAGAAATGATCTCTCAGGGGATGAAGTCAGCATCACAGGCATATGATGTTGCATTTGCATTCGCATGACGAAGGGGGGGTCACAGAACCAGGTGGATTACTATCCACTTGATTGTCGAAAGATGAGCCTTGTTGGAGCGCCCATCTCTCTATCATTCTTGTTTCCCCTCAGATGGAGCCTTGAAATGGTCGAAAGATGGGCCTTGCTCAAGCTCCGATTTTGCTCTTCTTTTCCCCGAGATGGATCCTCAACTGCTAATATGGGTCATATCATGGAGCTTGCTTCGCATTTATCGAGTATTTCAGCTCGATCAGTGTAGTTCATAGTATAGTATTAAATGAAAAGTGCTTGCCTTACGAAAAGACTGGTATATAGCAAAAATTCCCTCCCGAAAACGAATTTATACGCCCTGTTTCATTCTACATCCCTGCCCATATCTGTGTACTCATATCAACGTGAAAATTTTCGAATTAAGTGTAAAAAATAGCGTCGGTCCAACTTTTGATGATGCGAAAGAAGAAGGAAGACAAAGGACAAAGGGAATCAAAGTGTCTCCTCGGATCGGTTGGAGTGATGGCTCTCTGGGGCATTCGCCTTGACCTGGGCCCCCATGTTGGACACGAGTCCTGCCTCGTCGTGGCCCAGCTCGAGGGCGCTCTCGTCCACGTCTTTGTCCACTGCCGATCTGTCGACGTGGTATGACCGTGTCAGCATGATTTCGCCGCGGCCAGTAACGCTGGAGTGGCCAGGGTTTTTAAAGTATGAAGAACCGCGTGTGCGTTGGACGTAGAGGGCGCTGACGGCTGGGAGACAGGCGCATATCAAGCCAATGCCTACTTCGGCGTTTCTGGTTTTGACAATCACGTTAGCTTGAGTCGTTCGATCCTTCAGTTGCACAGTAAAACGCAAGATGGGCCCTTACCCTGACAGAATAACCTTGATGAAAACCATGGTCATGTTGGTAGAGTTGCGTTGGTCAACAATCATGGCCAATCTATAAATGCTAAACCCCGTAGCAACTCCTCCAGCACACAACAGTCCACTAACGCGAAGGCGCTTCCGTCGAGGCAGTTGAAGTGACCAGGTAAGGGGTGTCGGGAGCAGCAGGATGGCCAAATCGCTGATGACGCTGATGATGGAGTCGGCCGTGACAATGGCGCTCTGGTTCATGCATTTGCTGGCGTCACCGGTCCAATACGCTGAAATTGGCCAACATATGAAGATTTTAATGAAGAAGCCGGAAACGTAGTATGCGACAATCATGCCAATGAAGATGTAGATTCCGATCAGGGTTCGCCGGTGGACGGATCCAAAGACTCGGATGATAATGACGAGGAGGGCCAGCTTGACGGTCATGGCCATCGGGGCATAAAAGATGGTGGCGGCATAGCAAGACTTTGAACTGGACGTTAGCTTTCCACACAGGACGCTGAAGGGTGTGATTCTTACCTGAAAGTATTTCTCAACCTCTTCCGTTGACACTTCCCATATGTTCAGGCCTCCACCATGTGCACCGGCTGCCCAGTTGTCAGTGGGACGGCTCACAATAGCTGTGAATGGGTAGAAAAAAAACCACACTTACCAAAGCATGCAGTGATACAGTATCCCAACATAAGCACCTAATGCACTTGTCAGTCTTGGATCGCATCTTTAATTCCGTCGTCAAAAGTGTCATACATAAGCCGCGTAGGTTGCATCTGTTTTGCTTTCAAGTCAGCTTCTATCGGTTTGCTCGTTCCTTGAGAATCCACTTGACTCACAGTCGTCTGGTGTAAAGCTGCCTCCCAGCACTCTGGTTTTCGCATAGAATCGTATGGCAACAAAGATGGAGACAAAGAAGATTGTCAACCCTTGTGTGACATAGTTGACAGTCCTCAAGACATCTTGCGGGTGCGCAAGGTCAGGGATAACGCCTTCAGGAGGCGGAGCTGCACCGGGATAACTCATGACAGGCAAAACTTCATGATTCTGTAACGTAAGGATCAAGGTTGAGAGATGCCGAACGTCAAAGAAACGGCTGCCGAGAGTTAAAGTTGACAGCAACTTGTGAAAGGGGGGATCATTCACAAGATAAAGGGCTAATGCAGGTGTAATAGGGTCTGCTTGGACCCGAAAAGTCTCAAAGAGAAGGATCGGAAAGGAAGGGATTAAGACAAAGATAGATTAAAAAATAGATGCCCCTGGCCACACTCGGCTACCAATCACATCATACCAGCCGCCACTCTACCGATGTGGTCAGCCTCAGAAACTGCCATATTATATTGTAGTATCGGTGGTATTGGACCCTCTTGAAAGCCCTGATCGTGCTCGTTCAGAGCTGCAGCGTCAGTCCAACCTGCCAAAGTGGACCGGGTCCAGGGATCCGAGCCGTTGTGGATCCGGCTGCCAACGGAAGATGAATTGGGATAGCCACGGCACCGCTGAAGAAACCAAGCAGGGGTCATGACGGTGAGATGGTGGCCCCCGTGCGAATCAGAAACCGAATCTAGCCTGCCGGGGGGGCGAAACACGACAAGCCAACTGCATATCCAGTCAAGCCAGTACGCTGAGCGAACCAACAACACGATGCTAGTCATGGCACGCACCTCCATTACACATAGCATCAACCTCAATGTCAGAACCAAAGGACTCTGACACATGTGACTTGGAACTAGGGGCGAGCATGAACGAGCTAAGAGCTGCACCGCCAAACGCCATCATGGGAGACCGACATGGTTTAAAACAACCGTCATGAAGATCGTTTGCTCATTTAGAAAAGATCGTGTGCCTTCGGCAACAGAACTCTCTGACCCACGATGTTACCGCGGTGGAGTCATTTCGATGCATCTGGATGGAGTTGAGTGGAGTGCCCTGCAACAAATTTCTCTCGGATCCATGTCGAGGCGTGGCCATGCGCTCTCGATAGTATTCAGCCGACGGTTTCTGTCAGGGGAGGCCGATTGATGTAATCAAGTCTCGTTTCCGCATGATACCGCATGTACGTACATGCATAGTTCAATGGATGAGCGTGTTAGGGTTGCAGTAGATACCAGGGTCGCATTTCTCTTCTTTTGGAAATGAGCGCCCTCCCTTCTTCTCTCCTCTGGAAACTTAGTTTCCCGAGTCATTCTGCTAACGGATAGCTTTTTCCAGCTCGTGCTTTGGCTGAGTAGCACTGTACATCTGTCTGCCTGCTTGGCTCTAGAAGTATATTGCAAGAAAGAGAGAAGAAACAAGACGTATATCACAGGACAAGATGGGCTCCCAAGTCAACATCGGAAAGGACTCAAAGCTGTTTGAGCCGCTTACAATTGCCAATGGCAAAATCACTCTCAAGCATCGAGTTGTGCTCGCTCCCTTGACGCGCAACCGTGGCACGCCGCACCGTAAGAACTCGACTGCTGAGAATCCGAATCGCATTTGGATTCCCAACGATGTCATTGCAGAGTATTATGCGCAGCGAGCAACAGATGGCGGCCTGCTCATCAGCGAGGGCATTCCACCTTCACTAGAAGTATGTCACCGCCCCAGTCACCGTAGAATTAAGACGCGGGGAAGTTGACCTCGAGTTGTTTAGGGAAACGCCATGCCCGGTGTCCCAGGGATCTTCCTAGAAGAGCAAGCCCAAGGATGGAAGAAGGTTGTTGACGCAGTCCATGCCAAAGGTGCCTACATCTATGCGCAGCTCTGGCACTCTGGACGCGCCAACATCCCGCAGCTTACCGGAACGCCCATCGTGGCCCCGTCGAGCATCCCCTGGGATGATCCCAACGAATGCTTCATGTATCCCGCACCCCACTCGACGACGCCTGTCAGGTATAGCGAACAGCTACCCCTCGAGCTGACGGTCGAGCACATCCATAAAACCATCCGTGATTACTGCTCGGCCGCAAAGACGGCCATGGAGCTTGGGTTTGATGGTGTAGAGCTTCACGGAGGTAATGGTTATCTACCAGAGCAGTTCCTAAGCTCCAACATCAACAAGAGAACAGACGAATACGGCGGCTCGCCGGAGAAGCGCTGCAAGTTCGTCTTTGATCTGATGGCCGAGCTGGCCAAGACGGTGGGAGAAGACAACCTGGCCATCCGCCTGACTCCGTTTGGTCTCTTCAACCAGGCTCGCAGTGAACAGCGTCTGGAGACTTGGGGCCATCTGTGCCGCGAGCTGAAGAAGCGTCACCCCAATTTGTCGTACGTGAGCTTCATCGAACCACGATACGAACAAATCTTTTCCGAGGCGGAGAAGCAACAGTTCCTTGACTCCTGGGGGCTTCCCGACGTCGAACTCACCATGTTCCGCAAGATCTGGGGAGACACGCCTTTTTTCTCTGCCGGCGGCTTCGACCAATACAATTCGTGGGGGGTCTTGGAAAGCGGCAGATACGATGCCCTGCTGTACGGCAGATTCTTCATCAGCAATCCGGATCTGGTGGAGAGACTGCGCAATGGCTGGCCTCTTGCCCCGTACGATAGGTCTCGCTTCTACGGTCCGTTTGAAGACCCGACCATCGGCTTTACCGACTACCCGGCGTATGATGAGAAGCTTTGATTGCACGTAATGTTTAGACGTTGCATGGAGCTGTTGGTAATTGTAAATTGAGCACATGACACATGTTTGATGGTGTAGTAATGGATGTATACCATGGAGATGATGGTTTGCCTGGGGTTAGCTGTTAGCGTTGTCTATGAGCAATTTCAAGTCGCAATGATGGTAATTCTGTACATGGAAATTCGTGACGATACCACTGACCAGGTTTCCAATCTTTACGCAACTGCCGCGGCCAGAGTCAGCTGAATATATTGCGAGTCAGTGCAGCGGAGCAGCCACATGTTTTTTCCGTTTCCCCTGCTGAGGGTAGGGTTTCATGGTAGCCAGTAGAAAACGGCAGCGGATCGCCCGTCAATCTGTGCCCGTAGCAAATCCATATCGAGGCCATTGCCGAGGTCCAAGATTGGCTGAATTTGCGAGCGGCTGAAGACTGTGAAGAAGTGATCTGCAAGCTACCCGCTCGTATTGAAATTAAAGCGCGGACTCGGACGAAGTCATCGGGATCTAAAGGCGGTTGTCAGGTCCACATCGAGGCAATGGATGACAGGGATTTACCTTGAATAGCAGGGCTCGAGCCATGCTTGCGCAGCTAGAGGTATCCATAGAGGATCGCCCAGCCGACGTTTGACAAGGCCGCAGTAAGGGATCATTTTTGGTGCGACGATTCAGCCTCAGGTTTGCCGAGCGCAGTACGAGGATGTATCCATATGCATATGCTCAATGCACGCTCCAGACTTGATAGCCATACTTGTACTCTGGATTGTCGATGTATCGTAAATGATTGATCCATGAATGCACAGATGCCATTCTCCACGACTGCCCCCCCAGACAGTCAGCTCGTTTAACGGCAGCATGACGCATGTACCATCAACTGAGACATGCTCAATGTCAGCTTGCAAGATGTCTCACGCCTCAGTCAAGCCGACCAAAAAGGGGCGCTGTGAGACAGGGCGTCGAATATCAGGATAATACCGGGTAGCCACCACGCTATCCGCGCTCGGCTCTTCGCCACATGTCAACGTGCCGAATCTGAGCTTGCCAAATGTCAGACACTCAAGTGAGTGAAAGACAAGCCAGCAAGGAATGATGTGTAACCATGTCATGGGCAAAAGAGGTCGGACTGAACCGGAGCTGGGCAAAGGCAAACAGAACAGAGCCGGAGGAGAACGGCGGGTACTCCGACCATCGATTGGAGTGTCGCACAGTCGTTCCACACTCTATCAAGGCGCAGGCAAAAGAGTGACCTGATTTATTTCAACTTCAGGGCGTTTCGGATCCGCCAAGGGATCAAGACGTACTGTGTTGTGTCACTGAAGGCGTTAGCCCAGGGGATCGGGAGTCGGGGGGCGCGGATTGATCGCGGGTGGCGGCGCGGATCGAGCGTTTAGACTCGCGGAAAAGGCTTGGCCGGCGAAAACTCACCGAGCATCCTCAAAGGCTATGCAGTGTTGCCTGTATTGGTTGCATGGAGATGTTGAATGTTGGCTGATATGGAGAGATAATGTCAAGTGTTGGTTGGTCGGAATCTCCAAGTCATTGATCTCTTCGCGGCTGCACGTGAGGCTTCTCGCGTGGCTGCCTACAAGGTGCAAGTGCTAACCTACAGGAGCACATGTTTGCAAGAGTCATATTGGATAATACCAGGTACTGCCTCCCCCAGCCTCGGTTCGAATGATATATGACATTTGAACAAAGGAATTTTGTTGTAGGCAGCAGCAGTAATCCTTTGTGTTGGTGAATACTCATGATATCTCCATGCATCAAGCAAAATGTAGATGTAGAATATGGTTACACAAGAACCTCATATCGAACCCGATATCGCTGACCTGCTGCCAATCGTTTCCCCAAATCCACGATAATCCTCCCCAAATCCTGCCATCCTTGCAACACCCATCAGGGTCCTTCGAAAAAATCTTTAAAAGACTTCTTTACAGAATTTTCTTCTTTGTGCAAACGTTCAAAACTTCTTTTGTCGCTGGCTCCGCCACATGAAAAGCGTTTCTTTGACGTCAGGCGACTTTTGCCCTTCCCATCAGGCGCACCGCCGGACTCGCCCATTGGCCCGCGTGACGTCAGGAGGCCCCAAACCTTGCAAACCCCCTGTTGCCCTCTCAGCGCCTCCGGATCGCTGGAAACCCGCTGCACCATCACTGTAGGACCCGGAGCCGGGCGCGTCTATTGGAAGCTTGGAGGCCTGATGCGCTGCAAGTCGACCATCGTTCCCTGTAAGGCTTCTGACTTGCAGAAGTCAGCGGGGCTTATCATTGCCGTCCAACCTCAGACATCGGATGCATGTTGACGGCATCACTCTTCCGGCTTATACATAAGCAGGGCAACACCCTTCCTTGATCCCGCTCTCGATTTGAGAATGTTTTGTCTTTTGCTTTCCTTGAGAACTTCCTTCACCCTGTAACCATTCGTCTATCCCCCCTTTCCCACGGATAGAGCTACAACACAGCTTCAACACTATGCCCAGCTACCCCTCGTCGCGGCCGGAGCCCGTGCAAGGCCTCAACCACTCATACTACAATCCAGACGAGACCTTCGATCCATATCAAGACCCTTCGTCGTCTCGTCCTCGATCCGAAAAAGGCCGCCGACCCCCGTCTCCCGCCTACTCGCCCGACGACGACCGCAAATCCCGGCGCAGCAGCCGTCGCAACCCGTCACCAGGCTATGGAGATGCAAATGCGAAGCCATCCGGCAGCCGTCGACATCCAAACCCGCCGCCCTTTTCTGCGCCCTCTCCTCCGCCTCAGCGAGACCCTCGCTCATCCCGCCGTGACCGTGACACTTATCCGCCGAGAGACTCACCGAGAGATTCGCAGCGAGATTCACACCGAGATTCGCGCCCCCGAGATGCTGACCGGCGCTCACGAGACTACCCCCCTCCCCCGTCAGATCCACGTGAGCGGCGTCACAGGTCCTCGCGCCGTGAGCCATCTCCAGAACCCCCACGCCGGTCTCGATATGACTCTCCAGACCCCAAGAGCCGCTCTTCACGCGGCTACCCGACACCCTCGTCCGATGACCGAAACAGCAGGGACCCTCGTTCCTCTCGCCGGTCCCATGGAGGAGTAGAATCGTCACCACCCCAAAAGTCATCACGCTCTCGCGGCGATGATGACAGAAGAGATGACCGGGAGCGACGACATCGTTCACAGCCTCGCGATACGGATGCCGGTCACGGCTCAAGTCGCAGCCGGGACCTGGAACGAACCCGGGATAAGGACCGGGACCGGGACCGGGATCGAGGCCATGATCGCGGCGGTCGTGACCGTGATCGCGCAGCACCCAGCAGCGGCCGCTCCTCACTCAAGCGCCGCAACACCATGCCCGCAGTGGCCAGTTCTGGCCTCAAGCTTAAAGGCGGCACTTCCTGGTGGAAGAACCCAGTGGTTCAGGCCGGCGCTCGCACCGCTCTGGCTGCTGGTGCCCAGGCCATTATGCAGAACCGCAAAGAAGCCGGTCCTTGGCTGGGCGCAAAGGGAGCCAAGGTCGCCACGGCTGCTCTGACGGCTGCCTTGGCTGATGGACTGGCTGGCGGCGGCAAGAAGCGTTGATGAATTATTTATCTGTTTAGGGATGACGAGTGCCCTCTTTTCTTTCTTTCTCCCTTATTTGTTCGGTTACGCGTAACGATGATGACGACGGCGGCTTGCTTTTTCTTTGATGAAATTTCCAACTTGGTTCTACCTCCTTTTTCTTCGCCCACCTAGCCAAGGGATTGCTTGTATTCAAGGGACGACCTTTCACCTCACGACGATACGAATTGACAGAAATTATGGCGTTAACGGAGCGCCCCTGTTACCACTAGTTTTGTTTTCTGCTGCTTTTCTCTTTTGTACGATATCAAGATAGATGGTCGATTTCCATGGATGTCTACCTCCTCCCTCACACGACATTCGTGCCGTGGCATAATGTTCCTTTCCTCACGATGACTTTGACGAATTCTCTCATCATCCTTAGCCAAATCCACTTTCCACTTTCGGTATATAGATATAATAGGGTAGCTCATACCAATTAGTCCTACCAAGTCTTTTCCCCTTCGCATGTGAAAACACATTCCAACAACATCGAGACTCTTCTCTTTCTCTCTCTTCGTCCTTGAGTCCCAACAACCGCCATCTCGCCCATCATCATCCATCAAAGGCACTTTGGCCGAGCGGTCTAAGGCGCCGTGTTCAGGATTTCATCTTGCTTCGCGGTCTAGTAATAGGCGAGGGTTCGAATCCCTCAGGTGTCATTTTTTGTCTTGAACTCCTTTTTTTGTCCTGTCGCTTCTGGGTCCTGTGTATATGAATAACTTCAAAAGTCTTTCATTGATAACATTATAATCATATACAAGCGAAAGCCACATCAAACAAAGATATCCCAGTCGTCGCCATTATAACCATGTCCATACGCATACACATTGCAGATACCAGTCCCTTCAAGAATCGCGATTCAAGTCTCAGTTTTTTTCACAATTCAGCCTCTTTATGCCTGCGAGCCAATGTTCCAAGGCTTGCACTTGGACGCAATGCACAAGCCGTTGCAGCAAGCTCCAACGTACTGACCGTCCGGACCGAAGCAAGAACCTATTCATCACTAGTTAGCATACAAATATCACAACCATTCGACTATCTTTTATCCACAAAGCTTACCATAAGTCTCGACACAAGTTCCCTGGCAAGAAATGCTGGTGACCGCCTGCGGGGGATCAATCACGACCTGCTGTGTCACACCATCGGACGCAATGGTGCTGCTCAGGTTCTTCGGGCCGGGAGTCTCAATCACACAGGCCTGGAGAACGTTGAAGTCGGGGGCGTCAATCACCACGATCGGGAGGGTGCTGTATGTCAAGACGGGCTTGCCATCGGCCGGAACAGTGAGAGGGTAAGAGTGGTCATCGCCCTCCGAACGGAGAGTGACGTGAGCAGTCTGCACACTGTCCTGGGCAAGAGACAAGCCGGCAAAGAGGCCAACGGCAACGAAGGAGGTGAAGAACTTCATGTTGAGTGATGAAAAGTCGTTGTTATGGTGATGATTGAAATGATGGAGTGTTTCGTTTCAAAGGATTGATTGCTTGTTTTCTACTGTCGTCTTCGGATCGTCTTCCAAACACTGGTGGCATCAGTCGTTTATATATTCTTGCTGCACCCTCCTCTTCCAGCCTAGTCCGGTAAGCAAACTGACGATCTTTCCGCATCTCACTCTGTGTCATTCAGGGTCTCGACGTCATTCGCCCCCTGATGCGAGCTCGAAATACGAGAAAAAAAAAAGAAGAAAAAGAAAGTAATCAAGAAGCGGTCAATGCAATGCGCCTCTACTGTTCTCGTGATGTTAGGATCCATCTGCAGCGCCTGATGAGTAAACTTTGTGCTGCTTTCTAGTTTTATGCTTCCTTCATTCGTCAAACTGAAAACAAGGTTGACAACAAGTCTAATGCAGAGATATTCCCGACTCATCCTTCTGCCGATGAGCCGAGCCGCATCTACACCGGTATCAACAGAATGGGCCGTGATTCGTGCATTTACCTGTATCACTCCCGGAGTTTTTGGTAGTCTTTACTCCGTACTGACACGTCTGAACCGCCATTCCGAGTCTTGACAAGACTGGGTAGTATACTTGTTCCGATTCCATAAAGCTCGTGTATGCAGGAAGCTGGCGGGAATGCCACGCAGCGGAATCTGATTAGATGGATCTGCTCTTTGGCTTGCGAAATGGGGAGTTGCAGGGCCACCCCCGTGTGAGATACTAGTATCCCCTGACTTGGCACTGCCGATGAGCCGGGACACGAGCAATGCGCCCCTTCATGTACATAATACCACTGACCCGAGATCCGTGCTGCATATAAGTTGCGGCTGTCTGAGTTGTGCTCTGTCTTTACGATGAGAGAAAGCAACTCCAGGCGGTCAAGTCCCATCGCCAAGACTTGGACACCAGCAATTTGTCAAGGGTCAGATGGCCTCGGGCATTTTTCCACAAAAAGACATCAACAGCTTCATAAAACATCAACCACAGCCTCACAAAGAAATGACAATAACATTGCCGTCAAAAAGAAAATATCAGAGAAACCTCCGAGAAAAAAATTGACCGAGACAGGGGTCGAACCTGCAACCTCCTGATTTACTTAATCGTAGTCAGACGCTCTGCCATTGAGCCACACGGCCTATTTGATTGGCAATCGTGGAGCATATCTTAGCCTATGACACAATGTTGAAGTTGAAAATTTCACACAATCTGGACCTCACGGGAAATCAATGTTCCATTCCGGGCTGTCGGCTTCAGCTCTTCCAATTCAAAGACATGTCACATTCTCCACTGATTATCGCCATTAGATGATTGGTTTGCTTTGTTCACAAGCACAATGTTGTCTTTGCATCTATTCTGTAATATGAAACACTCACCAGGAGGCGATGTAGACCCTCCCCTCGTAAGGACGCAAAGCTCCTTCATCAATCTTGCCGTCATACGAAGACATGATTGGCACAAACTTGACATCAGCTCCCTCTTCAATTTCTAGCTCCTCAATCGTGGGCTTTTCCCAGTTCCTCTCCTCGCCAGTAAAGTTGAACGCAACTACGGCCTTGGCCGATCCATTTGACGGCGGCTCCTTCACAAAGGTGTAAATACTCTTGTCCTCCTCCCGTAATGTCCGATAGTCGCCATATACGAGCAGATCGGCATACTCCTTTCGGAAGCGTACCGCCTTTCGCCAGTAGGCCAAGACGCTGTGCGGGTCATCAAGCTGCGAAGCGACATCAATTTGACCAGCCAGGGGGTGAGGCTTCATCCAGGGCTCTTTGACCTCCTTGCCAGCCTTCTCTGCTTCTTCAGAGAAGCCACCGTACTTTGCTTTCCCATCCCATACCATTGGAACACGAGGATGGTCTCGCGCAAAATGTGCTAGAGAAGTAAGGGCCTTGTCCATGCCTTGGCCGTTGCGGTGTTGCCGGATGAAGTCAAGGTAGAGGCAACTGCTGACATCGATGTAATTCTCGAGCGGGTAGCCCTCCTCTGGGACATTGATGGCTCCGATCTCCTGGCCCTGATATATGTATTGGGTGCCACTTAGACAGGCCTGTAGAAGAGCCAGCATCTTTCCACTCGCAACTCGATGCTGAGGGCTGTCATCTGCGAAACGTGTAATCGATCGCGCCTGATCGTGGTTCTCTAGAAAGACCGTTGTCCAAGCATCGGTGCCTTTGATCAGGTTTTGAGTCCGAGCAATGGCTTCCTTGAACTCGGGCAGCTGCCAGTCCTTGGGCTTTGCGTCGTACCTCAGTGGACGGTTGAAACCAACATTCACGACGTCAAACTGGAAGACCATGTCGAGCTGCTTGGCTTCCGCGCTCACATACTGCAGCACGCGAGCCATATCCGGCGTCGATGGAAGCTCACCAACCGTGATGGCGCCATATTTGGCCAGAATCTGATTCATCTCGCTGAGGAACTCGTGCATTCTCGGACCATTGCAATACAGCATATCGGCCACTTGGTATGGCGCTCCAGGGTCCAACTCCGGTGCATCAGGCAGCCCGGGTGGCTTACTGTACATGTTGACGGTGTCGATGCGGAAGCCATCAACACCGCGTTCAAGCCAAAACTCCATTGCTGAAGCGTACAGGGCTTTGCGGGTGGCAGGGTTCTCCCAGTTCAAGTCCGGCTGCTCTTTGGCAAACAAGTGAAGGTAGTACTCGCCTGATTGCTCGTCCCACTCCCACACGCTGTCGCCGCCAAACTTGCAGCGCCAGTTATTTGGAGGAAGACGCTCGCCGGTGGGGGAATACTTGGCTGGCCTCCAAATGTACCAGTCACGCTTTGAGTTGTCTTTGCTTGAGCGGGACTCCTTGAACCAAGGATGCAGGTCGGATGTGTGGTTGATAACAAGATCAAGCATAATCTTCATGCCTCGAGCATGGGCCTCGCGGATGAGAGTCTCCATATCCTGTAGAGTGCCGTAAGGCGGGTAGATGTCTTCATAATTGGAGATGTCGTACCCCATATCTACCTGAGGACTGTCATACATAGGACAGATCCAGACAACATCGACACCAAGACTAGCGATGTAATCTAGCTTGGAGGTGATGCCTGGAAGATCACCGATTCCATCTCCATTAGAATCACAGAATGATGCCGGGTAGATTTGGTAGATTACGGCATGTTTCCACCACAACTTGAGACGTCCCGGCACGGTCATGTTTTCAAGTAGATCTTAGAATAAAAAAGAAGAAAGAAAGAAAGAGAGAAAGTGATTTGGACAAGTCCACAGTCGTCAATAAAGCGACTATAAAGCGAGAGTTTTCCAGTTGCAAAAGGAAAAGGAAAAGGGAAACTGGGCACTTTGCTTCGCTTTCGGTGAGGAAAAGGGGTGTAATCATTCAAGAATCTTAGAAAAGCTTTGAAAAATCCCGAACCGGGCTCTTAAATCCCCCCGTGTGAGCCTTCATTGTGTAGCGATAACGGAGAGCTCGCTCAACAAGTTTATAGCAGTACGATGCTTGGAACTCCACTGTCAATGGGGAATGAACATGACCAAGAAGCGGGCTCCTCCAAGCGTCCGTTGATAGGAAGAACGGATGTTTACCGAAATCCATATTGACTTGTTTCGGAGTAGCATCTGTTGTCGATGGTTGATAGTTGGCCGAGCCCATCTTCGTATCGCTTGTCTGGCGTAGATACTTCCCAAAGAAAGGCGGGGGAAGTGTCTCGGTGGGCAGGCTAAGGGCGCAGACTGGGAATCGAGGATCATAATTTGCTGAATGTCGGACCGACGAAAAAGAAGGGATTCCCATTGGACCATTGTCGGCCCGATGCTATTCCCTTTCGGTATCAAGTTCTCCAGCCGCTCTGACACTTGACCTCTCGACTGTTGGCTCTGGCGGTTTGCAATGGGTCCTTGGCTGCGTTATTCCCCATTTTCGAGCACACTAGCAGCGTCTTATGGGATGGTAAGCAGAGATAATTCGCTCCGCGTGCCGTTGAAGCGAGGTTGTAGCCACTCCGATTACAACCTACTAATAGTATTTGCCCCTCAAACCTGTGCTAGAGTATGAATGAGTGGAGCCCGTTGTTGAAGCACGTATCTCGGACTAAGCAGCTTGGTCTCCGCGAGGTTGGCATCGTGCCAGGTCTACCTGGACTGCGAGACTGCTTTCCCATGATGTCTTTCTGGGACGACCAGTTTTTGAGCTAATAGTTGAATCGGCTGAAAAATAGTTTCATCTTGGCGCTCAAAATCGAATCACCTGCTCGAATTCAAGCTGATATGTCGGACCGACACTTGCCAATGTGCAGACAGTGGTTCGAGTTCTGTTGTCGGCTGCTATCCGGTATCCATGCTCAGTACATCGTGGGGTCCCCATGGGGTAGCTGGCGAGTATTGCTGGTCAGCCCCCCTCCGGCTTCGTTGTGACCATCCCAGACGAAATCATGCAAGGTTGCCGATTGGTATCTTGCCTGTTTGAGTCTTTCCCACAACCAAAGCCCCTCCAAATATGCAGAGTTCCCATGCAAGTTGTTGGCTGCTCTCCAGACAAATACGCATGAATAACAAGAAACATAACGAGAACATATGAGGCAGATCGGTAGCAGGTTGCTAGAATCAAAGATTGAATCCGAACAGTCATCTGTCTGACATTTAGAGAGACTGGTTCGACGTCCCTGTCTCGGACCGACAGAGCAGTCTAGACTGGACCAATTTGAATGCCGAAGAACCGCAATCGACACTCCACAGAGCCTGCAGGTTCCCATGATCCCTCCACGTTTACCCCGGACGAAGCTAGAGATGACCAACAACTCTTCGGATCGCTTTTAGACTGGCGGAGGTGAGCGTGGGCATGCGTCCGACTAACTGGCAGTGGCGCACTAGTTTAACCTGAGCTAAATTGAACCATATTATCCGCTCAACGCCCACGCCGTGGCTTTCGAAGTTCCATGTCATCCCGTCAATAGCCACGATTTTTTCTCTTCTTCTTTTCACCAAATTCCATTGCTACACTATTGTGTAGAATCTTGCCTGGGCTAGACTTTCTCACCACGTCTGGTAGTCGTGTATATAAGTTTCAATCGAGTGCCGCTTTGGGATCTTGTTTCCCCCCTCTTCTCTCATCCGACTTCAGTTGCCAAGTCTTCAGCCTGCGGTGTGGATGACTTGAGAACCTCTATTTCACCTCAAGGTTGACACCCCCGTTTTTCAGTTTCTCCTTTTCTTGTTGCTTCATAATATTGCCAACATGGCAGGAAACGAAGACATAGAGCCGCATCATGTCTCGGCATCCGTGCCTGCCAAGGTGGACATTTCGACTGTCCAGGAGGCCGCGGCGGCGACTGAAGCTGAACACAACATGGGCTTTGTCAAATCCTTCAAGCTGTATCGGAAAGCTTGTTTGTGGTCCATCTTCATCTCGACTTGCATCATCATGGACGGCTTCGACACGGCCCTTTTGCGGTCGCTCTTTGCGTACCCAGCCTTTCAACGCCAATTTGGAGACCTACAGCCTAACGGCTCTTACCAACTCACGGCCGCTTGGCAGTCTGGCCTCACCAACGGAGTGCTCTGCGGCTCAATCATAGGTCTCTTCATGAACGGTATCCTCGCCGACCGCTTTGGATACCGTAAGACATTAATCGGTGCACTGATTGCCATCACGGGTTTCATCTTCATCATTTTCTTCGCCAAATCGCTGCCTCAACTGCTCGCTGGAGAAATCCTTGCCGGCATCCCGTGGGGAATCTTCCAGACATTGACAACCACGTATGCCTCGGAGGTCTGCCCGACCCATCTTCGAGCCTATCTGACGACGTATAATAACCTCTGCTGGGTTATCGGCCAGTTCATCGCGTCTGGCGTGCTCCGCGCCATGGTCTCCAGGACGGACGATTGGGGCTATAGGATTCCATTTGCACTGCAGTGGATGTGGCCAGTCCCCTTGATCATCGGCATCTACCTTGCTCCCGAATCTCCCTGGTGGCTCGTCCGCCACGGCAAACTGGACGAGGCCAAACATTCACTAGCACGTCTCACCAGCCGCAACGTTGAGGATGCCGACTTTAGCATTGACGAGACTATATCACTGATGATTCACACCAACGAGATGGAGAGAGAGTTGACCTCAGGCACGACGTATTGGGACCTCTTCAAGGGCATCAATGCTCGCCGCACTGAAATCGTCTGCATGGTTTGGATGGGCCAGACTCTCTCTGGCTCGAACTTTATGGGATACTCGACATACTTTTACCAGCAGGCAGGATTGGCCGTCAGCAACTCCTTCAGCATGTCCCTCGGCCAATACGGCATTGGCATTGTCGGCACCATCATGTCTTGGTTCCTGATGACTTGGTTCGGCAGAAGAACATTGTTCTTTACCGGCCAGGTATGCGCATGCATCATTCTCTTCACCATTGGCTGCGCGTCTTTCGCAGGCTCATCCAATACCGGTGCGCAATGGGGCATCGGCTCCTTGCTCCTTATCTTTACGTTTGTATACGACTGTTCAGTTGGTTTGTCTCCCGCGTCCCCGGCGATATTGTCTCCATAATAGTAACACGAAATAGGTCCCATTTGTTATTCCCTCGTTGCCGAGCTCACGTCCACCCGTCTGCGAACCAAGTCGGTCGTGTTGGCCCGGAACATGTACAACGTTGCCAGCATCATTGCCAACATCCTGACACCGCGCATGCTCAACCCCACCGCATGGGGCTGGGGTGCAAAGACGGGCTTCTTCTGGGCTGGCACCGCATTATGCTGTGCTACCTGGACCTTCTTCCGCCTTCCGGAGCCCAAGGGCAGGACATACGGTGAGCTGGATACCTTGTTTGAGCAGAGAGTGAGTGCCCGCAAGTTTGCTACCACTGCCGTGGGAAGGATTGATGCCGGGTTTGAGTCTGTTTCGATTAGAAAGGATGGAGGTTCCACGGCCGAGATTGAGCAGGTAACGACCAAGTCGTAAAGCTCGTCGTCTAGGGAACAAAGACCGAGCTGGCCCGAAGCAAGCCGTTCGTTTGTTGTCGTCACAGACTTTGAGTGTTTATTAGTGATGCCCAATTCATGCTGTTGTTTTTACCCGCGTCTCTCTTGATGGATAATAGCCAGAACGGCCTAGGCCATTTGCAGTATCCGATTCAGACGGTCTCCTTCTTTTTTGCCTGCCGTATTGAGCACTTGCACTCGTGATCGCGCTCCGCAATAGCACGTACTCCGTTCTCCGAACTCCAGTTTTAAAAAGAGCGCTCGAAAGCACATGGATGCATAGTTGTAGCAACACGTGGGGGCGAAAAGCCACGTTCTCGCGCAAAAGCTGAAAAAAATGTCCATAAAATCGCGAGGCATGCCGCTTCGCTTCCCCCCCCACCTTTCTCTCCGCCATACACAATACACCCGGTGGGGGATAGACCGACAAATCTTGGTTTGTGATTTTCTGATCGCCATTGTTTATTCTTCCGCATCGCCTCCCCTTGGATCCTGCTGCCGTGTGAGTGTGTGTGCGTCGGCATCGCGACTCGTCCCATACTCCATCCGTAGTCCCTCTTCTTACACCGAGAATCCCGGCTCCGGGGGCGATCCACGCTGTGCCGTTTTCTTCTCCTCTTCTCCCTCTTTCTGCTCCTCTCTATCTCCTCGCATCCGGCTGCTGGACCCATTCGTTAGGCTCGGATTAGTGCCGCCATGAGCTAAGGACCCCCGATTATTCAATCTCATGCGCATCCTCCATGAGTAACAGAGCGGCACAAGCATGCGATGGATGCAGGGTGCGCAAGGTGAAGTGCAATAGCACGCAGCCTTGTTCGCAATGCTCACATCTAGGCCTTGGGTGCATCTACTCGCCATCAACTAAGCGCAAGCCCAGTGTTCGCAATCGCCTTGTTACGCAGCTTCGCAACAAGTCAAATGTAGCAGCGGCTTCGCCGAGTCGTGGCAGCACGTCGTCGCTGGCTGACTATCCGGAAAGACCACCAGGTCCGGCGGTCACGTCCATCGCTGGGATAGTGAATCCGGAACAAGATGCATCACCCGTCAGCAGTGGAATTGGTTCTGGAAGAGGGGGCGCAGGCATTGGAGCTGGACTTGGAAGCGGCTTTGGGAGTAGTATGGGATTTGACTCGAGAGGTGGCTTTGGTGCAGAGTTTTCCCTGGAGCATTCTACCTTCACCACGGGCTTCTTCATCGGTATGCTGCCCAAATATGAAGAGCAGGTGTACCCAGTTAGCCCCATCATCACGAGCTATGAGGTGCGCCAGGCAATCGATAGCATGCACGCCAACCTCGACGACGCAGCGTTCGTGTACGCAATGGGGGCGGTGACAATCAATCTCACGACTCCCACAGTGCATGGTGAGGCGGGTGCCAAGATGACGGAGCTGATACGACTCGGCCTCAGCGCGTATAGACGGGCAGACTCGATGGCGGACGTCAAGAATGGGAGGCTGACTGAGCTGCGGACCACATTTAAGCGCATCATGACATGCATCTTCCTTGAGGTTTCCATGATGGCCTTTAACCGCTTCGACCGCAGCTTTGCCTCGCTGCGTGAGGCCATGACGATGGTGCAAATGATCCACGTCCAGCAGTGCTCACACAACGCAGTGCCCCTTGAACCGCGTGACGTGCCCAAGTTCCAACGTATATACTGGGAAGTGTTTATCCACGAGCGCTTCTTGACAATACTCTCTGGGTTCCCGTGCATCATGACGCCACTGCCTACGGGCCTACCAGTGCGAGACACATCGATCCCGGCACATATTGATGTCGGATTCAACCGCCTCATCCGCTTGTTTCAGATCATGGACGGGCCCTTTTTGCTGTACTGGAATGCGCAGCAGAATCCGGCGCAGCCCGTGCCTGGGGTATCACTACAATGGATTGAGAGCAAGCAGGCCCAACTCGACGAAGACGAAATCGGTGCATCTGAGGCTGAGCAGGCACTGATTGACAGCGGCCGGGGGTCCTTTACGGAGTTGCAACACGTCGATCTGTTTGTGACCAGGCTGTGGATGCGCACGCTGCTCTGGCAGTTTGGGCTTACGCACCGCTTTCTTCGCTCGGTGCCATCACAAAACATCCACGAAGGCTTGTCAATTCACTTCCCCGCGCATAGGCTCTCTGTTCAGTTGCGAGCCCTGGTCAGTCGACTGGAGAACGTGTCCACCATTGTGACACACGGTATTGGGATCTTGCAAAAGATATTTGAGATTACGAGTACCGCGGCGGACGTGCTTGCGCTGCCAGTGGGCTATGGCCAGACGCAAGAAGAAATAAGTAGCCGGATAGAAGATTTTGCATTTTTGGTCAAGTTTTTGTTCAGCTTCGAGAGGGCAGAAAAAGAGCAGCGAGACTACCTGCGTGAGAAGCTCGAGGGACTTCAGCAGCAGTACCCCATGGTGAACTTTGCCGACATGGTTGGGTCGGGCTCATACTGATTCTGAGTAATACAGAGTAGCACCTGTAGGAAACTGGCACATGATTAGCACGTCTCTCCTTTGTTTTCATTTCCCTTACATAGGCTTGGGGTTCTTGTGGCACTTGGTGCAACTCAAGGCACCGTATACGACAGCTAATATTAGAACTTACCCCGTCCCAATATGCCCCCCATGTTTGCGTGAGGCGTTGTGTCGTGTTGTTGGTGTCAGACTCAGCCGCACCTTGTGGCCAGAAGCTTGATTTGGGCACAGCTGGACGAATGATGGGAAGGCCGATGTGGCACGCCAGGGGCTCTCAGAGAAAAAGAAGTAGATAGAAGGAGAAGATTCCCCGGTATGCCATGCACTAGGGATGCCGGATGCAATGTCCGAGTTGCCGTGCGAATTGTAGCAGCATTCAGTGCCTTTGTTTCGCTAGACAAGGAGTGCATGCATGCTGGATTGACGGGATGTTCGATTGACTATTGACTGGCTATTGCCATCATCTGCCTGGGTGGACAGACTAAGATCGTCGGCAAGTCGTAGTCTCAAGACCACAGCGGGAGCGGCTTGGCGGGGCCGAGCGCTTAGAGATGCTCTAGTTGGTTTTGAACGTTGCTATCGTGGCCTCCCTGGAGTAGAGAGTCCCACAACGGGAAACGGGGATGATGAGATGTGGCGAATGAGAAGAGTTGAATGGATTCATATGAAATTGAGAATGGAGGATTTGTGTTGTCGCTGTTCTTTTTTTCTTTGTATGGTTTGAGTCGAGTCACGGGATAGCTGCAGTTTGGCATGGAAGGCGCTGTAGAGCACTCGCTTGTTCTCGCTTCATGATGTCAGTTGAAAATGGAAATGGAAGCTGCAACGGTCTTTTTCGAACAAAACAGCAAGCGACTAGACTACAATTAAAGTACAAGTGCCTCTTACATACCGCCTACCAGGTTGCATGTATTACTGGGTATCTCGGATCGGATTCAATATCAGGCACATACATGGACTGTACGGCACACATGCTCCACTGCTCATGCATGCAAGCAAGCCCCTACAAAATCAAAAATCAGGTGACGCCTAAAAGGGCTTTCCATCTATGCCAATAAGACCTGCAGCCGCTGATCCCAACTTTCGGTGTCGTGTCGCAAAGCCCAAAAACCAAGCAAATAGCATCCCCCGGAGAAGCAAAAAAGCAGATGCTAAGAACCAAGAAATGTGACGTGTACTTGATCCGAACAAATCACTGCTCTCCCCTTGCATATGCTAATGCATCTCTTGTTATTGCCCGGTACTCCGTCAGCCTCTCCGTATATCGGTAGGACATACGAGTTACTTTGTGCTGCGAGAAACCCCCGAGAGCTTGTCTCGGGTTCGAGACCGTTAAGACTCTTTTGGCGCCCGCAGGTGACTGGAGCGGCATTCGCTGGAGCGGCTGGCGCGGCCTCGTCTCGTACTGGTACCCAGATTGTGAACCGTCTCACCGCCGGACTTTGTTGAAGATGAGAGAATGTAGAAGTATAGATACATCAGCTGCGTTTCGTCGTTTTTGCTTTTCTCTTTTGTTTCTTTTCTTTTTCTATACATCATATTTGCTTTGGAGCGGCTGAAGCCGAAACAAAGGGCTGCTCTCGCATTGCACCAGATCAATGCAACTCACAGCTTCCACCGGTCCACGATGGCTTCAGCCGCCAGCCAATAAGACCGACACACTTGCCGCACTACTAGTGTTGTCTTGTCTGTCTTGGGTTGTCCCGCATGAAAAACGAATTGCATGCGAGGGGTACCTCTGCATCTGCTTCTTTCATCTTTGCCTCCCATCTCACTATCTGTCTGTGTCCATGTCTGTATCTGTACTGTATGTAGCAACTCAATCACCAACTGAGCCGACTCTCTTAATCCCGTCTCCGCACTTTAGGTCTTACTGGTGGGCTCCTGATTTGACATCCATGCGCTGTCATGAGTCCAGGTCCAAGGGCCTGTTCACCTTATCCACCACAGCCTCGCTCAGGGTCCAGATCCAGTCCAGTCCAGTCCTCTGGCCTCTATCGGGGCCTTGGTGCCAGGCTAGTGCTTCGTACAGTACCAACCGTAGATGGGCTTCTTGTCTCTTCTTCGGCCCCAGCTATCCTTTTTTTTTTTTTTCAGGGTCCCCCTCTAAATCAAAGCCGCCTCCACTCACGATAGTGGCATGTTACTAAGGCACCAACGCCACGAGAAATCGTTACGCCCGGCCAAATTACACCCGTAACAGCCGTTCGGCCGCCATCTGCACTATTTCTCTTGGGAGCTCTAGGCCACTCCGGCACGCTACAGACCCGGCCTCTTTTGATTTTCACCTGTCAACTGCTCTTCACTTCACCTCTTCCCTTTGCCACCCATCAACCTCAAGGCCTGTTACTGTAGTCTATCAAAGTCCCGAGCCTTTCCTGCTTGAGACTGAAGCGAAACTCCTCCGCCCGAGATTTTGCGGGACCACCACGACCGCTGATCCCCTCGTACTGCAGTCCTTCAACCTCGCCTGACCCTGTGGTTCCGCCCTATCCTGCATCCTGGGTGCCGTGCCGTCCCTGTGCCCTGCCCTGCATCATTCTCATCTCTCGTCTTTTTTCGACTCTCGCCTTCCATCATCAACACTGGGACATTCGCATCCCAGTAGCCTCTGAGCCTGTCAACACCGCTGGTCTGGTAACTGGGCAGGTTCGGGAGCTGTCAAGAGAGCATCAGTTTTCTCTTCCGATCTCGTGGATCTCGTCAATCAACGTAACATTGCAGCTTGATTTTGCAAGGGGCCGTTGCAGCTTTTTTTTTTTTCTCGGTGTGCGTTTGAGATTTCGGAAGCTGCGCCTGGCCGCGCGCCCTCATTCGGCCAAAACTTCAACCTGTACGACCTCAAAGGAAAAAAATCCCCTTCCCGCACAACGCCATTGGCACGTCGGATAGAAGCAGCACCAGACGATGGATGGCCGCCCCTTGCCGCATTACAGGGCTGTGTCGGAAGCAACACGCCAGCGCGAGACGTTCAAGTGAGTTTGGCATAATATAGCACTCCTTCCCCTTCCTTTGACTAGGTAGAGATACGATGTTGAAATTGTTTGAAAACATCGTTTGAGAGAATAGAGGAAAAGGCCTTCATCGCCAGATAACCACTGACCGCTGTGGGAGAATCATCCGCTAATTACGATGTCTGAAAATAGATATGACCCGACACTCTTGTCCAATTCCAAGGTCAACAACGCGGGCGTCGCTCTGCCAAGCTCGGAGCTGACGCCATCGCGAGACTTGGTCTTGACCGCCCTTGCTCAGCTGGCCGTCTTCCAGACGGGCACAGAGAGAGCTTTCATCTCCCTTTTTGACGTGGAGCATCAGTATTTTGTCGCTGAAGCAACTAGGACGCTGCTCACTTCACCAGATGACTCCGATCTTGGGCTTTGGATGGTTGGTACCGCCATTCCTCGTGCCCACAGTACGTGCGAGTACACTCTTCTCGAGTCAGATCGCCTTGAGAGAGCGCGGGAGAACGCAATCCTCACAGACCCATCTCAGTTTGATCACTGCGAGAATGACGGCGATTCAACCCAGCTACCAGTCCTTGTGGTCCCTGATCTCGCTACCGACGAGCGTTTCAAATTGAAGCCGTACTGCCGGCCTGGAGGTGGACACCGCTTCTATGCTTCTGTGCCTATTCGAACGCAGAGAGGTATCAACATTGGCGTGCTCTGCGTCGTGAGCCCAGAGCCAGATCGCAGATGGATTGACCACTATTCGAATTTGATGCGTAGTTTGTCCGTGGCCATCATGGATCATCTCGAGGCCAATTTTTCAAAGGTGGCCTACCGCCGGAGCGAGCGCATGATTCGAGGCCTCGGCTACTTCGTCGAAGGAAAGGCGACTGAATCCTCTTGGGCCTCTGTTGCTGGTAGAGAGACGTTTACCGAAACCCCGGACGCCTTGTTTCTGGCTCGCCAGGGACTCATGGGGGAAGTTGAGACTACTAATAACGGGCCACCTGTGTCCGAAGCGACCGCTCACTCAACCCCCAACTCTGAACGGTCTCTTTCGCCAGACGGTGACCGGCTTGACCCCAATCGCAAAAAGGACCGCCCAGGAAAGCCAGCGGCAGAGACGAAATGGGCCGACAACTTTGTTCCAGGACCCAACCCAATGATGGACACGTTTTCTGAAGCAGCCATGATCATCCGCGAGTCGCTAGAGACGGATGGGTGTCTCTTCTTGGACGCAGCCCCTGGATCGTTTGGCTCATATGGTAAGAGAAAGGGCCGCTCCTCTGGCCACCCTTCTTTCCGAGACATCGACAGCAGTAGCAACGATGATGATGAGGACGACGACGATAGCGGCAGCGATTTTGAAGAAGATGCAGAGCTAGAGTCTCAAGCAGGCGATGCTGGTGCCAACACCGGTGCTACTAACGGTACCAACACCGAGGCCAAGCAGTGGCCAACAGCTCAAGTGCTGGGATATGCGGCAACGGAGAGCCGGCGGTCCAAGTTTGAGGACGGCTCGCTTCGGAGAATCAACATGCCGCAGAAGTTCCTCGCGAAGCTCCTTCAGCGGTATCCCAAGGGCCACATCTTCAACTTTGGCGTCAACGGAGAGCTGCAGTCGAGCGACTCGTCCGACGACGACGGCTGGCTGACGGACCTCACCCAGGACGCCATCTCGCCCCTTCAGCCTGATCCACCGCTGCCCCCTCAGGACGACGCCTCCCAGTCTAAGCGACAAAGGCGTCCTTGGGCGCGCCACAACGAGGGAAAGATTATCCTAGAGGTGTTCCCCAAGGCCAGGAGCGTTGCCTTTGTCCCCGTCTGGGATCCCCGAAAGCAGAGGTGGTGCGCGGGAGGCTTTGTCTACACCCTGACGCCAACTCGCATCTTTACCGTGGGAGGAGAGTTGAATTTCCTGAGGGCCGTGAGCATCTTGGCGATTGCAGAGACGCTCCGCTTGAAGACTTTTGCAGCTAACCAGGCAAAGTCGGATGCCCTGAGCTCTCTCTCGCACGAACTGCGCTCTCCCCTGCATGGAGCCGTGCTGGGCATCGAACTGCTTCGCGATACCGAACTAACCGTCTTCCAGGGCAACATCGCTCACACTATCGAGATTTGCTGCCGCACACTCGTCGACACGGTTGACCACCTCCTCGATTACTCCAAGGTTAATAGATTTATCCAGACGAGACGTACAGGGGCTCAAGCGTCGGAACCTAGAGGGCTACGACCAGGAACAGCCAGATCGATCGAAGAAGGCATGCTCAGTCTCTACAAGCACATCCGGCTGGACGGCATCGTCGAAGAGGTCATGGACGGCGTCTACGCCGGCTTCAACTTTATGCACATGGCCCTACAGCTCGCCAAGCACAAGAACTCGGCGCACTCGTCGGATTGGACGGCTATGCGCCGCCTGGACGCCATGCAGGCTATGGAAGAGCTGGGGTCCAACGGCAAGATTGCGCTGGGCGAGGTGACTGTCTTCCTGGAGATCGACCACGCCTTCAACTGGCGGTTCTACACGCAGCCCGGTGCCATTCGACGCATCGTCATGAACCTGCTCGGCAACTCGCTCAAGTACACGCAAAAGGGCTCCATCAAGGTGCGCCTGACCCAGTCTAAGCCGAAGCGCAAATCGTCTGCCGACGCCATCGTCCACATCATTGTGTCCGACACTGGCAAGGGTATAGGAGAGGACTATCTGCGCAACGACCTTTTCAAGCCCTTCTCGCAGGAGGACCATCTCGCCCCCGGAACCGGCCTGGGTCTCAGCTTCGTCAAGCAGATTACATCGCAGCTTAGGGGCCGCGTTAATGTTGACAGCCGAGTCAACGTGGGCACCATTGTCAAGGTCTCGCTGCCTCTCATGCAGACGCTGACGCCTCCCGACGGCACCCCCTTACTCGCCGAGAACGAGGGCGATCTCGACAAGCACGTTGCCGAGGCCGCGGGCCTTCGCGTGCGTCTCCTGGGCTTCGACATTGGCAGGCGGGCTAAGAGACGAATGCTAGATGGGAGCGTCACGGAGCTGCTCGTGGAGGTTGAGCGTATCTGCCGCGACTGGCTGGGCCTCAACATCATCACCGAGGCTGAAGCTGAAGAACAGCCGCCCGACTGCGTCATCTGGATCGAAGACACGCTGGCCAACTCTCCGCTGGAGAATCTTATGCAAGGACCACCCTGCGTGGTGCTATGCAAAAACACCTTAGTGGCGTACAAGAGCGCAGCGCAGTTTGAACGGGTCAAAGCACACCGGATCTTTGAATTCGTTGCTCAGCCGTAAGTAATATATCCCTTGTCCCTAATATTACATATTGCCCTCCTTTTCTCCCTTCACCATTCACTGACTTTGTCTTTCTCTTTTATCTAGTATGGGGCCCCGTAAACTCGCCAAAGCAGTGGCTCTGGCCTTCAAGCGCGGCCGCGAACTGAAAGCCATGCCTCTGTCCCCAATCACGCCTCGCCAGGAATTCCTCCCCGTGGTGCCGGACCTTCTCAGCAATGTTAAGACCCAGCTGCCGGCGCCGACGCCTCGCCTCCAAGCGCTGCAGAATCTCCTCATTGAGAGCGAGAAGCCCGCGAAGCCCAGCGTCGCCGTCGTCGATACTCCCATTGCAGACCCCGAGCCTGCCTGTGAACCCACGCCAGAGTTCCTGCTCGTCGAGGACAACAGCATCAACCTCGACATCCTCTCCATCTACATGAAGAAGCTCGGCCGCCCCTACCACACGGCGACCAACGGCGCCGAGGCCCTGAGCGCGTACAAGCTCAACCCAAACCACTGCAAGTACATCTTCATGGACGTGTCGATGCCCATCATGGACGGCTTCGAGGCTACGCGCCGCATCCGTGCCTACGAGCGCGACAACCAGATCAAACCCGCCATCATCTTCGCCCTCACGGGGCTTGCCTCGGAGAGCGCCCAGCAGGAGGCCTTTGGAAGCGGCGTCGACCTTTTCCTGACCAAGCCTGTCAAGCTTAAGGAGCTGGGCATGATTCTCCGGTCCAGGGGCTTGCTTCCCGAGGAGCCCTTGGTGGTTGTGACCAAGAACGGGACTCACATGGCCTAGAGCCGATGAGCTTCTTCTTTTTCTTATTTCTGATTCTTTCATTATTATACTAATCTGCATTTCCATTCATCTTTTTCGGTTTCAGCTCTGATTTCTAATCGTTCTTCAGAGAAGAGGGTAAACATTCAAGGGTGTCAAGGGGCAAAAACGGATTCACAGGCCACGCTGGCTAAAAGGGATAGGTTCTGGAAGGGCATCGATTTTCTTTTCTTTATTTCGGTCATCTTTGACAGACACGGTTTTTACTTTCACGACTGTCATTACTCGGGGCAAATCTAAAACAGAAGACAAAAACAAAATAAAAAAAAAGTACGCGACATTTGAATCAGACAAATCTCGCTGGACACTTACAACGAACACACGCGTGGTTTTTTACTTTGTCTTTGTCAACAGACTTGCGATAGATACACGCACATTTTAAGGCGACATGGGGAGTATACGGGACTCAAGAGGGAACTTATGATGATGTTATGTTATTCTATAATTTTTGCTTTGCTTCGGTTCTTTTTCAAGAACGGTATATGCGGTTCGGAAATAACGGTACTTTGCTTTTACTCATAATGAAATCGTACAATTTTGATAAATAACTCATATATATGTCTTACAATATGTGCATGTGTGTAATCATGAAGACAGCAACACAATCGGGTTGCCGTTCGTCACATTCAAGCAAAGCTGCCCATTGCCGTCTGCGGTATACGTCGGGCCCTTGCCCTCGTCAAACACATTCTGCCACTGGCCGTTAGGAACCTGCGTGCCGAAGCAGTACTGACCCGAGCTCCCGTTTCCGCCATTGGTCGTAAAGGCCACCATCTTGCCGCCAGCACGGCTGAAAGCATATGCCGTGCTCTCCACGTACAAGTGCTTGTGGTCGTTGTCGGCGAGCCCGCCCACGGCGTGCTTGGCGTAGGTGAGCTTGGAGATGGCATCGTACATGTCGGACTGGGTGTTGAAGCCGCTGCGCCAGAGGTCTTCTCTGTTGGCGGGATCGTTGCTCCCTGAATAGGCCTGCTCGGTGCCGTAGTAGACAATGGGGATGCCTCGCCCGAGGATGGTGTAAGTGAGAGCGTTCTTGAGCAGAGCCGTGTCGTTCTTGACGCTGAGGAAGCGAGGGTTGTCGTGGTTATCGACAAAGGTACCCAGCGCAGTCGGGTCGGGGAACGAAGAGCCAATCTGGTCATGCATGTTGACCATGTCCTGCGAGGAGCCCGCCTGCTGGTAGAAGCGAGTCATGGGGTAGTAGATGGCATAGTTAAGCAGGCCCGGCATGAGGCTGGCGTAGGGCAGCATGAAGTTTGGGTCTCCGTCAAAGACCTCGCCAATGCAGTAGACACCCGTGGCGTTGACAAAGCCGGGCCAGTAGTCTTGTTCGACGTGCTTGACAGTGTCGATGCGGACACCGTCGAAGCCGTAGGTCGAGACGAGGTTGGAGACCCAGTCCTGGTAGAGGCTGCGGATGGTAGGGCTCTGAGTGTCGAGATCCGGGAGGCCGCTGATCCAGCAGTTTTCGACGCTGGTCTGGTTGTTGTAGTCAATGTCGCATTCTGGATGATACGACGAGTTCTCGTTCAAGGGGGTTGGAAGGTCGTCAGGAATGCTGGCATAGCCCATATGATTGGCGACAACATCCACCATCATGTAGAAGCCCTGTTTTTACCTGTTTTAGCACCGTACTTCGAAAATAGAGGCATATAAGATGGGGTGTGGAGTATCACGTACCTTGCTATGCGCAGCATCAACGAGACTCTTTAAATCATCCGCAGAACCATAATGAGAATTGATCGAATCCAGAGACTCAGCCCAGTAACCGTGGTACCCCTTGTCGCTATCTATTTGAATATAAACATTAGAAGCTCATCCAAGAGATAATGCGTGAGGCTGTGTGTAACTCACTTGTAACGACGGGCGTGATCCATATGGCGTCGAATCCCATGCCCTTGATGTAGTCCAACTTGCCCTCCAGACCTTGGAACGTACCACCGCAGTAGTCACCTAGGTTTCCGCACGCACTGCCTCCGGAATCATCCGCTCCGCGGGCAACACGGTCCGTAAGGGCAAAATAAATGGTACGAGACCTCCAGTCCGCCGTGTTCGCCGAAAGGACCGGCAGAGAAAGCTGCAAGAGCAGCGGCAGAGTGAAACGAAGCTTCATCTTTGGCTTCTCCCTTTAAAAATGCCTAGTTCAACCTAAAGGAATCGTAATCCAAGCTGCTTGCTTCTAGCAACTGCCAAAAAAGAAAGGGCAAACCACCCCGAGATATATACTCGTATGTTGCTATATCACACGTTTTCCCCTTTTCGAAAGAAACAATATCACGGCGCATAAACGACTACATCCACTCCGCAAAACACAAATATCCACGCCTGACGAGAAAAGAGCCCGCACCACTTACAGACCTCCTGTTCTAGGCAGCCCATGACGCTGATCCTAGATCTGCTAAGTCACCCGTCAAACACGCCCCCGACAAAGGGCCGAATGAGACATCCACAAGACTATTCGCCAGAAATCCGTATGAAATAGCCGTCCTGTGATATAGCATATCAAAGGGGGAAGCGCCCTTACTCGTGACGAAACTGAAAGCGAGATTCATGGAGCTCGTAGCGCGGTCAAGCCGGACGAAACAGCGCGGGAGAAAGCATGGAAACCACATGGCTACTAGTAGTGATTATGCCTCTGTTTGGCGCCAGTAAGTCCCGGAGCCTCGAACCCCTGCGCGCTGTCGGTTTCGGCACATCTATTGGCGACTCGCACCCGGCCGGTGGCGTCGGACTGGAATTGCGGGGGCAGCATCCAAGCTGGAGACGTGAAGCTGAGTGGAGGGGCAGAGCAAGCATGGGAGATTGTCCAGTGTCAGAGTTGATGGCTTGAGACGCAGACCGCCCAGAGGTTTCGAATATGCCGGCAGAAACTTGAACCGCCATCACCACCTACCGATATGGGCTGATGATGGACATGGGCCGAGGTACGGCACTCAACCTCTTACACCCAGCTTGCGTCTAAACCACCGCCAGATACCGGCAAATACTACGCTATGCGGTGACAAATTAAATCGCCGCGGTAAACATATGCAAATCTAAGAAGCAGACCAGTAGTCTTCTCCATCAATACCTTGCTGCGCCAAAAAGCCACCCGAGCTCTGAGCATCGTCATCACCGCCAACCAACCCTAGCTGCCAAGTCTCCTCCAAAACAGCTTCCAATCATACTACACAAGCTACAAAACCCTGCCCATCATGTCCAAGCCGCCCATCCCCAACCTCCGAGACATCTCCATTGCCTCGCCATCCCTCTTCCGCTCCCGCCTCGTCCTCCGTTCCGCCGCGCCCCCCACCTCGCCATCCCCCGAGCTCGACGCTCTCAACATCGACACCGTCTTCGACCTCCGCTCGGGCCTCGAGGTCTCTTCCCACTCCTCCCACGGCTCCGACTCCGCCTTTGCCGAGCAGTGGCCCGGAGGCCCTCGCCGCGTCCATGCCCCCGTCTTCGCCGACGCCGACTACGGCCCCGAGGCGGTCGCCCTCCGCTTCCACGAGTATGCCTCGTCCCACCCCGTCCTCGGCTTCGTAAACGCCTACCGCTCCATCCTGAAATCCGGCGCACCGGCGTTTGCCACCGTGCTGACGTACCTCTCTTCTGACGAGTGGGATGCGTCCGCGGAGAGACCCATCCTTGTTCATTGCACTGCAGGCAAGGATCGTACAGGCATCTTGTGCGCCTTGATATTGAGCCTGTGCAACGTCCCAGACGAGGATGTGGCAAGAGAGTACGGCCTTACCACCGAAGGGCTGAAGGATGCAAAGCCCACACTTGTGAAGCGGTTGATGGCGATGCCGGCTTTTGAAGGAGATCCAGATGGTGCCGAGAGGATGCTGAGTTCAACGTGAGCTCCTTTGTTTCTGTTTCCTTTCCTTCAAACCTCTTTGTAAGTGGACACTGACAATTGCACAACAGGCCTGAGAGCATGATGGCTACGCTTGCCATGATCCGGGAGGAATGGGGCTCTGTCGAGGAGTACATCGTCAACGAGTGTAAACTCTCGCCCGAGACCATTGCTCGCATTCGACAGAAGCTCCTAGTCCCCAACTAGGCAGGCTTGTATTGCCATTCTGCATTATAGACGTTGATCCTATTGCATCGAAAAATGAATTAGACGTGTCATGATGAATAGCCTGTTTTGTGTTGGATATATAAATAATATAGTATGTAGGTATACATTGGTTATTATACATGGCTCGTGTGGTGTATGCGTACATGTATGTATGTTAATAATACAGCTTCGTCTGATCTCTCTTCGGATCAAACCCATTTTCTTTCAAAGTCGTTTCAATGTCATTTCAATACCACCCTCCTGCCCTGTCATTCACGCAAAGTCTATAGCCCCAGAACCTACGGCACAGACGTAGGAATCTTGACCAGACCACGCTTACGGTCATCAAACGGCGCTCCATATCTCCAGCCAGTGCCCTTTCTTGACCGACCATTTCGTCCCACATCGTCCGCGTTGATTTCCTTGAACCGGAACTCGTAGCGGTCCGTTGTTACTCTCGTTGTTGCCTTCTCTTCTCGCTGCTGCTCCTGCACGATGCGTCTCGCTACCTTATCCTCCTCCTTCTGCGTCGCCTCCTTGAATTTGGCCAGGCTTTCTTGCCGGGTCTTGCCCTCTAGAATGTCCCGCTCCATGTTGATGAGCTCAGGCTGTGGTGACCGCGCATCAACAGACAGCATGGTGTCGTGGAAGGCCTTGGCAGCGTCTTCTCGGGTAAAGTGACGTGACTCTGATACTGGCACGAAGAGCTGCTGCATTGTCAACTTGTGGACGTGGATCTCATTGACGGGCTCGTGTGGCAGATTCTTCTCGCCCTCCCGGTAATACGTCTTGGGCAGCATGCTCATGACAGCTTTCGCATAGGGAATGGCCAGTTTTTTGCCCTGTTTTCATTTTACTAGTCAGCACAGTTGTATAACACAATAGAGTATTGCTTATGAAGTAAAAGTGACAAAAGGATGCAGAGGTCGGCGTATTATCAGAACAAATATAATCGTGTTTTAACCATGGAAATAAGTCTTCAAGACTAATCGAATTTTTGGAAATTGTCTCATCATGCAAAATGCACACAACTCTCTGTCTGTCTCGCTTGGGAGAAAGAATAGGGGGAACGGTTGTCAAAAGGGGAACCGGGGGATAAGGAAATTTGCAAAGCTCACCTCTCTCTGCCATTGCTTCTCAACCTCCTTCAGCCTCACAACAGCCGCTACCCGCCTGACGTCGACGCCCATCTCTGCCGAAACGGCCTTTAATGACTCCCCTCTCCCCATGACCTTGTCCCAGATCAGCTCCCTCGAATGCTCATCCAGCACCGGCTGGCTTCGAAACAGCGGATTTAGAGGAAACGGCTGGTCCTGCAGCGGCCCTAAATACCTGGGGCCTCCTTTGGGTTCGGCAAACTCTGAACCTTCCCTGCCCTTGAGCCATTGGTACATCTGCTGTCGAGCCCGGCTCATCTTCTGTTGACACGGTGTCGAGCTGAAGCTTCGCACGAACGGCGCAGACTTTGATTTGCAGGATTGAACCAGACACGCATCGACCACGGGGGCCAGCGGCATGGCAGCCGCAGATAGTCTGGGGGCCATGTCTATTCTTTGTATGTGCTTTTAACAATGTAGGTGCGAATTGATTCGGCTGGATCAGCTGCTCATTGCGAATCGCGTCAATGGCTCAAAGGTCGCCGAGGCTTTTTTGTCGTCATGTCTTGTGAGCAAAGCTGGAGAGGGTATCAAAAAAGCGAAGCTTGGCCACAAATTTTCCGTCTCGGTGTCTTGTTCTCCCGCTTCCGGAGGGAGGGGCATAAGGCCATTGGGGGCACGCACGCTTGGAGCAAAAGAACGAGAAAACAACCATACCCTAATAAGCGCTAGCTGTCTCCAGTCGCATAGGTAGCTCGACATAGCTCCAGTGGCAGCAAAAGAATAAAGAATCCATCCAGATATGATTCAAAAAACAACATGTCACCAAATTACAAGGACTGGGGCCTAGGAGACAGATATCCCGTGTATATTAAGCCTGCCACTACTCGAGTGGACCGACGCAAAATGCGTATATGTATAGTACTCAGCATGCTCGCCACCATACCTTGATGCGATACCTAGCTCTTGTCGAACAAGAGAACAAAGAAAACAAAAGATAAAGAATAAAATCATCATCCGTTCAAAAGCAAAGGGAGCTTGAAACGGGTCAGCAAATCAGCGCTAGATCCATCCTCCTGAGAACCATTTTTTCCATGTATTTGAATCCCTCTCCCCTCCTAGTGTTGCGGGTTGCCCCTCGCCCAATATGAAAGCCGTTTCAAAAAAAAAAAAAAAAAGTCCTAGACTCCGGTGAATAACCATCCGTTTATGACGCCGACATGATCGGCCGGTTCTTTTTTGTCTTGTTTTTATAAGCTTGTGCTTTTGCTCGCTGGGTGGCAGCCTCAATCGCTTCGGCCTTGGCTGAGAGGTCCTTCCACTTGCGCCAACCTTCAAAGTCGATGAGTGCCTGCATACAGCCCCACTCCATCACCTTACGCTCCAGCCAGACAAAGTTGACAGGCTTTGCAAAACTAAGTCAGCGTCATGTTCTTTTACGGAGCATCAATCATGCATGCGTGTATAGTTAACTCGGGTTACATACCTTTGTCAGAAAATCGTTGCAGCCCGAGGCAAGAGCCTCGTGTCGGTCGCTCTGGAGAGAGCTGGCCGTGAGGGCAACGATGATAACGGGACTCTTGAACTGGCCAATGCCCTCGAGGCGATCTTGCTCGGTGAGCTCTTCGGCCTGTGTGGTCTCGGGAATACCGGTGGGTGCGGTAGAGAAGACACCAATGTTATTGATCCTTTCCAGCCGGCGAATCTCTCTCGTGGCCTCCAGTCCGTTCATACCAGGTAGCTGAATGTCCATGAGGACCAAGTGGAAGCCACCGTTTCTCCATTTCTTGACGGCATCTCGACCGTTCATGGCCGTTGACCATCGGACCTTGAGACGCTTAACAAAGGCCTCGAGCAGTTTCAGGTTGATTGGGTTATCTTCAACAATGAGTACGTTGATCGGAGGCACAGTGGCAGTAAGAATGGATGGCGAGGGGGTGTGGTGGTACTCTTGCTGTTGCTGCTGTTGCTGCGAGCTCCTCTTGCTCTTCTTGGGTCGTGAGCTGGGCAAGCGAGGAGACGACAGCCGCTGGGGAGGGGGAGTGCCCATGCGAGCTGACGACGTCATTTCATGGCCCGGTGACTTGGCCATGGCGCCCGAGTGCGTCACAATGTGCTCTGAAGAGCTCGAGTGCGTTCGCGAATGTGAGTGCCGCGAGCGATAATGCGTTGCACCATGAGCATTGGCAGCAGTTGAAGACGCCGAGTTTGGTATGGCGCTGCTGCCGCCGCCACCTCCAGCACCACTCCCTCCTCCATTATGCAGGTTCGGCGAAGGCGTATGAGTTCTTCCAGTTCGCGAGTAGTCTTGGCGGTCGTGACGCTGATCACGGTCCCTGTGCCCACGGGGTCTGTTGCCGCCGGGAGAAGGAAGGGGAGGAATGGGAGGAAGGTGGCCCGAGTTGATGACGGTCATAGAATGGGGCATGGCTCCGTTAGCTTGCGCGGGAACAGACATGGCAAGGCGAGGTGACGACGTGTTTCCACCTACGGGGGGAAAGTAGCCTTCGCCCGTCTCAGATGGGCGCCCATCATCGCCGCCATAGTAGGCAGCCGACGCAGAGCCTGAATGGGGAAGAGGAACGCGCGGAGACGGCTTGGGCGTCGTCGAGGTCCGGGGAATTTCAATGACGAGAGCGTCCTTGACGGTCTGGCCTGAGGGGTAGTATGCGTTGAGGGTTTTGACCATGTCTTCCTCGGGGCCCAGGGTTCGACTGCGTTGGTTATTTTGCGTCTCCTCGCCGACCTGGATGCGAAGAGTGAGGTCGGGTGAATCGAAAGTCTTGCCCAACGAGTTGCCATACTTGCGCAAAATCTCGTCGCGCACATCGTCAACAAGGTCGCCGGGGCGGATGCGGATCTGAGTAGCCGACGCCTTGGGTCTCATGACCCAAATCTTGGTTGGAATTTGTTCAGCCATGCTGCTGGCATCGAAATCGCCGAGGTCTGCAATGTCGTCTATCGAAGATGAGTATCCGATCAAGTCGTCGTGGCGATGGGCGATGATGGATGGTGCAGAGGGAATTGTCGAGGAAGAAAGAGGAGCAGGGCCAAGGTGTTTGGCAGAGGTCACGGAAACGGCAGGAGGGGCTTCGGCGCCTGGGGTTCCGATGACGTTAAGCGAGGCAGTCGCGATGAGTGCGTCGCGGCTGCTGCTGTTGGCAGATGCAGACTTGTCGGCCGACTCGTCAAAGGTGACGGTTTGGTTTGGGTCGCGGCTGGCTCGACGAGGCGGCGCGGGCGGGCGCGTGGACGTGCGGGCGGCGGCAGACGAGTCTTGGGAGGAATTCGGGACGGCTCTAGACAGCACGGACGTTGGCGACGACTTGGTCAATGGAAGGCCGGCTTCAGCTTCGGTTTGGGCTGCAGCTTCGACTCGAGCAAGAGGAGAAGCAGGCGGCGGGTTGGTTGGCAGAAGTGACGCGGAAGTAAGATTCAGCGGGCCATGGCCGGCGCCGGGTGTGGGCGGAGCGTCGATGCCGCGGCCGGTGGCAGCAACGTGCTCAGCAGCTGCCGGCGAGGCGGAGGGGGCCTGTTGCTGGGACTGGGACGAGGACTGCGGGTACGTGGATCGCGTCTGCGATTGCGAAGGCGAAGGCGAGGGCGATTGCGACTCGTCCTCGTCGATGCTGTCGAGGCTGGGCAGGCTGGGAATGCTAGGCAAGATGCTTGGGCCGGGCGTCGGGGGGGCGAGAGGAGGAAAAGTCAGCAGCGCCGAAGGAGTTGGCAAAGGAGGAGATGGAAGCGAAAACGGTGGCGCTGGTTGGCGTGGGCGTTTCTGCACCTGTCTCTGCTGCTGTTTCTGATTCTGCTGCAGATCGCCGCCAGGAATGGGGCCGCCAGCAGAAACGACAGCGCCGCCTGTGCCTGTGCCTGTTGTACCTGTACCGCCAGCGTCGGCGGCAGTAATACGAGGACTAGCACTAGCAGCGTCCGTGGTGCCAGCAATAGTTCCCTGGTCGCTGTTAATAACCGCCATACCTTGTCCGTCGAGCTGGCTCTGGTCCGTCTCGTAGCGGCTCGCTTCTTCACTGTTTAGGCTTCGGCGCGGGCTCTGACCCTGAACGCGGGTCCCTGCCGAGGCCGGGAGCTGGTGCGGGCGCTGTGTTTGCCGTTGGTCTAGCGCTGGTAGTGCCTGTACCATCAGCTCTCCTGTCAAGGCCTGGTGCTGGAGATTGCTGATGGCAGCGGGGGAAGCGGGATCAGAAGCAGGATCAAACGTAGCAGCTGCTGCTGCCTCCGTGTCGACGCCTTGATGCTGATGTTGGTCGTATTGCTGGTCGTCGTTGGCCCCCTTTTCCTCTCCAATGCTGTCGAAATAGCCCTGGGCATGCTTGGACAGCTGCGGTGTGGTAGCTCCTGTTGGCGCCACGGGTATCTGGGATGTTGGTGATACCGGCGAGACTGGCGATAGATGGAAAGCCGCACTGTCAGGGACACTTCTTCGCTTCTCAGCGTCGGCAGTCTGCTTGGGCTTCTGCCACATCCTCCAATGCTGCCTCGTGCGCTGCTGCTCAGCGTCGTTGCTTGTCAGGGCAGAGTCACCAGCTTCGCTGTTATCGTCACCGCCGCCGCAGCCTCCTATTCCTACTTCTCCGTCTTCCGTCATCAGCTCCAGAGACAGCGTCAGTGTCTGGGATGAGGGCTCACGTGGGAATGGGAACGAGGGCCTCCTCTGGCTGATGCCGGGCGTCGTGGGCGGCGACGAAGAGTCACCCTCATCACCTTGAACTGACACCTCGGACTGGCGCCGTCGCCGCCTGAACAGCGTTGCCTTGAGCTTGTTAGCGATGTCCGGCGCCATCCTCCTTCAGCCTCGTTTGCTGCCCTGAAGCAGAAGCGGGAGCGGCAACAGGATCAGGCGCAACCAAGAGGCGTGCCATGCAAAACAGACAAGGGGGATTGAAAATGAGGCTGATGGGGGGCGGAGATTAGAGAGTCGGGATCTGATGAGTCCTGGAGATTATCCGAGAGATAGAGACGGCAAGGGACCAGACGGGCTGAGAGAAGAAAGACGACAGGATTGCTAGAACCGAGAAGAGATTAAGTGGAAGGCCGACAGGCCGGTAGACAGATAGAAAAAAGAAAAAAGAACGAATGCCAAAGAGAGACAAAGTCAGTTGAGTGGGTGAAGAGGGAAAGAAAGGAAGAAGAGGCTTCCGAAGTCGAGAGAAAGTGAGAGAAGGAGAATCGAGATGGAGGAGAGTGAAAAACCGCCGACCCTTAGGGCATCACGACCGCGCATGCAGCTCGCATGATCAGTCGTATTTGGGCGCTTGGACTCGTTGCTCCTGCTCTCGCGTGGTTGTTTGGGGTTGAGGGAGGCGAGGCGAGGCGAGTAGATAAATCAGTTTCTTATGCGAGTGATGGGCTCCAGTCAGTGGAAGGAAGGTACCTGTGCGGGAGTACTGTACTGCTGGACCGACGTTGACGAGGCCTCGCCTTGCCTTTGGGTCTTGCTCTGCCTTGCCTTGCCAGAGCGCAAGTCGAGCCAAACGGAACCAAGCCAAATGGGCTGCAGCCTCTTGGGTCCAGTCCACTGGCAAGCATAGGTACCGGTACCTACGGGGCAGCGACAGGGGACTGCAGTTAATGCTGGCATGGATGGGATGGGATGGATGGATGGATATGCGAAATCCAGGCCAGGCAGGGTAGCCCGCAGGTGTGATTGATACCCGTTTGTGCGGGTATGTAGCATTGACGAGTGCAGGTGCACTCAATATTGTTCAATTGTACATTGTCGTGGTGTTCAAATGCATCCATGGGTTGATCAATACAACCGCTATTCACCTGGATGGAGGGACCGCCGTGGCCCGGGCAAATTTGTCCTCATCCTTGTAGGGGAGGGCCGTCACCTTGACTCGCATCAAATAGTATGGAGCGACCCTTTTTTTTTTCTCGATCCCCCAAGCCCAAGCTCCTCTCACCCATGCTCCAGGCCATGTTCGCGAGATGTGCTCGAGCTAGCTAGCACAGTCTCTGATGCTCCGCAGTAGCAGCATTAGTAGCATCGTGCTCCCTACTCGGTGCATGTGCCTGTACGAGTCCTGTACTCCTACGCGAGAGCACAATGGAAGTGCCTTCTGTAGTAGCCTGTAAATAAACGAATTGAGCGGGCGAGAATGAGGAGTCGGTGATCAATGGACGTCGCCATTCCGGGCCGTTCTGCCAGCTCTGTTCACCATGCAGTCTGAGCATTATTTGATGCTAGCTCAGGTGGCCTCCTTTATCGACAGCCGCTGAGGCTACCGTCCAGCACAAGCTACAGGGGGGTGAGGGTCCAGATGAGAACCTGGAAGGGGAGAACAGTTGAGGCTGCCGGAGGGTCTCTGATAGGCGTCTTAAGCGGATGCACCGGGGGCAATCATCCGCCTGCAAACCAAAAACAGCCAGGGATTTGGTCGAGAAAGAGGGGAGCTCCGGATGGTGGCGCTGCTCCAGCAATCTAGTGCTGGCTGTGGCGGCTGGTCTGGTTGACGCTCCAGATTCCACAATCCATGTCCGCCAAACATCTGGTTTCGCGCATGAAACGTGGAATATCGATTCTAGGTTGATGTTCGATGTCCATGTTAAAGTTCGATGTCCAAGCTGATGTTTTGTTCTCCATCTTGCTTTCATTAGGTTGGCTTTTCTTTTCTTTTCATGGGTCCCCCCATGCCACATGGGTCGTAGGGATTAGTACGACGGGAGTACAGGCGTCGAATGGTCCCTGGGTAGTTGAGTACTAAGAGTTTCAAATTGGCAACTTGTTTATGCATCGAATCATCCAAGCACAAGCAAGCATCCTCACGATGCCCATCTCTATCCGAGCCTTTGGTGAAACAGCCATGCACGTGTTGTGTTACTCCGCAGAGAGACCTGGGGGAATCGAAAGGCAGACCAGACAAATGAAGAAGAAAATCGGGCCATTCTCTTACCGGTGCACTGTGTTGCTGCTGGAAGTTCCGCCCGTCTGTACAGACTACAGGCATGATAGGTATACGAGAGAGGGGGGCGCTCTATTTGCCGCTTCGTGATTGACGCCAATTCGTCGAGCCCTGTCAAATATGTGGTTGCAACGCAGCCAACCCGCCCCGTAAGTGCTGCTCTGTTGCATGAAGCGTGCGCGCAAGAGGCTCAACAAGGAAGTGCCAGACATGCACAGCAGCCGGCTATCACCTAGGGATCAGCTTTAGGGGGGGGGCATCATAGATCCTGCGTGTAAAGCCATCCATCTCTAGACAGCTCCCCCCCTCACATGTGAATTGGCTGTGTGTGTCACGACAGGCGCCACGGTTTGGCTCGAGCTGGGCGGGCGTTGGTGCACGCATGGGCTACTGCTGCAGCTATCGTACGAGAATACGGACTTGCGAGGTTGGCTTGTCCTGTTGCCATTTGACCAACTCACCAGCCGCGGCATTGAATCATCAAGTGCCAAACTCGAGGTCTTTCGTCTCGCCGCGTGTACGAAGCTGCATATCTCACAGCCCTTGAGCACAAGTGCGTGGACTCGCATACATATGCTTAGGCCTGTAACAGGGCAAACATTGAGCCCAGGCCGGCGAACAAAACCCGCACAGTCGCAAACAAGTGGCAGGTGGACGATAATGTGATGAATCACAAACATAGAAGTGTTCGGTCAGCCAGTCTCAATGGGATGCACTTTGACTGCAGCTTCAAAAGATTTGCTTGTACCGGTACCCCGTCAAGCTTCAACGTTGCCACCGTCGAGGGCACATGTGCTCGCTTAGGCCGATCACCGTTTGCAACATCAAATATTGCATCCATGCTCATCATCTTGTAAGCTGGGTTTGCAAGTCAGCCATTCTTTCCCTTCTCCTTTATTTTCCCCTCTTTCCCTGTCTTTGTTATTCTTGATTTTCTTCTCTTCCCTTGCTTGGTCTTTTCCTCTGTCATCGTTTTCGTCCTTGTCTCATTTTGCTCAAAGGCAAGCTAGCTACCCTGTAGACAAGGAGTGATTGAAGAGGGGAAGGAATGTGCCAACTTAAATCTTGGCCATGGGAGAAGAGGGGCGAGATCATCTTGCCCGGGCGGCTGTCAAGTCGGAATAGAGTGTGTCTAGGCTAGGCGCCAGCAGGGTACTCATCTCCACTGTAGCTCCTTCGTGGGACTGGCTAGCAACGCAACTGGCTGCGAAGCTACAGTGCTCGATGCTGTATATCAGCACAAGAGCTGTAAACCCAGCATGTACATGGATCCTCATTTGCTTCTCCGGCAGTGAATTGGAGCTTCTCCCTGCATCCGGCCACCGTGAAATGCATACCTATCAAATACCTTGGACATGTGTAGCCGTAGCACCGAATGCTCGTACAGGTGCAGCACTGGTACTGGTACTGGCGCTCTGACTGCCGGCGTGTCATTCGCCCCCAAAAACCCCCCAGATCCTGCACGAGCTGAGCTGCCCCAGGGATCGGGCCTTGATTGATGGAGGTGAATTCGAGAGCTGGCCAAGCTGGTCGGCGAGAAAAGCGGAGCCCGTGCAATAATTCCGTGGCCCCCACCCGAGCTCTTCTTGTACCTGCATTGCATGGGAATTGCCAGCACACAAGCTCTCCAACCTGCTCACGGCCCAGCTTGTCTCGCCGTGCTATGAGTTGTCTCTTTCGTCTTGTATCCAACGAACCTGATCCTGGAAGACTGCAGCCTCACAGCCTCACATTCTCGTACGCTGGCAGCCAGTGCTAGCATCCGCATCGCCCGTGGCTTGTCGCGGTGCAGCAAGCCCCCCTGTGTCCTTGGTCACAGAGCACCATCATCATGCCAGCGTCGTTGCCATCAAGCCCTCCTCAATCCTCTCAGTCATCCCTGATGGATACCATTCCAGATGACAAGGGTCATGATTTGACCCTGGATAGGCCTTCGCCCCGACGCCCCAGGACGCCCGCTAAGCTCCTGCGCCTTGGGGTGCGGAATCGCCGCCACGAGTACCTGGTGAAAACCCCGTCGTATTTTGACAATCTGGAACATGAACTCGCTGGTATGATATCGCATCTCATTTTTTTTGATCTCTCTCCCGTTGTCGGCTGATGGGTCATGTCAAAGATCCTGTAGCCTCGAGAGAGAGCTCACCATCCCTTTCCAAACCTGACTTGACCTGAAAACCAACCATTGCGGTACCATGTAGATCCTATCCTGTATGAGCGTCTTGTCAAGAGATTTCAGACTCCAGCCGAACGAGAGGCAGAAGGAAAAGCCAAGGGCTATAGTCGCACTCTCGAAGCAGATCTCGTTAGAGGCGAGACAAATCTCTCAAACCTCTATCCAGAACGAGAGCAGGGTAGCCGAACACCACAAGATTCAAAAGTGCTACGCGATGGAGGCGCGGGCACCAATGCATGGGACGCTGACGCAGAGGACAAAGAGCACGGCAAACAGCTTTGGCATGCGTACCTCGAAGTCCGCTTTGTGGAGGGACTAGATGAAGACTTCGATTATGAAAAGGTTGATGACAATTATAAATATGACACCATGGCGATTCAGGATGCCGAGGATGCCTGGTTCGATGACGAAGAGCCCAGTTGGGTAGATGGGGAAACGCAGTTTCCCGTTCGATTAGGAGAGACGGGTATCCAAGATTTTTGAGTCTCATCGATAGAAGCTCCCGTGGTCTTGAACCTTTTCATTCTATAGGGGTTCTCGGCTGAGGGCTGGGAAAAGTAAACAGCCCTCTGAGTTGCCAAGTATATGGCACTGCTGGGCGTGGTATCGCAAAGGACAAGGCTTTCGCAAGCATCTGGCCAGCGCTAGTGAGAGTTTGTGTCATGAAGATAGCGTGTCATGAAGATTGCTTGGTAAAACTTCGTGTCTGTAAACTCCCGATCCATAGAATTTGTCTCCGTAAAAGTCTGTCTTCGTACCCAACGGACAAATTTTACATTCCGGCTCGGTCCGCTTTGCCCAATAAAGCACACATGGCATGGTGCTGACATGTTCCTGTGCTTGCAAGATAGTCGTAGTTGCACTTGTTCAGTATCCACAGCACCGTTCCTGTAAGTTGCAATTGCTTGTAAGCTATAGACAGTAACAAGATCACAACATATGAGGTAAAGGTAATGTAGAGGCCGAATCATCGCGGTGAATACAGTAGGACTCCGTAATAGCAACGACCTTGTTTGACCTGCCTGATTGAGAAATGGTATATTCTCCACATGACGCTGAGCAGATGTTTGTTTCGCTCTTCCAGAGACCAGAATGCTGCCGTTTTCAAGATAGAAAATGACGAGAATGCAGAGCTTGAAGCTGTAGTTCAAACATCGGCATAGTGGCATCTTCATTCGTCTCGCCTGCGCTAACGAGGCGATCAGCGTCCACGATCTGCCCAAGCTGAGGGCTGGGATGCTGTGATTCTTGATACTTAATAGCCGCATCGTATTGCAGTGTGATGGTGGAGCAACTGCCTTTAGTTTGCCCACTAGATGATAATGCAAAAGTGATTAGCGCGTATGCCTCCCATATTCGTCAGAAACAAACCTACAGCTCACTCAAGTATAGTCGAAAGTCGGGTATCGAGATCGAGTGGGTTTCCGACAATGGCTTGCCCTTAACAGGAGCACCGGAGTGACTGGTCCGTTTTCTTCTGAATTGGAGCTTATATCATGGCTCTTGTCCTCGACACACCCAAACCAATCAATGTCCCTACAATCGCAAGTTGGCGAAAGAGTAGCCGTCCCTCAGGTTCCCAACTCGCATTGGTGTATTGTCAGCATGTCTGCCCGCATAAACTCCCGTGTGAGCAGGCCTACAAACAGGAATTATCCCCTGCTTGACACCGGTAGTCAAAGATTCTCCCGCAGCTATGGGTCGTTACGCCATCCGTCGGCGAATAGGACTTTAGCCGACACTGTTTCAACTTGGAAGAGACAGGCAAGTGGTACTGCCCCAACTCCGGAGCAGAGCTTGAATGCGGGGTTCAAAAGGTAATCATGAAGTGAATCGTGTGGTAAACTTCATCGCAATGTCATATTTTCGAGAAGCTCTTGGCAGGGGCTGTAAACCCTTTGCCGTCAGCATCGATCGATCTTCTGTCCCGACGGGATTATCGACCCGCGTCTTCCGGTATGGGGGAGTGTTCTCGTATAAGTATGACCCGGAGAAGCAATGGGAACTGCAATTCAGAGTGTCGAGAAACAAGATTGACTAGACGCGGTCGGAGGAGTTACTTGTCAATATGCGTATATCCTTCAAGTTGGCTTGCACGTTATTGTGCTCTGGGGCTGCTGTGAGCGCACAGTCGCCGACAGTAAACTTGGGATATGCGACCTATCAAGGTACGACATCTGGTGGGATCAATAGGTTCCTGGGTATGAGGTATGCCGCAGCTCCGTCAGGAAATCTGAGATGGAAAGCACCCACGGCTCCTCCCACAGTGTCTGGGGTCCAACAGGCCACACAGGTATGTTTCTCAATCCAACATCTCTACCTTCCCCATCACTGACGTTCTTCATTCCTCATCGTGCTTAGTTTGGGAATGTTTGTATGGCTACCAATGCCGGGCCATCGCCACAGGGCCAGAGCGAAGACTGCCTCTTCGTCAATGTTTGGGCACCTTCGGGTGCTGGCCCCAACTCTAAGCTCCCCGTGTGGGTTTTCATCCAAGGTGGAGGGTTCGAAAGCTTGGCTTCTGCAGGAACAGACGGCAGTGGAGTGGTAGCCAACTCGGGAAACAACGTTGTCTTGGTGACCCTGAATTATCGAGTGGGAATCTTTGGCTTCCTTGCCAGTTCGCAGATCCAGGCCAACGGAGTAGCGAACGCCGGCCTGTATGACCAACAGGCTGCCTTGCAATGGGTACAACAGCACATCGCTCAGTTTGGTGGTGACCCGGCTCATGTCATCATCCATGGACAGAGCGCCGGTGCAGAGGCGGCGTCATTGCAACTCCTCTCCTTCGGTGGTAAAAACCAAGGCCTTTTCGTAGGGGCCATGTTTGAATCCCTTCCTGAAATCACCCAGCCGAAGGTGTCAGAGATTCAATTCCAGTACGATGCTCTCGTTAGCAACGCGGGATGCAGCTCCAGCTCTGATTCACTCTCTTGTCTTCGTGGTCTCAGTACCACATCCTTGCAGCAGTTCAACGTACCCATCGTCTATCCTGGCCGGCCAAATGCCCCAAATTACCCGTATGTGCCGTGCGTTGACGGCGTGTTCTTGCAAACCGGCGCATACGAGGCCTTCCAAGCCGGCAAGTTCGTCAAGGTTCCCATGTTTTTCGGAAGCGTCACAGATGAAGGGACGACCTTGGGCGCCCCCAACGCGGCATCGTCCAGTGATATTCAGACTTTCTTCCAGAACAACTATCCTCGCTTGTCAAGCCAGAATACGTCTGCAATCATCCAGCAGTATCCTCAGAACATAGAGCCCCCATTCAACAACCATGCAGCCTGGTTTCCAGCCGCCGAGCTCGCGTACGGAGACGTGCTCGTCACTTGCCACGGACTCAACTTTGGGAAATATTTCATACAGGCTGGGCAACCAATCTGGACATACCGATTTAATGTCTTGACTCAGAGCAACATTGCAAGCGGAGTCGGTGTCCCTCACGGGTTTGATCTTGGTGCAGTTTTTGGAGGTGGCTACGACAACTCCGATCAGACCAACGTGGCCCGTTTGCAAGGATACTACATATCCTTCGTTCGGTCGCTAAACCCAAACACATTTGCATTTTCTGGTTCAACTTCATGGCCACAGTGGAACGGACAGGCAGGAGGGCAGAGGCTTGTGATCAACAACAACAACACGGTAGTTGAGTCTGTCCCGCAAGCTCAGATGAGTCGGTGTGCTTTTTGGGAGAGCTTGGCTGCACAGTTGGAGATTTAGTGGCCTTCGAGTAGTGGTAATGATAGTGATAATTCTTGAGCCATCAGAAAGCCATGGACGTTCGTGATTGACTTTGTGCGCAAGTGTTGTGTTTTTTAACGATGAGGAGGAGCATAATGTGAATTTTGAAAGCTACTTTCCTTCTCCAAATGTCAGCATATGTAGACACTGCAGGAATCCAAGAAATGTGTGAGAAGGAAAGAGTGTATACGTACTTGTTGCGCGAAGACACCTTTGACTCGATCCGTGGAAGCTTGCTTGTTTGCTGAATGCCTCTCTCTCTCCAATTTTTTTTTCGGCTCTTTCTTTTTTTCCCTTTTTTTTCTCCCCCCACCATTTTCCCATTTGTTTCCAATTCTTTTTTTTCCCCCCCTTTTTCTTTTTCCTTTTCTTTTCTTTCTAAGTCCTATTCTTTTCTCTTCCCATCTCCGTTACCAAGATCATAGATGTCCTAGACTAGCAAACACATAGGTATAGAAGAGTACGTAAAAGAAACGAAAAAGAGTGTGTGACAGATACAGAAGAGTGTATGAAAGAAGACACAGAAGAATGGGCAAAAGAAGGCACAGAAGAGTGCGTAAAAGAAAGCACAAAAGAGTGCGTGAAAGAAGACGCAGAAGACGCAGAAGAGTGCGTGGAAAAAGATACAGAAAAGTGCGTAAAAGAAGACACAGAAAAGTGCGTGGAAGCCACAACAGAATATCTAGCGAATGAGTAAACGTTTGTGGATTGTATAATGGGATGAAGTCTCTCTCACCTTCAACTCCAATCTGTCGAGGCCGAACTCTCGGCTCAAGTTGGCAAAGAAATTGACAAAGAAACTGGCGGAACTGCACTATTGGAAATGGAGGCAGACAAGGGCTAGATGTGTGACAACTGGAGCTGGTCAGAACATCTGTCGTTAGGAGCCTGGCGTTGTGTCAGTTACAGCACATCGCCTAGTGCCGACAGATTTCCTGGCGATATGCTGGATGATGGCCCGGCCACATGTGTTGGCAGTGTGGCCGCAGGCTTCGACAGCTCTCTGGTGGATGCCAGATGCCATGTTGCCCCACCAGTGGAATTGTACGCCGGTGTATTGCAAGGCAAAGAGAATGATGATGCCTGAGATGGCGATATCGCAGGAACAGGCTGCTGAGAGAACAAAGTTGTACTGGGGAAAACCGGTCAGCATGAGTTGGAGAGTTGTCGAAGGGAGTTTGGGGGAAATCACTTACCTTGAACCAAAGGACACAAACCGAGCATAACAGAAGTAATGAAAGCTGAAATGAGCTGATAGCACGCAATCCGGTTGCAGAGTCACTCGCGGATATCTCCGGTGAGTTGTGAAGAGGAGTGTAGGACAATTGCTGCAATGAAACTACACATGTTGGGAGGATTGCGTGGATGCAGAGATCAGTGTGGTAAAGGGGGGCCAAGTCTCTTTGCCGACTGGCGACAGCATTGAAGCTTAGGCTATTGATGAAAACAACATGCCAAGCATGTTCAAGGCTTCAGTGGAAAATGACATCTAAGTTGAGAGAAATCAGCGGCTGACATCTCGCAGTTCCTCGAGGCAGAGTGCTCCATTGCAGAGATCATCTGGGGAAAAGGTAAATCATACATGACCTGGTTGTTTATCAAATCACCTGCGGAAGAAACTACTTCCAAGCGCCAAAGTGATAAGCCAATGAGAAAATGCAAACACCTGCTGTCTTGTTGCATGGGTGAAAAAAACGTGTGGTTGGATGAACGAGGCGGATGGATGGAGGGAGATGGAAGAAAGAAAATGAAAACGCTTTGTTCCCTCCACGAAGCTGAAGTTGAGCTACCCCGCACTGTGCCTGCTACTTTATCAAGAGCTTTCGTGTCCGTGACGTTTTCTCGCTTGTTTTCGCAGAATAGGCGAGCTTCATCAGGCAGTTGCAGCTTAAAAGTCTCCGGGAACATGGCGAGAGGAAGTCGCACATTGATTCAGCGGTGAAAAGCGCAATGTCTTTTTTTTTTCAGAACTATTTGAATGGAAGGGCCTGGACTAAAGATACAAACGAAATCGCAGGGATTGTTTAAGGTAGGTGCGGAAAGCATTGATGTTACAGGTACCCAGCCTTGCCAGCGTCACAGCAGGACCTCCAGCACTGAGCCACCATTATCAGGTGCATGTGCATCTAGAATACGGTGATACAGCGAGAATCATCGTCATCGGCCAAATTACTCTTCTCCTTCTTCTCCCTCTTTTGAATGTTCGTCCGCGTATTGCGAGTAATCACATATACTCGGCAAATAGTGAGTCGTAATCATAGTCAGGGAGCTTCTTTTTGTACTTGAGCTGATCAACGTCCTCTGGGCCAGAAACCGTAATTCGACATCCTCTGATGTCTGGATTGGCGAGAATGGTCTCATAGACATGAGCAAACTCGGAAGATTTCATCCGATTATCCCCTCCTTCCTCCTCGACGACGGAATCATAGTCGACGCGATAGCCCAGATACACCTCATTGAAGCGAACATTGGTCTTGAAGTTCTCTAAACAGGCTACGCTTGCCAAAGAGAAAAGTGCGCCTTGCGATATAGCCGTGACGCCAGCAAAGCCCAAGTCACCCAGTGATCCTGTTACGAGCGTCCAGGTGGCGTTAGGATACCCTTGATCGATCAAGTACGGAATGGTAGCTCGATAGGCCACTGCGTCTACGGATCAGTGCGAGTGCTTTATTTTCTGGGAAGGGGATTCTGATTACAAAAATTACCCTCCAAGTTAATGCTCATGATATCGCGGAAGGCAGACATTTTAAGATTTTGTGTGGGATGTGTGGTCTCCATCTTGCCGACTACCTTGCCGCATTGGCAGATTAGAAAGATGTATGGGAAGATATCGAGGAAATTGATTTCTGTACTCACCGGCAGAATAGACGTGTTGGAAATCTGGGAGTTCGCCAGCTTTGACTCTGTCAACCACTTTTTGAACGCTGTTCTCATCTGTCACCTGAGCCTCAACAAAGGTGATTCCATCCTTTGTTCCAACGTGTTGGACAATTTTCTTTTCTGCAGCACTACTGCGGACTATGGCGAGCACTCGACGCCCGCTTCGCAAAGCAGCAATTATGACAGAGACTCCTATGTTGCCAGAAGCTCCGACTACGAGTACAGTTTCCATTAAGTTTCTCTAGAGATGGGAGGATAATTAATCATAGTTGGGGGCTTGCGACCCGACAGTTTCAATTCAGTTTGCCAAAAGCATAGCTAAATCGCTTGGAACTGGGCTGCTTTTATATCTTGGCTGCGTGTGGTGTCAATTCAAATGACGTTATACAACGCAGCAGTATTCTTCATCTCATTGCCAGTTGAGATGGTGGAACAGGATCGAGGATCTAACAGGCACTTTGTACCAGCCGATCCAATGGGAAACTCTAATTCTCCCCTCTGGATCTATATAAGCATCAAATCTGAGATTCGCACTATGAGTTCATCGACATTTCCGCAGTGCTTTTGGCGCCGTTGAATTAGTGCCATTCGACATCCGCTTCTGGAAAATGGCTTGAGCGAGCCATCGTTAGAACTTACAGGATTGACTGCAGGTTATCATCCCGATCTTCAACACGCCAAAGTCTTCAGCCTGATGGATCTGCTCATCGCCTGATGTCGATACAGGGCTTGTGGAAGAATAATTCAACGTTGCTGTGTACATCTGCCATCTCAGAACTACTAAGACACTTGGCACGTGTCAAGTCGTCGTGATGTAACGCCCAGCATGAATTCTCAACAACCGGCTCAAACTCTATTCCACGCCGCGGATCCTACGTGGCTCAAGCCGAATTACAAATGCTCTAGAGCTCCGAGGAGATCGACAAAAGATTCGGTACTAGCTACTTGAGATAGACTTTGGAGATGATATGCACTGGGGCCCTCGATTAAAGCTGTCTGTGTGTACTTCAGAGGTTACTAAGGCAAGAAATTACATGGCGCTCTATCAAAACAATAGACAGCGTGATGAAACGCCATACGCGGGGTAATGGAACGTGTCAAGCAGTCAAATCCATCTCCCTCTGCCAGATATGCTGCTGCATAACTCATGTTTATCTTTGCCTCCCGCAAGGCTTGGTTCCAATGGCTATGCAAACAGCTATCCAGATCAAAGGCCCTGGCAAGGCCCAAATTGTCAAGGATACTCCCATGCCCAAACTTCGTGATGACTACATCATCGTGAAAACAGCAGCTGTCGCGTTAAATCCGACCGATTGGAAACAAATCGATTACCTACCCAGTCCCGGAGCGATTGTGGGCTGCGATTACAGTGGTGTCGTAGAGCGAGTTGGGCCTGCTGTCAAGCATGGGCCGCATGTTGGTGATAGAGTCATGGGAATGGTCCACGGCAGTGAGTGCTTGATCTTTCAGACAATGCTGTCAGATTTCATACTGACAATGTATTCTTTTCGTTATAGGCAACCACTCAAACCACGAAGACGGAGCATTTGCAGAACATGTCGCTGCCAAAGGAGATCTACAGATAAAAATTCCCGATTTCATGACGTTTGAGGAGGCTGCAACGTTAGGCGCCGGTATTATCACCGTAGGCAAGAGCCTCTATGAGTCTTTGGAGCTGCCTCTACCTGACGATCCACCAATGCGGCCCTTTCCTGTCTTGATATATGGAGGCAGCACTGCAACAGGCACCCTTGCAATTCAATTTGCCAAGCTGTGAGTGGACAAAGTCCAACTGAGATACCGCGCTTGGAGTTTGTGTGTTGATAATTTTGTTCAGGTCGGGCTTGGAAGTCGTCACAACCTGTTCTCCCAAAAACTTTCACCTTGTTCACAACCTCGGAGCGGACCATGTATATGACTACAACTCACCAAGCTGCGCCCCTTCTATCCGAAAGATTACCAAGAACCGACTTGCCCACGTGTTCGACACCATCTCGACCCCCGAAACGGCAGAGATTTGTTGCAATGCCATCGGCAGCCAAGGTGGCAAGTATGCTGGTCTCAATGGCCTAGAAGAGCTTCCGCGTGAGGACGTGACCAATCTTCATGTTATGGCTTACACGGCTTTTGGAGAAGCGTTCGACTTTGGAGATGAGAAAGTGCCTGCCAGCCCCAAAGGGTATGACTTTGCGGTTAAGTTTATGGGACTGGCTCAAGAGTTGCTGTGGCAGGGCAGAATTAAGCCGCATCCCCAGAGCGTGAGGACAGGAGGATGGAATGGTGTTTTGGATGGGCTGCAAGAGATGCGGGAGGGGAAAATATCCGGAGAGAAGCTGGTGTACCCTGTTTAAGACGAATGATGCATGTACCCAAGAAACATCTGGGTCTGTTATGACTGAATGTCTTTGCTTTTGCCGTTGAGACTAGAGCCTGGGTTGGAATGAATCACGATAATCTTCATCGTCAAACGGGTTCACATACTGAACGGAGCAAAATTATTCGATATAAAAAATGCTCAAAATAAGCAAAAAGAAGTATACGACATCGTCCAGCGGACCCGGCTGATGACTCGTGTAAGATCAAGGAGGTAGAAGAAGACGCAATCGCCAAAGTATGAGCGCTATAATGGCAACAACGCTGGATTGTTTTGATCATCTGTGAGATATTGTGTGCTTAGTTCGATTATTCGACCCATGCCTCCAACGTATCAAAGTCTTCTAGAACTGACCGCGCTTGCCTAGCTTTCTAATGCATCTTCCACTTCGCAGCTGAGCATCAGTGCATATCAAGTCATCCAATATGATTCATCAGTGTATTCGAAGGTCTGGCTTGGGAAGTGGAGACAGGAGAAGATACAGTATTGTCATCATACGGAAAAGATATGCCGGGCAACTGGGAAAAAACAAAATCTTTATTATCGTGTAACTTTTTGGAAGCTCTTGTGGATCTGTGACAAACAAGCTAACGCTCAATCTAGATAAAGTACCATGCCATCTTAAGAAGAAGACGATGACAAAGGAATCGATGTCGATTCCAGTGGATCTACCCCATGCTCACTACGCCGCCCGTGTTCTTGCGTGGTTGCGTAGAGTGGAGTATCTTGCCTGTCTAAGCGCTCAAGAAGCTGCCTGAGTTGCTCGTTTGTCTTTTCAGCTTGCAGAGTTAGCTGGTGACGATAGAAATCAAGGCTTGGCAATCTGGAAGACTGTTGCTCTTTGACAACCGGAGTTGACTGAGCACACATTTTTTGCGTCTCGGTGGTGCTTGGGGAGTATTCGAATCAATATTTGGCTGCACTTCAAGGTAAATGCAGAGAGTCCTTTTGTCGAGCCTAGCTATTTTGGCACTGTATTATAGGCAAACCTAGAAGAAATTCATCAGCTTTAGTTTCACTGGAGCCCACGACTGGTGTCTTACTCTGTACTTTGTCGTGCACTGTACTCTGTGCAAGCAAGCAAAACAACGAGCAGCTTGCCGTGTGACTTGACTCAAGATGATGCTGAAGAAATATATGATCGGATGACCAGTTGCCCGTCTGGGATCGCGAGAGGTTTCTTTTTCTTTCTTTTTCTTACAACTACACTCTACCAGACCCGAGGCCTCGAGAAGCTGTGCCGTCCAAATATATGAACTCGACTGCCGGGGGCATTATCCCAAAACGGAAGTTACACACTACCAGATGCTTATACCAATTAGCCTCATTTTTTTCTGGGGGCATTGACGTGGTTCGCTCTAAAACCGCCACTTTATTGGCCGTGATATGCCCTAATCTGGAGATGGCCTGCCGTGGCCTGCGCTAGGCATGTCCTCCCCTTGCCTATTCAAGTAGAAAAAGGGATATTGACAAGTGAGTGTTGTGAAGCAACAGCATGATCCCACGAGGCGCTGCACGAGGCGCTGCAATCTTGACGGCTCAAACTCCAAAATGGGGAAATGTGGACAACCTGAAGTTGGCCATCTGCGGCATGTATCTCGGCATCTCGATCATTCTCCCACGTGATCTCCTTTCTTTTCACGATAGAGTTTGAATATGCAGGGGATACATGATCAGATGCCCAAGGTCTTTGCTTGGCCATGGACTTCTTGGACTCTCGCGCTCGGCTTTCCTCGCTAATAGACTTTTGTAGCGAGATGATGCTATGTGAGATGGCTGCATGGGATTTGAGTGGGTTGACGGCATAGACGGCACTCGGAACATGAGTAGAGTTAAAGGGGGATAGACCAAAACTGGGCAGTTGGACACGGTTTGTCGGATATATCGGGCTCGATGACTGTTCAGCCACTTGTGGAGAGGACTGACTGACTCATGTTAGGCGCAAATATGTTATATATAAAGCTTTGACCCGTCCAACAGATGCCTGAGGTGTTGGCCAAGACGTAATTATTGACTTCATTCCGTTTTCTTTTGTTGCTGTCATTGTTTTTGATAATCACTCAAATGTGGTTGTTCCAGATCATGCTACAGCATCATTGAGATTGCTTTAGTAGTGGAAATACATACAACTGCGCGCCACTCTAACCCATTGTTTTTTTACCAGTCCTATTTTTCTAGGTTCTATTAGAGTTTCTGTACTGGATATCCGAATAATCATTTATACAACTGTGTAAAATATCCGCTCACTCTCTTCACCTTCGTAAAGGATCCAATTACAGTCTATATAATGCCTGACCGCAGGAACATTCAGAGAGCATCGAAGATATGACGTTTGTTTTTATGTGAATGTATGTCACTCTCTTGAAATCAACAAGAGTTGGCATGCGGCAATAGATATTCCAATCAGCGCAAACGTTTAAGATTCTTCAAGCAAATCTAACGAAGTCCTGGTATACCATTAGAACAAAAGGGACATTTATAACCATTGTCTGTTAATGGTGTAAAAATAATTTCTTTCTGATCCTACCTTCACCATGCTTCCTTGGTACCGGGGACATACGTTTAGATGTACCCTTGAAGTCTCCAATGTCAAGGATGATGAAACACTTCTGATATCACCGCCAAGTCATTATTATTGCAATTTAGGTATAATTAGAGAAAACGCCATCCGATGATGTACTTTCCAGCTACAAATCTTCGAATCACAAATCTGGAATTTTGCAAGAAATGGCTAAACTCAGATCTTATATAATATGACATTTTTGTATCATTCTCCGTTCAATTGTACGGTATCACGAAAATGGAAAACCATGGTTTCCCCGTTGGGCAATGCGCTATCCCAGCTGAATCCCACACGGGCCCGAGCTCGGCCCTATCCGGATGTATGGAGAAGCGGTTGCTTTTACCTCCATCGGCCGGTCCAGTATCTGGCGGATATATAGGCGACGGGTAAAAGGACGTTGCATTCCGGTATGCAAATGCAACACCGGAAGACCTCCAAAGGGCCATTTTCTTCGAATTTCTTTAAATGGCACAGGCAGCAGAATGTTCAGGTGTATTTAATAGCTTGTATCGACAGAGCCACACTATTAAGAAAAGATCTTGGTTCTTACAGGAGTTAGATAATTCTCCGAATCACCTTATGGCTGTCCACACACGGTGGGGTTCCAAACTTGCCGTCTCTTGGTTTTGAGCACCTCGGTTGGTTGGCCCTCTTCAAATCCATACGCAGGATGTGGTGTCGTCCTCTCTCGTCACAAATCATCAAAGAGACGAACCAATCGCCATCCGAAACAGAGACACGTTAGCTATGCTAGAGACGCCTTCTCAAACTATGATATAGATGGGCTCTCCAATGGCAACGACTCATTTCCAGCTGCCCCCGCAAAGGATGCCACCCACACGGCCGTCCGAGAAGGATGGAGACCCCAGCGCCTAGACTGGAAAAGTATGGGTGGAAGGATGGACTAGCGGAATACTTTTCTGTTTCGGTGCCGAATTAGCCAACATGCCCTTGTGATAATATAGAGGGAGTACGACATGATAGGAATAGTCGACTCATCGTCTTTCTAAACTAAAAGCCTAACTTCTTCCGTGTTAATCAGTGTTGTATTGGCCACGGGCCCAGAAAGTCCAAGGGATCCTAACAGAGCCGCAATGGTATCAGAAAACGTATCATCGTGACCAGAGTTTTCATACTGAAGAGCCATGATTCATCATGTAGACGTGTCCGAAAATCAACCAAGGGGATATACATTATCAAGTATCTATATACAGAAAATCAGAACATACCCATCATTGTCGTTTCCTCCCAAAAACCCAGGACGCATAACCTGTGAGAGCTTCCAACACATAATTTCTACCTTGCGTCAACATTTTAACCCGGATAAAAGTCCCCGTAACTGCCAAACACCCAAATCCCAATATCCACCGTCATACCCATTATATACTAAGAGAAAGAAAAAGAAAAAATCCAACCGCCGCGCCAACCCACATATCATATCATATATACACATTTAATAATGTGATTCATTGTCTTCTGCGAAACACTTGAATCGATCGTTCGGTTGGCGGAATCGATACGACTCTCCCCGAACAACTCGGTCAATTTCCTCCCGCACAAAGGGATACACATCCCTCCATGCGTTGCGCCCCATCCAGCAGTCCAAGTGGCCGTAGCCTGGGACAAGTCTTCGGCGATACTGAACGCCTCCTCCGGGGAGACCGGCAGATATGCCAAAGGAGTCAATCAGGCGCTCATATGACGTCTCCGTGGCTCTTGGGGAGAGAACGTCGCTGTCCTCGCCGACGAAGAACATGATGGGAATGCCGCGCAAGCGCTCAATGTGTTCTTGCTCCTTAAACTCCTCGTATTCTGGAGCGTTAGAGCTAACGTAGCCACGGCTTCCCATGCGTTTCAACAAACTCATCAGCTTCATGGAACTTCCGCCGAAGAAGCGATCCATGTTTCGGTGCGTCTCCTCGTTAAGGTTACGGTGGCTCCAGCAACGTCCAAACAGCAGTGTCGTACGGTGGCAGGCGGCATTCTTACATGCCTCACCTCTCTTTTCCGGCCAAAACCGCAACATCTGGTTCAAAGTTCGCTGGGCCAAGGAGTCTTCGGTCGACGTGCTGCAGTCTAACCAATTCCCCAAGACTGAGTCATATATTTTGTCTATCGCCACTGGCGACCTGGCCTTGATCATGTTCATAGTGTTCCATATTGGATTCATAAACACCTGACTGCAGGTGATTCCAAGGATCCACTCAGGTGGGATAGTTCCGTCGAGGAGACCGCTGGCGAAAGCGACGGATCCCATGCAATGTGCAATGGTGTATATTTTGTTGTTACCGTAGACTCTCCGAATTTGTTGTAAGCAGGCCTTGATATCGAGCCTAGAGTCGTATGTTGTCCAGTCCTGTTTATTTGTTGACTTTAACTGGCAAATCCGATGCACAGTCACGAAAACACGATAGCCAGCTCGTGTGAAGTAGTTGATGGCGTTGAAAGGGATAGTCGGCAATGCAAAGATTTGGTGGTCGACAGATGCGCCGGGAATCATGAAAAGGTTCTCGACTTTAACGGGAGAGCCCCATGAATCAGTGGCAATAGCGCTTGGGCTTGGTTCCCACATGTGCAGCTCAGTCTCGATACCATCGCTGGCGACTACCGTGTAAGTCTGAGATGGAGGCGTGTAATTCATATATGAGACGAATCCCTGCTCTGGATACTCAAGCGAGCCTAGTGGTGTTAAAAAGTGTGATAGTGATTTAGATGTGAAAAAGGACATGAACTTGGACATGTTCACGGCCTTGTTGAGGAAGCTGTTTCCAGAGGGAGATAGAGTCATCATCTCAGAGATGAAATCCTTTGGGCGCAGATTCAGAATTCCTCTTGCAACCAGCTTCTCGCTGGCAGAGAGGGGTATATCTTGATAAAAATCGGTAACATCGTCATGCCAGACGATTCGCTCCTGATTGGCATCTTCATTTTGAGTGCCCTTTTCCGTTATAGAAACGTAGAGGGTCGTTGTGGAACGCCACATCTGGAGGGGACTGAGAGAAACAGATGCGTCGACCAGTTTGTAGCCACGGAGACGAAGTTGGCGACCGTTGGCGCCGGCCATATCGCAATCATACGTGAGTATGCTGCTTCCTGTAGCTTTGTGGGTTCTCTTAAATAACCCCAAATCGCCTCTCGATAACATGAACGGCGACCCCTCAATAGTTGGACAGACGAATGTGCCTGTAAGCATACCGCTGGGTTGAGACTCGTCCCTTAATATTTCGTCGTCAAAGACTGTTGCGCTGACTAGCAGTCTGCCAACCTCCCCTCTACCTTTGCCTGCGCGAAAGTCTGACTCATAAGCAGACGTATCGTCAACTGCTGCGCTTGACGAAGTTTTGTGGATGAAGCCCGACATGAGTTCCGTGAATTCAACGCTCTTCTGTCTGAGCAGTTCGATCTTGTTCAGCAATTGATCGGGCGTTTCATCGTCAGAAGTATAAGTCGACTCGGAAGAGTGCCTGTCCCTTGGCTTGTGGGCTGGCTCTCCAAAGAGGTCTAAAACATCGTTCTTCGTCTCGTCGATGATGAGGCCGTTTTCTCTGGCATACGCTTCGACTGTGCGTTCGGCCAGGGCGGCAATAGTTGCAAGCGGGTTTACTCCGATGGAGGCCGGGATGATGGCTCCGTCGGCTATGATGAGGCCGGGATGAGTTTCTGAGGTATCGTTGCCGATAAAAAGCTGACCTAGGTGATTCGTCGCCCCATTTGCTGCTGTGTTATCCCGCGACATTGGTACACCACTAGGGAAGATGGCATTAGAACACAAGTGGTGATACAAGGTGTATAAAAGTCGGAGCACTTACCCAAGAGGATGGGCTGTTATCTGGTGCTTGTTCATGAAGTGATACATCGGAGTATACACCAGAGTGCCACCAACGGCGTCAATCGCCTTCTCGAGGATGTCATGGAATCGCTTGACGCGGTCGCTTTTTCCCACTCCTTGGAATTCCAAAACGGGCCGGTCGTTCTTGAGACTCAACGTTGCTTGACTCCCTGATTTGGTCAGCGAACTCTGCATTTTGCTATTCTAACCCGAATGTAGAAAAAAATACTTACCATCGTGAGACATGATGAGAAAGACTTGGGTATTTCCTAAAAGCCTCTTTTTGGAAAAGGGCCCGAGCAGCCTGCTCTTCCACAAGCCCATTGCCTCTTGAGTCCGCTCAAGCAGCGACTTGTCAGGGGAATGGCTGCCTGGCAGGAGATCCAGCACGCACTGCAGCAGCTGGGAAAATGCATGTGGCATAGTGCCCTCTTGGATTATGTAGCCGTCGAGCGGATTCTCAAGGCCCTTTCTGTTGTCGATGGCGCAGGTAATGGTTGGACCGACGGGGTTTGCTGGATCTGGCGACGCCTTTCCGAGAGCGTTTACTTCCTGTTTGCAGTTGTGTCTGTAAGAGAGGTATTCTGTCAGCTTTTGAATACCATCAGAGCACAAGGTAGTAAGTAATTGCTGACCCAAATGCGAGCACGTCTCCATTGCCGCTCATTCCACGGCCAACCCAGTCGCTCATACCTAAGCCCATCTGCTTGCTCCGTAATAGGATTTCTGTAGTACCAATCGAACCGGCTCCGAAGAAGACGGCCTTCTTTGCGTGAACCCACATCAGATCGCCATAAGTGTTTTCTGCTGCGAACCGTTCGCGACCGCGGCCATGCCACGCAAAGTAGATCAAGTAGCCGCCACGCTCATCCTGAACCTTTTCAATATACCTCACCTCGCACTTGCAGAACATTTCAGCACCCCAATTCCACGCATCGGCGAGATACGTCACCAAAGTTGTTGTTTTTGAGCCGTCATTCAAGCCTGTGCTATCTTGTCCCGTGAGTGTTGACGCTGACATGTTGACCCCTGAACTATTGGGGCCGGATCGGAAACGTGTTGTAAGGGGGACTTTGCGGAACTTGTCGGCTAGCCCAAGAACATGGGCTTGCTTGTCGAGGATTTCCGTCTTCTTAAGTGCTGGCCAGTCGTCCGGATATGGTTCTGGCTCCAGCACATCCCTGACTTTTTGGTAGTCTAGACGGAGAGTTAATCCAAGTGAGTTCCGTATGATGACAGCACAACAAGGGAACCAAGAGTATATATATGAAAGGGAGGAGAAAAGTGAGAATTACTCACACTTATCCAAATGTTCAGGGTCTTTTCGAATTTCGGGTGGCCAGAAGCCCGTGTTGAGGATTTCTTTGTCTGCTTCGAGGAATACATTTGCATTGATTAGGCTTGAACCTCCTAGCCCTGTGAAGTGGTGTTATACGAAGATCAGTATATAGTCCATTATAACGGTTAGAGAGATGTGATACAAGGGAGTTGTGACGTACCATTACCAAGAATTACACTCTGATCACGACCGAAAAAGAGATTAAACATGCCGGTGGGATTGCCGCTGTTGACAGCAATTTTACCAAGGGAACTCGGAGTGAGGTCGCCTGTAAATCGCCATTGTTTGAATGTTTCCATTGAGTCAGTAGGATACTCTCCGGGCCATCTCTCTTCTCCTCGCTCCAACAAACAAACGGACTGGCCTGCTCTCGCCATGCGCGAGGCAGCAATGGATCCTCCATAGCCAGAACCTATAACAACGCAATCATATGAATGTCGCAGAAGCTCTACGGGTTTCGAAATTCGAGGAAATGGATTTTTAGGGATGCCCTCTGAATTGAGGAGAGGTTCGGAACAGGCCGAGAGGCCAGAGGAGGAGGAGGCATCGTCCTCCGACACAAGGGAGGCGGTCAATGGCGGAGTAGGATACATGTATTCATCATAGATGTATTCGTCTGCCTTCCACATAGGCTGGTAGTCACCATATACGTTGACAGGGGCAACCCCAAGATCATCGATATATTGCTCCTGTTGGTCCAGGAGGAGATGGTGTTGTAATGTTAATGTCGGTGCAGGAGATTGGTTGTGGATAGGTTTTTGCATCTTGTGCGCAAAACCATCCTGGCATGACTTGGCCATGGCAAACCGAAAATTCCCGAGGGCAGGCTCAGTGAAGATACTCTGCGTGCATAGACCACAACTAGACGCCGTGGTCGTTGGTGGATGGAAGGACAATAGAAAGATAGTGTTGTTGGTCGTTGACAAGTCTCCACACTATCAATTCATGAATAGAGAAAAAACGCCGCTCGTGGCAACAATGGGCAATAGTGTCTTGGCTTGTGCTCTAGATCAGACCGGATGAAGAAGAGAGGAGATCCGTTCCATTTTTAACTCGTGGGAGAAGCTGGTTGTGCCATCTCTGTTGCCCAGCTTCTCCCACCACCGGCAGTTGTCAAGCCGTCCTCACTGGCCATTGTATCCACAAGAGGCGTAGCAGTTCAGCTAGTTACGTCCACAGCCGTCGATTTACAAGCATGGCGATGCAGAAAATGGTAATATTTCAGGTTCCAGGGGCACGGGGTGTCATTGCAGCACGATGAATGCGGAGTTGAAGAGAATGTCACATCACTGGGGGGGATTTTGGAGGGGGGGTGGCATGGGCCATTGGAGGCAGCCACCACGATGGAATTCCAGGCCCGGAGCTCTGGATTCATCTTTTCCAGGCCATGGAACCGGCACATGTGAGAGTTGAATTGACGGAGAAGAGTGTGATTCGTATCTCTCCACTTCGCCGAGGCAGCCTCCATCTCCATAGTCTTCTCTCGTGGAGTGGCGAGACTCCTTGGCGGCCCCCCTGGTGGTGGATTTAAGACAGAAAAAAAAAACTTTTCTCTTTTGATCGAAGAAAAAGGTCAGCTGGAGAGATGGATGAAGTTAGTATTGTGAGAACTGATTGAATGGGCTATTGAGAAATGATTTGCCTCGTATGAGCTGAGAGAGGCTTGTTGAAGGCTTCTCCAGTTGTCTTGCCATATACAGTAAGAAAGAACACGAATGACTAAGCGAATAATATTGAAAAGAAAAAAGAATCAATCAATCAGCCAGCCTCATTGACTAGGCTAATTGCCGCGGTTCGTGTTTCTTCGTCGCTGTGACTCTTGCTTGCGCGATGCTTTACAGTGATTCGTCACCGTCTTATCGCGGGTCGACAAGCAAAAACCCTTGGCGAGCTGGCGAACTCTCCGATCCGATCTGCGAGCGTTCGTTCCGTACCGTAATACGCATGAAAACCACCTACCCCTGTTGCTGCTAAATACTACTGCAGGGAACAGGGTCGATTATAGCCCAGCAATTGGCTGTCCGGGGTGCTGGGAAACCTGCCTGGCTCTCAGCTACGGTGCTAAGCATGGCATCATCACATCCAACCGCCCCCGCGAGCAGGGGAACGGGGCCAATAATCTGCCTCATCTGGCCTTTCTTTTCTTTTTTCTCCTTCGCTCAGCCCGAGTTTATTGCTTGTACTGCTGAACCAGCCTCGATTTATGTGCATCAGGAATCTACAGGAGATATTGATGATATCCACTAGTTTATTGCCGCGCAGCTCTGGCTAACACTCACGGCCCAACTACATGCGGAACAGGCTTTTGCCAGTGCCAGGGGGGTTAGTGGTCAGAGATCCGCCCAAAACGTGGTTTGACTCGGGTAGCTCGATGTTGCAGCATCACAAGTGGAGCTGGCAAGGTGCATGTGTTGACAGCTCTGCTGGCCCTGTCACTGAATGAATGCGTTCGCAGGTGGTTTCTCCATATCATCCATGGATGTCTATTCCCAGCTGCCGGGCTAACTAACTTCAACCAGGGCTCAGTCCGAGACTTGACAGCCGCAAATGACGTTGTCGACGGGCGCAGCTCAGTAGTAGTCAAGTTTCTCTCGTGTGTCTTTTGTCTTGACTTCGTTTCGACACCCGCCAAGGACCGGGCCAGGGTCCTCCATGTCACACTCAGACCAAAATGGTCATCACCAGTCGATATTTTGGTTGGATACGGCTTGTTTCTCGACTCCGGGCGACCGGCTTGGGCTTGTACGGGTGTCCTGAGCTGAACCGCGGTGACAGACGAGTATGTTACCGTTGCAGCCTGGCAGCAAGTCTTTCATACCCCTCCACCTTCACAGAATCGCCGGTACAAACTCTCACTCGTTCGATATCCACCTGAGCAGACAGGGGAACAGAAGGAGGGGTGAGGGCATCATTATCGCCAGTACGCCGCTCAACCATTCATCAACTCCCTATGGTTCCCATCCCTCCCCAATGCTTCCCGCTTCAGGAAAGCAATGCGTGATTTGTACCGCCTATGGATGGCTTCCAAGATGTTGATTCGCCGGCTAATCAATAGTCGACATACGACTTTCGCACTTACATGCTGCCACTTGTAACAACATGCAAGCATGGAGTTGGGATTCGCTCGTTATGCATGACGGTCCGCACCGCCCTAAACTCCAGCTCTGCTCCACTGTCGATGGTGTTTTCTCAATCACATCCTTCTCCGTAATTGGGTTGCAGTTCTAGCATCCATTTCCCTTTTCAGCATCACGTCAACCGTAACACAGTCTCTCCGGGTTACACAAACCCAGCGGCTAACAACGTGGAGCCGCCACATCCCACATCTCCGGTGACTTGCATCGGCCACCACGGAGGTCTCAGCTCGGCGACTGTCTTGAGTGGGTTGAGTGGGTTGAGTGGGTTGTGTCACACACACATATGCACACTCTTGATGGGAGATATGCGACGGGGAGGATTCTAGAGTAGGAAGACTAGATCCCATGGGATCCTTGGATCCGGGTCCTATTCGTCGACGGGTGAACTACCTCGACCCAAGCCGCATCAAATACCGGAATGACCACCGTATCAGTCGAATCACATACCTTGTGGACATTGTTGCCTTTATTAAACTTTGAGCTAGCTCTCTAAAAAGACATCTTCGTCGACACCTCGATATCATTACAAATGATGTGTGTGGATCATCTTAATGAACATACGATAAGACTACCCTTTGCTATTTGTGCCTACCTATCTATAGATGTGAAATATACGGGCACGGATACAACTACAAGAATAGGAACACGTTGTGATGTGACCGTAGATAGCCTCTTGTTTCTGCCTCGGCAAGTTCCCCTAACCTTGGGCCATTCGTATTGATCGTATCCAGGTTCCCCATTATTCATAGCGAGTTATTGCCTCATCATATGAAGATTTCTGAAAAAATGAGAGATAAAAAACTTGGAATATGTCAACATCTAAACCCATGGGTTGCAATTGTCACACCAGGGTTGCATATAACCAGACTCAACGGGAAGCTAGCAAATCTATCCATTACCAGCCGTCACGGCAATATGCAGGTCGCTCCCGTTTCGAGCACCTCCAGGGGTGGGCAATGGACGCCGGAATCCTCGATTCAGCGAACAAGGAACGAACCATGTCCAGGGTATATCGAACTCTTTCTGGTATCAAATGCGTTATAAATCAGAGTTCCAATCAGTATCTCCCAAAATGCTTTTTTTTCACATGTGATAAAGACAGGTCGATTCATCACATCGCCCGGCACTTGGTAGCATTCCACCAGTCGGCCAACGAATCCTCGACCAAGCCCTCCCCTCCCCCTGGTCTAATTTAATTAAGTAGGAAATGACAACTGACGAATCGTGGGACCCCCTTGCCGCTACCATCCTCGCGTTATATTCGGCGCAGAAGAAAACATCTCGGACATATGTATAGAAGCGCCGTCGCAATGCGTGATGATAAAAAGGGTGGAGTTACATCGGAGTTCTCGCTAAGAATCCAGCAGACTGGTGTAAGTCGTCTTTACATGGTGCTAGTAAGAAGCTTGACATTGAGTGCAACTCAGATCTCGCTAGCTCTGTTTTTCTTTCTTTTCTTTTCTTTTTTGTCTGAGACAAATAGGTCAAGAGACATGTCTTCAGCGGGCCAGAAGGCGCAATATGTCTCGGACTAAATCGGATTCGACGGGGTTGGATATCGTGGCTGCGTACACGGCGGTCCCCAATCATCATCAAAACGTATTGGGTTAGAACCGAGCAATCAATCACACATCACCTTGATTAAGAAACAAGAAAAAGGAAGAAAAAATAGCCAACCATGAAAATCACTAACTTGTTCCAATAGTAGTAACTACTAACCCTTCTCTATCCATGGAGTCGAAATCCATGGCCAATGCCACCCTTGCTCAGCGCAACGGCCCGTGAAAGGAACCGCGGGAGCCGCTCATCTCCTCCGTCTTCCATGAAGCTTAGATTATTTTCGGCTAGAAAGCGTCTCCCATACCATCAGGGGTTCCTTTGATCTTCTTGTTTTGAGAAAGAGGTTCCAAAGCTAAGCTCCCATGACGTCTTGTCATTCACATTTGCATTATGCCTTGTAACCGCATTGCCGAACTCGTCGATGAACTCCTCACTCAGGTGATGCGACAAGCTTGGACAATGCGTGATGCGTGTCTCATCTTCATCAGATTCGCCTGCCGGTTCATAATCCCCGTCTTACTCGTCAAGTCTCCCAGCGGCTCTCGCGCCAAGTCCTCTCCGCAAAAAGCCAGGATCGCCTTCATGCGCTAACAAGGATGTTCATCGCCGTCATCAAGCCTCGAATTCAGTGAAGTCCTACTGTCTCACACCATTCCCCCGCATGGACATGGTTAAGAGTGCACGATCGTGAGCTCATGTCAGGCGATTCTCAGCATGGGCTATCACAGAGTCTAGGTGTCCGGTGTGGCGTCATCACCGTTAGTCGTCCAAGAAGCTGTCTCAGTTCGATCACAGGTGTGGGAGTAGAAACCGAGCTTGGTTCACAAGGCATCTTACCGTATCTAGATAGTACTGCAACTCCGACTGGTCAGATTGAGCAGACAACCCAAGGATCCCCCGCCAGCTGAGCCGTTGGGAACTGTGGCGTACGCGTGAGCAGGACATTCAAGAAGGGTGTCTTTGAAGCATGGCATCAGTCAGGAATGATTCAGCTTGGGAAAAGAGTGCGGCACCAAAAGGCCAATGGTGACCATAAAACTCCGTTTGCCGGCTCAGCCGAACCAGGGTCTCAATTTCAATTGTCATTGTATTGTGCTGCGCCCGCCAGCTGATGCCTTGTGTCTTGGGTGTTCGTATTCCACCCAATAGGACAGCATAAAGGCCCTCAACACCAAGGTGAGCTTGGCAGAGCACCAGGTCAAAGCTACCGGCTACCTCCCTTTCAAGCACTTGACCGTGGTGGCCCAGATCTCTTCTGTAGATAATCAGATTGCGGGGGCCATATGTCTCAGCCTCTTCGTATCCGTCGCTCAGTTGAGGCGTCTCAAGGGAATGTAATCAGTCCGTGATTCCGTCCGCGGTGGTGTGTTCATTCTTTCTCGGCCCCCACGGGGTGACATGTGAAGCTTCATCCATGCTCTGCCATGTTTCATGTCCGGGCACAAGCATTCGAAGTGCGATTGTGTTGACATGTTGATTTATCATAATTTCCAATAGTAGTGATGTTTTCTCAACGGATTTGTTAGTAGCTTTTGCGTAAGCCTCTCGCCTGATGAGCCGCGGTTGAATCGAGGGGTAGCTTGTTGTCCAAGGTTGCGAGATATCTGTAGCAGTTGTAATAACTCTATACCCATGTGTAATTGAGGGGAATATGATATTCCTTATTTGATAGCATCAGAATACATAGACTGAAAACTGGTGTTAGTAGATGACGCAAACTACCTAGTAGTGGTATCATAACCACCAGCGGAATCACAGCGCGCACATCTCAATGCGCAATTCCCGTAGACGTTGAATCTTGCAATATTTTTTCTTCTCCGCAAGAAGCGGTAGTCCCGCTAAATATACACATTTGGTTCCCGTTTAGCTCTTGCCCGCCGCCCGCTCTGCTTCCAGTTCCCTCTCGGCCTGCTGATAGTACTTGGCCGTGTCCACGCCGTGCTGGTTGTGGTTGACAAAGTTGAACCACGGTACTGTGCTGAAGAAGAGCGCAGAGTATCTGCTCTGTCGGGCCGCAACTCCCTGCAGGTGCGGGCTCAGCTTGCTCTCGCCATACAGAGGCTGTCCCGCCTTGACCTTGGAAACCATCTCTCGCATATCCATCTCCACTTCCCTTGAGTTCTCGGTAGCGCCGTAGAATCGAACTGTAAAGGAGATTCAAAGTGTCAGTCACCACAGTCTCGACAATTGTCGTCCAACAGTCGAACGAGCCCTCAGAACCAAGGACGCCCGAAACAAAAAATGAGGGGTCGTGCAAAAAGAAACGTACGGGCTGATCGCTGGTAAAAGTAGAGGAAACCGCCGGCCAAGCCAATGAATCCGGCTAACCGCATGGCTTTGGCAAAACCACCTCGGCCAACATGCGACGGGGCGAGCCTCTCGAGAGCATAGAGAGCGGCCGGTGCAAAGGCCGCAGAGGTTGCACCAGCTACGTAGTCTGACGTTCTCGCATATCCGATAACCCGCTTAAAGTGACTGCCCAGAAACCCATCAGCATTCGTCAATTCGCCTTATACACCACACAAAACCGTCGTGCCAGACAGAAAACCAGGGATTCCGAGGGGGAAACGTACGGGTCGTTGTCGATGAGCTAAATCCCAGTCAGTCAGTCAGCCGTGGGCTCGCCATTGCGCTGTCAATTGTGCGCCAAACATACCGGATAGTCAGTCTCGACGACCTTGCTGGTCCCGACAAAGGACGCCGGGGTCTGCTTGGTCGTTGTCGAGGCCATTTTTGCTGTAGTTTTGCGACCCCAAAATGCAGCGCTCAATTGGATCGAGAGATCTGAGGCCGAAGCTGCAACTTGCGATTGTTAGTGCCTTAGGGAAAAAGATATCACGTGGGAGCGTTGGTTGGTTCGGATCACGTGAATCAATTAAAGATGGCGGATACGTACCCAGCTACAGACGCGGTCCCCCACCATGATGATAAGATAGAGGGAGACGCGTCTAGCTTGCTGGAGGAGTGAGAGCATGTAAATTGAAAGCAAAGCAAGCCAAAGAAAGACAAGACGAAAAGAAGAAAATCAGAAATTAAATAAATCATGCCCTCGGCAGCTAAATTCGGACGTCTGCTGGAGGAGCAGCACGGCGACGATTTAGACGACTATGGTCTAGATGACTCGGACAATCCTTTTGGATCTCCCACTCCCCCGCCAGAATCGTCTTCCAAAAAGCGAAAGGAGCCCGACTCTGGATTGGGAATTGAGGAGGAGGTTTCTGTTCAGAAACGAGTGAGAGTACCAAATGTCAAGCTTGATGAAGAAAGGTACAGTCTATATATACAAGTCCAAATGTGTAAGTGATTACATACTAACTTTTCTGTCATCAGGTTGCTGGGTCCAGCTGGAATCCCCAAACTGAGAAGGCGAGCTTTCGGCCTCAAACTAAAAGGAAAGGGCCACGAGGTACGTATCCTTCACTATCATAGATTCATCCTTGCACTTAGCTAACTCCTTTTCTTCCCATGGTCTACAGTTCTCTGACGCCTCAAGACTCCTCTCCTTCTACCAGCTATGGCTCGACGACCTCTTCCCCAAAGCCCGGTTCCTCGATGCCCTCGCCATGGTTGAAAAAGCCGGCCACAAAAAGGCCCTTGTGAGCGCGCGAAGCGAATGGATCAACGAAGGCCGTCCCAAGGCTGGCAACGACGACGACGACGATGACGAGCTGGATATTGGAGCTGTAGCCATTACCGAGGACTCGCAAGTAACGGAAGGCGGCATTCCTGCGCAGAGGACGCAAAAGACTCCAGAAAGAGACGATATCCCTGATGATGATGACTTATACGGCGCTACACCCCGAGGACCAGCGCGAACGACAAACGCTCTTCGTCCTGCGCCGTCAAACGACGCCCCTGATGACGACGATTTGGAAGCTCTCATGGCCGAAGCTGAAAGCATGGATAATCGACAAACCCCCGCTGCCACGACGAAGCAAAATAGCGCGTCTGGCGCGCATCACCTAGACGAAGAAGACGATTTAGACGCCCTCATTGCAGAAGCAGAAGTGCAAGACCGCTCTGGCGGACATTCTGTGGAGAAGAGCGGCGGCAATACCACCTCCAATGACAAGGGGCACGACTTTGCGGATGAAGAGGAAGCCATGCAGGAGATGGATGGATTGTGGTAGACCTGGCTGACTGGCTATGTCGGGTGAACGTGGACAAGTGCGTGCAAAGCGAATTGGAATTGGGCAGATATTTATTCAGCTGGCGTTTTAGGGACAGGATTTGTTTTGCATTGGCGTTAAGAGGGTTGGAGACGATATGATGATCACTTGGGTATATAGCGAACATATGGATCAACGAGCTCTGTACTCCCTGCTGTAGACGAGTCACTTTGAATTGTGCATGACCAAAAGGTTGATGTCTGTAATACTCTACATATGATGTGTGGACAGTCACGGACAATATTATTTCGCATAACCAAAGGTTAATGTTTGTAATACTTTACATGTCATGTGTTAATGATTGTAAACCCCTACACATCATGTGTGGACAGTCACAGACAATTTTGGAAACAATAAAATGGTAGTGGCAACAGTGGTATTGTGTTGTTGCTATCTAGAGTACAAGATATCATAAAGATTAAAGATATAAAGGCTTCATAAACGGCTCTTTTTTCAGCCGTGAAGCTCATTTCGCTTTGCGCCATAACCGTTACATAGACGTAGCCCACCCCTTTGTGTGGCTATCCCGTCTGCCCATCCCATTTGAAAAGTAAACAAACATTCCCTAGATAAAACCCAACTACTTTGAAAACGATGGAATTTGATATTGGTGATTGCGTTGTCGACGTCGTCGACGTTGTTGGTCTGCCGGGGCGCTTCTCTTGAGATCGAGAGCCGCGGCCTGCTTGTGTCGAATCCTCCGCTCCTCGACTTTTAGGGCCCACAAGAGGGTGAGGAGGACTTCCCTAGACGGCAAAGTCACGCTGCGTAGAGATTGAGTCAGTTCGCTATCGCCGCGCGTCGCACAAGACTCGGAGGCCGAGATCCCGTCCCGATCGTCGCGTCCCTCAGACACCAACCGCAATGCCTCCATCGTCGCATCCAAGAGAGGACGCGCCAGACTGGGGCTGCTGGATAGGATGGTCCGAAGAGATTTGAGTCTCAAGGTCGTGGATCTCGAGGTCGAGCTCGTGGTCCGCAGCGGCATAGTTGCGCGCTGCCACAATGTCATAGGCGGCGTGGTTTGCGTCGTCTGTGAGGAAGTCGTTGATGTCAAAGTCGTAGTCGGAGGGGAGAGGATTCGTGAAGCAGGTGGCAGAGTCACCAGCCATATAATCGTCGTCAAGAGTTGAGGAGTTGGGCGAAGCGAGAAGTGAGCTTTCGAGGACATAGCGATCTGCATCAAGGGCCGTTGACAGGCCGAAAGCAGCGCCGAGGCTGAAAGGAACATCATCTTGATGTACAGAGTCCAAGCCAAGGCAGTTTGCGCCGGAGTGAGAGAAGACAGGGACAGGGGCATCTCCACCGATTGACACTGCGGGTCGCACAACATCTCTGCAGGACGTTGTGTCGAATCAGTGGAGACGGTCTGTTGGCTGTTCTTCTCCTCCTCAGCTTCCTCTTCTTGCTCTTCGTCTTCGTGGGGGAATTCCTTGTCGGGGATGGGGGTGAGTGCGGGTGAGAGAGAGGCGGGGTTGACGGTGGGGTTGACCGCGGAGCGCATCATCTGGTCCATCAAGGACTGTTCAGTGGTAATGTTTTGGCCATCTTGTGAGCCGAATAGTTGTTGAGATAGTGTAATGTTGTCTTGGAGAGAGTCGAGAGGAGAGGAGGAGCGGGTGACGACACCGGAGCTGCGTCGGAAGCGGTTGAGCTCCTCGACCAGGATCAGGTTTGTCTTCTGGGCGCTGTGGAGAAGCGTCTCTAGTTCTTTGTTGCGCTTCTCGAGAGCCTCAACCTCGAGCCTCTTCCTCTCTCGTGATGACTGCGCGGCGCGGCGGTTCCGAAGAACACGTTCAACGCGACGCTGTTCCTTTTCATCTTCAGTCTTGGCTCGTTTTCTGTAGGCGCAAGCTTGGTTAGTACTGCGTCATATGTTGCTCTGGTGCAAGACCAGGACATACCTAGGAGGGAGGTTGGTCTTGGGCTCAGGAAGGACCTGGCCCCATGATTTCCTCTTCTTAACGGGCTTCTTTTCTGATGATGAGTGTTCTGTGGCGGCTGAGATGTCCATGTCGTCGTCGGCCTCTGGTGACTCGGGGATGGCAGACAGACGAGAGTCGAGCCGGTCGTCGGCGAAGGAGTCTGGGGTCATCATCTCCTTGGGGTTGAGAGTTGATGGTATTGATGAAGAGTCGGCGAAGAGTGATGAGAAGTTGTCGCCGGGAGCGGAGAGGAAGGATTCGGCCGGGGAGGCCTCGAACTTGAGGAGAGGAGACTGCTGGAACGCCATAGTTGCCCGTCTTGTCTTTGGACTTGCTGTTTTTAGTAGGACGCTCTCTTTGATGCTAATGCTTCTCTGCTCTCACTAGTGTTCGAGCTTCTGCTTGTGTTGTGTATCTTGCTTGTGATGCAAATGCAACCAAGTTGTCCCGGGGCAACGGTCTGCTTTTGTCACAGCGCAGTGGAGATGTCAAAGGCAATCAAAGCGCGTCCTACACAGTGACATGACAGGCAACCAAGCGGCGCCAGTAACGAGTGAGTCAGCGAATGGCGTGGCTCTGCTCACTGGATGAGTCAGTGGCAGAAGAGGACAGAGTGGCTTCTTTGTTTTGGCTGGTGTCGGAATGGTGAGATCCATGCTCAAGGCGGCGAAGCTGGTCTCTTTATCTTGAGGACACGTTGGCCTTGTTGGTGGCACGAGCTGGTGCCTGAGGCAGCAATGGCAGGGGAAAGGGGTGGTTGCGGATCAATCGAAACCAGGCAGGCCCTTAACGAAACGGCCTCAGGGCGGGGCTGAGCCTCGAATCGGGCGGGGCTTTCAGAAGGGCCCTCTGAAGGGGCTCAGGGGGCTGCTGGAACTGGGCTGGGGGTGGGCCGGCACTAATCTGACTGCTGCAGGGGGGGGCCTGATAGTGCGTGTTACAGTGGGTGGGCGCTGGAATTCAGATGGATTGGAGGGATTGGATTGATCGCACAATGCTGGATGTCGTGCTCCAATCCCAATTCCTCCGTGTTTGCTGAGAGAGATTGGAACAGGCAAAAAGAGGATTCCCGGCTGAACCGAGAGTCGTTCACACGGAAGATGCTAATCTAGTGCAAATAGGCGGGAATCCATAGATGAGGCAGTGGCCGAAAGTAATTCCAGCCAATTTCAGTGGTTCCATCAATGGTTCCATGTCTTATTGAATGAGGTTCCAGCTGTTGTGCTGTACAGTATCGCCGAGACACGTGCAACGCCAGTCTCCAGTCTCGTCGAGCCACTGCCATTGATTCCCGCCCATCTTACTGTACGGAGTTATTGTTGAATTCAATGGCTGCATGTGCGTTGCTTACTCGTACTTTACTGTACATGCAGTACTGTGCAGTACAGACAAGCCCAAAACATGACATACCTGCATGCCAATCAGTACCGGGATGGGATGGGATGGGATGCTTCCTTCAGAACTGTACTCCGTCCTCGTACTGCACAGGCGACATGTTACCTACATTTACATGTACATGGGATGCAGTGCAGTATACAAGGATGTACATGCAGCGACGTGCGTCTGTTGAATTTTGTTGGGCTTCTCCTTCGCGCGATGCCATGCCACTCTGCTCATCCGGCACATCCCATTGGTATCTCCAGGTATCCCTCACCCATTGTTAGGCCTCAATTCTGCTCTTAACTGCTGTTTATCACTGTGCTGCTTCTTCGTATACAGTGGCTAACAGAGAGGAGAAAAGGAGAACTGGAGAATGAAGAAAGGGGGGGTTGGACCGTAATGGATCCTCACATTCCCACTCTTTTGGTGGGCGATAAACCATCTACCAGAGACGGTGTATCCAGTTACGAGATGCGATTCGCCACTCTGTTTCTATTCTCATGCTATTGTCCAGCGCCACCGAGAGCTAGTCTAGAGAATGCTGCCTGTCCATGTAAAACGAATGTACATGGACGGAGCCAAGATGTAACAATACGTGGTGAGCTCCGACAGGCACAGCCCACATGCAACGAGCTGATCCGTCCGGCTCTTGGTTCAATGCGAATGCCTTGCCGTCTCAGACTCGGACTCAGACTCAGTCCATATCTTCTTACTATGTTCACTTTGGCGTTGCGCACGTAATCACTAGACGCCGTTTCTGCGGAACCAACGTAAGCCCTTGAGACGCAGCAACCGTCTGGCCTCCCACTTCCGGCATTGCTCTCGTCCAATGGCTTTGGGGGGCGTGCAGCGGTCTTTATTCTTGTTCCTTGTTCCTTGGATGACATGAGAAACTCCCATGTGCTAGAATGCTGGAAGCTGCTTGTACAGGCAATTGGTAGCCCACATGGCTCTTCCACTCTCGTCTCACTCCTTGTCCTACTGCCTCTTTGGGCCCCGGGACTCGCTCTGCAGCTGCTCTGTTTGGGGTCTCACCAGATGCCAATTCCGTCTCACACTTGGTGGGGGCAAGGGAAAGAAGCGAGAAGAATCCCATCGATCGAACCGGCGGGTTCGTGCAAACCCTGGCTGGCGTCTCGCCTGGGAGCCGCCGACCAGGGCAGATGTCGCGCAGACAAGCAAGCACTGAACAATGCCTATATTGAATTCTGAACAGAAGGCAGAAAAGAGGGGGAAAGGCAAAATACCCCTCAAAAAGAGCAGCCGGATGCTACAGTACATAGTAGTGCAATTGAAGCTCAATACATGTACCAGAAAGGCATCTCGGCTTGTGCCTTGCATTTAGCTCTTGAGCTCGAGTCCGATGGACGGAAAGGGGAGGCGGGCCTTCTTTTTGCTTCGGGCCTATCTGCTCAGGCAAAGTGAAAGAATGCGTACCAAGGTCTGCACCTAGTGCTTTGGTGTGGCAGCCAGTGCTCGATAGCATCTCATCTCGGAGTGCGGGCCGTTGGCGCCGCCCCTTTTCTTTTCCTCCCGTCAAAGGATTGAAAGCAAAGCAAATCCAAACGGATGATGAATACCATACGCTCTCGAATGTAGGAATATCGATGGGAATCTATTGGTAGAACCCCGTAGGTAACATCAACAACAAACGCCAAAGCAACATGGAAGAAACACAATACAACCCTCGCACAACCGCCCGGCAAGACATTCCGTTATCAAAACCACATACCACCCATGCCATCCAATGTCTCTACCAGCGGAATAGCAACAAGACCCTCCCTCCATCTTCCCCTTGATTAGGCCGATGATCCCCCTCTTTCTCTCGCGGACCCCCAGATTCACCCTCACTCGCCTTTTCTCTTTCCGCTCTACCGTTGCCGTAAAAGCTCCGGCTTCAACGTTAAAAATCGAAGCTATGTAACCCAACCGGGAGAATTGCATCCATTCTGCCATAATTAATTGGCAGTTTACCCGACCATTGCTCGGCTCTTCTCTTTTGCTAGGTTTTTTGCTATTTTGCTACTTCTTCCATACTGCATAAATCAAACTCGATGTGTGAAGCAAAAAGAGGGCATCAATTCCATTTTTCCTGCAATGGCGCCCAAGTGGGTAGAACTGCAGCCCTCAATTTCTGGTGTCGTCCCATGCATGCATTGATTCTATATACGAGTACGAAAATGCTTCCAAGCTCGAAGCATGTGCGTGCCCTCACGCATGTCTGTCTGTGTCCTGTATGCGGGGAAGTCGAATTGTCCGTGTGCTGCATCCCCATCCCACTTCAAAACGCTCGCGCGTGGAGAATACATGCAGTGCAACCAATGATGGACTCGTGAGGAACAAGAGGGGGAAATCGAGAACTTCAAATGCTTCTCTCACCGCAACTATCAACTCGATGAAGCCCAACTCGCCACCATCACCACCGTCAAACAATGTAACGACATGAGCACTGCGAGGCTTGACTGCCGCTCCCACTGGCTACTCTACTCGTACGAGTCTCCGTACATGTCCGAGCACATGGCGGGGGGCCCATTGCCTTGTCTTGCCTGTGCGTTTTTCTCTGTGCATGCTGTGGAGATCTGGAAGCTGCAGGAAGGCGTCGATGCTTGCGAGCGGAAAGCAAAAGCCTGGGCTTTGTTGGGCGTTCCTACGTCCGGCTTGCATTCAGGTCGGTGAGCCTTGATCGACCATACAGCTACGATACTCCAATAACTACTCGTACGAGCGTATCCAGACTCCGTTCACATGCAAAAACCGTCTCCTCCAAAAGCTCAATTGTGGGGGGAGCTTGTGCACTGGACCCAAGGCGAGCCATGTAAAGCTTGCCACGTTGGACGCCCCATTGCATTAAAGATTGAAGATGATGCACTCGCACGGCAATTGAGCTCTCTTTGGGATCTACCCGTAGGTGTGGTCTGGAATATGCTTTCTATGAGGAGAGGGCATCAGGAACATGCTTGAGGGGTGCCGGCAAGGGCACACGCAGCCGAATGATATAACTGAGCCCAACAGAATTCAAGAGGATGCTGCTGCAAGGTGCCCTGCCCTGGCTGCTTTTTATCTGCAGACCGCTTGTTGCATCGACATGGAGCCAGACTTCCGTCATATTCCAGTTGGTGGAGGTTCAGCGAGAGCTGATTGCCGGCAGTAAACTGACTCGAGTGCCACTGTTTGTGAGATGTGATGCAACATGACGACGGCTTGAGCAACGACGATGAAGGTTTTGAAACCATATCTTGTAGTGATTGGTTTGTATGACCATTATCAAGCGATCGTCACAACAAAGCACATGTATCAGCCAGCCACTGATACTTGGCCATGGTGTTCCAAGCCAAATTTGGCCTTTTATTCCATACATGATCTATTGTTTCTTCGCCCAAACTATAATTAGAGTTGTGCTCTATTTGACTATCAAACATACATATAGAGATATTACGACGCCACAGCATTAGGTTTTGTCGCGACGCGTAAAATTAGACTTGATGGTCCACGCGTATATGTCATATGATGCATCACTTTGTCACCAAGGGCCAGAAATGATGAAGATACACTTTTTTATGAAACTAAACGAATCTTTTTGTGGTGTGACTTGATAGTTTAGGGTATGTAGACTACGGTTGGCTTCTCAATGTTTCCGAAGCCGCGACAATACCGGTACAGTTCCATACCCCGAACATCAAGAACAACTACCAACATTGACGCCGTTGTGCTTGCAATTGAATCGGCTAACCACAAGAACAATGCAGCGAGCATACTTTGTCTCATTCCATCACGCCATACCGTTGCTATCGATCCAATATCGATTCATTCCGGCCATGACCCAAATCGTCAACGTACCTACCCTGCAAAAGACGCCAAAATCGAAATAGAAGCTTCATCTGAAACACGCCCCAGAAGCCCATGTCGAGACATTTGGAAATTTCCCGTGGCTCAGATCTAGCTGTGCTACTATCCAGCCAAGCCTCGTCGTGCCACGCGTTGCAATTAAACTTCAATATATCTGCCTACTAGGCAGCGTCCAACCGAACATGCCACGTTCGCGCCTCGTATTGAAGTTTATCAAGTAGCCTATGCGATTAACAATCAGGACACGGTTTCAAGATGATGCCGTACTTTCAGTCTTGTGTGTGACTCAGACGACGGGATCCAGATTGCCGGTCTTTCCCTTGACGATGCCTTCAATCTCGCTCGTCACCCATCCGCCGTAGAAATCGCCCGGCTGAGGTTCTACGCGCTCGCCATCGACGAAGCAGTCCCACGGGCCAGCGTAGAAACTCAGGTACCCGCTGATGGGCTCAAACCCGGATGTCGGGCTGTTGTACGACCAGATGCGGTTGGAGACGGTGCCGTCAGGCAGGGCGATGCTGTAATACGTTGCTGCGCCTTTCCACTCGCACCAGCTGGAGCGGTTCGTACGCTTGAGGGGCACCTTGATGCTGGATGGAGGGAGGTAGTAAGCTAGAAATTGGGTTGGAGCTGGTTAGTTTTGCTTTGATGAATGAGCCTGGAAAGATGCCCACAACTGAACATTTGATGCCATCATCACCATCATCATCCTCATCACTGTTACCACCTTCTCATTTTGACTGAATTTTCAATAACTTCACACGGAGGGACGCACTTGGCGGATGATGCGTTTCCAGCACCCAAAACGCATCTTTCGTATCGGCAATCTCGGTGTCCTTGTACGTGATACGGAGATGCCGAGCAATCTTTTCCAGCCGCGGCGGCCGAGGAAACGACTGGACGTTTAGCTTGGTATTTGCAGCCATTCTGACAGCCTTGTAAGAGATCATGTATTCAAAAGCTGGTTATTGAATCAGTTCTTTCAGTAAGAATGCTTGCGCTGAAGATATGGATATGGTATAATTTGAACCAATTGTTGGCAGCTCAACTTACACCAAATGAACGCATCATTGATTCAAATGGCTAAAGTGTGGCTGGTGATGTTCCTTTCTTGGCTAAATCTGCATCGCTATCTGTGGCGGTGCTTGTCGATTTTCTTGTTGCGTCACCCCGCCTTATCCGCCACCTGACTTGATTCCAACCATCTCCGAACTTGGCCGTTTGAATCCCTAAACCAAGGAAGAAGAAAAAAACCATCACCAACTCCTCCTATCTCGGCATCTTCCAACTCCTCATAAAACCATTTCCAAACTCCCTCTCAGAAACTCTCTCCGACTAACTCTCTCCATCTCCAAAACCGCAATCATGTCCAACCGCCAACTCGCCCGCGACATGCAAGTCGAATTCCAAGCCCGCTTCCAGGCGAAACAGGCCCGGCGCGAGGCCCAAAAGGCCGCCAAGCAGGACCCGATCCTCAAGAAGCAGATCCAGGACCTGCTCAAGAAGGGCGAGACGCAAAAGGCCTACCAAAAGGCAAAGATGCTGCTCTCCAAGCAGGCGCTCGCCGCCCAGATGGACCAGATGGCCGACATGGCCGAGCTGTCGTCCGCCCAGATCCAGGCCAACAACGCCATGAACAGAATGACGCACATGATGGCTTCGTCGTCGCGCACCATGAATCTGGCCCAGAAGAACACCAATCCCGAAAAGGTTTGTTTTTGTTTCCCCCCCTTTTGGATCAATCAATTAATTCGCTAACCCGGGCGTCAGACCCTCGTTACCCTGGAACAGTTCAAGCAGCAAAACGAAGAATACGCCATGACAAACGGCATCTACCAGGACGCCATCACCCAATCCACCTCCGTCCAAGTCGGCGAAGACGCCGTCCACGAACTGCTCGGCAAGCTCGCCGACGACGCCGGCCTGGAACTCAGCTTCGAGCTCAACAAGGCGACGCCCCAGACCGCCGAGCCGCAGACGGCGGAGCCGACGGCCGAGGAGGAGGACAAGCTGCAGCAGAGGCTGCGTGCTCTGCGTGCTTAGATTTTCGTGGAAATTATTTAGCGTTTTCTCTTGTCTCCCCCTACTTGTTGTTACTGTTATACACTGCGGTCGACATAAAGGATGAAGTGAAATGTACGGAAACCAAGTTTTTGATGAACCGGCGGGCTATTAATTTCCGGTGGTATTTCTTTTTTTTACTATTTGGACAGGGATTTGGCGTTTCTTTTGGGATGGAGGGTTTGCTTTACTTTTGCTTGGTGGTTTCATGGGATCGAACTGAACTGGATCAAGAACATGTTGGGAGTTTAAGCATTAGAGCTGCAAACACTTTTGTGCTCAACTCTTGCGATTTTCTTGCTTTGCTACCTCAGGGGCCTGTTTGATATGCCATACCCATTCATACAATACATACATACATACAATGGGCTTTGTTTACCACCTATACATACATGTACAAATGCCATCGTTCTGGTGTCTCTATTTATTTTCCTAGCTCTTCTCTTGTCGTAACCGTCGTAAACCATTCCAATCCAATGTACACCGACATGATAAAACCATTGCAAGTCTAACCATGAGACCCATTATTTCACACATGCATAAATGCCTTGAAAACCCGTACATCATCATCCCGCTCACATGTACAGACTCGCCACCGCCGTAATGTCCCTCTTGATCATCTCCTGCGCCTGCTGCATCTTCTGATATAGCTCGGGATCGCCAATGATCCTCGCCGCGTTCTTCACCTCTCTGCACGTCTCGTCCAGCCGCGTAATCGTCCGCACAATGGTGCCCTCGAGAACATCTGTCAATGCTGTGATGTTCTTGAAGCTCATTCCCCTGGCCCACTCATACACCACCTCCATGAGGCCGAAGCGGGGCCTTGACACAAAGTCATTCGAGTCCTCGCTGGACTGAATCACTTGCAGTCGTGTCTGCACGTCGTTGACCTTTTCAGATATGGCGATGATGGTGTCACGACCACGCTCGAGGTTGCCAGTCAAAGTAGGTTCCGTGAGCGTTTTCTCCTGGAAGACAAACGATGACAGGAGGGCGGCAATTTCGGCGGGGTCAAAGTCGGCAAGGACGTTGTCGAGGATAAGTTCCGTCAGGACGAGCTCATCACCAGAGTGGACTTCGCAGGCGACTTTGCCCTTGAGCTGAATACGCGATGAGTCGTCGATAAAGTCGAGCTCTCTGAGCACTTGGACACGCTGTTCGTAGTCGGGGAGTAGCTGAAGGTTTTGATCCGAAAGAGATTGTTTCAACTGGGCAATGTGCTCTGTGATGAGCCACTCATCGTGACACATGGCAAACTAAAGTTCATTAGTAAAACCAACTTTAAAGATGAAAAGTTCTAAGTTATCAGCAAAACTTACGTGCTTCAAAAAGGACGGGCACTTTGTGGCCCCAGAGTTGGCCATCGTCTTGGACAGCTGGAATCTCTTTTCAATCATCTCCTGCAGTTGCAAGCTTTTAACCTTGCTCATGTCCATCTCGTCCCACCGGTCATCCCAAGACGCGCAGACCTCCTGTATCTTGTCCAGCGCCTCTTGGCCGGCCTGTTTACCTTTGAAAATCTCGGGTATAACTCCCTTTAGAACCCACCTGGTAAGGCATTCGACATCGTTCAGGGGGACGAACATATTCTTAGTAGTAAGTCGCTTCTTCCCCTGAGGAAGCTTTTGCATGTATTTGCGGAATGCAGGAATAAAGGGCAGCTGGTCCGTCACATCGCGCCGCTCCCTTAGCGGCTTGATGGCACAGACATGCAAGATGGGCTCTTCAAATGATCCCTTGGGACTCATGCCCTCGGCAAGGAGTATGCCAGCTGTACGGATACCTTCCCAGTTAAAGACAATCAGCCGCTGCGGCGTAAACATCCTTCGACCGATGGAAATCTTGAGCAAAGCCTTGTACAGCTCCGTCGTCAGCCGCTTGTAGTCTTGAGCGGCCTGGTGGCACTCATCCACCACGCCGTCGCAGACTTTGCACGACTCTCGCTTAACCTTTGCCAGATCTGCTTGAGCAAGCTTGACGTCCTTTTCGTGCTCTGGCAGAAGCTGCTGCGTTGCATGCTCCGAAAAACTCCTCTTAATCATCTCTTCAATCTTCAGTGCCTCCACTCTCAGCAAGTTGAGAATCATGTTATAAGTCAGCCTGAACTGAGACTTGAGCTTCGATGGCTCTCCCAAGATCATGTTTCGCAATTCGGCAACGGGAGGTGCTTCGTCGCCACCTGGAGGTACGATAATGACGGAGCCGACTTTGTCAAGGCCACGACGGCCAGCACGGCCAGCCATTTGTGTGTATTCGCCGGGTAAAAGGTTGCGGAAAGAATGGCCATCATGCTTGCGGTATCCAGAAAATACTACCGTTCGGGTGGGCAGGTTGAGACCCATGGCGAACGTCTCGGTTGCAAACAAGACTTTGACAAGCGTCCTTGCGAACAGAATCTCCACTAGCTCCTTTACGATGGGCAGCAAACCACCATGATGTACCGCGATACCTCTGGCTAAGAGCTCCCGGAGCCTGATAATCTGTGGTAGGACTCGGTCCTCAGGCTTCAAACGAGCAATGGACTTTTCAATCACCATGTGAATGGCGCTCTTCTCCGAAGCCGTACAGAAATCTTGGTTGCTTAACGCATCTGCGTTTTCCTCACATCGCTTCTTAGAAAAGACGAATATGCAGGCCGGCAGAAGAGTCTGTTTCCGTAGATACTGAACCATGTGAACCCATATGTTCTTGTCTTGTGCAGCCGACGATCGTCCGCCAGGGGCTCCAGCGCGGCCCATGTGTCCTGGATTATGACTTGCACGAGGAGGTCCACCTCGGCCTCTCTGCTGGCCACCTCCACGGCCTCCACGCTGCTGCTGACCTCCTCTCTGGGGACCGCCCCGACCACCGCCGCCTCGCTGATTTCCCTGAGAACTGCCTCCCCGGACCGCGACAGTGTTGGTGGCAGGTGTCTTTTCCTTACTCTGAGTCGCCTTGTGTGCATCTTTCCAACCGCTTTCCAGGAACTTCTTTTCTGAATCCACAATCTTGTGAATGTTCTTGCCGGCCCAAAGGTAGTGTTCCAGGGGTACTGGTCTCTTGGCTGTAGAAATGACGTAAATGTCTCTTTGCTTGGTTCTACCAACCCATGAAGCAAACTCGTGAGTGTTGGGGACGGTGGCTGACAGCAAAATGAGAGAAATATGCTCGGGCAGCATAATGATGACTTCCTCCCACACGACACCACGCTCATAGTCGTTGACGTAGTGAACCTCGTCGAAGATGACAAACTCGACGTCGCGAATCAAGTCTGCTCCGCGGTACAGCATACTGCGTAGAATCTCCGTGGTCATAATGAGGCAGCTAGCCTCAGGGTTGATCTGGACGTCACCTGTCAAGATGCCAACCTCGTCAAACTCTTGTCGAAAGTCGCGGAACTTCTGGTTGCTAAGGGCTTTGATGGGTGATGTGTAAATGGCCTTGGTCATATGCTTGGCTGCCAAGGCAATGGCATACTCGGCCACGACAGTCTTTCCAGCAGAGGTGTGCGCCGCAACAAAGACAGAGTCGCCGTTTTCCAGGTGGTACACGGCTTCCTTTTGGAATGTGTCCAGCTCAAAGGGCCACTCTCGAGCCATGTCGGGGACGAGTTCTCTAAAATTAGGCATGTCGTGCTTGATGTCGACCATGTGTGCCCATTCACGCCCAGCCTTTTTGGCACTGGACGCTGCGAGAACACCATGAGGTTCAAGAGACGGAAACTCCACGGGTAGCAGGTCGTCGATGTCATCTTCGTTTTCCTCGTCCTCTGCTGAATCTCCTGATACCTCAGCGGGTGACGATTCCTCCTCCTGGTTGACATCTTTTGCGTCTTCGGGGTCCTCTTCAAGCTCCTGCTTAATGGCAGCAGCAGCATCCTCATCCA